GACAAGCTGCTCGGAATCGACCTGTACACCTCCGGATTCAAGCAGTCCCCTGTCGTGTTCGGTGCTTTCCCCTCACTCCACGCTGCTGATTCCACTCTCGCGGCTCTTTTCATGAGCCACGTTTTCCCCCGACTGAAGCCCCTCTGGGTCACATATACCCTCTGGATGTGGTGGGCTACCATGTACCTTTCTCACCACTATGCGGTTGATCTGGTCTGTGGTGGTCTGCTCGCCACTGTGGCCTTCTACTTTGCCAAGACTCGCTTCCTTCCCCGCGTTCAACTCGACAAGAACTTCCGCTGGGACTACGATTACGTGGAGGTTGGCGACGCCTCGCGCGAGTTTGGCTACGACCTTGCCAGCCTCGATGGCGACTTCAATCTGGACAGCGATGAGTGGACCGTTGGTTCTTCCTCCTCCGTTTCCTCCGGCTCCCTCAGCCCCGTCGACGACCACTACACGTGGGAAAGCGAGACCCTCACCTCAAACCACGACCACCATGACCTTGAAGCTGGTCGTTAATTCCGGGGGATGCAAATACTCTGTTCGACTTGTTGATTATTGCATCTATTTTTCACGGCGTTCTACTTTTGATGATCATGTTGGGACCACTATCTGCATTGAACCATTTTCGACACCTAAAGGTTTTTAATCCTATTGGAAACCTCCGGTTCGCGCGGCACCCAATCCGCCTTGAGCCGAAGGTTATCTACCTTCTGGCTGTACATGCCTCGTCACTCTCGAGTGACAACCTCCGTCTATAATACTAATTCCGGTGGCGGGCCTTACCTGGGGCCTTTGCGTCTCTCGCAATTGCCACTGTTTGGAAACATTCGCTTGTACAGACTCAGACGTCCTCTGGACGATCTGCTATTATTCATTTCTGACCCATGTCTTTCGCTACGACTTTTTTTTTTTGCACGGGCCACCTATTCTTCGCTTCTCGGCTCGTGCACTTGCACAAACATTTTATCATTCGTGTCGATCGCTTATGACCGGCGTCTGGGAAACGACTTTTTATGGAACAAAAAAGTTTCGGCGCCTTTGCTTGCACTACACTCGCTGTGCAATAGAACTTTGGATATTTTTGCTTTTGAGAACATTATTGCATCGGCACATAGAGAAGGGTTATAACTTGGACTGAATCGGTCTAACCTTCGTTTTGGTGTCTTCGCCGCTGGCAGGTCAAATCCGGCGACTGCATCGGGTGATTCTTAAGAATTATCCCTGGGAACATCAAGTGGCTACCGACTGGCAAGGAATTCCTCGCGGATGAACTTTCAGCACGGACTACTACGGCAGACTAGGAGGGAAATGGGATTCGACGGAGCTCATTTTTCCTTCCTAACATGCCGATCTCTTCGCTTCTGGCTTTGAATAAGGCACGATCCAACTCACGGCATCATGCACCCAACCCCGCCCAAACACCTAATACTTGTGTTCTTCCTCTCTCCCTGTTGAGAGGGCGTGGTGAATGCGATCAGCCGGCCTACCTACTCCGGGGACGATCGCGTTGGATATCGTTATTATTCTTAAACTCTAGAGGATGAAGTTATGAATTGTACATTACATTATTATCCCACACACCCTCCATGTAAAACATTGCATAATTACATAAATACGTAAATCCAATTGTACCTAAACTTCCTACCCAATACAGAAAATCCAGGTATCATGCAGCCCGTAATCGTATCCCTCGCTCCACTCAGACCACTCATCTGGCTCTGTGCAGATCATCATGACCCTAGCAAGTTTTGGCCCCCCGCTTTTGCATCACGCAGATCACCAGTCATCTTCTCTTCCCTCGTCGATCCCACGGACCAAATCGCATGTGCGCTCCCGAGGCTTCTCACATTCGGGCATACATCGTGTGCTGGAAGCGAATTCAAACGCTAGGGGGAAAATCCTTACTTGATGCAATGCTGCCGTAACATCCATCCCTTTAGTTTCGCCTAGTCGGGGATGTTTCCTTATTCAATATCTGCGTACATTATTGGAATAGTACAGGGATGCATGCTCTGGATTGATGTAGCTTATCAAACCTGCATGAGCTCCGGCCAATACCCTTTTATCCAAGCTATCGTAATTAAAATATTCACTACTTAACTATATTACAGTTCTCATTCTGACGTGATACGAAGGTCATTATTCTAAGCTTGTTCCCAGGTTAGGAACTGAACCACTCAAGCAGCTATATCGTCAAGGTCACCTGGTCATTCCACGGAGTAATGCTAAGTTGTGAGCTCCGCTTTTCCATCCCTAGCTTAAAGGCCCCTATCTTTGTGCATGCTCAAAGAGTAATAAATCTTGTGACTTTAGACTTGTAATACGAAACTTAAAAAACGAGGTCTATGTACTTGTTGTTTGGTACATAGAGTCTGTCCACGGGTTAGGTACGCCCTGTGGGGCTTTGATGGTCGGCGATAACCTGTGTCGGAGCTTAAAGCCGGTATCTTAATACTTTTCTACGGTTGCGATTGTTTGCTGGACAACTTAACGGGTGTGAATAAAGCTATGCGTATGCTATCCTTAGTTCCTTTTGCAGCCCATCTTAGCTGTCTAAATGCTATCCATCCACGGTATCAATTGTGTCATCTGTACCAACTTGGCTTGCATCATTTTGGCTGGGCTGGGCAGTACATGAGATAAAGTTACGGAGATAGGAAATGAAGAGAAACGATCATAAACACGGGTATGGCATTACAAGTCTATTTATCGTCAAAGATTTGTACACGTTCCGCATACTCGCGGATGTTAGACACAAATGTCTCCTCGATTTCATCGCCTTTGCCGCCGGCTACACGGAGGATAAGGTCATTCAGCGAGGCACGACCAAGAATATCGACATGGTCACCTATTTATCTGGTTAGTGGTTGGATACGATGATTTGCAGAATGTGGACATACCAGTGTTGGGTCCGCCGCGAGGCGAGAAGCGATCCGGTTCGTGGGGCATCTCAAAGACCTTAATCTTTGAGCCGGCTGGATTATAGCGTTTGATGCGCCAGCCCTTGGCACACATATAGCCCGTGCTGAGTAGGTTCACTGTACCATCGCCCTCACCCATGTTGACACCATGGTCAACATTTTCATCTATTGTGACAGTGGTATCGATGCTGACGTTGAGATTGACTAGCGGGTCGGTCTCCTCTTGGTACCAGTAGCTGCGCTCGGTGGGCTTTCCCACGCCGTAGAAACAGTATATCTTCAAGTCTGGGGCATAAGGTAGACGAGTCTCAAGAGGGTTGAGCCATGTGCGGGGATCTTTCTCGTTGGCTTCGACTTCGGCTGCGGTGTGTGCGACACCGTGTGAGTAGCTGCCCAGTACCTGGTCACGGTACCAGTCCTCGCTTTGGTCCAGGAGGTACTGCAGGCTCTCAGGGACAGTGAGATTGCGTTGCGTCCAAGACGAGTTGGTCTCGCGGAAGTTTAGTAAATTGCCAAAGCTCATCGCCTGGCCTGGCTGGTCATCTGGCGCCCATGTCGCGTTACCCCACACCGCTTCGCCGCCCTTGGGCAACATGCTAGAGATGCCTGGCATGGCCCGGAAGATTTCAGCTCGCTCTTCCTTGGACAGGAACTTTTCAAGGCCGTATACGGCAAAGGCGTTTAGCTGCGCTGTGTCGCGCATCTCTCCTGACAGCACAGCCGTCAGACCTTTAACAGCACCCAGCATACATCCACTGATGTTGATCCAAGAATCAATATGCTTGTTGACCCAGTCCTTACCACCCTTGCCATGCTCTTCACTTTCTACCCATTTGAAAAAGTATAGTACGACCTGTGACCCCATACTGTGCGATGTCAAAGTGATTTTCTCGCCTTGCACCTTCACTGCGGTCTCGATATAGGACTTGAGCCGGCTATAGTACTGATCACGAACTTCCAGGTTCAAATATGAGAGCCGCCAGTCGTATGCAGCCGTGAAAGCATTTGTTGGATCATAGCCGATTGTCGCTAGGTTTTCCAGGATCTTGTTCCAGATCCAATACCCTGTGATAAAGAAGTCGGTCGCATCGAAGCCCTGCGCCGCACGCAGCTTGATACCGGGGGGGTCCAAGCCAGTCTCACGATCAAGCATGACGTGGTTCTTCCATTCTGCCTTATCCATAACCAGTGCTCGCATCATGCTCCAACTGCCCCACAGTCTCTTACGGAAGTATGGACGCGAAGTATCTCCAGTTCCCCAACTTTCGAGGCCCGTGGAAATAACCCCAGGTATCATCACAACGGGGTGTTTAGCTTCAACGCCTTGCGATCGGAGGTGTAGGCCGATCGCGAACGAATCGTAATTGACGGCATCGCGTTCGAATTGCTGCAGTAGCCGGACTGATTAGCGGGTTTGACCGGATAGTAAACAGCAAGCCACAACAATGGGAGCACAATACCGAGAACTCCTTCGCGTCACGCATGATTCCCTGTGGAATAACATCGATCAGAGAATCGAGGTTCAAGTCCAACAGCGACTCCAAGCTAATAACCTCCTGCTGCTGCGCGAAAAACACCGCAATGAAGATGCCGAAGAGGCCGCCCAGGGCGAAGATCAGCCCATTGCGACGCTTACTCCGCCGCGGTGGTTGAATCACCAGCTGCTTGACCTTGGCGCCATCGAACTCTGCGCGAAGGCGATCCTCTTCAGTTTGTGATTGGAGATCCTGTTTTTTGCCGTCACTGGACGAGGTGTCGTCCTTGCCTGTGCGGCGGCGCAACATAGCGACCGCTCAGAGGAAAAGAAGGCGAGGACCAAACCAAATCCAATTGATCGGAAGGAAGACGCACGCCGAAAGAATGTACACAGGTAGCGGGAGAATAGAGAGGATTAAGAGGGAAAAATTAAAACAAATAAAATGCGATGTATCGTTAACGGGGACGATCGGCGTCACATGGCAATCAGTCCGTGGTTTCCGCCCTTGTGATTCCTATCTCGCTATCGCTTCCCCACCTCCCCCTCCAGCTTCCTTCCAACCAACCGGGCACCCCTGGACCTTCAATGACTCCGGAATGAGCCAAGATGTCTCTCCCCTCCGCTATGTGCGGTATGAAAGTGCTCGCGAAAACGAGTATGTCGCTGCAATGCGCCAGCTGATCTCCAAGGATCTCTCTGAGCCCTACAGCATCTACGTTTACCGCTATTTCCTCTACCAGTGGGGCGACCTCTGTTTCTTGGCAATGGACGACAAAAATGAGATGGTTGGAGTCGTGGTCTCTAAGCTCGAGCCGCATCGCAGCGGTCCTCTACGTGGATATATCGCCATGCTGGCCGTGCGCGAGGAGTACCGGGGTCGGGGCATTGCGACAAAGCTGGTGCGCATGGCTATTGATGCAATGATTGAGCGGAATGCCGATGAGGTTTGTCTTTGGTTCCACGGGAGTTTATCGCAATGTTGTTTGCTAATCAGGGTTGCGTAAAACAGATCGTCCTCGAGACAGAGATGACAAACACTGCAGCGATGAAACTGTACGAGCGGCTTGGCTTCCTTCGCAGCAAGCGACTCCATCGATACTACTTGAATGGAAACTCTGCCTATCGGCTTGTTTTATATCTCAAAGAAGGAGTTGGCTCAATTCGACCTGCCTATGAATCCTACGTGCCACCGCCGCTGCCTGTGATGACAGAACCACCCGCTGCTATCACTGGTCTTGGGAATGGAAGCCCTTGGTGATGAGGATTATTGAAGAAACATCCGGAGCTTGTTTGCTGGTATCAAATATGTGCCATGATGCGAAATGACCAGAAAAGATAGATTTGCATTCTTATATGGAACCGGCGTCTGGATTGAATGTCAGGATACTCTTTTGCTAGGATTTGAATTAGCACCCAGGCGAATGAGATGGCTTTGGTCTGACACGGCCATTCTTTATGATTCTGTTGGTCTTGATACTGTCGCCATTTTCAATTAAGGCCTCATCATCGCCTTGAATTTGAGGTGTACATAAAAGCGCAAGATAGACCAAATGATTTCATTTTTCCCTGGTGAACTGCAATGAATTATGTCTAAAGGGATGACAAAATTCCCCAGGGGCTTTCAGGAAGCATTGTTACTTTATCGTGAAGCTTTCTGTTGTTCCTGCCAAGGCTTTTTCTTTTGGGGAGGTTTTGCTTATTCCTCAAAGCTCTCTGTGCTATATCCAAACCTTTGAACTTAAATGAAAATGGAGTAATACTACCGAACACTTTCTTGAGGTTTATTTATAACATAACAGACTCCACTGCTAGGTATTTTAAAGCTATCTATATATATCACATCTTGTGTCGGTACTTAACCATGGACAAGTTCCGCGTCCCGACCAGGTTTGTCCTATACAAATACTATGCCTATTCGAGACGTATAGGCCGACATTAAAGCATTTCTCGTCTAAAAGTCTCTCTCGCTCGCTCATTCACCATTTACATCGCTATTATGTCAAATAACACCATGCAAGTTCAACAAGAAACAAAAATCCAAAAGCTCGAGCAGGGGCTCAAGCGAGTATTCGCAGCAGCGCTTGATAGAAAGGAGGGCAAGATTACCTCCAAACAACTATTAAGAACGGCGGACAGGGCTTCATGGGATTCCACTCGTCTTTTCGATGATTACTTAGTACCAGCACAAAATCTGAAACTCGACGCTGTCGGTACTCTGTTTACTGAGACCGGGCACCCAGGACATCGCTTTCTAGCTGAGCTCACAAGGAAATGGATGCAGTCTCGTCACTACATGCCTCTGACTCTGACATTTGGTACTTATTCTGCTATTACGCTCATATTTTAAACATAATTAACCTTGCATAGAGAGAATATTGAATGCTATCCGCCTCCATGAACCCAATAATATAACCATCCGCAGAACCCGGCTAGATATACTCCTCAACCATGTCTTTAGAAGAGTGAATGAAGAGTTTAATTACTCACTTACCCTTCAGTCTGACGTCGAATTCACCTTTCGGGGTCTTCAATGTTACGGTCAGCATTATGGCTTTTATGGAGTTCCATATTATAGTCTGTGGTACGGCCCGGTCGAGGACTTTTCGACAAATTTTATCGTCGTGCACACTGAGACACCAGTATATGCCGATGAGGCAACCGTACATGCATATATGGGTAAGCAATGAAATCTTGGCTTAGTTCTTTTCTTTATTTAATGTTTCATAGGCATGGTCCACAAGGCACGTAAGTGCCGGGGCAAAAATGACTGTACAGTGTACGGGCTTGCTACCAACTCTAAGGATTTCTGGTTTTACCAAGTCGATAACGAGAGCAATGTGAGCTTTCGATCTCTTGGATATTTGGTATGGTTACTGAGTACAATTCCAGTGGAGCCATACACATCTTGAGCCAGCACATGAATATTTCCATGAGGACATCGCCGGCCTCCTCGCCTTCATTTTTCGTGAAGCTCATAAAATGTCGAAAAAGAGCAGAAAACATACCAAATATCCCGCCTCTCAGTTAAAAATCCGGCAGTTGCCCCACTCAGATACACATGAAGATTCTTACGAACGCCTAAGAGGTCTACTGCCCGAGGGCTTGGATACGTGGATCAACTGAACAACACGTAGCCACGACAGCAAGTGGCTCACACCGGCATCTAAATAGAGTTTCCTGTTTAACGGTCTTCCCTGTCATTGTGTTATTGTTATCTGAGCCTGTTTAGTTACATCAATGCAGAGTGGATAGCCAAATTAATATATTACAACAAGTTTACGCGGCGCCCCCTACGTCATACCGATCAAACGGTTGATATAGATCTACGTCCTCAGATTGTACGTTATCCCAGAGACCAAACTTACTCCGACTTACCTCAGTCCTTGATTTCAAGGTTCAACCCTCCATCCTCTCATATCCACACCATGTCTCTGGACCAGGTCACCGGCGGCCTCAACCGCGTCCCGGTAAACAAACCCGACGCTCCCAAGCCTACCAAAAACATCCCAAAACTAGACCGACCCGTGAAACAAGTCCACAAGCAAACCAAAGACATAACCGACCCTATAGTCCCAGGTGAATTTCCACGCGACGGAGGCACACCCCGCACCCAACATGAACCAACCCCCCCTTCAACCTTCACAAGCGTCTGGAGCGGGATCACGGAATGGTTCTCAAATATCGTCCCGTCAACGATGGACAGGTTCGAAGGCTTCATGAAATGGCTCGTGATGTACCTCCTCCCCCCGCAGAAGCAGGCAGAGGTGTACGAGGCTGCGATGAAGAGACCTATTGCCACAACGTTTATTATATGTCAGATGATCTGCTGTGGGGTTCCGCTGTTAATTTTCTTGGCGGGCGTTTTTGTGTTTGCTGCTGTTGCGCTGATCCTGTGGGCGGTTTTGTCGTTGTTAATTCTCGGGCCAGTCTTGTTGGTTGCTAGTATGATGGGTGTGTCGCTTTGGGGGTGGGGATGGATCCTTTATGGATTGCTGGGTTGGGTTGATCAGAAGTTTTTGGGGGGGGATGATCAGTCGATTTTGGATTCCTAGGATGCAGGCACAGGAGAGTGAGGGGGAAGGAGAGGGGGGAGAGGGGGGAGAGGAGGGAGAGAGGGGGAGAAGAAAGATAATTGAGGACGGGAATTCGTCCAAGGGTGGAGGGAGTTCCAAGGTTGGGGGTATCTGATGGTCACCTGGGCGAACCTTGAAAGTTCCAAGCCCTAGGGGTTGTTGTTGTCGCCATGTGGCAAGGGCTAGTTGTTCTAGGTCCAGGTTGTTGAGAAGAGATGTCTACTTCTATCACTGTCTTAAATAGTATCATGTTAATTTTCTTTCTCTTCTCACCATCCATCCACAGATTCTTGATGAGGAAGGTACACGAGTATCTGTTATTCTTGGATATGTTTAGACTGTGTTTCATATATACTTCGCACGGCTTATCAGATCAACCTTGCGAGTCGAATATAGTATACGGATGTGGACCCTTGACCATTGTTCAAATGTAAAACTCCAAGTTACCCCCCGTGGAATGTGCTACAAGTGTTTCCTAGGCGTTTCAAAGCTTTCCCAACCAGAAGCTCATTTGGCGACTCTCTCTGTACGACCTTGATCAAAAACGGATCCGACTCTAAAACCTAAGACCTCTTTAAGCGGGCCGTCCCTGGCACAGGATGCATATGAGTGTCTTGGCAAGTTTCAAATACCAATAATGTGCCCCTTGCGGTATCAAGCCTAGATTTCAAGATAGAAGAAGGCATTGCATCATGTCCAGCCGCAAGCTGCGAAAAGGCAACCGCCCTCAAACAACGACAATCACACTCACTAGCGTGGACTGCCGATCCAAAGCATTGCGTCAACACGCAACTAGCCGACTCGTTTCGAGGCTCGATAACTAGCGCTAAACTTACCTGGGTTAATCAAAATCCCTCAAGCGCTCGCATTGCACCGAGCTCCGAACGCGATGGCAGCACAGACATGCAGTCAGCCGACCTATACGCATGGACCATTCCCCACGTTGAAGAAAAGAATGCAGACAAATACATGTCAAGATGGGACGGGCACGCTCCGAGTAAATATGCGCTAACCCATAGAGATGATCGCCCCGCTCACGAGCTCCAGGAGGAGCGGCCCGTTGATTCACCATCTTTTTCCGCGCGCACTCGAGATATGCTACTGTAATACTGTGCATGCATTGCCGATCCCAGCCCTTTCCTGTACCCCTGCCTAGAAGATGTGAATCTTGCACGGCAGCCCCCGGCATCAAATAGGGGGGTGAGCTGCAACGGATCTGCGACGGAGCTTGGTGTGTTTCATGACAGACGGGATGGGATGCATGTGGCCCGTGTGGTTGATCGGCCGGGCTAGGATGAGCATGGCGGATGTGGGTAATGCCAAAAAAAAAAAAAAAAAAAAATGAAATCAAGTTCGTGTGCATGTGTATGCGAAGAATGATTTTTTGTTGCATTCCCTCACGCCACACTGAAGTATGTGCATAGAATTGTCTCAGACACGGGTAGACGGCAGTTGGAACGGGCTTAGGGATTTAGGACGTGGGATGGTTTCCCTGTAGAGTTCATGCTGCGGAGAGGGAACTCTCGAGTCTCCATCCCGAGTCCCACCGGATCCACTTTCGTGCGCATTTACCCCTGAACAGAAGCACTGACCAGGAATGCAAGAGCGTGCAAGGTTAGAGTCGAAGGAGGGGGACAAGAAAAAAGCAATGAGGATAACTACGTGTCCAGTGCACCCCCGCATACAAACTTCGAATTTGGTATGGTAGGAGCTTGGGACACTCGAAGGGCCCAGGGGTTTTATCTGATCCATTTGGAGTTAGGGACTGAAAGGGTTTACCATGTACAGCGACAGACGAGACATGAATGTTCCATGATGTTGCAGGATGCTATGGTGCCATCCTTTTTTATCTCGGAAAAGTGGGAGTTGAAGAACGAAAAATGAGAACAAGTCCACGCGGGCCGCACGATGTCGGATAAAGAAACCGGGCGTGCCAATCCGGCTGCGAGATCCGCTAAAGTCCTTGCGTCTGAGACACCCGATAGCGTCGAACGACTGATGCACCTGCAGTAGGCAAGTCCCCTCTATGGATTAGGAACAGTGGAGTTGGATAAGCATCCGACGTCCCCAGAAGTGAACCAAGGATAGAGTGAATCAAGCAAGACACATAAAAGCAAAACACAACTTAACTTGAAACCTAGTAATGCAGCGTCCACATGGAGGTCTCGTGGACAAAGCGTCAAATTGGTGGTTCGACTAGAATCCCCACTTGGAAGTCAGTGCGGCCCGGCTATGGCCCCTCCGGATGCAGGTACCTGTCCAGGTGCTGGGTCAAGGCAATTTAGATTGCATAGGCTGGTGGCACCGTTGCTTGACGTCAAGGGCGAATGGGGGCAGGGGACACGGGAGACAAGGGTTGGGACGATCATGTAGAAACCTTGGAATGGTAGATCAATTAGAATTCAAGTCTCCAATCTGGTAACATACTCCGTGAATTACTGGGCAAGTACCACTGGTACAGATGAAAAAGGGGGGATGTTTCGCAAGTGGCGAACGCATTACAATGGGCCAGGGGTAAAAGGGTTCCGTGCTAAAAGCACCTATACATTTCACGAATTTGGGGTTAAAAAACCCGCAGAAAAGAATTGGATAATTGATGAAAAATCAAAAATAGAAAAACACCCTACGCAGAAAGAGGAAAAAGAAAGAAAATACGAAAGGAAACTAAAATCCCCAAGATATGGGATATGGTTCCCCTTGCATAAGGGATGGATCTAATACGATAGGAACTGGCCGTCCTGTACTCGACAGCAAATCGGTAAATCAGGAAATGGAAATACTAAATCATAAATCATTAATCGATTAATCATATAAGAGAAACTTAGGAAATCGTGATGGTCCCAAGCTCCACTGGGAATCCACCTTGTCCTTGACCTTTTCCCCAGAACCGCCCTAACAGCAAACTAACGAAATAATAATCTCCCCCTCCGATCAGTTCTAATTCTCCCCTCCCTTCCACCCCTCCGGCTTCCTCTTCTCTTCTTCTCTCAACCCTGCCGTTGCGCGCCTCGCACCCACCGTGATTCGTCGCCATTCGACCGCTTTTCCCGCTCCCCTTTCCGTGGTCGCGACAAAAACCTTCTTTGCCGACCCCCTGTTGTGGGAGAAAAAAGAAGCACTTCAGCTCGGGGTGAGGTATGCGAACTAATTCACTGGCCGCCTGACCTATTCAGTTCCTTCTTGTCCAGAGAGGAAAAATAAACATCTTCATTGTCAGGAATTCTCGCCCTTCTGACTTTTTCTCTTTTCTTATCTACCAGTTTCGCGCCAACGACCTCGACAACAACGGTCGTCGGAAGTGCAATCGGACTTTCGAAGACCTCCTCTTCCCTACCACACAATGTCAGTTGCGACGATGCTGCAGCCTGCATCGAGAGTATCCCGAGCGTCCTCGTCCTCTTCTTCCTCGTTTCAACCCGTCGCACGACAGAACACCATGTCGTCTCACGATACTCGGTCGCTCCGCCAATCCAAGCGGATGTCAGTCACCGCGTTGTACCTGTCCATGTCCGCCAAGGACAGGGATTTGGAGATTTCGGATGATTTGGCCAGAGGTACGCCGTGAACCCCTGATACATCCTTGTCCTTACTGACTCCCGCGCAGCACAGAAACACTTGCGAGAACTGAAGTCCAAGATTTCGTCCCAATCCAAGAAGAACTTCGTGTTGGAAAAGGATGTACGCTACCTGGATTCACGAATTGCCTTGTTGATTCAAAACCGAATGGCCCTCGAGGAGGTAAGATTTGTTCAAACTCCCGCGGACGAACTGTCCACTTACACCAACCCTTAGCAAAACGAAGTCGCAAGCCATCTCGACGATACGGCCGACCCCCAAGAAGGTTTCTTTCCCAACGATGAGCGAACCCAGAAATACGGCAACCTCCTGTTCCTGCTGCAGTCGGAGCCCCGCCACATTGCTCACCTGTGTCGACTTGTTTCCATGGCCGAGATTGATTCTCTTTTGCAGACCGTCATGTTCACCATCTACGGTAACCAGTACGAGAGCCGTGAAGAACACCTTCTACTCACCATGTTCCAATCCGTTCTTACCTATCAATTCGACAACACCCCTGAATACTCCTCCCTCCTGCGCCAGAATACCCCTGTGTCTCGCATGATGACCACATATACACGACGTGGCCCCGGTCAGAGTTATTTGAAGCAGGTCCTCGCCGATCGCATCAACTCCTTGATCGAATTGCGTGATGTCGATTTAGAGATCAATCCCCTGAAGGTTTACGAGAGCATGGTAAAGCAGATCGAGGAAGAGACCGGCACCCTCCCAGATTACCTTGCCCGCTCTGTCACTGCCGAGGATGCTGCAGCGAATGAACAGGTGCAAGCCATCATTGCTCCTCGCTTGAAGATGCTATCCGATATCGCAAATGGTTTCTTGACCACTATCATTGACTCGGTAGACGAGACCCCGTACGGTATCCGGTGGATTTGCAAGCAGATTCGCAGTCTGTCGCGCCGCAAGTACCCCGATGCACAGGACCAGACCATCTGTACTTTGATCGGTGGCTTCTTCTTCCTCCGCTTTATCAACCCCGCCATTGTGACCCCTCGCTCTTATATGCTGATCGATGCTACTCCTACCGACAAGCCCCGACGGACTTTGACGCTAATTGCCAAGATGCTGCAGAACTTGGCCAACAAGCCTTCATACGCCAAAGAGCCCTACATGGCCAACCTGCAGCCTTTTATTGAGTCCAACAAGGAGCGCGTGAACAAGTTCCTGCTCGATCTGTGTGAAGTTCAGGATTTCTACGAGAGTCTCGAAATGGACAACTACGTCGCTCTCTCCAAGCGCGATCTCGAGCTCCAGATCACCCTGAATGAAATGTATGCCACCCACGCCCTTTTGGAGAAGCACACTGCGGCGCTGGCCCAAGACCAGCACTCGCACCTTTCTCTGCTGCTTCAGGAACTGGGAGCGGCGCCCCCACAGGTTCCTCGCAAAGAGAACCGAACCATTACCGTGCCTTTGTTCAGTCGGTGGGAAACTGCCTTGGATGATTTGACAGCCGCCCTGGATATTACCCAGGAAGAGGTATTCTTCATGGAGGCCAAGTCGACCTTCGTTCAGATCCTCCGGTCCTTGCCTCCTAACTCGTCGGTCGCGCGTCGACCTCTTCGGTTAGACCGCATTGCCGAAGCCGCCGCCACCCTGAAGAATGACGCGGTTATGGTACGAAAGGGTATTCGCACCATGGAATTGCTGAGTCAGCTGCAAGATATGGGTGTGATCGATCGTTCCGATGAGTTTAGTCTTCTCCGTGATGAGGTGGAGCAGGAGTTGGTGCACCTTGGTTCGTTGAAGGAGAAGGTGCTTGAGGAAACACGGAAACTCGAGGAGGTTTTCGCCACGATCCGCGATCACAACGCGTATCTGGTGGGCCAACTTGAAACTTACAAGTCCTATCTCCACAATGTGCGCAGCCAATCCGAGGGCAAGCAGCGGAAGAAGGAAAAGCACCAGGAACTTGGTCCCTACAAGTTCACGCACCAGCAATTGGAAAAGGAGGGTGTCATCCGCCGCAGTAACGTGCCGGAGAACCGCAGGGCGAACATCTATTTCATGTTCAAGAGCCCGCTTCCTGGCACTTTTGTCATTAGCCTGCACTACAAGGGCCGTGCCCGTGGGCTTCTGGAGCTTGATCTCAAGCTTGATGACTTGTTGGAGATGCAGAAGGACAGCCTGGAGGATCTTGACCTGGAATATGTCCAGTTCAACGTCAGCAAGGTCCTGACTCTTCTGAACAAGCGATTTGCACGGAAGAAGGGGTGGTAATGGTTATGCGCCCCAGATCCCTTTTATGATTGATATGAGACTTGAGTGTAGGGCCTACCGTGCCCTCTCTCTCCAACCTGAGATGCATCGGTTGGCGGTTAGTCTCGCCACCTAATCTTTTTTTGATGATATGATGGACCCGGATCTATATCCGATTTATACATGAACCGTCCATTCTCGACCGTTGATGAACGGAATGAAATGCTCCTCTGCTATGATTCTGACGCTCTTGCTCTTTCCCAGTTGAGCCATGCGTCTAGTGTGAATGTTGTTGAAACACGGACATATCTGACGGAGGATGATCAACGCTTGACCCGCTGGTTCGGGATCAGCAGACGATCTTTTGGAAAGACATTTCGGACCATCTCCTTTGTATTGTGATTTTGTCGTCTGCAAGTTATACCCAGTGCGTCTTGATTTATTTTTTGTGTTTTGTGGGTTGGTTCGGGCTCTTTTACGCCTGTAATCTTGATTTCTGGCACTTGGTTCTGTTGCACCCTCACCGCTCTGGCTCTCGGGTCTTTTGCGCTGTGTATAATAATATGTTTGTTTGTCTTTATGAGTGGTTGTTTGGATTCAATACCCGTATTTGTTTTTGATGATTTCCTTTGTACAGAGCCTAGCAGCAGGTATCAATGAATTTTGGGCTATACGTAAACAATATGGAGGTCACCTAGAATATACCTGTAGGCCGGAGCTGGGTAAAGTCGACAGTCAATTTAAACGTCATGATCTTTTCAGTTTAGGGCAAAGTTTTAGCATATGCATCGACACGACACCGCCTCAACGCCCCTCTTTGCCCCTCACCCTGGCATGTCGGGTTTTCAAACGTTTCTGGCACGGGCTTTTGATCTCGAATGTCATAGGATTGGGTCAAAACCTGGCATGTCGGGTTTTCAAACGTTTCTGGCACGGGCTTTTGATCTCGAATGTCATAGGATTGGGTCAAGGCCGCATACAGGGTTGGGCCGTTTGCGGACAACTGGGTTTGTATGCTACATGACAGTGACGTGATAAGTAGATCAACAATAGCGTTGTTACAGATGATTATTTTCCTCCTTCGATGCAACCATTTTGAGTAATAATCATACAAAAAAAAAGGAGTTCGCGGTCTTCGAAGCCGACAACTCGCCCCCTGATTTCGAAAGCTTTGACTGGACCAGCACCATTAATTATTTTCTAATTTATCTCTTGCTGCGATCATTTACCGGGTGAACATTTAGCTCTGCAGCCTAAAAAAAAAAAACGACTATTGCTCTCCGGGCGCTTGTTTACCGTGAGGCCGATCCCTCCGTGGTTTTTATCCTTGTGGCCACTTACGCCTCCCCTCCGCCTTTCCCTCCTACAACCATTCTTCCAATCTTCCACATTCGCCCCTCCCACCACATCATTCACCATGGCAGCCGCTACTGAGCACAAGTTGCCCATTGATCCCAAGTACGATCACTACACCTTCCCCACCACCGCCCCGGAAGCCCATACTGGTCACCCTGGCCACACCACTCCGGAGCAGGATGCGAAAGTCGTGCAGTTCCGCGCCGAGCTCGAGAAGGAGGGCTACACTGAGCGATTGGATACCTTGACGCTTCTGCGTTTCCTGCGTGCCCGCAAGTTTGTTATCGCTGACGCCAAGGCTATGTACGTTTGACGATCCTCTATTGACATTCTCCCCACGGGGAGTCTTGCGTTTGGCATGTGAAGACTTGAGGTCATCTAATTTTTTTTTTTACTAGGTTCACCAACTGTGAGAAGTGGCGCAAGGAGTTCGGAACTGACAAGCTTCCCGCTGTCTTCGAATATACCGAAAAGGCTGAGGTGTTCAAGTTCTACCCTCAATACTACCACAAGACCGACAAGGTAGGCCAACGCCACCCTAAGCATACTGTATTATTGGGTAGCTCAGGAAGCAGAACTAACGTTCTTTGGAATAGGATGGCCGTCCCGTCTACATTGAGAAGCTAGGCAAGATTAACCTTGACGCCATGTACAAGATCACCACTAGCGAGCGCATGCTCCAGAACCTGGTCACCGAATACGAGAAGCTGGCCGACCCCCGTTTGCCCGCTTGCTCGCGCAAGGCCGGCAAGCTGCTGGAGACCTGCTGCACCATTATGGACCTGAAGGGCGTTGGTGTCACTAGCATTCCCTCCGTTTATGGATACGTTCGTCAGGCTTCTGAAATCTCCCAGAACTACTACCCCGAGCGCCTGGGCAAGCTGTACCTCATCAACGCTCCCTGGGGCTTCGGTGCTGCCTTTAACTTCGTCAAGGGTTTCCTTGACCCCGTCACCGTCGAGAAGATTCACGTTCTTGGCAGCGGATACAAGAAGGAGTTACTCTCCCAGGTTCCTGCGGAGAACCTGCCCGTTGAGTTCGGCGGTACCTGCTCTTGCGAGGGTGGCTGTGAGCTCTCCGACATGGGTCCCTGGCAAGAGGCTGAGTGGGCTCGTACCCCCGCCTGGGCTGCCCTCAAGGAGGAGGCTGCTCCCAAGCAAGACGGGGCTGCCGTCATCGAGAACCAGGACCCCGGTTATGAGAAGAAGGATGTCGAGGGCCAGGAGGGTGCTCAGGCCAGCGCATAAATGGAATCATAGAACATTTTTCCCCTTTTTCACTCGTTAATTACATCCACTGGGGGGTCTTGATGCACTGCAACCCTCATCCCAGTTTCCTCGGGGGGGAAAAAAAAGAAAAAGAGAAAACACGATAAGTTTGGTATATCCTTATCGATATGAGATCCTGTCAACTGGGGTGGGATTTGCATCTGATATCCCTTGACAACCGGGTCTTTCCTGGAAATTACCACATCATCGCCGACCACCCCACCACACGACCCGTGGATTCCTTGCCCCCCTGCCTTTTACCCTTTACCTTTTGCGTTCGATTTAGATATCATGGAGAGTTTTACATGTCCTATTATTGCCTGTTGAACAAGCGACTATGCCTGCGCTTGATATAGAAGGGCGAGTCTGGGATTTCAAAAGCGAGTTTGGGGAGTGAAGTTGAAACTGGCTTTTGTTTATTTGGGTTGTACACACTGAGCACATAGCGAAATTGCGGAAGGAATGAAGTCCTTTGAATCTTTACAGACTGAATAAAGAGTTCCATAGATTCTTGTAATATTAGACAATGTAACCGTGGTGATCGGGTCTGTAACCCAAAAACGCCTCAAAAGAATAAGACATGGTATCATGATCCCTGGCACCGAAACGCCTCGCATCAAATCAAAACCTTAACGCCCAAACAGTCTTGTGAACCTTTACATACTCTCCACGACATCAGCAGCTCGTCCGGCCCGTTCAGCTTTCCCAACAGTCGTAGCCAATGCATTACCCTCAGAACCCTCCTCATCCTCGGCCTCACCTTGAAGCCGCTGCAAGGTTCTTAGAGCACGCTCATAAACCTCCGCCATATCACCATTCCGCCAACGTTCCGCCTCCGCCTCCGTACCGAGCGGGATCTGCAATTCCCACGAAGGATCCGGATGAGTACGAGATTGTGACTGGCCATCAACATCCATAGCATCATCTTCCTCATCGATATCGTCCTCCTTCAGTACTTGTATCAACTGCGCCGCGTAGTCTTTTGCCGCTTGTCGTGGCGCATCACGTCTCTGCTGTGCAACTGTCGTTGTGAGGGACTCTAACTGTGCGTACAGGGCTGTTACGCGGGATGCTAGTTCGGTGTCATAGGGTTCGTATTCGACTGTCTCGGGTGCGGTGAAGGATGCCGGGAATGGAAATTGCGGGTGAGAGGAATCGATGCCGTTTATGCTGATTGATGATGAGGCTGTTGTGAATGTGCGGTTTATGTACTTGAGTTGATATGACCTGTCAGCCTTGCCCCTCTAGCTTATCCGCTTTGGCTCTGGGATTGGTCTCCTTGTCTTGAGGAGCAACGGAAGAAAAACATGTTCATGTCTTCTCTTTCCGGGTTCAAAATTGTTCGACTCACATCATCCACTAATTCTCGTACGCGTTCGCGCATCGGATCTGGTGTCTCATCGTTTGTTGCGGAAGGGGGGAAATAGAGGTCGAGTTTCTTGCGTGAGAGCGCAACTGTATTGGCATACAGATAAGTCAAGTCTGCTGGGGACTGCAGCTCAATTTTGCGCTGGTGAGCGGCCATAGTATAGGCTGTTATGGTGGGAGGTATTAGAGTGATGAGGAGATTGTTTTTCACGCGTTTGGTGTTGCAGGTCTTGGCGTTCTGGTCCCCGCAAACGATGTCATCGATTGGTTCCAGCTGGAGAGCTTACATCTTAACTTTCACTACACCTTGTGAGGTTGTGTTCGTTCCTTATACCATCGCATTTGGTTTTCTTTCCAGCCCTTATCTCTTTTTTTTTTTGATATACTTGTCATTCTGTCGTCACTCTGTCCAGCAGGATCTGGACGAACCAGGCAGCAGTGGTGTAATGCAAGCATTCCAAGGATGATGCCTTTATGATCGACGTGACAGATACCGAAGAAAGCGTTGAAGCATATGCTCGAGCCTTTTCAAGATGACAACAACGACTATGGAGAATCCTGCTACTATATCCCTGGTGGACAATACTGTTCCTTCGCAACAGCCGCTAAGTGGAGAACCCTCACGACGAACCTCGAAACAAGGTCAGAAAGGCGGCTTGTCAAAACATATCAGTCGTACAGCGGTCTCTGGGCAGCTAGCAAAGCGCAAATATGCTAAATGGCAACCCGACAAACTCGGCCTTTCGACGGACACCGAGACATCCCCTAGCAGGGAGTCGTCGCAAGTGCGCGGGTCAGTCTCAGCAGATAGTTCGGCCGGACCGGCAAATGAGCCCAACCCAGTACAGCCAGACTACGCAACAGAAACCACCCGGGTCGACACATTGGACTTTGCTCCCCCCTCGCAAACCCAGAGCCTGACAAATGAATCTACCCACTCAAACGGAGGACCAGGCCAACAGTCCGATTCCGATAAAATCGCAACCCCCACCACTGAGCTAGATATATTATACGAGAACCAGCGTGGCTGGTTTCTATTCGGTGTTCCACGTTACTCCCACAGCTCACTCCTCAACTTCGATCCCAGTGCCTGGATGACCCAGCAGAAACGACCCAGTCCCGTCAATATCACGAATGCCCAAGTGCCCGATCCCAGCTGGGAATGGGCTTGGAGAACGTGGTATGTAGATATGTCGGGCGATGTCGACGAACAGGGATGGCAGTATTCGCTTTCCTTTGGATCCTCCCAATGGCATGGTACGCATCCGTGGTTTCACTCGTTTGCTCGGCGAAGGCGCTGGGTTCGGCTACGCCAGAAGATTCCGGAGAGACGTCACCGTGAACGCTCAGAATTTGAGAAGGGGCATATGTTGACTGAGGATTACTTTACTATTCATTCTTCCAAAGCGAGGAGTCGTGAGCAGAGCATTGCGCGTCTTTCGGCGGTTGAGTCGGGATATTTGAGCCGGGTGGATACCAAGGTAGATGAAGAGGAGCATTTTGAGGAAATTGGGGATATTCCTTCGCTTATGTATGCGTTGAAATTGGCATCTATTGATCGGGAGAGGATCGATGCGTTGAAGACGTTTGTTGAGCAGGGAGGGGAGGAGATTTATTATCTCAACGATAAGGTAACATGCCCCTGTTCTCGAAACTTTGGGGTATGAAATCCCATTTTCCATGGATGGTGGCTAACTACTTCGTGCCTATAAAGATCCCAGAGATCATGTCCATGTTCCTATTCCAGGCATCACGTTGGCAATTCGTGACATACCTTGTCGACATCATCCATAAATTGTCCACTCCATCGGATGATCCGGAGAACAAAGATGCCGACAAGATCAAGCGCAAGAAAGATAACCTAATTCGAGCGGTTGAGAGTGCTAAACAACATGTTACCGGGCCAGATGTCTTTACTCATAATCCCGGGGACCTGGCATCTGACCTCCTCGATTTGACACCGGTTTCTCGACATGATACTTTGCTGTCCAAGCGAGCGCAGGTTACTGGCGAGCCATTGCATGTAATGAAAGTGAAGGAAATTACCGGCATTCCCAGGGCCGCGGAAGTTGGCCACGAAGGGCACATCTATTAATACCCGGCTAAATAGCCGACCAGCACATTCGGTTGTTTCTTTTGACATGTATTAGCTACGTACACGACCTCAGCATCAATTTTTAAACACAATGAATCTCGGCATTTTCTATACAAGCCAAGCGTTATGTAAATAGTCGCGTGCTGTCGGAACCTGGGCCACCGCCTTCCCTTCCCGCGTAGATTTTTCGGAGCCAAAAGATCGGACTTCTCAACACTTTGTGCTTCTTACCACCTCTGCTTCAAGCACCGGATGCCACTAGTGCACCGATCCATATGCTCTCGAGTGGCCACCCGTGTCTAAGAAGGCGCCTTTCTGCCGTCTTGGACACTGTCGCGGCCGGCCCCGAAGATCCTCTCCTCTTCCTCTACCCCCGATGGGCCGCCTCTGCCCTGCAGCAACGACGACCGATCGCGTCCCTGACGCCCGCGGCAGCTCCAATAAAAGGCAATCGAGCTCCTAGCAATTCGCTTCGTGCCACAATTCCTTCGTATGCATCCCCTTCGTCATTTCATCCCCAGACCACCCGATGGAGCTCCGCCGATGCGACGAGTCGATCTCCCAACAGCTTCGCTCCAAACCTGTCCACACCTGCGAAAGATAGTGCAAGTTTACCGGGAGATGGGGCTGACCGAGATGCCACTGAGTCAAGCCATGACATCATGGGATTTCCCGTGGGACTGTCACGGGAGTCCAATGGTTTTCTCGAGACCGCGTCCGATGTCTCCGAATCACATAGACGTCGTGGCAATTTAAGTCGCAGGGAACTGCGACAAAAACGGCTGACAGGCCAGAGGCAAGCAGCCGATCATACTCACGAAACAGAACCGGGGACGGAGTTCAAGTCAAGAAAGATCTTGATAAGCAAGTTATCCGTTCGAGACAGGAGAAAGCTCCGGTATGGAGATTATGTGAGAAGGACCCGTGGACAGGGCCTATTTGGAGGCTCTATGGATGGATGGAATGATATGAAGGTGTTATTAGAGGAGGTGCAGAACGATCCTCGTACGGAGCCCAAGAAAAGCACCAGATCCAAGGAGCTGCAAATCCCCGAAGAGACGGTAGCGCTTCTTGCTGGTATCATGGATACGAGTATGAAGGAGAATATCTGGTACGTGCATGTACGGAACGGGTGTAAGGTACAAATCTTGCACCCGAGGGAGGGTGACGGAGCCAACCGTAAGGCCATCTTGACCGGATCGGAGCACGTAATGGAGCTCGTCGAAGCACGTATCAGAAGTGCTCAAACTGCACAGGATTCTGGAGACCCTCTGGCCGATATTAGGAAGCCGCCGGTCCCCATGTTCATGGAGAGAGAAGTCCTCTCACGCAAAAACATTCCAGCTCCATTGATTCGCGGAGTTTGGAGCTGGCAGCGCCATGCCGAAGTACCACTCACGCTTAAGGATGTCCTTGCGTTGCGCTCGTCTCTCACTTCCGTGAAAGAATTCGCGGAACGTGTTGAGGATTTAACGAGCGCACGCGGGCCACCTACTCTTGGTGCTCTAGCATCTCGGAATCAAAAATGGGCACCGCATGCCAATCAGATCTCCCGCCTGCTTTTAGACCTCTTTCGGCATGGTCAGCAGATCATATCTACTGCTGCGCTGAATCGAGCTTTGGAGTATTTGTGTGAGCACGAACAACTCAATGCTGCTCGATATGTCTTCCTCAAGGCAGAGCATGTCGCGACAGTCGATACTTACAATGTTCTCTTGCGGTCTGCGGCACGGCGTCACGATACTTGGGCGTTTCGCAAGTTCTTGAACTTGATGCCTCGAGCGAACATTCGTCCCAACCCAAATACATGGCTTGCGTTGCTATCGGCTCTGACCACTTCCAATGCCAAGGCGTCACTCATTACACATATGGTGCAGAACGGCTTCATGACTGATGTCAAGGTGATTCGAACCGCCCTTCAACTGACGATTCAAGACTCGCTCCTTGTACACCTAGAAAGCGGGCAGGACGTTGAATCATTCGTCGCTCTTATGGAGAAGACTCACGGTGCGGGTTGGTTTAGTTCATCCCTTCTTGGACAAATGGTCAGCGTAGCAGCGCGCTGCCAGAATTTTGCCGCCGTGGACGCGCTATTGAAGATTTGCGCCGAGCAAAGCTTTGAGGTTGACAGCTCTATCCTCAATCAGATTTTGCCTATGTGCCGTGCCAACATCCTTACTGCACTTCACTACACATACGAATGCGCCAAATTTCCTTCTTTCCGGTTTGTGCCTCAAATATGGGAGCGTCTGTTTCTCATTGCATTCAAAAGCCAGCACTACAACATCTGCCGAGTGCTGTGGCGGTATGCATGCATGGACGGATCGGTGACCAGCGACATGAGGAAAACTGTACTCGGCTCATTGACCCGCAACGCGTCATATAAGAAGGGCAATCAAATGAGTGAAATATGGCGTCTTGACGCCGGCAAGATTATCGTCGGCATGGACGTCCACTTCGAGGATTATAGGATCCGGAAATCCGTCTTGAAAAATGTCCCTTCAGAATTCCACGATATGCCTCTATCGTTCCTCTCATCTGGCTACAAGCCTCATGGCGAAGACCGTCTCCACCAGCTCCAGGTGGCCAAATACCTCGTTGACCGTGACATAAGATACGGTGCCTCTACCTACGAACCCATCAACTCTGTTTCTATTATGCTCCAAGCCGCGGCTGTCATAGACCGTGAGTGGAAGGGCATCCCGCGTCCCTTGACGTGGAGATTACAAAACGCCATCCACGTGCCAATCCGTCGCAACCAGAATTGGCACCAAAAAATATAATCATCGCAAAGGTCTGACGATCTTTCAACTCTTCTCCTCTCTTTTTTGGTTTTCGTCACCTAGCGCTGTCGTGTTGCATGAGATATCCTATTCAGCGGGTTTGGGTAGACATAGACTTGTACTATATTGTGTTTCTCTTCAACTCTTTGTATATAATGGTGCATTATTCAAAACAACGATTCATATTTACCTTTCATTTCTTCTAGCATCCTAGAGCTCGCAGTTTCCTAAGAGAACCTCCAGAATTTCATCTGCTCAGGCGAGAAATTGCAATATGCGGAGAGAATATAGTAAAAAGGATCATCTCATCACGCCGACCATAACTCTTTGTTTTCAAACACCAGTTTACCTGGAGTTACTAAACCTGCCCAACGATACTACCTATACAGGATTATTCAGGTTTAATATATGAAGTACACCATGTCGATTCCCAGACTCGTTCGGATAATTTCATTTGTGGCATGAGACGTTGCTCACCTTGAGGAGCTCGAATATCAAGATGGGAAAAATTCACTGAACAGAATTCTGTCACTGCCTAAATTTTTCGAGGGCTTTTCTCGACATCAAATTAGGTTGGATCATTTGCCATTTCAGCATTGGTAGACTGGTTTTCCGTTCTCCGACGATATTAGGTCTGTTGATCTGCTTAAAACGTCCATCGCCGCCCGTGCAATTCCATTGCACCACGATCTGGCCCGTGCTTTCCTATTAAATTTTTTTTCTCTCTCCACTGTCCACATTGATGAGATCTAATGTAAGCTCAATGACCGCCTGAACATATATTGGAGGTCGTAAGTGAGGGTATCAGTTGATTATTATAACCCTCAAGACAATATACTGTATACCGAAGGAATGAGCTATCCGTGATGCGATATCAAAGTACTGTTTGCATTCGTGTACTCATGGACAACAGGCGGAGTAACTCGCCTAATTTGTACTGAGCATTGATGACGTTGGTTTTCAAAAACAACACTAACTCCATGTCACCCGGGCACTATTCATAGCACAAATCTTTGCTCTGTAATAAGTTCCCCTAGAACGATTTAGTATAAGGACCTTGTGGCTTCGTTAGCGAGTCGCCAGGAATGCATTGCATTAGAGGGTCTAAATATAGAGATACCACGCAATCCCTGCCATCAAGGAAGAACCTGTGATGAGGAAAAAAACGTGTGCAGTACCGAAGCAAAGCCGAGCCCCCTGAAGAGACCGGGGTCTGGCCCGCTGTCAAATGCTGATCGACCACGTTTAATTTGCTACGGTTCCACCAGCGCCTTTCGGCTCTTTGCCCCGATGGATTCCCACTGCAAAACGGTCCTGGCTCCTGGTTCCGGAGAGATCAGAGTTCACCGCTGGATATCTCCAAGGGGTGAGCATGGGCTTTTTGGTGTTTACTTTTTTTGGTGGGTTTGACCCCCTGACGAATAATTGTGGCTATTAGACTTTAGTCGGAAGTTTAAGTTGCTGTGGCCGGAATCATTGATCGTCGCAATGTGAGAAGTCCATATGGCTTGGGAGTTTCCTCCAGACGTACTTTGGGAGGCACCGTTGGGGTGGGACCGTTAGGGATCGGGATTTGGAGTCTACAGGATACTAGGACGGAGTCGACTACGGAGTGGGCTGAGGACCTGCCATGAAAGGATTAGCCTTCGGGAATACTGGTGCATCTGATCTGAGAAGTGACATACTTGGACTCGAGAGACGTGAAGGTCGAGAGGAAACAAGTATTTATCCATGGAATCTAAAAGCCATCCCGCAAACCTTGGTAGGCGCCGTTTCTTAAATTTGGGTTGAGTGCGCAAGTGTAATGTTTACCCCAGAGGTACCTTTGTATGGTGGAACATCGTCTTGACCGATGCATACACTAACGGTGCATTGCATACATATTACTTGTGCGAGATTTCCAGTCTAAGTCTCCTTTGGTTAAACCATCATGCAATGCAACTCTCCTACAATAAATTAGGGGTTATCTATCAGATCGGGACCAAGACCTTTCGATCAAGTGGCCTGTGATAGGGAATATCTCCACAGACGAAGGATTACCCCTGCCTTAGCAGCGAGAACGGCACGGGTGAAAATCGTACCGAAAGTCATGAAACCGGAGAGAACGAACCGGAATTAAGCGTTTCAAAAGACGAGCTACACAGCCATGAGCGGCATGGGTCAGCAAGACAAGTCCGGGGTTAGTAAAAACGACCTGTACTGTACATGACTTCCCTCGGTTAAAGGGGAAAAGCGTTATCCACCGTTAGCTCATGCGTACAAAGTCAAACCCCAATCAGTGGATGAAATGACGAGCACGGGCACGCGTGCTCAACACGGAATGCATGTGGAGTTGGCCTTGACGTTCTCCACCTATTCTTGCCGAACAGGTTGGTCCCCGATGGGTCAAAAGTGGCTGTTTGGTCCCTTAAGGCGTTTCTTTAGCGAAAACATGTATCCGCTCTGGAGACGCGAAATCCGGTAACCTTTTCCGAGATTGGCGCAGCTAAACGAGGAGATCAAATAGCGTGAGAAGCGTCACTTCGCTTCCCCGGAAGCTTGGAAGGAAAAGAATAGAATCCCCTTCCATTAAAAATCGAGCAGGCGGGGGCTTGCTAACAGGGGGCCAAATGTAGCTATGTGGAGACTTGGCATAATCAGGAAGAGAACAGACTAAGCACTGGAAGCCGAGCCAGGATTCCACCGACGTTTCAGAAATTTCCTTGCGTCTATCCTGCGCACAGCCCATGCGGGTTTCAGCAATTGAGCGCCGATCGCTGCAGCTTGCATTCCGCATGGCGCCTTGGCACGCAGCAAAGGAACCATCGAAAGGCGTGGAGCCATTATCCACAATTTCCCTGGGCTTGGGAATAAAGTCGTATTGGGTACTCCGTCTGTATGTCCGCGTATTGATTTCCCTCTACTCATAGGAATATAGTCGATAGTGTCATGCAAGGATTGTGAGTACTGGAGAATCCATTGTTCTCGAACTTCGTGCACGAGGTATTGTGATTGGTCAAATCGAGGGAATGGCCCGACGATTTTCAATAGTGTCGCGATGGATCGGATGCTCGGAGGAAGCGACTGATTTGGGAGGTTGAGAAGGTCGACTGTGTCTATTGAGGACCTAGAGCTCAGTAATGTAAAATGTGATCCAGGTAGATGTAGATCAGTACTTTGGATGAACATACCTCGTACTTTGCGACGTACATCGAGTACGGTAATCTGATCATTGTATTTTAATTATTCGGCCAAATCAAAAAAGGAAATGGTTGGCCCCATGATGGTGGATCGGCCTAGCGCCCCTAGTATGTACAACTCGTTCGTACAGGAGATTAGGACTGTAGAAAAGAGGAAGGAAAATAAAAAGAGTCTTTAGTGAAACCTTCTTCCGTGAGGAAGTTGTAGAACTTTCCGGTTTTTTATTTTTTTCTTTCTTAGTGGTGGTGGGCCTTGTAGGAATCTGGAATCTGCACTCCGCAACGATACTGTTGATAACACTCCCAAGACACCAGTCCCGGTGCATCATCCTCCCCGCTTGTGGATTCCCCGTGAGACGGGAGAGATGTGCTACTGACCTTCTCAGCTTTCCTCTCTTACATCTCCCCTTCAACATTCCCCGACTTCTGGTGTTGGGTGCTTTTGTCACTGGAAACTGCCCATTTCCTCCCCGCGACCTAAAGTCTGGATCCCTCCCGTCGATCTCGCGACTCCGAACCTCCCTCCCTTCCGAAAAAGCCGTTTCGCCCACAGGTCATCAACACTCACCAGGTGAAGGACTCGGTGTCTCGGAGGATAATCCGGCCCAATTGGAAACTCGGCGACGACACATTCGCAACGGAACGTGGCAGGCCCTGGGTGTGGGGAACCCTTGGAAGAACCGATCGAAGCGTTGACAGGATCCGCCCGCTCATTCGTCGCGTGGGACTAAGCTGTTGAAGAATTGTTGATTGGTAGGTGACCACCCTATCACACCCCCCCTCCGCAAAGCCAAATCGCGCGCGCGTTCGAGAGCGCTCTTTCTCAGCCTCAAGCAGACGAGAGAGAGAGAGAGAGACAGTGTGGCGTAGGCGGCGCCTCCCTGATTCAGATCGAAGCTCCGCCCGGTGTCGTCGAATTGCCCCTGTATCCTGGACTCAACCGCTGACTATATTTGCGCAAATCTAGGATTGTCGTCGGATCCCTGAAAACATGGGTTGTATCGCCTCGAAACCCGCCGAAGCGGATAAGGATGCCAGCCAGCGCAATGCCCGTATTGATCGGGTCATCAAGAGCGATAAGAAAACCATGGATCGGACTATTAAGATCTTGTTACTCGGTAAGGAACCCCTGCTGGTGCCCAAATAGCTCTGCGCGCGATCAATTAGGCTGACCTTCCCACCAGGCGCTGGAGAATCGGGGAAGTCAACTATCATCAAGCAGATGCGCATCATTCACAGTAGAGGATTTCCTGAGGAAGAACGTCACCAAACACGAGCCGTCATCTACTCCAATGTGGTCATTGCGTTCAAGGTGTTGTTGGACATAATGAAAGCGGAAAACATTGATTTTGAGCACGAGAAGACACAGGTACAGTCATCTTTACCCCCCAACTTAAAAATTCACGCGCTTACCGTTCCCCCAAGGCTGTTGGAGAATTGTTAGACAAGACCGAGCCCGACGTCGGCTCCGACGAGGCCTTCTCGGATTTGACAGTCCGCGATGCGATGAGGGCCATGTGGCTTGATGCAGGCGTTCAAAAGGCCGTGGCGCGGGGGCATGAATTCGCGCTGCATGACAACCTCAGCTAGTGAGTCCATTATTCGCGCGCGATTGATCACGATTATACTAACGTTTTCTTAGCTTCTACGAGTCGCTGGACCGTATTTTCACCCCCGGGTGGCTTCCTGATAACCAGGACATGCTGCAAGCTCGACTTAGGACAACAGGTATCACCGAAACTTTGTTTGAGCTCGGCCAAATGAACTTCCGGATGATGGATGTTGGTGGACAGCGTTCGGAACGGAAGAAGTGGATTCATTGCTTTGAGGGAGTCCAGTGCTTGTTGTTCATGGTGGCTTTATCTGGATATGACCAATGTTTGGTCGAAGACCAGAACGCTGTAAGCATACCTTCCATACCAGTAACATGTTCAAAAGCTGACAGCCCTCCAGAACCAAATGCACGAAGCTATGATGCTATTCGAATCACTTGTCAATGGCGAGTGGTTCAAGCGCAAGCCCATTATCCTCTTCCTTAATAAGATCGATCTTTTCAGAGCAAAACTCTCCATTTCCGCCATCTCGAAGCACTTCCAAGATTACAGCGGTTCCGATACAGACTTTGAAGCTGCTGCGCGATACTTTGCCGACCGGTTCCGCGGCATCAACCGGATCCCAGACCGCGAGATCTACATTCACCAGACCAACGCCACGGACACCACTCTCTTGAAGGCGACCATGGACTCAGTCCAGGACATGATCATACAAAAGAATCTCCATACCTTAATACTATAAGGCAGCGGAATATTTTAAATACCGGTGGCCTTTATGAACGTCATTGTTTGCCACGAAGTCGATTGTTGTTTCTTGTCAAGCTCTTGAGCCTACCTTTTTTTTCTTCGGTTGCATACTTCGGCGGTTTTTTTTCCTTTCTGTCATCGCGACACTTCTGCATCCATTGCATTTTCGACTTTCCTTTTCTTCATGAGGCGTCTTGATGATAGAGTCGTCGGCCCTCTGACGTATCCTTGGGTCTGTTACGTTGCATCCCAAAAGTCCGTTCGATTTCGCCAACTAATGCCACGCTCCAAGCTCTGTGATGGTTTCTTTTCTTTCCTATCTGTTTCTGTCTATTTTGATTATGCAGGATGATACCACTTTTCACTTCTTTGTCGCTGCAAATCTATTTTGTTTACCTGACGACTGTATTAGTACAGGTCCTTATTTTCCTTGGTTACTTATAACTTGAATGAACTTGATATATTACTCTCTGGATCCCAAACTACAATTCATCCTTCTATAGAATCCAGGTAAGGCTTGGTAATACTCGAAATGGGCTGAACTTTTGGCTTGGAGGATTACGCCGAAAGAAAACTGCACATGGGGGCGGCACGGAGAGTATTCGAATTCTCCTCTACTTCTATGCGTGAACCATTGGTACATTACCCCTGGAGATTTGCAAAATTAGACAAAAAAGCCAAATTATCGACCAATCTGAGTGCGATATGCGAATATTAGCTATACATGTACTAGCAGCTACATCTGCACCCCATTATCCCACGTTGACATCAGAACACCAGAGTGGCCCCGTTAAAAAAGACTACATGTAGGGATATCATAGCTCAAGAGTGTATTTTAAGTTCACCAAACCTGCATAAGTTGTGGAATCACTTTGAAAAATGCCATTTGAGCCCATTGGACGCCACTTGAGTCAGGCACCAAATTACATAATCTCCGCATGATCAGAGACGCCGAGTTCCGGTCCGATGATTTCGCCTCCGAGCAAGATCATCTTCACCTTCTCCCCAGTACCTGGGTACCACGCCAACCATGTTGTCAACATCTATACGCCGGGCCGCATTGGCGCCTCTCTCAGGTGCACCTCGCGCTGCCCAGAATGTTCCCTCCACCGGTCTTCTCGGCGCAACCCGCTATGTGCACCAACGCCGATACTCCTCATCCTCCTCCAAACCTCCAGTTCCTCCTAGTGATGGCTCCCAGCGGATGGATACCTCTACTCCTGCTAAGAGTGTGAACTCTTCCAGCGAGAAGAGCAAGGCTGCCCGCCGCCGAGGCAAGGATGCTGGTGCCCGCAACGGATCTTCCAAGTCCAGCCAGCAGCATGCGGCATTTTCGAAGCTCCCCAGTGTCCCCTCGACACAGCACCGACAACCTCATGGTGAGTTCCTAACAGCCCAGAATGGCTTATTATGCTCCATGGTTGCATTATATACTAATCTTCTTGCCGTACTAGACGTTCACGTCGCCTCGTTCTTCTCCATTCACCGCCCGATCTCCGTGACCACCACGGTCCCCCCGACCTCGAGCCACGAAGCCTTCGAATCGATATTCTCCAAGAGACTCATGAAGAACCAACCGGACGATGTCATCTTCACCCTCTCTAACACTGTCCAGTCCATGGAGGGCGCTAACGGCATGTCCGAAGCTGAGGATCCTTTCGGCCAGATGCACGGTCGCTTCGCCAGCGATGCCAACGGCGATCTTCAGATGCTTGATAACCCGGAGGCACACATGTCTGTTGAGGAGCTTACTCGTCGTCTCCGCCCCTTCCACCCTCCCCCACCTCCGGTCCCCATGGACATGAGCGCCGAGGCCGAGGCTATGGAGTCTCACGAGGCCCAGAGCGAACAGGATACCACCTACTCCACCGTCCTCACTATCCGGGAATCTCGTCACGCCGACGGCCGTAAGACCTACGAGGCGTCGACTGGTCCCTTTGTCCGTGACGAGATGGATGCCCCCGCTGGTCTGCGTGATGAGCTTACCATCAACGCCCCTAGCTCCACCACTGGCATGACCTACGTTGAGCGTCTGCGCCACAACTCGTCCATGCATGCTATTAGCACCAAGAGACGGCGCAAGGTGAAGATGAAGAAGCACAAGTTCAAGAAGCTGATGCGGAGAACACGCACTCTCCGTCGCAAGCTCGACAAAGCTTAGACTTGGGGCGATTTGCGTTTCCATTTGTTTGGTGTCATTTCTTCGGTTTTCATCGGATGCATCTTTGGCCTGCTTCTTGCATCTTTGCTGGGTTGAGGGGGGTTAGTATCCGAGTTGTAGGGCATATCCTCTAAACCCTCCAGTACATTGCTATTCTACATTTCTGGTCATTTTTTTCTTGGCTTCCCCTATACTATTATCCTAACATTCGCCAATTTCTTTTTCTTTTTCTTTTTCTTCTTCTTTTTTTTTTTTTTTTTGTCGGGTCAGAGGCTGTGGTTTTGGCCGTCTTTGTCTTCCCTCTGTTTGGCATATTCTGCCTCTCATGCATTGCGGACTACCCTATAGAATCTTTCTCTTGATAAACACCATGTGTCTGAATCTTCATAAATCCCACGGTTAATACCACTTAGTTATAAAACCAAAATTATGTGGTAGGTTTTCAGCTGACTAGCCAAGTCTTCAATGTGGCATTCATAAGCTGAGGCGTGAGGGATACAGGGAGAATCCACATATCCTCTCCAGGACCCTAGAGTTATGGGAACAAGTAGAGCTACGACGTGCCACAGAATCCAGCATAATGCACATATTCGGGATTGCTATATCATACTGAATACAAGAATCCGACAAGCCAAAAGAAAAGACAAGAGTCCAAACCGAGAGTAAAAAGTTAAGAGAAAGGAGGGTCTCCAGCAGCAGCGAAACCAACAAGAGTCAACCTCACTGCAACCACAAGACGAAAGCGAGGAAAGGGTCCCAAGAGAGACTCGATATAAAGTACAGTATCCAGCGCGCGCATTCATGCAATGTAAGCCAATCCAATATCTACCCACATCTGTCCAACCGTTGGGATCCAAAGAGTCCCCCGATTCTACATACCACGATCAAAAGAAGAATTCCCATTCACAAGTCAAATGAATTTATCATAGCCGAAATCTTTTTCCATCTTCACACTAATCCTCGTACCCGACATCATGGGACGGAATAAATAACGCTTGTCATGTCGGGTTCAAGGTTCACAAATTGGCACGTTGGACGGAATGGTACCTCACAGGCATGAGTGAGGTACGCGATGTCCGACGTTTGAACGAGGCACTGCTCGTTTAACAATCGGCTTTAGAGCGAGAGTTCATGAGAAGAGCGACAATCAGTCCGTAAAGACCTGGAGGGAGATGTTAGAACGATATAATGAAGATAGCTTGAAGCAGAACTTACCCAAGACTTCAGCGAAAATGAGAATCAAAATCATTCCAACGTAGAGACGAGGTTGCTGAGCAGTTCCACGAACACCAGCGTCACCGACAATACCGATAGCAAAACTGCAAATTTCGTTAGCAAGAGCTCATGATTGAGCGAAACCCGGACGTACCCAGCAGCCAAACCGGCCAGACCGACGGCGAGACCAGCACCCAGCTGGATGAATCCAGTGTATAGAGGGAGCTGCTGTTTCAGGTCGTTGGCGACCAGGACCGACACGACGAGACCGTAGATACCAATGATACCGGCCATGACAATGGGGACAATGTCTGTTGGTAGTTAGCAAACGCATTCAGGTATGGCGAAAGATTCGCTGGATTGATGATTCTCCAGCGTCAAAGCTTAACGTACTCTTAACGATCAGGTCGGGACGGAGGACGGCCATGGAGCAAACTCCGACACCGGCCTTAGCGGTACCGTAGGCGGCACCGAAGCAGGTGAAGACGATGGCTGAGGTGCAACCCAGCGCACCGAAGAAGGGCTATTATAGATATCAGTCATTCCGCCGTCTGAAACAAAGCGGGTGCGAGGGGCGGTTATGACGAGGTCGCCGTGAGTCCGACTCGACAATGATCGACGGAGCTAGACTTACTGCATAGACGGGGCTGTCGAAGACTGCAAGTTAGCGGGAGTTTTCAATGCATGTGTGCCCGTGATGGGTGAAGCAGTCCGAAGGTCGGTAGCTGTCACCCAGGGGGCGGGAGCCGCGATGACGACGTACCAGAGTTCTGTGGCCATTCTGGCGGATGCTCGACAAGGTTGTCGAGGGGAATTCGGAGCTTTGGATGAGATGGGAAAGATCCGAGAGATATAGGCGTGGACCGAAGAAGTGGTTAGCGGTGATCGGGAAGGAGAGAGCCAGCTACGAGGTCAGAGGCCACCACGCTGGTGTTGCGGTCACGTGGTCTCTTGGCACGGCATCAGGATCCACTTGAGCGTATACATCGAACATCGATGGGAGATGAATTGGGATCATTGTACAGATCATAATACAGGCTAGCTGATATTGTGAGGAGTAACTGAGTAAAAACTTACTCACAGCTAGGAATCCGGTATATAGCTTTAGCTGAATACAACCACTTTCCAATATTGATAATGCAGCCTAGGAGGCTGGGAATGCTTTTCAATTTCGACTTTAACTATGTCAGGTAGCATTCCAATATGCTTCTATTTCTCAGAGATATACTAAGCTTCTCAATTTAGCTTTGGGGTTTTTGGCAAAACAGAAATCCACAAAATTGCATCCTCGTCTTATGGCAAGGCCTCCTGGTAGCCTGGAAGGGTAGCTCAGAGATAGGCCTAGTTACCATACATGTGAATAACCTTAGAATCTGTTTAATTGACAATATCGAAGGGTATACAATGTTCAAAAAGTCAGGATTATGGTCTGACAGTTGTAAACCGCTGCTGATGCTTATATGCGCCGTAACTGGGCGGTGCAAACTAACTGTAATATACTGTATATAATACGACAATTCACTATGAATCAAGTGAATTACTTGAAAAGTGTTACCTCTCACGCTAACCAAAAATGGCAGAATTTCCGCGGAACCGCGGACGTCAGGGATTCCTTCTTCCCACGTACAGTATTGCCCTTGGAGAGACCATTTTCATTGGCTTCCTTGAAAACATTATAGTAAGAAGGCACTAGAGCTAATTTCTGCCCTATATAAAGAGCCCCGCGGACATCCGCGGTCTTGTGGCAGCGCCTTTCCGCCAGACGCTCATCAATACTATTTATGGACTTTACACCATGAAGAGAGACGCCAACCGCAATCCGATAACAGGAGTGAGTAAGTGGGCACGGCCACCTCTATCATGTCAAACTTGCCGTGAGAAGAAGCGCCGATGCGACCGGACTCAACCATGCTCAAATTGCGTGCTCAGAAATATCCCCTGTGAATATCCAGGGCAAAGTCCGGAATGCGTGAGTGGTCCAGAGCCCTCACAGGGACCTATTTCGACTACATTTAGCCAGAATGCAACAATTCGGCCGGGAAATTTGGCCCCAGAGTAGGTCGCCTTTACACTCATTATTCTTTATATTTTACTAACATACTTAAAGCAATTCTGATGAGATATTATATCGGTTAAGAAGATTGGAAGCAGCTTTTCTTGAAAAGCCCAACTCAAGTCAAGAACCTAGACCTAAGCCTCATGGTATTTTTATGAACTTAGATACACCACCAGACCAGGTAAACCTCTAGCTTGCTTTTGCGTTCGAAACCAATTCATTCGGCATACTTACTCGCACCATAGGCTTTTACTTCTCATTATGTCACCCCGTTCAGTGTCCACTATACTTCATCCGCGAATGAAAATAGCATAGGTGTATCGGATTCCCCAAGCATTGTTGAATTGACGAGGAAGCTGCCACCACTACGGCAAGCCAGGGAGTTATTCAACCACTTTGCAGTAACATTGCAGCCAACCTTTGGCGTTCTTCATATACCCTCGTCCCGCATTATGATGGAGAAAGTATATGAATGTATTGTTGAGGGTGAGGTACCACCGGCTGCTGATTTGATGCTTCTCTTCAGCATCTTTGCGGGTTCCTCCCTGGGCTGGACACCTAGCCTTTTGGAGAAGCTCAATACTACGAATGAAGGGGCACGAGCGGCTTTGATAGCGTATAGTCGGTTTGCATTGGCTATCCTGGACCATCCTTCGCGGATTATACAGCCATCGACAACCGCTCTTGTAGCCATCGGCACGCTGGGTCACATACTAATGAATACGGATGGCTTTCCGTCCCGCGTCCAAATGCTTCGTCATCATTGTTTGCTGATGTCGAGGGAACTCAAGATCCATCGGCTAGATACGGCAAGAGCTCGCGAAGAAAGAAGACTGAAAGGATGCGACATGATTGATGTTGAGGTTCAAAGACGGGCTTGGTGGAATATGGTAGCATCCGACTGGTAATGTCCCAGTGCGCCCGAGGCAAATAAGCTGTGACTGACTTCAATAGGCTTCTTTCGTTCTCTGGTGGTCCCCAGGAAGGCGCATACATCTTCCAACCCAAACACATGAACGTGAACATGCCCAGTAATACGGACGATGAGCTGATCACGAGTGCTGGAGTCCAGCAGCATTTTCCACTGTCTGTGCCCACGTCAATGTCTGCTTTCATTACTCGAGTTCAGGGTGCAGATTTATGTCGCCAAGTGATCGATGCTCTTCCATCCATCCTACTCGACTCTCAAGAGCCAGACTATAAGACCATCCTGGAACTGGATACGAAGTTCCACGAGCACATTGCCAGCCTTCCTGTCTATTTCCAGCTGGATCCAAAAAGTATTGAGCAGAGTCGGCAAACCTGCAAAGAGCGGCCCTACATTGCCTGGCAGCGGATCAGCGTTCATTTCAGCATTCATACCCGACTTTGTCGATTGCACCGGCCCTATCATCTAGAAGGTATAACGAACCGCAAATATGCGTACTCGCACATTGTTTGCATCCGTTCAGCGCATAAAGTTCTAGAACTCCGACGAGCGATGGACGAAGTGGCTTCAGAGGTAGGATTGCAAGCCGCGAGGTTCTGGACTGTCATGCACCATGTTTTCTTTGCCGCTTTGATTCTGGCGATGGATGTATCATTTAATCCCGTTGCACCTGATGCCGAAGCTCGCAAGGCTCAAGTGCTTGCCGCATACGAGACGTTGGAACAATCCAAGCGAGAGTCCAACAATCTGATGGAAGGCATCCAAAAGAATCTTCAGACCTTGATGTCTACACTGCACAAAAAGCGATCGCAGATATCCACCCTATCAAAGGATGGTTCAGCCCGTGAGGGACTCGCCACGTCCTCAACGGGTAACCGATCGGCATGTGAGACGGACGAGCCTGTGATTGCGCACGACGAAGGCACCTTTTCTGCACCGCCATCGTTAACCGATATTGATGGCCATAGCCTGCTCAACGACTTGAGTGAAGATGATTGGCAGAAACTTTGGTCCGATTTTGTGGCTGTGGCCCCCGATTTAGATGTACCACAGTGGAACTCGCTGCTAGAGGATGTGGATTTTACTCCCCACCTGCAATGATACTAGATTGAAATATCTGAGGTTTAAAAATAATCCCCATGCAGCCCTATTGGGGCGTCATTTGACTAAGCGTCTTAGAGTTCAGACTCTTCCCCAAACAAGGAGTGGACCTGAAAGAACCTTGGAAATCCTGTACAGTTCGGTTTGCGTCAGGGGCTTCTCAACTTTAGAGTGAATTTTCTTGCTTTCTCAGCCACTTCAGTTACACACCCCTGCACGAACACTTTGCCAGCTTGCTAGGAACCAGCCAAGAGTGAAGTCACTAGTTCATGGCTACCCAATCAAGCCCGTGGTGGCTGCAGCATGGCCTTGGCAGGTGGGGGTCCTAAGGGTGGTAGGGCTGGACCGTTGGCTATGATGCGCCACAGGTGACGACAAGGGATTTCTTAGCGGCCTCGTCGGGATCGTCACTTATCATGCGACTCCGTGCAGACCGAAAAATGCTTCCTAACTTAGCCATGAACCAGGTCATGGCGCCAAGCTTCTCTTTCCAGGCAACCGGCAAACCAAGGCATCGGATAGGACGGTTGAGAATGGAGCCGAGAAAGGAATCTGTGAGAGACGGGGAAGTGTAAAACCAAATCAATAATCCCATCGTATTGCTCGGGGACCGTGTAATGGAGAAGACTACTGTACATTGTGGGCTGTGAACCTTGGGATGATGATCATCCTAATTTAAAATTCAATAGAAAAAGGCAGGAAACCTTGCTTATCTCAACGTCAGCCACAGGCCGAGAAACTCCCAGCCAATGGGGACGCTTCAATGTGCCGGTGCGCCACATGTGGCATCAATGATGTAATAGAATAGAAGCTCGTCCGTTCCGTTTTCCAGTTTAAAAGAGCTCCGCATTCCCTTTTCCCCTTGGATTCTCTTCCTCTACTCAATTTTACGTGATCCTCACATCCCATCAACATGCCTTTCACTGCCTCGTAAGTTTGTCCTTGTTGACCCCCGAGCTACCTGTTCGCATGCTACACCCTCTCGGGTCCCTGGCTTCCCATGTCGCATGTCGCACGTCACTGTCAGCAAGTTGAAACTAACCCGAACCCAGTGACATCTGCAAGATCATCTTCGCCATCATCCTGCCCCCTCTGGGAGTCTTCCTGGAGCGCGGATGTGGTGCTGACTTCCTGATCAACATCCTACTGACTATTCTTGGTTGGTTGCCTGGTGTTATCCACGCCTTGTACGTCTTCACCTATTAGACTGGATAATTTCAGCGATTTTTGCGAACTAACGTTGTTCTCCCTTACAGCTACATCATATTCAAATATTAATCACGTTGAAATGACAACTCATGACGCTTTGCCTCGACCCATGCCTACCCGAGCCTGCAACCGGAATACAATTCGTTACGCTTGTGTCGCATTCCGCTAGCCATTCCTAGCTCTGCTGGAAATGCGCCGCAGTGGCTCAAGGGTCGAGTGCAGTCGTCAGCGTGATTCCGCAGAGGTCCGAGACTAGTCTGCATTCCCCACCGGGGCCGACACGATGTTCATAATTCCTTAATGTTGGTAGTGCCATGTGGGCACTGCCAAGGATTTTTGATTTTGATTTCCCTATGTGCGATTATTTTGCGGGTTTCCTTTATTTTCTTTGCTTTCAAATGATACCACCTCATCCTGTATGACCCGCGGGCTTGTGTCCTGGGGTTGGTTAGCTTTTTTCGATCGATGGAATGGCAATTGTTTGACTCCGATATGGTTCTGTTAACGTAGTTCGTAGAATCCACTCACACCGGTGATGATTTCCACATCCTTGGGTGTAGTGGGACGATTTTGTGTGAATACTAGAATATGCCGTTGGGCTTTGCGGACGCCGCGGATATACAGGGATTCTCACCAAGAACCTTGGATTATTAGGCAGTCGACTGATACGTGATCTACTAGGGTCCAGGAGTTAGGATCGACGTTCGTGACTTAATGGATTGATTACAAGTATCCTTCTAGAAGCCCTGGGATCCATCGACTCTTATTTACCAACCGCTTTAGTGAACGACCACAATTTCTAACCCAAGAACAGCAGAACAGCAGATCAGAGATCAGCGATCAGCGCCTGGATCGTTCTGAAACACACCTTCGGTACATTCACTGGGTGCTGCAAGGCAAGCGCTCACCTGTTGAAGCCCGGCGCGTAAAGTCAGCGGGCCCGCCACCCAACCAAGTCAGGGCGCTTCACGGCCATCACGATTCGCTCGTTGCGGGAAGACCAGGATCTAAGGCCGTCATCTTGTTTCAACAGAGCGCTTACATGCATTGCCACAATGCCTCGTTTCAGGTCCAGGTTGAACACGATTTGCTTGGTCCGGATAAGCTGGTCAGCGTCATAATGCCCGGAGTCGTCTCGCGCCTGAGATCGCGACGCGCCCGACCTTTTCATGTTTAACTATGTTCGTTACCCATCTTGGAGGCGTTTGGTGGCTTGTGTCGCTTCTATCCTTGATCGCCTTCTAACTAATTTCTCGTGACTCTCGAGTCTTTCGCATCGAACACAGCTGGGCTGATGATGGTCGATTCAAGGACTACACGCCTTCAAGGGTAGTCACTCCCATGTATTATCTGAACAGGTCAGTGTGAGACAGAAACGCAAGAGAGAGACTGTATCTTACAAGTTTCGACCACAGAGCCGTCACAGCATGCTCCTCCATCCTGGCTACAGGATACTCGCTGCGGCCCTCCTGCTAGTCGCGTTTTGTGCGGCCAGCAGCGATTCCTCCGATGAAACAAATGCCGCTCTTTGGGACATGGTCCCTGCTTGCGCTCGAAAATGCACAGAAAACTTCATTCAGACTGAGTACACGTCGGCGGAGTGCAGCGAGAAATCGAATATCAGGTGTTTGTGTCGTTCGAAAACACCTAGCAATCTTACCATTGGGGAAGCGGCTTTGACTTGTGTATATGCTTTGTGCTCGGAGAAGATTAAAAAAACCACAGATGTTTATCATATTTGCGACTCGGTGCCTGGGGCTTTGACGGAGACGCATGCCACCCTCACTGCAACTACTTTTGCTCCTGCGTCATCGACGACTACATCGTCAACGGCCGAAACGACGACCAGTTCAACTAGAACGACGCACGCCGCGGACACTACATCATTGGAGACATCCAAACCCACAACCTCGACTTTGACGACATCTGAGACAGCGGCCGAGATTACTTCTTACCACCCATCAACATCTGCTTCCGACATATTGCCCTATACCAGCTCTGATACATCTACTGCAACACCTACGAATTCGTCAACAACTGCGGCTGGTAAAAGTGGTAGCAATGGTACCAGTCCAGGCACTGTCATTGGAGTCTCTGTTGTATCGGGTGTGGCCGGCTGCTTCATAATAGGCGTTGCTGTATTCTTCTGCACGAAGAGATGGAGGAAGAAAAACCAGAGAGATTTCGAAATTGGAGGAGACATGTCCGAACCGTCCGATATCTCAGAGCCATTATATTCCCGAGGACCTTCACCGAATTTGAATCCAGGGCCTTCGGAGCTGAACGCTATGCGGAGTCCCCTGGAAATGTCCCAAGTCTCGCTGCCACCGCGTTCTTTGCAGTCAACTCCATATCCTCAGAACTCCACTGCACCGGGTATTCGTTTGGTAGAGACTCCTCGAGATGAACACAATCAGCGAATAGGCTGTGCAGTTACCTCTGAGTCAGATTGGGAAGGCTCACCCAGGACAGTGGACTCACAACATACCATGGCAGAGCTACTACCGAGTCCCTCCGTTGGTCTAGTTCCCAAGCCGCTAAAGCTGTGGCATCGGCCAGCTAGTGCAGGAACTGTTTTCGAAGAGGACGAAAACCACTTCATGGCAGAAAAGAGTCTACCCCCTCTACCCAGTACGAGGAGGTATCAGAATTCGAGACAATCACCCGTGATCTTGGGCCTTCCATCCAACCCTCGAGCTCCAAAAGAAGGATTTCCAGCATCGAAATTCCGACGTGTCCAGAATCAACATCCAAGCCCGATACAAACCAAATCACCCCGCGAGAGACCAGCGGGTCCCCGCGCTCTAGGACCACCATTCTCCGCCCAAAATCGCAGGTCAATCATCTCAAACAGCAGCAGTGGGCAAAATGATAGCTCTGGTCTATCAGACTACACATCAAACACTTACCTCACAACACCACCTTTCAGCACCGCACAAGGCCGCATCCTTAGCGGCACTCCCCAAAGGAAACCTCCCACCCAAGTCTCACCACCAAGCACCTTAGCCCCAGCACCAGACATTGTATCTATACCACGGATTGTTCGTGGAGAAGACATCAAGCGCATCCCACCCGGCGAACGCCCACCCAGCGAAGTCGTGGTCCCATACTGCCCTGAAGACTTCTGGCTTGAACGTGGGAGAGGCAACACGCCCTCGCGTACTGTCTCTACCGAACTCCCATATCCATCCGAAATGTTCCCGGGTGTAGTTCTTTATCCAGACAGCCCGAAGAAACGACCTGAGGATGCTCCTAGGAGGATATCGCCCACAAGCAGAAATTTGACTCCGTCTAAAAGAGGAGATGATCTGATTCTTAGAGTCGACTAGATTCCTATGTTCATATTTTTTTCTCCCGTTTTCGTGAATTTGGTTGCAGCGGGCTGCTTCGAATTTACTGTGTATATTAGGCATTATGCATCTGGGTAAATAGCGATTTTGACTGTGTATAAGATTTTGGAATTGTGACTTCTACGCAGGGGCTTTAAGTCTGCAGAAAATTTTAAAATTGACTTGTGATGTTGCAGATTATTCCAAGATTCATGAGAGCGCTGTTGTCGCCTTAAGTGTTGGAGGCCTAGATCGAAAGACAAGAGACTTAACACATAGAAGTCCAACTCTTATTCCTCTATCTTAAGATGCCTAGCCTTCCATACTAGCAGGGTATTCGAATTGGACAAGGTGCTGGGATGGGTTGGACCTAGTTTTTGTCGCTGTTTGGTCACGCACGTTTCAAGCAATTCTATTGCTTCAGCACTTCGGCCTGTTGATTCCCAGGTAAAGGCAAGGTTGACCATACTCGCCAGTGTGCTCGGATGGTCCTCACCGAGCTTTGTCTTACTTATCTCTATGACCTGCACCTGAAATCGTTCGGCTTCTTCCCATCGGCTTTGGTTCCAATATATCGACGCAAGGTTGGCCATGCATGCTAGCGCATTGGGATGGTCCGCGCCGAACCTCGTCTTATAAGCCTCCATGACCTGTATGTAGAGCTTCTCGGTCTCGTCCAATCGGCCTTGTTTATAGTATGTCGCCGCGAGATTGGCCGTAATTATCAGCGTGTCAGGATGGTCCGCGCCGTTCTTCAGCTTGCTCCCCTCCATGACCTGCAACTGGAGCTGCTCGGCCTCGTCCCATCGGTCCTGGTTCAAATATATCGTGGCAAGGTTTGTCATACTCGTTAACGTGTCAGGGTGGTCTGCGCCGAGCTTTTTCTTGCTTCTTCCTATGACCTGCAACCCAAGCTGCTCGGCTTCGTTCCATCGGCCCTGGCTTATATACGTCGTAGTTAAATTTGCCATACTTGTTATGGTACTAGGATGGTCTGTGCCGAGCTTTATTCTGTTTATCTCCATGACCTGCACCTGAAGCTGTTCGGCTTCTTCCCATCGGCCTTGATTCCAATATATCGACGCAAGATTGGCCATACTTGCTAGCGTATTAGGATGGTCCGCACCGAGCTTTATCTTGCTTATCTCCACGACTTGCTCCTGGAGCTGCTTGGCTTCATCCCATAGGCCCTGGTTCCAATATGTTGACGCAAGGTTGGCCATACTCTTTAGCGTGTCAGGATGGTCTATGCCGAGCTCTGCCTTGCGAGTCTCCATGATCTGCACCTGGAGCTGCTTGGCCTCGGCCCATCGGCCCTGGTTCCAATATGTCAAGGCAAGGTTAGCCATACTTATCAATGTCTCAGGATGATCCGCGCCGAAATCCACCTTGCGAGCCTCCACGACCTGCACCTGAAGTTGCTCGGCCTCTTCCCATCGACCTTCAAGTCGGTATGCTTCTGCTAACATCGCAGTGCTGGCAAGAGTGCTTTTATCTTCAGCACCGCAGGTCTTCTGTCGATATTCTCGTGATTTAGATGCCATTTCCCTCGATTCTGCGACATGCCCGCTTTCTTGCGCATACCACGCGCCTCTATATAGCAAAGTAGTCCATTGTTGTATAAAATCTTTAGACTTTGGGCGTTGTGATTCTGCTGACTTGATGTGTGGAAAGAGCGATCGACATTTCCCCCAATTCCTATATTCACCAGTCGGGAACTCCAAGTATAGATGGTTTATGAACTGCTCTTTCCACTGCTCAAGCTGGCCATGAACTTTCAACCATGTGCGTACTGTTACCTGCACTAGTCGATGCATTGTGAAAACGCTGGGGTCCTCCCCGATCGTGATTAATGAGTAGTGGCTTAGTGTGACAAGGTCATCATTAAAAGGATCATCTGCGTCAGATTCAGATGAGGTATCTTCATCATCACTGAGGTCTTCTCCCTGACTTCCTGAGTGTGAGGACTTCTTATCAACTTCCTGGCTTGCTTGAGGTCGCAGAAGACTTTCTTGTATCCCTTGTCGATCATAAAAGCTCATCAGAGAGAGCAGGTCTGTTGCAGACGGTTGAATCCGTTTGATGTAGTCGAAGGAAATTTGCCATGTGAGCAGGACAGAATTCTTGGCCTCCCAGTCTCGGTAAAGAAGACTAGCCTCGTAATCAAGGAGCCGTGCTGCTTTTTGGTCACTTTTTTGCACTTTTTCGAGATATTCAAGGACAGAGCAACGGGGCATATGATATGTGATATATGCAGCAGCCTGTACAATCGCGAGTGGCATGTAGTCAAGGGCCTTGACTAGCTGTGTCATACTGCCCTGCTCTGCGGATTTACCTAGCTTCCTCTGTAGTAGATTCAGCGCTTCACCCTCATTCATTGGTTGCACTTCGATAATGTCACTATGACGAACGATATCCAAAGCTACTGCTTTGTTTCGACTTGTCACAATGATAGATCCGTTTGAACTTTGGAAGAGGTATCTTAGTGGTGGTTGCGTAGAGTCATTGCTCTGAGTCCTGTTACGAAGGAGTTCATCGTCATCAACATTATCGAGGACGAGAACCCATTGACCGATTTCCTCATCTTGTAACCAGGTGCCGACTAGTTGGAATATATTAGCATTGTGGTCCTGCCGCCCAGGGATCTTGGCTCGATCCGCAAGCTCTCGGAGGCTTTTCTCGCAGCGAGCCAAGTTACTCGCATGGATCCAGAGAATCCATGTATCAGGTGACTGCTGTCGAAGCTGGTGGCAGTATTCGATCGCAAGTTGGGTTTTTCTACTTTATAGTAAGCGGTGGATGAACCACAGGGCTCGAGGACGAGTTGTTCTGACCCCACACCACCGAGTCCAACAAGAGCTTTTCTGGACCCTGGAATCAAGGCTTTCTGATGAATTTGATCAAACAGTATATCTCGACTGACAAAATCTGGATCGTGCGGGAGTGGCACAGTTGTTATGGGCTTAGGGCGGGGCTCCCGTTGCTCTGTAAAGGCTAATCGTCAAGACCGTTGACAAGCCCCTTTTAGAGATTAGGGAACTGACCCGCTGATAAAGTGATGCTCCCATGATTGACTCCCACTTGAATCCCTGAGTTTATGCCGTCAAACGATATGGGGCCCATTTTCAGCCTGGCATGTACCTGAATCCTGATGTTTGAGGTCTGGCACCGCAGAAAGATGCGGGGCCATGATGGACCCCTGTCAGCTTTATGATCAGGTGACCTCACAGGCACTAATTGTTACATGATTTGAGAGATGAGCTGCTCGGCTCACACGAGGTATGATTACCTCATCGACTTGATGGTCTAGTATGGTACAGTGTTAATGTGAGAATGTGTTATAGGCCATTCAAACCCCGATTGTGCCGCTACGGTAAGACACAAACGAGTGAAATATTCTAAGCATCCGCATTGTATCAGACTGTCTTTAGTTTACAAGCCAAGTGATATATACTAGATTGTATACAGCCTAGCTAGATATGGCCTTAGCAGTTTCATCACGGCCTTAGCATGTGGGTTTTGAAGAAGTTTCTCTGAGTAAAATGTGAAATCGACTTTCGAATACAGCTGTAGGTGCCAGCCTCACAGAACCTACGGTGACATAAAAGAAGCGCTGGAATCGGCAATAAACTGATTGGATTACATATTATTCTTCAAGCAGGCGTGAGAGATACCTTTGCCCCATTCCTCGAGCACAAGGTCAAGGCCACACATTCCTCCCATGCTCCTGTATCCCGACTTTCCAAGACTTTGAACTCCTGCGCCATGCGAGCAATAACGTAAGCAGCTTCAGTCAATGCGTATCGTTGACCTATACAGATGCGTGGGCCACCATTAAAGGGCAGGTATCCCCAGCGAGGTTGTAGTTTCCCATCTTCCCAGCGTTCTGGACGGAACTCTTCTGCGTCATCGCCGTAAATATCCGCGCGCCGATGCATTGCGTATACGCAGTAGCCTACTATCGTGCCCTTAGGGACGAAGACTGGGGAGAGACCATCCTTGCCTCCACCCAGTGGCAGTACAGTATCTCGAACTGCCTCTCGCTCATTTCGCGGTACAACCGGATGTAAACGCAGTGCTGTGAAATTAGTTCAATGGCGTATAAACCTGGGAATAGATGATTTTTGCTCACATTCATTCATACAGCAATGTACATATCTAAGACTGCGAAGCTCTTCATAAGTCGGCGGCCGACCCTGTAAGAAAGCGACTTCTAGACGCAACTTATCCCACATTGCTGGGTTTTTAGCAAGCATGAAGAACAAATTGCCAAGTAGACTAGCAGTGGTATCGCGTCCAGCTAGGAGGACATTCATCAGCTCATCTAGAATGCGGATTCTATCAGTAGTCCGTGACGCCAATTCTTGCGCAAATATATGCTTCTGGCGGTTTGTTTCGGTCTCCCCTTTTGTTTCCTTAACCTCGGCAGCACGGAATGCCTCATCGACAATCTGCTGAACAAACTCCCGGCAGATACGATTGGACTCATCGACCTTGGGATCCTTATGGAATACTTTCAGCGGACCCAGCATGGCTCGCGTGATAATAGCACTCTGAGCATATTGGAAAGCGTGTGAAAAGTCGCGCTCTGACTGAGCCTTCTTCAAAGTACCGACCGATTCTCCGAACAGGAACTCGGTTGCTGAATCGATGGTGTATCGGAAGAAGAGCTCCTGCAAGTCAACCGTCTGTCCATCCCGGGGAAGCAGTGCGAAAAGATCCTGGAACAAATTCTCCAGCGACGATAGGTCAGCGATCTGGTCACGCGTAAAGCTGGGTCGGATCAGGGCGCGCGATGCGGCCCAGTGGTCGCCATCAGTGTCGAAGATGCCCTTGCCCAGGAGTGCTTTGAATGGTTCAAGGCGAAAGCCGATACCGTAGTCATCGAATTTAAGAGACAGAATTGTTTTAATGTTCTCCGGTTCTATGGTGCCAATTGAATATTTATGGAGCTGTCTGGTTCTGAATGTGTTGCCGTAAGTCTGGAAGAGCTCCGTATTCCTGTCGAGCAATTTGTGTTCCTTGTAAGCGCGCTTAACCCAGAATATTGTATCAATTCCCAGAAATGGATCCTTGTTCGCTGCCTTTGCCACCCCTTTGCAGCCATGGGCGCGGACGATTCGGCGATAGACGAAAAACCTCCGAATGGACAAGCATGCGACAACTCCTAGTGCGAAAAGCACCAGCAAAAACTTCGGATTTAATACCGCGTAAATCATGGTGTCCTTGATTGGGACACAATTGCAAAAAAAAAAAAGGGGCGACATGGCGATGTAAAAGTGAAATTTGTTGAAGTCTGTAGTAATGGGGCCTGAAAGGATTGCATTGCGTCACATGTAAGCACTTGGAGACACTTTGACCCCTTGAACTCCCCATGTCCATACAGTGATACCGCACGCCTATTGATTGAAAACAGGGACAATTGCACGAAAACCTTTATTGTCTTTGGACATCTGCCTTATAAAGCTTGTTATAGGCAAAGTAGACCTACAAGCATGATCTAAGTCTCTACAGGACAGATCCAAGAGATAGCTGGGATAGAAGTTTTAATATTTAATGTTATTGTTCATAGTTCATATTGATCCAAATGAGGCGATGTGAATAGAAATATTGTGCCGGCAGTTGCAAATAATATGGCAGAAAATGGCATAGCAATCGTTAATTGGGAATCATGTTGACATAGACCGTCAATCGCACAGTCGTTGAATTAAATTGTGTCTTGGAAATAGGCACCAGCTCAGCTCAGCCAGGCAGTAGCCAAGGGTGGAGCACGACCTCAATTTCGCACTTCGCCTCCATTTACATCCGCCAAGCCGTCGGTATAACGGCCGCCATTGAGCATTTTCTGGTGCTCACGCTCAACGGCAAATTTGACGCCTTCGTAGACGTTCTCGCAAATCTTCTTGGGCGGGAAGCGGGGCTCGGTGCCGTCTTGGTAGACGCCGGTTTTTACGAGGATAGAAAACCATTCGTTCTCAGCGATCTCGTTGTATTCGTTGGTCCCACGCACATCGGATTCTGGAGTGTCACCGAAGAAGTAGACTGTAGAGGGAGGCTTGTCGATGCCATGAGACTCACTGCGCCATTCTTGTAATAGGCGAGTGGCGAATTGGAATGTGCCGATTTGTGGCTTGCCAAAGGCAATACTCTTAAGGTCCTTTCCACTGACGGCCTTGTAGAGAGCCTCGAGCGAGGCGCGAAGTGCGCCCATGCCAATGCGGCAGTAATCGTGGGATGTGGACCACACCACGTCGTTGTGGGAGAAAAAGACGGGGGGCCCGTCGTCGAAGGTCTCCGACCGTTGATTCAGACACCCGTTCTTTGACATAACGACATCCAAAATGATTTGTTGATCGCCGGCCCAGTCGCGACTGTCGGCGAACACGAAGACGGCGTCAATTTTAGTCTTGCTCAAATCGAGAAATCGCGAATTGTTGAATTCCTCCTCGGTCAACTTTCGGAAGGGGGTTGTGTCTTGTCGTGTCTTGATGATATCACCGGGTGTGATCACGTCCTTGAATCCGTATGCCTTTGCCACGATACGACATTTTTCTCCCTCGCCACCCACGACTAGGACTGTATTGTATCGCGCCGCCATCTCGCGCATGGGAGTATGGCCGCAGATAAATTGGCCAGGGCTTACCTCGATGCCGAGTTGGCGAGTGAGATCCTCACATCGTTCTTGCTCGGTTTTGCCACCACCATTTGTTAAGAAAATATATGGGCTACACGAGAATGGCATCAGTACATGGTCAAGATCAAAGGAGGTGTCGATTCAAGGGTACAGGATGAGACTCACACTTTAATTCCGTATGGATTTTCGCCATTGATGTATTTCATAGCATCTATAGCCTCAGGAATGGGGTTGCCACCCCTGAGAAGGACGCCATCAATATCGAAGGCTAAAGCAAAATCGTCGCTGGTGGTCATTGGCGGGGTAGAAAGGGGAGTGTCTGTCTGAAGATACTCTTCCTCCTCCTCAGAAATGTATTCCTCATTATTTTTAGTCTTTTTGACTAAAGGTATGAAGTCACCATCCCCACTGGGAGCCATCAGGTATTTGGGCGGAACGACGACATCAGGTCCACCGTAAAGGTCGGCCCGGTCGGCGTCTAGGCAAATTGGGGCCCTCTGAGAGCCGAACCCGGTACTGGTCGTCATTGTGGATTGCGAACGGCGCGCGGCGTGGAATAGTGGGTCTATGAGCGGGTCTGTAACTGCGAGATCGCTGGTACCCCAGACTTGGAAAGATTTTCCACACAAAGGTCGCCAAATGCAAGAGCCTCCGGGCAACAGTGTGGTGTGAGATATGCAGCCTGCAGGAGGAATGTACTGTAGGCTTGCGCAAATCTTGTCAAAGGAAGTTAGACAGATGGTACAAAGCGGGGGGGCCTTGGGCCCTTAATATACTCTTTGGCATCAGGAATCTGTGTTTCCTGAACGCCTGCGGACCCACCTGCTGGCTTGGACTCGCTCTTCGTCATCATTTGGTTTTGCCTTATCTTATTCCTGACTGGTCGTACGAACGGAAGAGTCTAAAGTATCCAGAGATAATGACGGCTGTTCCTATGGATCCACACCCGCTTGCCCTTGGTGTCGGTATGAACCAACTCAGGCCCTATTCAGAGACGCTGATTGACTCGTACGAATGGTAACGAATGCCAACGTCCTCAATTGACAAAGTGGAGTTCGTCTAGGCCCATCCGCCAGTTGTGACTGGGTGGTTAAGCACGCGGGAAGGAATTCATGGTTACTGTAGGGTCATGGTAAGTTTACACACTGGAGACGATGGCATTTCCTGTTTTTATCGTCATCCAATCATGTATAGCCTACACGACCGTGTTTCTGTAAAACAATCGGAACCAACCATCCGGAGTACACCACTCCCTCTAATCAAGCTTGAATTGGCGTGGCGTGAATGAGAAAAGCCATCAGGACTTGGTTCTTCCCGACAAATCACCGTATCTTCCATTTGACTAACCGTTCTTTGACCCCTTACTATCCTGGAAAGGTATCCCGGGGGCTTCATGCCCAGGTGCTATTCCAAGGTTGGTTCAGGAACGTGATCGAATCATATTGCATCACCGCGGGGTTGGAATTGGTGACGTCATGCTACTAAGTCTCGAGCGCTGACTCATCAGTATAATCCGATTGGAGGCTTGTACACCAATCGCATTGAACTTTGTCTGAAGGCCATGCCGCAACCGGGACATGCCGAGAATCCAGTTTTGTGGTAGAACAGTGGCAGCTGGAAAACATGTGGCGCCATATTGATTGTGGCCGCGCAACCGAGCACTTTTCAACTCTCATTCAGCTTCCAAAAGTGACTGTGATTTGGACCTCGAGCCTAGTTGTGCACTCGACATGACGAACATGGCTTTTGGACATGATTCTGATTCTGATTCTGATGGTAGCTGCTCCCAATCATCCGCGGGCACAACTGCGGATCTAAGCGCGGCATACTTTCGTCCTTCGTACATTGGATGCAAGGTGTCACGCCGTATGTGCCGTGGGCCCAAGCGCAGTCATGCGTGGTAGATCCGGGGCAACACGTCAAGTGAGAAATGCACACGCAGCTAGATAAACCGAAATCCTTACCTGAGACCTCAGAAGTCACAAACTTAGGTGGTGAATATCTCTTGAGACTCAGATTCTGGTTGAGAGTCGATGACTGAATGTGATTGTCTGGATTCACATGGATAGAGTCAACTCGAAATATGTCTGCCTTCGACCATGTCGGATTGCGTAGTGTGTGCCCAATTTAGTCGAATGGTGCGTGAACGCGTGAACGCGTGAACAAAGCTTATGGGACTATGGTGCCTGAGGTGTTCAATCGGGCTGCCCTCTCATTTTACCGGTGTCTGTTTCACCTTTGATACTCTCCTTTCCACCATTAACATGCCTTGTTCGCTTCTTCCACAGTCGAATACCAGCGAGCATGTGAACAGAAATGGCGTATTAGGCATTGACAAAACATTGTGCCCTGTGAGACCTGATAGCGAGCCTTGCGACCTATAAGATTTCTGGCGCGAAAGCCCCATGCGGTGAATTTGCTGGAAGACCAGCTATCCTCAGAGCTGTGGGGCATGAATGGCATGACACCACGTCCAAGCAAGAAATTTTCGGGACAAATGCAAGACCCCGAGTCGTCACTTTGTTGGAGGAACCCGTCTACTACTAATGTACGCAGTAGTAATAAGTGAAATGGTCTCACCTCCACCCGGTGCCGGGAAGCCAAATTCTGCGATTTCATTTCCCCTGAATCTCAATTGTGATGTCAACATGCACAAGAGCATATCAAGTGGATTATATTAGGTACACGAAATGCAATACCCCCACGGATCCCCAGATGGAGAACCTTCCCCAGGCCCAAGTCTGGTGTTAAGCCTTGCGGGCAAAGGTTAGGTTGGTTACGAGCCTGCGCCCCGCTAATTACCCCAATGACCTTCGGCCAGATGAATGAATCAAAGAATGTATGAATCCCCACTACGTTGCCAAGTGGCAAGTAGTCGTACTCCACAATTTCTCTTTCCGGGACCGAGTTTGGACACGGGCGCCGAGCGAGGGAGAATTCTCGGGATGATTACGTTTTCCACCGAAAGCTCGAGGAACCCTAGAAACCCTAATGGAAAAGTGGGGCAACTCAGTTTTAGGACTTCGTTCATGTTTCAACGCCATATGCGGTGACGGTCCACTTTTTAACGATCGTTCAGAATTTTTTTTACGTGATTACCCCTCTACTCAAGGTACAATGAGTCTTAGGTTCCCCATATTCGACCTGGGCTGCATTTCCCCGCCTCCATGATACAATAGGCGGATGAGTTTACCAATATCTAATTGCTGGTTCGATCATACGAGTGGAGGCGAGGCTTCCAAGCCAAGAAATATTGGAGATCTAGTGGGCCGGACTCTGTCCGAGATTTCCCGTTTATAAGCGTTGGTTCCTGAGCGAAAATTGTTGGCCCTAATTGTTTTGGAGATTCGCCCACCTTTCTGATTTCTCTTCTTCACGTTCCTCATCGCCATGGATCACGACGAGATCTCTCACGGCCAGCATGGCCACGCCGAAAATGACGCTCGTCAGGAGAACCGCGAAACGAATCGTGATGAAGAAGAAAAAATGCAACCCACCGCGCCATTCGAGGAGAGAGATATTAAAGTTGGATACATGAATGAGGCGGACAGACATATTTATGAGAGTGGTATTCAAAAGTTCAGTCGTCTGGGCTGGAAGCGTCTCACTGTCGTTCTTATTGTTGAAGCTATTGCACTGGGAAGCTTGTCTATTCCTTCCACTTTCGCTACTCTGGGCATGGTTGCCGGTGTGATCTGCACGGTGGGCCTCGGATTGGTCGCAATTTATACCAGTTGGATTATTGGAAAGGTCAAATTGGCCTTCCCTGAGGTTGCTCATTATGCCGACGTTGGTCGATTAATGGGTGCACGTCTAGGATGCCCTCGATTTGGTTTCGAATTAATTAATCTGATGCTGGCTATTCAATTGCTTTTCCTGACTGGATCTCACTGTCTAACTGGAACAATCGCTTTCCTCAATATCACAAAGAGTGACGTATGCTCAGTGGTATTTGGTGTCGTCTCTGCGATTATTTTGCTCCTGCTCGCCGTTCCTCCTAGCTTCACCGAAATGGCCGTGTTAGGTTATATCGACTTTGCCTCCATTATCATCGCGATTGGTATTACAATTATCGCAACTGGCGTGGATGCAAGCAATGCTCCCGGTGGACTTTCAGCTGTGAACTGGTCTGCCTGGCCAAAGGAAGGCATCACATTCGCGGAAGCCTTCGTCTCGGTGACAAATATTATCTTCGCCTACAGCTTTGCCCTCTGCCAATTCTCCTTTATGGACGAGATGCACACACCAAGAGACTATGTTAAGTCTATCTGGGCCTTGGGTATTATCGAAATCGTGATTTATACCCTCACCGGTTCTCTGATCTATGCTTTCGTCGGACAGGACGTTCAGAGCCCTGCCCTCCTTTCAGCTGGTTCCCTTCTGAAGCGCGTCGCGTTCGGTATTGCGCTGCCAGTCATCTTTATCAGTGGTTCAATCAACACGGTCGTCTTCGGTCGTCTTGTGCATGGCCGCATTTTCGCCAACTCCCAGATTCGCTTTATCAACACGAAGATGGGCTGGATCACCTGGCTGGCCGTTATTGCTGCTGGCACTGTTATTGCGTTTATTATTGCTGAAGTGATTCCCTTCTTCAATGACCTGCTCTCGATTTCATCGTCGCTCTTCATTTCTGGTTTCACATTCTACTTCCCGCCAATGATGTGGGCCTTGCTCCTCAAGAAGGGTAGCTGGAGGGAGCCCAAGAATATCATCTTTGGAGTGATCAATCTGATCGTCTTCCTTATTGGAATCGTTACTCTAGTCGCAGGAACCTATGCCAGCATTGACGATATTGTAAGTGCCATCCAGGCTGTCCTTGATCTGAAGTGTTTTCGAATGAGACTAATTTGACTATAGATCAACAAGTACAATGCTGGCACTGTGCATGGTGTTTTCACCTGTGGCTCACCCGAGTAAGCAGTTATATTTTGTGATTTCTCTGTTTGTTTGACACAGCGAATGCCTGAAGCATTTTGGATGCATGAATGAGAAGCCCAGAATATCCTGGGCGAGGACTTTAGCGATGACTTTTCCCCTTGGCTGCTTAGCGATAGACTTCGAGTTACGATAGAGAAGAATTCAAAGCAACGGAGATTTGTATTCCAATGCATCAATATGATTGAAAAAATGTTCGAGTACCTTTGATTTTTCAAGATCACGCCCTTTCCTCACTTAAATCATGATACAAATTTTGTTTTTCAAATGCCAGAGTCTTAATGTCAGGCTAGCGGCGATTGGTTCAAAAGTGAGAGCCATGCACCTGCTGCTTCATCTTTTTCACATTAAGATCCTTCCAGAAGAAACATGACGTCCAAGTAATCAGATAAAGGCAGGTAGCAGTAATGAGCATTAACCTTTGAGTATCTCCATACGCATGATCAATAGCGTCGCGAACTACCGAGCCCCTCGCGTAGGACTTTTGAACAAGCAATGAGCCATATATTTGAGAAAATTCGGCTTGAGCTGACTGCGGAAGACGCTCCTTCAGCCTAACTGGAAAGATTCCAGTCCACATGGCGGTAGCAATAGTACCACCAAGAGCACCACCGATGTTGGCAACTACACCCTCAATGGCCAAGATAGCAGGGATGTTTCTCTGGGCAGACACAGCCATGACTGTCATCTGCTCACAGGTGACAAGGGTGCCGCCACCGAAAGCAACGAAGATTTGACACATCACTATGAAGCCAATGTCGGTATCGGGTTGCCGGAACTTGATCATCAGGCCAACACCCAGAATAGTCAGAGGAACTCCGAAGCAAATAGCCCACCACTTCAAATGGCCATTGTACCGAAGAATAGCCCCCAGAATAAGGCACCAGAAGCAGGACCCTATGGTATAGATGTTGGCGATGTAAGTTGCTTGCGTGACGGACTGGTCGAGCATAATTTGCAGGAGGGACGAGAAGTAGTTGTCCCAGATATACCAGGCGAGGTACAGAGAAACCACCATGGAGAAAGTGAAGAACACTGTTCGATTTTGGATCAGCTCCCACGGCATGAACTTTACTGGGGCAAAGTACTTCTCCCAGATGGTGAAGGCGACAATCAAAGAGAACCCAATCACAATGAAACAGATGATCATAGGGGAGTGCCATTCTCCCGCCTGGTAAGAATACAAATTGAAGGCCAGCAAAAAAAGTGAAAATCCAGTAGCGATGATAAGCAGGCCAATAACGTCGAACTCAACACAATAATAGATGAACCACTGCCAAGGAGATCGTCCACTGCTCGTCTTCTCTGTGAAGTTCATCTTTTCGGCTCTTTTCTGGATGTAGTACCAGAGACACCAGAGCGGCGTACTGACCACAGGCATGACGATGGCAAAGACACCAAAGCCCCATCGATACCCGATGCCACCCGGAGCCAAGATTCGGTCAGCAGCGTAACCATAAATCCAAGGGGTAATAAGATACGGAGAAGCGGCATATGCAATCCAGAATGCACGATTCCTCAGAGCCGTAGTATCGGCAATAAAGATTGTCATGGAAAAGTCTATCATGCTGAAACCAGTTTGGTAGAACACCTGAGCAGCACAATACGTCTGAACATTTTTGCAGGCAGCCATCATGACAAGCCCGAGTGTCAACAATGCAACGCCAATTCCAAAGGCTTGAGGTCGACCCCAGATATCCATAACTTTGGCATAAGGAAATTTGATCATGGCGGACACTAATGAAGCGATCACGGTGGTGAGACCTGTCAAGGCATGCATCTCGAAACCGCTGTAAATGTATGGTGAAAGTACGCCGAGGAGTCCGGAGCTGAAGTAGTCTAGGAAATTGACAACCCAAATGCTTCAAGCGAATTAGCTACAGTACTCATTGTGATGTGAATAACAAAGGAAACTTACAGGATATAGGCCACAATCAATGTCTTTTTTGTCCAAGCTTGTGTACTTGCCTGGGCTTTCTGGGTACCAGATTGAGCCTTTTCGTCAATAATTCCCTCTACTGCCAAGGAATGATCTATCTCGTTCAAAACATCCAAAGGGCGCTTGGAATCAGCTGGAGTCTCAATGCCATCGTCCGCATGCGCCCTGGGCTCAAAGAGATTGATGAAGCGGTTTCTGATCGTCATGCTGTCAAGTCAATTCATTCATATGCCCACTACGTCCAAGAAGAGAGTTCGAAATGAATCTAGGAGGGTCATGCTTATATTTCAATAATCAGAGCCTTGTGGCGGCCAGAGCGAAAATTCTACCTCCAATTTCCACCATAATAAACTGAGCAATGCATATGTTAGACAGGATCCACTTAACACATTATTGCTAGTCCTCTTTCAGGTGACCAGTGGTGACGATCTTTGATATCCCACATTTGATAGGGCAAAAGCGGAGGCCAAGAAGTTGCTAAGGAAGCTGCCAAGGAGAATTCCAAGACCAAAAGACCTAGTGCTGACTTGAAAGCCGGTTTGGCCCACCTGAGGGGGGTTATCTGATCGATTTGCTGATTTTGGTTGGTTCTGTGTGCGGTTTCGGCCCCTTGGCCAAAGTTTAAATCTTCAAAGTCCCCAATCTCCTGACTATCTGATCCTCTGCTGGTGACTTGTTGAATTTTGGTTCAGCTTTTTCTAAGCGGGCTGGCGGGATAAAGGGATCATTCATCATGTCATCGTCCAGACGTATCGAGTAATACAAGGAAGGTCGACATGAGAGCCGATGCCTGTCACCAAGCATACCCCGACGTCCAAGTGGTCAATACCGTTGAGAGGTCAGGTGACGCTCTCCTTGTTCCTGAATTCAGTGCTTTGCCTCTTGCTTCACTTACCTCTCCTCTTCCATCCACCAATCCAATTGTTTTCTGTTCGTCCCGTTCATTCTTGCCCACCATCAGTTGGTGTGCTTCTTCCTTTTCTTTGCCTCTTGCGAGTCTCTCTGTGCGAGTCTCTCTGATCTTTCTTCAGCACTTGCACTGAAGAATACATTAGCTCACCAAGATAAATTATGTAGTGAAAGAATTTGAAGGGAAGCTTATCTGCCCTTGTCAATGAAGATGATTACAACTAAATATCAGATTATGTAAGTATATAGTTCAGCCATGCTTCCCCACCGACCTCGGGAGATGTGAATATCAGATGCGCTCAACTTCTCTCCCTCAGCCTCCCAATTGGAAGCCTCATTTCAAGCTCAGATTCACAGCCCAGAATGCCCGAACATAAGACCTTAACTTCAACTCGGGCTTCTTCACCTTCTTCCGGGCAGTCACCTTCTCATCCGTAGCCTTCTCACCCGTGGCCTCATCTATTGCCTTCTCATCTATTTCAGAGCTATCCGTCACAGAACCAGTTTCCTCTCTCTCTGGTAACGGCAGGAAGTCTAATGTTGGTGCCCCAAGGTGAGTAATACTAACAATATCCGCAAAAATGCCTCCAAGGTGAGGTGAGAGATACAGCGCAACGAGCTTGAGTGGCCAGTTTGCGAGCGCTTCTAGCCTCGTGAACATAGCACCTCCGTCGCAAACAGTTTTTACTCTTGGTCTTAGGCTAGTTCCCCAGTGTGCGAGGGACCGACTGATATCAGCTGACGTTATGTCACTATCTTTCTGGGCCAATTTCACTATGTGGTTTGCGAGCGAGGCGGCATCTTCAATGGCTAGTGCTGCGCCTTGACCGATGTTTGGCGTCGTCTATTACGATCAGCACGAGATGCTAAAAAAATATCATGGGGGACAAACCTTGTGGACCGCATCTCCCAAACAAGCAAATCTACCCCAGCTCCACCATTTGCAAACTCCTTCCTGCAGCGGCACAAATGAAGAACTTGTGGCATTTTCATAGACCGACTCAAACTTGACACCAGGGCAAAGATGAGTATCCAAGAAAGATTTGGCTTTGGCATCTAGGTCTTCTTTTGAGAACTTCGGAATGCCAAGATATTGATACTTTCTGTCCATCTTGGTGAAGATAAACCAAAAGACCTGGTTCTCTTTCCCAACATTCACAAACGTGGTAAAATTCTTCCCCCAGGTCCGATGAATTTCTCCTGGTTTCAGACCCTCTGTTGGGCGGGATATTCCCAAAATACACGCATACTCAGCAGTGATAGCTGTTCATCGCATTAGGCTGTGTCTTGACGTGATTCAAAAAGAAGAAGAAAAGTAAAAAAGAGTCGCGTCGCATACCTTTCCGATCTTTCTTCGCCTTGGACTTTCCCTTTTTGCTTTGCTCCATGTGTCTCCACATCTCCCCTCGAATGGTACTGTGAACTCCATCGGCACCAGCAATCATACTGCCAGCATATTCACTACCATCCTCACAGTGCACAACAACACCGTCTTCTGAGTGATCAACCGTCTTGACCTTTTTGTTCACAAGCACTTTACTTTTGTTCGGAATACTCTCGTACAAGATCCTTAGCAGTTGCTCGCGTGGTAACCAAGCGACAGGATAATAATGCCTACAATACTATCAGCACCTGTCCATGTAGTACCAAACATAGTATATTCAAGTAAATACCGTTCTCTCATCACCGCTGGCGTATCCATTTCCCCTAATAACCGCCCATCCTTCAAATAAGTGTACACATCACCTGCTGGCTCAAGGTGTGGGTTGATGTCGTCATAGATACCCATTTGATCGAGAATCCTCTGTCCATTGCTAACAATAGTCAACGCGCCACCGATGGAAGCATCGATCCGGCCGTGGCTTTCCAATACGATGAAATCGACGTTCGCGCGCGCGAGGGCATTGGCGAGTGTGAGTCCGGCGATTGATCCACCGGCGATGAGCACCTTGAACTGGGGTGTCTTCTCCGAGTCCATCCTAAGCTGATTGACAGGGATGCCAAGCGGTAGTTTGCCAATGGAAATTAAGCAATATGGCTCAGCTTCAAACCGCAACTCTGTTATTGGTGTCGGCTCTTATACAGACCCGGGGACTCCTATCTAAGATGTCCCTACTTTTTACGGAGTCTCCGAGAAAGCAAAATTTCACCGGGATTTCATATGATCCGAGTCACCGGCTCAGCTTTCCACTCAGCTGGTGGAAGGAGTGCCACCTGGGAAACAATCCACCCCACTGAAAAGGTGGACTAGTAATTTGTATTGCGGTAAGGATTGTGCAGACACGTCCTGATTATTCTAAGTTGCGGCACGAATTGCGTACCTTGGTACACTAGTTGTGGGTATTTGTGGAGTTTAGTACATGCGGGTCTTGCCGGTAAACTTCACTCATTGGCCGAAGCCAAGTTACAAGCCGATACCGTGGCCGCTTGTCCGCCGTATAGCAACCGTATTGAATTTGACTTTCAGGCTGATTCCAGGGCGGAGCAATCAATAGACTCCAAATAGTCATGCAAGGATACGGCGTGGGAGTCTGTTTTTTGGTGGCTGGCAGAATAGGCTTTTAGGGCTCCAGCATGTACGAGCAACGCCGAGGCGGGAATGTATTTTGATAAGATGCATCCCTGTTTTCAATGTGTCACAAACGTTACAGACATGGTGCATCCTGGTCCACGGGTGGCTTGATGCCTTATCTAGCATGCTAGGGAAAAAAAAAGAAAGAAAAAGCTAGATCAATTTGAGTTACGTCTGATACCTACTTGTGTTGTTGCTGTCCCTGGCCTCCCCAACTACCATCTACGTAGGTAACAAGATACACATAAATTGGAATACCAATAGTGAAAGCGGATTGATAGCAACATAAAAAAACCTTGCAAGGAATGTGAATTATGAGTTAACATCTTTGAACAGGTAAAAGAACGACCTCTAACACCAGACCCGGTACCAATAAAATCAATTTCGCCAACATGTTAATCACCAACGCTTAGGCGGCTGTATAGTGTTGATCAACATCTTGATCATCTGTTGTAGCGCAGGGCTGGCCTTCCCTGTAGCCACTTCCAGGGCCAAGAGCGCATCCCATGTATCTTTACCCAAGGTCTGCAACATGTTCCATGTACTCTCAAATGCGCCGGAGCGATCAATCACTTGCAACATGAAAACCTTCGCACTCTTAGGTAATGGGTTGACACCAGGATCTCGCTTTTCGCGGAAGATACCAAGAATGATATCCTTCGCAGCGGGATCAGCGTTGCAGCACACAATAACAGGATAAGAGATCTTGCCCTCATCAAGGTCCTCGCAGAATCCCTTCTGCTCTGAGTATGTGTCGTCCTGCAGGTTTTGGTAGTCGTCGCGAACCTGGTAAAAACGTCCGAGAAGGACCACCAATCGGTCGAATAAAGGCATGAAATTGTCCATTTGACGCTGGTCGGACATGCTGTGCATCAAATGAATGATCAACTTGAGCATCGCTCCTGTCTTTCCATCAACCATCGCCATGTATTCTCCCACAGACGGGCAATGCAGTTGGGCTTTCCATTTCAAGTCCCAGCTTTGACCGATAGATAGTTCGATTGTTCCATTCACCAGAGCGTTCATGGCCGCTGGGTCCGTAAGCTTAAGTTGTCCTAGCCTTGCGCAGTTGTTGAAGGCCATGTAAAGGGCACTGTTGATAGCCTGTGCATTTCCGTAGACACAGTGTGCGGCTGGGCTTCCTCGGCGGAGGACGGTGTCATCTTGGATGTCGTCCAGGATCAAAGAGGCATTGTGGAGGTCTGAGATGATGTCGACAACGGTGGTGGTGTAAATTTCAGACAGCTGGAACCACAAGTTACAGGCTTGAATGACCGTTGCACGGACGTTCTTGGAGGGGAGCGACCGGATGTACTCGCATGGTGCGAGGACTGCCGAATCATCCAAAAGAATCTCATCGTATTTTGGGCTGGGGGAGTGATCATTTCGAAGAATGTCACTAGAAGATGAGTCTCCGACTGCTGTTTTTTCTTCTGAAGGACGCTGGATTGGTTCGACTGGCGATGAAGCTCCACTGCGAGAGACTAGCTTTGAGATGGTTGTGATTTGCGATTTGGTCTGACTGGATTTCTTGCGGAATAATCTCTTCTCGCTTAGGGCGGAAGGCATTTTCATGATGGAGATGAACTTTAATGAAAGTTCAACACGATTCGTATCAATTAAGTAGAATGGAGAATTTGAAGGGAGAGAAGGATAGTCTGAGGTAGCAATGATTTTGCCAACCTTTTAGAGTATTTAAAGCTCCTACATTAGCTGGGCTGCATTATGTACTCCGTGTATCTTCACCAATTAACTTCAATACACACCGCATACCAGGTGTACTGTACTCCGTAATGGGTTTCTCCTGGGCGTTTACGATGTAAATACAGGAACGAACTTGGCAGCTGCAAGTACTCGTTCACCAAATATATTACAAGTCCACTATATATCTAAGTGGAGGTGAAAATTCAGCCCTGCTCCATGCTAATTTCTATTTCACGAAGCCTGTCCATGGTCAATCCCAAGATCTTAGCGTGATTCATAGACGAACCCCGAGAGCCACCCGAGCGTACCGCTACGTACCGTTCAATACCAAGAACGACTAGGATCGGCACCAAGGACCCACTAAACGCCATAAACTATCAAAGAAAGCTTAGCCCCAATATGCAATGCACTCAGCTCAGCCATCGATAGGTCCAAAGTAAGAAAAAACAATGCGACCCATCTCAAAATTTCCCCCTTTATCCGCAACCACGAATCTCCGCGTATGGAATCTTTCTCCCCCGATCATCTCGAAGCCCCAAATCTGTTCCCATGACAATCAGCTTGCGGCATAACCTGGCCCCACGACGGCATGGAGTGACTTACCTGCTCCACAGTCCATGCTCCATCTTCTCGATAATCGAAGGTGTGGATCCAGAGACCTGCATCCTCAGCTTCACCACCCTCCACCAGGAATCCACTCCCGTCAGATCCTTCGGGTGCAATTTCTCCCCTCAGCATCTGACCAATCACAGGGTCATCAATTCCTGTCTTTAGGACAAAGTCGGGCACCACCCGGCCATCAACCCCCCTTTTACCGGTGACGAAGTGGTTCCGAGATTGACGGGCTCCAAATACAAAATCCTTTAGCGGGCTCATTTCGTCCCAATCCAGTAGACGCAACTCAGAGATCCCTCCTATCCCGGCTGTGGGGACCTGAAAGACCGAAAGATTCGACTTTTGTGGAGCATATTGCGACTCAGTATCGGGACAGCTGGCTGAGATGGATATGTGGAGAGTTGGCACTGCTAGACTAGCAGCTTTGCGCAGTGCCCAGCCAACTCCTTGCTAAATGGTATTAACGTTTAGTATACCGAGTAGGCGCTTCCAAATATTGCAAGGGCGCTACACATACAAGCTTCAATGCAGGCCCTGGAGGGGGCGAGACCTTTTTGTCCTGGAAATGGTGTTAGTTCTTCCACAGTGCATTTGGGGACGTGATAGGTTGAAACATACAACCGCCCATACGCCCGTTAATGAGCCGCTGCCGATGGTAATTGCCGAAGGGGTAGCCATGATAAATTCCGACTTTCCGATTTTCTGCAAAGTAAAGGGATGGAAACAATATGCTAATAGCAAGGCGCGAAGCAATTTAACCTCTTACACCGCCATCAATTTCAGAAAGGAAAAGGTTTCAATTATTGAAAGTGGGTCTGCATTGGAGCGTCGTCTGAGACACTTGAGGAGAGGTCAGTTCGCTCAGGCTTTGGGTTCATGTGGGCTCATCCCAATGCTCGGTAGCGAGACGCTAGTTCGTTGACAGCGCACTTATCGATCTGTCCATCTTACGTAGTAATGCAGATCATTTAATCGTCCGATCTTGTACTACTCTGTATGTGGTACGGTAAGGCTGTTGGATCCACCACAGGGTCCGCAGCGCCACTAATCAGGTGGATCACACGGCAGGGAACAGACAATATCCATTGTGGAGTGCTCGTGGTAATGCTGTACGTCCCATCATAAGGATCGAACATCAAAATTCTCAACAAGGTATATGACAGTATGGTTCAGTTGCGGGTACAAAGACGGTCAGCTGAACTCAATGCGACTATTGCATGCTTGTTACTAGTACAGGCCCCTGGTCCCGCTTCGATCCGTAGTATGTTGATAGCTAAAGATCATATTTGTGCTTCCCTTCCATGGATCCAAGAAGCTGATAGGCGCGTGGATAGTACTGAGAGGAGAATATTACGCAAGTAAATGGTCAAAGATTAGCGCTGAATTGCTGTATCAATGTAATATGGGTCGTGAAAAAGTGAGCTGAGATTAAGAGCCATGCAAGGAACGCAGGTAACGCATTACTCACTCTTCACCGGAAGGTGAGAAGCTGCCCAGGTCTCAAACAATTTTGTAGAGTCCTCTAAAACATCGTATCCAAGAATTTGCCTCTGCCGGAACGAGGATAGCCAGGTCCAATCAGACTTGCGAGTAACCCCAGCATATCCCAGAAGGAGGTCTCGTATCCGCCTGATAAGACCATCTTGCATATGGAATAGCTTGCGATTCATAATCGCTCCTTGGACGCTTCGAGACGTACGCTTCTTGCGAATCTGCTCGTAGAGCTCTAGCACAGAGATAATATTCTTCTGAGTTGACTCATTTGTTGATAATGATGGATCCCTTTCAAGCTTGGTGCAGTGGGCGTGTAAAAGACCAAGAAGCTTGCCAATGAGGGCTCCATCTTCGACTGCCATTGCTGCTCCCTGGGCTTGGTACGGCAGGGTTGGATGGCAAGCATCCCCAAGGAGGGTGACAGCGCCCTAAATGACATATTAGTGACAAGAAGTTCGTGAGACAGACTGAAAGCCAAGGCCAACCTTTGTCCATAATGGTAGCTCTGGTAGATTTGACAATTTCCACTTATCAACGGACGGCACACATGAAATGATCTTCTGAAGTCTATACAGAGTTAGTCGCGGTCCTTCGCTAGGTGTCGTTTGACTTACGTCTCATCCCAGTCTGCGTAACTCTCTCGCATCTCATAAATATCACCTGTCTCTCGATGAGAAGCCTGACTGAAAGTATCGGGTCGAAGGAGAACAAGATTAAGCTCTTCGCCACCACGAACAGGATAAAATATTGTGTGCTTGTCTGGCCCTAACCAGCTTGTCACACCAACTCTTTGACATAGCTGCGTGACTTTATCATCATTGAGGGCTTCCAGCTGTTCTCGTTTGAATACCGCTCGATAAGCTAGGTCACCAGTCTCAACTAAAGAGACAGTGTCACCAAGAAGAATATTTCTAATGGTAGAACCGATTCCTAGTTCAGATTAGCAAAGAAACACAGGCTTAAGAGGATTGTAAACATACCATCTGCTCCGATCACAACATCTCCAGACACTCTTTCACCTCCGGCGAGGATAACCTCCGGCCCGTCAATAAGGATATGCTCAACAGCAGCACCCCATTGAAATTTGACTCCAAGCCGAATTGCCTCTTGAAGAAGAACTTGGTGGTAATCAGCTCTATGGATGATTCTAGATAAAATTTTATAAGCACGCGACATCAAAAGTAAGCTTTGAAAAACATACAACCACGGCACACCAAATTCGTGTGTTATGTCATCACCAAAAGGCATAATCCGTAGCGAATGGCCATCGTCATAACGGCGGAACTCCACCTCTTGGACCTGAGACCCCCTTTCGAGCAATTGGGGGAGAACTCCCAATTCCCGCATGATGCGGCCGCCATTAGGAGGAATCTGAATACCCGCCCCAACCTCGCGAGCTTCGGGTGATTTTTCGAGTACAACCACGTCAATTCCCTCGCGACAACATGCGATAGCGCAGGTCAGGCCTCCTAGACCAGCCCCCACAATGACAACTCTCATATTTGCTGTAATATACACTATTCCTTCGTATTCTGTAATTGTCAAGGGAGGGTATTTAAGCGGGTTGGATTGGGCTTGGCGATCAACAAAGGGGAATGTGTCAGCACACGTTTTTCCGATCCCAGGACCACCTTACCTAAATGGAAAGATCTTCAAGATCCTTAACCTCCAATCAGGATCAGTCTATCGAAATATATTAAATAATTACTAGTTGTAATTTATGGTGGTGCTCAAGTGGAGCCATGTGGTGTTTTTATCTAGGCGGGTCTGCTTCTCCCGTGTCCACTAAGGGAGAAAAGGCGTTCTATTGAAAAAGTGTCTGAAACCTGTCTCCGTAGATGACAATACCTTCCCGTCTTAAACAAAAGTTTTTATGTATCTATCTTCAGTGGGCCCAGATTGATTCCTTGGTGCAGGGTTTTTGGGACCCAAGCTCAGTAGAGAATGTTTCCTTTTCGGTCTATGCATAGGGCGTGTCTGATACAGCTGACAATTGGACCTTACTTCAATATATAGGTCCTACAATTGACCGCTGTAAGCCCGTGTGCTAATCACTTTGATTTATCTTTTCCTTGCGGCCGACTTGAAACAATTCTTCTTTGCACTCTATACCAGCATCAATGGAGAAACCTCAATCCAAGCCTACCGCATACCAGCGGCCCACAAGCGGAATTTTCCCTTTCCTCCCAGAATCATGGGTTCCATACGCTGAACTCATGCGCCTTGATCGACTAGGCGGCTTCATCACCTTCTTTCTTCCCTGCATCTTCGGTCTCGCCTACGCAACCGCAATTGCTACCGTCCAACCTTCTCTCCTCCTCCTCGTGGACCGCAGCATCACCATATTTCTCTGTTGTGTGCTCGCTCGTGGATCATCATGTGCCTGGAACGATAGTGTAGATCGTGACTTCGACCAGAAAGTTGAGCGATGTAGTGTGCGGCCAATTGCTCGCGGGGCCGTAACACGCTCGCAGGCAAATACCTGGGCTATTGTGCAATTTGCCATGATGGTGATTCTGGCCGCCCGCGCGCCCGTCGCAGTATTCAAATACCTGGTAGCGATCCTGCCACTCGGAATGATGTACCCCTTCGCAAAGCGCTACACCAACTACCCCCAGGCCGTACTGGGAACGACATTTGGCGTGGGATCTCTGATGTCCGCCCGATCAGTACATGTCTTCCCTATGGATCCGGAATTTCTCGCCCCATCTATGTGTGTTGTTTTTGTCAATACGCTTTGGAGCATGATCTATGATACCATCTACGCGCATCAGGATGTGGCTGACGATATCCACGTTGGCGTGAAGGGCATGGCTGTTAAATACCAGAATTGCACCAAGCTTGCTTGCTCTGTCATGTCCGTTCCAATGCTTGGGTTGCTCACTGCTATCGGTGTTCTGACTGAGCTTGGTCCGCTTTACTATGTTTTTGCCATTGGTGGTGGAGGTATCAGTCTGGCTGTTACTATTTCGTTCGTCAATCTCAAGGATGAGAAGAACTGCGCGTGGTGGTTTAGTCACGGATACACAATGTTTGGAATGAGTATCCTTGCGGGGTTCTTGGCGGACTCGCTGTCAAAGACTGTGCCTGCCTCTGATTTCATGGACATGTCCCACAACTCGAGCTGGATCCACACCGAGCTGTGAGTTTGGTCGCTTGAATTCAAAGAATAGAACTTGCGCATTAGCTGTGTCATTCTAGATACGAGCGGCCTGGTCTGCATGCAAATGCGACAGGAAATATGAGGGAAAATTGACGTATGTATGTAGTCAAATACCTATGATGCCAAGTTGGTGGTGAAAGTGCAAACCAGCTTGCGATTGAAAGAACGATTGGTCATAGCGCCACAGTCTCTCCTTGCATAATTAATATGAACATACACAAATTCACGAATGATCTCCAAAAATTAAGATTCCCTGAATTCGAGCTGATGATTCAAAGGCGCATATAGCGGTATACAGGAAAACAAAAACTCTTATGGCGATGGCATGTAGTCTTCGTATCGTTAAGCTTTCCCCCTTTTTTTTTTTTTTTTTTTTTTTTGACGTACCGCATTAACCTAAATTCACGGTGAAGGATAACGACCCGAAGAATTGTTGATCATCGATAGTTCATATGCAAGTTGCAGGAGTGGGGTCCATGATGGGTCAATCTCTCAGCTGAGAGATTTCCGAGGCTACGGGCCGATCCACTCAGCTGAAGCTCATTCCGGCTCGGCTAAGTCACTACAGTGGTATCGCCCGAATCATGCCGAGTTTTATGGAGAAATTGGATTGAGAATGTGTATGGCGTATTTTATGGTAAGTTTTCAAGAAATCTATGCAGTATATTGTGGATGCGATCGACATTGCAGTAGTCCCTACCTAATTTGTGGGTTTGCAGAAAATTACCGACATCGTATGAACAGCAAGGTGCATTACGTGTGATGTCTTTGATTTTCAGCTATGATCGTCATGGCTAGCAGAAATTGCAATGATATCCACTTTTGAAGGCAATGTGGATAAAAGGAGCAAGCAAGCCTTCACCCGCCTCGACGTCAGGGTTATGTGAGATATTGGCGAAGGCCTGAATTGATTTTTTCAACCTCAGGTCATTATCCTTCGAGTCCTTTTGGTTGCCTTGACTGTTTCTTTTCCCTTGGCCCTCCGATTACAGCCGGCGCAATGACGCAGGATAGCCCAACGCAGATCGACGAAAGCTTCAAGGGCAATGAAGCTGCAGAGGCGTGTAGACCTGATATCGAAGAGCCAGAATGGAAGGCGAGCAAAGAGGTTTTTCAAGTCCTCTTCTGTCTGTCCATTATCGGTACAATGGCATCATTGGATATGACCATCTTCCTGCCTATTCTCCCTGTCAGTTCTTGATACATCCTCCTTATCTAAGTCAGGCCTGACCCGTGGACACAGCTTATCGCCAAGGATCTAGATGGTGATGCTACCAGCACGCTGTGGGTGGGTAGTGCATATTTGGTCCCCTGTGCAGGATTCCAACCTATATGGGCCTCCCTTTCCGACATATACGGTCGAAGGCAAACACTCGTTGCGTCGCTAGGCCTTTTTGTAATTGGATCTGTCGTTGGATGCGTCGCTCACAACATGGCTACCCTTCTGGCGGGTCGTGCGATCCAGGGCGTAGGGGGCGGTGGTCTCATTCCATTAGCGATGATTATAATCACCGATCTGGTCCCATTGCGTCAACGCCCCAAGTACGCTGCCATCGTTCAGGTGTCCATGGCACTGGGAACCATCCTCGGACCTTTGATCGGTGGCTGTTTTGAGGAATATACCAGCAGCTCCACGGGATGGCGCTGGGTTTTCTATATCAACTTCCCCCTCTCTGTCCTAGCGGGTGTGATGCTGTTTACCTCGGTTCGGTTCCAAAAAGGCGGGGTACAGCTTCGCTCAATTGATTGGATCGGCCAGGTCTTGTTCATTGCAAGTATATCAATCTTTTTGATCGGCCTCTCCTGGGGCGGAGTGCAGTACTCGTGGGGAAGCTACCAGACTTTGGTTCCACTATGCCTCGGTGTGGTTGGCATCATCGCAACGGGACTTTGGGAGTTCCTAGGAACTAGCCATCCTTTCATCAGACTTTCCATCCTCACGGATCGATCTTCCTTGGCTGTGTATGCTGCTGCTATTGTCCAAGGCACTATAGTGAGATATGCCCATCCTTTGTGTTCGAGCCTCAACAAATCGATCACTCACTAACTTCAATCCCAGATGTACGGGTGCCTGTACTATGTCTCTCTGTGGCTAGAAGCTATTAAATTCGAGTCCGGCGTCATGACTGGAGTCGGCCTTTTGCCCATTTCCATTGCCCTCATGCCTACAAGTATAGTGATCGCCTTCGTCATCTCTAAAACTGGTCGGTATCGCTGGGCCCTCTGGTTCGGATGGGTGACTACCATCGCAGCCACTGGCGTAACCATCATCCTACACAAACACACCAGCACAGTCTCCTGGATCTTCATCTTCGCCTTTGTAGGCTTTGGTCACGGAGTGTTGTTCAACGCGCTGTTGGTCGCCGCACAGGCTTGTGCACCAGCCAAGGATGTGGCATACGCCGCTTCAATGTACACTTTTTTCCGAACGCTGGGTTTTGCTATCGGTGTTATCATTGGCTCGACAGTGCTCCAGAATTTTATGGCTACAAAACTGAGCGAATTGGGTCTTCCTACTGCCATCGCCCACAATGCGGAAGGTTATATCAGCACACTTAAAACCCTGTCCCCTGGTTCTGCTTTACGCGAAGGTGTTTTGGACGCCTATGTGTATGGCTTGGACTCCATCTTTGAGGTCATGACGGGCATTGGGGCTCTTGGCCTTTTGGCCACACCGCTTGTTGCTGGTCGTACGATGAATAAAGCTTTGGAGACCGATCATATTTTGCATGAGTCGAAGGGTGACATGAACTAATGTGCATGGTTAATGTGGGGTTATGGTTCCAACATTATGCTATGGGGTAATCTTTAATTGAGACACAGAGTCAACTTATACCCCTACATTCAACTTCATTAACATAGATAGCAGAAGATTGGACTGTAACAACCCATGTTAACATCCCCTCGAAACACCATGTCAGCCTTAATTGCTTGTCTTACCACTCTTTTTGTAGGAATTCCGGTTCGAAGACAACCAAGTCTGCCCAGCTGGGAGATTGAACAGCCAAATAGACGCAAATAATGACACGCATGAATAGCCAGCTCCGATATTTTGGAATTTTATTATGGGCATAAATTGGAAGCGGTAAAGTTAAAGCAGAGAGCCAATCTACAGTCCGCCTTACGTTTTGAAATATGGTTCTATTGTTCTGTGCTATTCCGGGGGAGAGTTAGATGAAAAACCTTTTCAGCCTAAACCCCTGGATGTACATTCCATCAGCTCCAATCTGATCTGACTGGTATCTTTAATTAGCGTGTCCGAGCTTTCCTCATACTGGGTCTCAAGCCCAAGAACAGCATTCAAGGCGTCGAAAAAGCCCAAGGGGTCATCTCATGTTCTGGAAGCTATCATCGTAGTTCAAGTACTCACAGGGGCATGGAGGATTTTGGGTATGGAAGGCACTTTGAGATGGACTATTAGATCTTTGAAAGTCTAGTCTCCAATGCAAGGGTTAGCCCAGAATACCCCAAATCTCCAAATAAGATACCCTAGCCCCTGCCTTTGTGATATCACAAGCCTGGGAAAATATAGACCTACGGATATCTCGGAATGATGTAATTACTCAGACGATACTTCAACCGAAACACTCATATTCAGATGAAGTGTGCAAGACTAGCCTTGTGCTAATGACTTTCCAGCCATACAGAAGTTCCCTTTTATCCGATGCGGGGTTCTGGAATAGACAGATTAGGTGAAGCCGGAAAAGGTCCGGGCTGACATCCTGGTAGAACTAGGTTGGATCTGGAAGGCGCAGGGAAGTCCACATGTGCATGGCGGGGAGCCAATCCGGGGTAATAATCCGGGGTGGGGAGGATGTCGAATTAGAGTTAGCCTAAAGGGGGATTTTGGCCGTAAGTGTGTGTAATATGACCTACTTTGAATTTGGAGATTTCCCCGAGTCCTAGACATTATTAGGTGTTTACATGTATTTTTCCACCGTTTCGGTAATGTCTGTCTGAGCTCCATTCTAAGCAGGATGTTGGTTCAGATTGTGGTGCCAGTCATTGACCCTAGATAGAAAATTGCAAGACCAGAATCATTGGCATGAGTTGTCTTCTGGAAATAGTAGATAAATGACAAAACTGGAATTGCCAAAGAGGCTGTTGCATCTATTCTTCCACTCACTGGTGCCTGACAATTCGGGCATTAATCTCCGCCCTTCCATTGACATGCCCCACACAGTGCGGGAGCAACTCCCGGCTCTCATTCCTCCTGAAAAGCGAATATCAGATGGCAGAGTCTGTCAAATATTCCAGTTGACAAGATGGTATGTAAAAATCTAGCAACTTTTGCAATCAAAGCAGCTAAATGCATCCAGGCTATCCCTACAGAAGCAGTATACCTGCACGACGCCTCTCTGCGAACTTTGACAACAGAGATTGTGTCATATCAACCCATCTCATCACTCCCAGAAGATGAGCAAGAGCTAGCGAAAAACATCGGCTCAGATGAATCTGCAATGACAACGCGCCAAACAATCCTGTACCCACAAGGAGGCGGGCAGCTCAGCGACACTGGCACCATCGAAGTCGCAAACCAAGAGCCTAGCTTTGCAGTGTCCCTGGTCCGTAAGACATCAGATGGAACAATCATTCATTTCGGAAAACCCAGCAACGGCGATTCGTCGGCTTTTTCAAAAGGTCAAAGTGTTGTGCAGAGGGTTGACGGTGCCAAACGAGATTATCATTCCCAATTGCATACGGCCGGCCACATCATCGGCGTGGCAATGGAAATTCTCATGCCGCATATGAAGGAGGTCAAGGCTAACCATACACCTAAAGAGGCGGGTATGGAATATGAGGGATTGCTGTATAATGAACATAAGCCGGTGATTCAGGCGAAGATCGATGAATTGGTTCAGCAGGATCTGCCTGTTATTATTTCGTGGTTGGATGCCGGTACGGTTGTTGATGACCGTGCTAAACCGGGTGATGGTCCTGTGCGGATGGTCAGTATTGGTGGGCTTGATCAGAGCCCCTGTGGTGGTACTCATGTTGAGCGAACTAGTTTGGTTGGTTCGATCAGTATCCGGAAGATCACTAGGAAGAGTGGAATCAGTCGGATTTCATATGAGGTCAAATAGAAGCTGATCAGATGGCCTAGCCTACATATGAAAAATGATCCCCCGCCTGACAAGAACACGAAAGTGCAATCCTTTCAACTTCTTTTTCTTTTCACTTGATTCGTACTGTGTATACCATTGAATAGTTCTTATTCCAGATGTCACCGCGTTGTGCTAACTGGACGAGCTGACAGGACAGAAGAGCCAACGAAAAATATTGAGGCCCGGTATCCGTGTCGAGTCGTATAAAGGAGGAGGGCCGAGAAAAAAGTCGGCGATGGCGGATCACTGTAAGGAGGACGAAGAAGAAAGGAAGAGGATGAGCAGAAGAAAATTATGGTGTTCTTCCAGTCTGGGTGAAATAACTGGAAGATACGAATGACTGAAATGGGAATGATGTGATTATAGAGATGTGATATGAAGAGATGGCATGATTTGACTGTGATAGATAACGATTAACTACCCAAATCCGAGACTAATCACACCCAGTTTCTAAATTCGGTGCCCTATGCTTCAACTCCATGATACAATTTGAGCATTCCACGAGCAGCGTGTTCTCCAAGGGCATCCAGACTACCCATCCCCATCATCTCGAGCACACTAATGTCGAACCCGAAGGTCAATTTCCACCACTGCCTCACTTCGATGGCCACAAGAGAATCGATTCCAAGATCAGGCAGGGAGCACGACGTCTGCAGATCTTCTTCTGGTTTTAACAAAAAGTTGAAAACCTTCTTTCCGATCTGAACGGCGAGAAAGTGGGCACAGTCGGGCTGGTCAAGTAAGGCTTGGTCAGCCTTGGCCGCAGCTAGGAAAGATTGAAGGCTTTCACTGGAGGAGGAGCCGGATGAATTGGAACTGCCAGCCTCTTCAGAATTGTTGAAGACCGCCATACGGAGATCTTTCTTCCAAGGAGCACGGCTTCCACTCCCTGATGATGCACTCGCGCGAGATCCAAGACAGAAACTAGGTTGTGACTTCAATTGTACAGCTGCCTCAATCGCTTCAAGGAGCTCTCGTCCAGAGACATCCCAATCTCCGGCGTTGGAAGCCATGATTTTCTGCATAAGTGAATCGTGCTCAGTGAGATACCCCACATCGTTGACGGCACCTATCTGGATCGAGGAAGCTGGTAGCCCCAGGCCCAAACGGTACTGAGAGAAGGCGTCCAAAAAGCTATTAGCACCAGCATAATTTGCTTGGCCAGGCTGTCCAAACAGGCCGGAAATTGAGCTGAAAAGAATGAAGAAGTCAAGATCCGCGGACAATGAAGCATTGTGAAGGTTCCAGGTTCCTTTGATCTTTGGATCAATAGCCGTATTCCACTCGTTCATGGTCATGCGTGGGAAGCTTTGGTCAGCTAGGACCATTGACATCTGTAATATACCCTTGAGCCCTTGAGCTTGTGCGATGGCCCTAGAAACGTCCTCAAGCCTGTCAACACTACCCTGGACAAAGCTGGCGCGGCAGCCCATGCTGGAAAGTTCTTGGGCAAATTCCAAGTGTTTCTTTGAACCCGCGCTCCGAGACAGATACACGAGGTGACGGGCCCCATTTTCTACCATCCAAGTGGAGATAAAGCGTCCTAAGCCTCCGAGTCCACCAACAAGCAGATATGCACCAGAGCTATCGAATTGCATAATCTTCTTTCGAGGCTGAACATCCTTCCCAATACTAGTCTGACCGGTCTTGTCGCGCATTGACACAACAATTTTGCCTAAGTGGACACCTTGTTGCATATATCGGAATGCGTCAAGAATGGTATCAGATGTAAAAACCTTAATAGGCCGAATAGGATTGATATGGCGTTGTCGGAGCAAATCGACGATGTTCTTAAGCAGCCTTGATCATAGGTTAGCAAGTATATATCACATCACAGCTCCATTTCTGATACTTACTCCTTTGCCATCTTTTCTCTAGTGAAACAGATTTGATCCAGGTCAACGCAGCAGTAGCTACGGTTCTCTAGAAAAGTACTCATATCAAGCTTACCAGATCCTACCAAGTCTCGCTTGCCAATCTCGACCATCTTACCAAAAGGTGCAATGCACTGCCACGTGGCATGCAGCAGCTCGCCAGATAGGGAATTTAAGGCCAAATCCACACCTTCACCGTTGGTCTCCCGCATCACATCCTCAACGAATGAGGTGTTACGAGAGTTGAAGATTCTGTTCCTGGGAAGCCCGAACGTTTCCATGAGATATTTGACCTTCTCCTCGTTGCCTACCGTCGTATATATCTCGGCGCCAGCCATCTGAGAAAGCTGTATAGCAGAAATACCAATCCCACCACAAGCACTATGAATCAGAACAGACTAAAAAGTGGTTAGAACCTAGCTCAAGAGTACATATAGTGGAAAATTAACAAACCTGTCCTTTTTTCAGATTTCCAACATTGAATAATGAGTGGATCGATGTCGCGAACACGCAAGGCATGGCAGCGGCATCTTCGAAGCTCAATCCGTCTGGAATAACTTCACAAAGATTCTCGGATATGACAACCCGTGTGGCAAAGGCACCTCGTGAAATAAACATGACGCGATCGCCAGCCTTCATGTTAGAGTTTGGACCGGCACGGAGGACAATGCCAGCGCCTTCAAGGCCGAATCCATCTCCAGATGATTCAAGGATTCCCATAGCACACAAAACATCCTACGTATAGATCATCGGTGTTAGCAGTGATTCATTATCTTCAAGGTGACGCCCAGGCGCTTTAACATACCTTGAAATTCAAACCAGCAGCATATGTCTCAATTTCCAGGTCGTTTTCCTTGAGAACTTGAGACTCCTGGTGAGCCCATTCCAAAGCGCTCAGGCGACCAGGCTTACTGGTGCGGAGAGCGATCTTGTCATTTGGAACTGATAACAGTAGTTCGTCCTGGAACGAGAAGGAATGAAATCGCCCAACGTGGACCGTATCTTTGACAATGGCGTATTCAAACTCAGGCTTGGATATTTCATCTTCCTGGCGAGCCTGAAATTTCTCAAACACATCAATAATTCTTCCTATGGAGGAATCGTTGATCTTGTCAACCTCGCAGGTAGCGAAATCGACTAGCAACTCAGAGCGAATTGTCCTGGCAATACCGGTTATCTGGCCAAATCTGGGATCCTGGCATTGGATTTGCGAGAGGCCGGTGACCCAGAGAATGCCACAATTTTTCAGGTTGTCCACCAATGTTTTGAAGAATTCAAACCGCTTATCATCCATATCTCCTAAGAAAGGGCCTTCCTCATCAGAATCAAGTAAGGCAATAACATCTTGACCAACTGGCATAGACAAAGGCGTATCCTGGACTCCACGGCGTTCAATGGCATATCCCCGTTCCTCCAGACTCGCAGTCATACAAATTAAGGCTTTTGAGTCTAGGTCGGACAAAGTTAAGAGCGTGACACGCTTTGTGGGGTTGCTCTCGACCATCGGTTTAGCCGCAATCATGGTATTTAGCTGATGTGGCTCCGCAGAATCGGGAACCATAGCATTGGGTTGAAATCCAGCAGCCTCGAGCTCTCTCTTCCAGCGCTCAGTACTAACGTATGGCTCGTTTGCTCGGTTGTCAGATTGACCGGCCCACCAGCCAGGTAGAACTCCCCAGACATAGTTAGGCCATTTACAGGTTGGGGTCAATTCATGGAGCAGCAGCCAGCCGTTTGGGTCTAGCAGCTGCCGAATATTGCTCAGGCTCTCATGGAGAGACTTCGTGGCATGAATGACGTTTGTAGCCAGGATCAGATCGTACTTACGGCCATCAAAACCTTGTGTAGATGGATCCTTGCTGATATCTAAGGCAACATATTCCATATTTGATTGTGTTTGGAATCGCTCTTTGGCCGTGACGAAGAATCCAGGCGAGACATCAGTGAAGGTGTAATTGGAGTAGAGTGTTTTGTTTCCAGGTGTTAACATCTTCAGAATTTCGGCTGTAGATCCACCTGTTCCGGCACCAATCTCAAGGACCCGCAGATTGGGCTTAGTGTGAGTTAGAGATTTGAAGAACAGTGATTCGTCACATTGTTCCATGGATATATAGACATTGGTCAAAGTATCATCTGAAAGGAGAAGGTCCAGTGCCTCTATTTCACCTGTGAAAATCTTTTCAACGTTATTAAAGATTTTCTGCATGGCCAACATGCAAGCATAATCGGTCGCTTCTTGGGGTGTGCTTTGGATAATGCCTTGCACTCGCTGCTCGATGACAGCGTTATCCAGACTCTCGAGACCTTGGAGATCAGTAGATTGAAGGTGGCGCTCAATCCAAGATCTATAGTTATGCATGTGGTCAATTGAAGTATCCAAGCCCGCAATCACCCGTCTTGTGTAGATCATACACAAATGAGTAAGCTCTTTCATTATAGGCATAGTTCCACTGCGGTCAATAAGTGGCTTTATAAGATCGCTGGCATTCAAAAATCCAATATGAGGACCCCATTCTGCACGACAGGTGGTGTCACCAACCTCACTGGGATCTTGCTGTTCATCCAGAACGGACAATCTGATTCCAGAGCTGTGTAGTACAGTCTTACCGTGAGCAGTGACGCATTTTCCGCCTCCAATGACGGAGCCGTTTGGAGTGTAGCTTGCGGAAGCCCGGACTTGAACATTCTCATGGCAGCGGTATATGCACATTTCTGCAATATTGGTGGGGACCATAGTCTTCGCCGTCACATAGCCTTTAGACACAGCAACACTGAGCAACTGCAGTGACGCATCTATAACAGTCGGATGCATATAGTGATATTCCTCGCTGTCAGTGTCTTTGAAGGCCACATCTGATACCGCATTCTGCGTAGTAGTGTCGGTCTGGATCATGTCAAGACTTTGGAATTCAGGGCCAAAGTTGAGACCGGACTTGGCCATTGACTTGTAGTAATGGCGGGTGTTAATTTTGCGCACGAAAGAAATGCTCTTCTCTGCATTTTTGGCTTCTTCACTATGTAAACTAGCCTCGCCGGAGCAGTGCTTAGTCCATCCGGATCCGTTGTGAGAAGCAATTACGAATTCCCACCATTCACTTTCCAAAGAGTTCGTCAAGGGAATCCGGCGTAGTGAAGTCGTTATTTCGACTGGCTGGCCTTCATTTAGCACAAGGCCGGTGCTTACGATGACCTTCCGTAGCTTGAAAGCTTCGTTGGTTCCGGTGATCTGATCTCCAGTGATCTGACGCACGGCCTCACCAATCATCCCCGCATATCCAGCAAATGGGAAGACGATATCCGTGCCTACCTTGTGGTCACGAATCCATGGTGCATTGTCTAAGTGGAAAATGTTTCGGAATAGAACATTGTTGTCGAGACTCTCCACAACCCGAGTTCCCAAAAGGCTATGATGCTTATGCTCGCGGTGCCTCCACTCCTTGCTTAGCCTAGATTCATACCAGAACCTTTTTGAGTGGTCCCATGGGTATCTGGGAAGGTCTGGCAAGGTTTTGCCGTTGGGAATGACTCTCTTCAAGTCAAGCGGGCAATTAAGCACATACAACGTTCCAATCGCTGCCAAAAATGATTCCAAATCATTCTGGTTTCGGATGAATGCTGACACATACGGAGAAGAAGGGTCAGAAAACTGGCTTTGGATTTCTCTCAGTGGACCTGAGAGTGCTGAGTGAGGTCCGACCTCAAGGAACACCATACTCTTCGAAATCTCGTGATGCAAAATTGACGAAACTGCGGAGTTGAAGAGCACCGGGGATTCCAAGTTCTTCTGCCAGTACTTGGGACCTAGGCTTGAGCCTTGGGTAAGAATCTTATTCTCCACACTGCTGAAGAACAATTTTGTTGGGTTTTTGGCTGAAACTCTGCCCTCAATCAGGGAGTAATACTCGTCGCCTATATCCGTCATGTGGTGGGAATGATAGGCTTTGTCAACCTTCAGTACTCTTGCTAGGATGTCTGGATGGGCCTCCTTGATCCTGGTAACCACAGTTTCAACCGCCTCGGAGTCACCTGATATAGTAACACTCCTCGGTGAATTCTCACAGGCAATGACTACACCTACCCCAGGCTGCAAATATTTCTGCACATCTTCAGATCTCATGCCAATAGCCGCCATGGCTCCGGACTTTGTCTGCAGCTTCGTGACCTGCCCACGGTAAAAAGCAATTTCGATGGCCTCGTTCGCTGTAATCGCGCCAGCGGCGTATGCAGCAGCCACCTCGCCACTAGAGTGACCAACAACAGCTGCAGGCTCCACTCCAACAGAGGCGAAGGTGTTGACTAGAGCTATTTGAATTGCCGTGCAGAGAGGCTGAGATAACTCAGCTGAACTGAGTTTGCTAGCATCAGGTAGCCTCTGAAGCTCTTCTTCGATGCACCATTCATGCTTGAAGTCCGATTCCGGAGCATGCTTAAGTGTCCGCAAATGTTTATCTAGCGATTGGATGCTCTTTTTGAACGCGGGATACGCGCTACTTTGGAGCAGACACTGGCCCATCTGCGGCCATTGAGCACCTTGGCCGGTAAAAACCATAACGATACTAGGTGTCCCATCGACTCTTGAAGTTGAGGGTGCTGAGGCTGTGACAGTAGCAAGGAGACTTGCCACGGCAAACGCTCGATGAGGCAAATGCTGTCTTCTATTTGCTAGGGTGAACGCTAGATCACAGACTCTGCCTGGATTTTTCAAAGCGTAGGATTTGTACGCTTCGGTCATTTTGCTTAGTGATTCAGCGCTGTTGGCGGAGTAGACCAGCAGTTGTGGCGACGTGAGAGTTCTCTTCGGGGTGGGGGATATCCCAAAACTTTTAGCCGAGTCCAGGATGACATGTGCGTTGGTGCCAGTGATACCAAAGCTGTTCACGCTAACACGTTCGCTCCGGGATTTAGGCCATGGCATTGGCTCTGTTGGAACCGAGAGCCCAACATTCCATGGAATATCAGGATTGGGCTTGTTGAATTTGATATTTGGCGGGATGGTAGAATTCTCCAGGGCAAGTACCGATTTGATCAAGGATGTGAGACCCGAAGCTCCTTCGGAGTGACCAAGATTGGGTTTGACAGAGCCAATATGGATCTCACCAGGACCAAAAACACGACCTACAGCCCTAGTCTCTATGGGGTCACCAACTGCTGTCCCTGTACCGTGACATTCGACGAAACCAGTTTGGGTAGGATCCGTTATTCCTGCCACCTCGTAGGCATGCCTGATCATAGCCTCGTGAGCAATTTCATTGGGAAAGTGAATACCAGAGCCAGAACCTCTCCCGTCGTTGTTAGACGCAGTTGCTCGAATGACAGCTCGTACTGGATTACCATCCCTGATGGCGTCGGCTAGGGGTTTTATAAAGACAGCAGATACAGCTTCTCCTCGTGCGTACCCATTGGCGTCAGCGGAAAACGACTTGCAAGAGCCGTCAGGTGATAATACACCTTGCTCCGTCATGGCAATAGTCATCTCTGGGCTTAATATCAAGTTGGCTCCGCCAACAATAGCTCCCTCACAGTCGCCTCTATTGATTGCCAGACATGCTTCATGCAAGGCAACCATAGATGAGGAACAAGCAGTGCGGACTACCATGCTGTTTTCTCGAAGTCAGTGACCAAAAAGAAAGTGGCAGGTGAACACTGGCTAACTAACCTTGGCCCGATCAAATCCATCTCGTATGAGACACGATTCGCTAGTACGAAATCTCCGTATCCTGTCACTCGATATAAGCCGTATTGTTGGCTCTCTTTGGAAAATATGCCGCTCCAATCTTCACCAAAGCTACCCACATAACAGCCAATTGGTCGTCCTTTCCAGTTGGTTTCACCGGCATCCTCCATGCACTCTCTGGCAACTTCCAGCATTTGCCGTTGGTGCGGATCCGCCCGCTCAATTTCTACCTTATTCATGGAGAAAAATGACGTGTCGATGGAAGCTGGATCGACATCGAGGAAGTATCCATACTCAGTTTTGACAGTACCTGGCTTTGCCGTCTTGGAGTGGTATGCAGAAGCATTATATCTTGATTTAGGTATAGGGATGCGGGCGTCACCCTTGGCGATCAAGAATTCCCATAGCTGTTGTGGTGAATGCAGGCCTCCGGGTAGACGTACTGCCATACCACAGATGGCAATCGGATCCGGGGGTGCAATCTTTGGCATATGATTTCCATTGACAGAAACCCCCTGGTCACTGACCTCGGCAGGTGTATTGGCCTGATATTTCTCAGTCAAGTTTTTGCACTCATCGATTGTGCGGGTTTCGATATCAGAACCCCCCATAGCTGAGGCGGACTCAGCCGAATCTTGAGTGGCAACCTTCAGGGTCATTGAAGTGGTTATGTGGTGTGGAGGCTTCTTAAAATAGACTTGGTTGAATAGAGTACTGAGTGGGAACGGAGAACGTTTAAATATCACAAATTCAGCAAAATGTAGAATTATAAGCACAGTAATTCAACACGCCCCACTTCGGGGCTGTTGTCGTATATGCAGGTCAGATTGACACATATGCGGGGTCAGGCCTCCTATCACGTCCCTAGTTCATGAACAGCAAGGCTGCGAGCCTTGTTAGGCACATGGTAGAGTATGCATACCAGGCTGTGAAACAAATTGACACGTAATAGAATTTCTTATCAACGGTACTCTAGTCTGGGGAACACTGCATTACAAAAACAAAGTTCACCGAGGATGACCAATAGACTTGGCACCTGTAGATGCCTGGAAAATCAACCGTACCCAATTTCCAGGGTAAGGGTTCAAATCCTCATTCCAAATAGCATCAAAATTATCGTCATAGTGCATACAAGCAGTCATGCATAATACCAAGATGCAGAGATAGTGGTTATGCGTTTGCTTTATGCGCGTTCCAAGCTTTGAGTATCACACCAATGACCAAACAGTAGCTATTCGGTATGGGTTTACTTGGAATAGAACAGGTACACGACCCGCAGATTGCTGTTTACAGACGTTCAGAGCCAGCAGTGGCTCTTCAGGGTGGTTTGGGCGGTAGAAATCCTTAGCAGGCGATTGAAGACGCGAAGATAGACGTCGCCAGGAATGAAGGTCAAATGAATAGTAAGTTGCGCAGTGTACAGACACGCTTGAGTCGAGATATATTGATTTCAAATATGTGCCATCTCGCTCGTGAACTGTGGTGAGGTTGATCTTTGATTGGCCTCAGGCAAGATCGACGTGTGGGTCAGTGTGACCATCTGCATCGGCTAGATGAGTGATCGAAGTGGTGAGCTCAATTGTCAATATCTCAATTGAATCATATTTCCCGGTTTTGAGCTCGATCTCAAGATGGAGTTAGTTGCTCAGTGTAGGAAAGTGTTGAGTGATCCGTCGTTGGCCAGGATCTTATGTAATAGACATGGAATGTGTAAGTTAATCTATTATTTGGTATACAGGTTGCTAGTGCCTAAAGACTCTCAAAAAAAAAAAAAAAAAAAAAAAAACCAGAATGTTGTGACTCTATTGTTTCCTTCCCGAAATGATGCCGCGTACCACAGAATTATACCATGAAACCATTGTCAAGCCAGTGTTTCATGACCAGTTTGCCCTCGTTAAAACTGTCCTTTTGAATTCGAACAATGATAGCTGCATGAGAGTGTCGGTGTTTATGAATATAAACAGGGTATTTCCGGAATCCCACGTCATTCAAAGAATCAATCATGTCGAATTGGTCGGGTGTGAGAGCGAGCTTGGGGGACTTGGGTACATCGTGGCCAATAGGTGGGGACTGGCAAACTGCCGATGAATCTGAGTCGAATTCAATCGGCTTTGAACCCCTTCCGGTGGTCTTCTCAAGGGAGTCAGACGCTTCAACATCAGATCCCGAGAGATAGGCAGGCTCTTGTCGAGCACTGGCATTCTCGAGGACTTCGTCCATCACGTGTTGCATATCTTGCACCAGTAAGGGTACCTTGTACTTCCCAAAAAGCGCACCGTTTTTGCCTTCCACATGCAAGCGAATTCTTTTCTGGCTGCGGAATGTTTGAATCGCAGCATTGATGCAGAAAATTGTGGAAGCGGGGGGAAGTAACAGCAGAATAAGCAGGTAAAAAGGCATATTGTGTACAAAATCTTTCGTCTGTTTCCACGTTTCAGACGCACGATCTTCAGGCTCCTTTGCGTTGAGCGGTAGCAAGAACTCATCAGGGTCAACAATCACTTGCTCGTAACCTTCCACGTAGTTAATATTGATTTTTTCGAGGTCCCTGAAGGGATTCGTTTTCGTGAACAAAGTCGTGTAGAATGCCGTAGTGCGATCATTCACAACGTTGCCATACACACTCCGATTTTGGAACCTCTTCAATCCCTGGATGAAAATGCTCTCTGGGTCGGCGAGGATGCTTAGCAGGGGCCGGCCGGTGTCGCGGAACGAATCCACCATGAACAACTGCTGGCCAGATATGGAGACCAGTCGCGGCCCTAGCCCATTCCATATTTGACCTCTTATCCCCTTGAGGGGAGTTCTCACACCAATATGTGGTGAGGCAAATGTTGTGAAGTTCATGGGTTCCACTTTATCTAGCCACCCATGGGCTTGAAGCAACCCAATGGCATATCGAGCAACCAGACCTCCTAGAGAGTAGCCAACAACGCTGATTTTTTTGATCTTCTGCCCTTTGTTCTCCAATTTCTCTAGGGTGTCTTCGATCTCATGCACCACGCGTTCGCCACCCACCTCGATGCCATCGTAGGTGAAGTTGCCGCTGTTTCCCTCTGGACATAGAATGTGAAGATCTTTTCCGTATCTTTCCTTCAACGCCGCTGCCATATAGTCAAGGTGCGATGGCTTGCCCCAGAGGCTACACAAAGAACGAGTTAGCTTGCTTAACGACGTCATCCGAAACCAGGGGACAGGACACACCCATGCACCAGGACACAGAGATGGTCGGCTTTGATCGAAGCTTCAGTATCTGACATTTCTATAGTATGCGACTGAATTATTTGTGAAAGAAAAAATCAATTCAGGAGGCCAGGCTGACGAGATAAAAGGCCACTCAGCCACTGTGCTGGTCGGAGTTAAGGCTGACATACGAACCTCCAGCCGATAAGGCCGGTGATAAGATCGACCACCTTGTGGCCTAGATCTTCAGGTGTCTGTTTGGCTTGGTTTGCAACCCATTCGACATTTAATCAACTCTGGCCTTGGCCTCTCCAACATCACTTGGTTCCATGTATCTCTGGTGGTTTTTCATGATGGCAAATCCATAACAAGAGGCCGACCTGATTGTTTCATCAAACATCCCGTGCTATCTCACAAACACCCGGTGATGCTCATATTTGCATCCCGAGGGCTATGATTTGCACGTCGTAAGAGTTGGAAGGTTTTATGCTTCTCTGCCCCTGCACCGACCCCAACATAGCTTACAAAGCTTCTCTCTATTCATCAATGCTTACTATACTCCCTTGAAACTGACTTCCGGATCAACGCGTCACTGCACGAATAACAAATCGTATGTCTTTGAGAGTCTAGCTAAGGACGAATCTTCAACCGACAATGTTTACAACTCTGGGTTTATTCGGCGGTGTTCCATGCCCGCAGGGCACGCAGTGCTTCCTTATAACCTGTCTATTCTCGCATGAGACCCAAGCTTCCAGTCTGTCTGCGGCTGAGAGTACTTTCAATTCAGTCGACAGCGAGCATATTTCCAAAAGGCGTAAGGTTGAAAGCGCCACACAATCATCAGAATCAAAATCAATACCTTCTACTCATGTTCCGGTTCAAAAACTTTCAACACACCCACCAGTGACCGCGACTGGGTTGAAGCAGCAATCACAAAGCGCCAGCTCGGGCGTTTCAAAGTTGTCATCGGTTTCTCGAAAAGTCTCTCCTCCACCAAGGCGTGCAGAGTCTAAGACTACGAGCCAAAGGACTGAGGGTCAGTCTGCGGCAAATTCCTCAGAGCGTGCATCTTCACAGCTTCCTCCTCGGAAGGTGCCAAAAGAAAGTCTCAATCCTCGAATGCTTCCCAAGGCTCCAGCCAATCATGCCGTCCGGACGGCTATCCTGACCAAGCTCCATTCCGGCATGTCGGCACTCAATGAGAAACTTGCCAAGGACAAGGAGCCTTCAAACAAATGTTTTGTCCTCAACAAAGATGAGCTTGTGACAATGGCCCTGGATGAGGAGGAAAAGGTAGCCAGGGAGAATCCTGGGGTTTACTCAAATGTCATCAAGCTTCGGATAGTAAAATTGACGAAGATGACTATGGAAGAATGGACAAAAGAGGTGATGGCTCATCTCAACTCCCGGTACTATAAAATCCAGCCAGTCCAACAAAATACGCAAAAGCCATCAAGGCCTATCAACACAGGTCTATCTTCGAAGGAAGAGACTGCGCTTGCGATGGCATTAGTCACACCAGTGACTGGCCTTGAAGAATTTGGTTATGTCACCAAAGCACCTACTGCGGCAGAAATCGAAACTGCGAAGAAAGGGACCATCGAGTCTAAGGGCTGGGAAAAGTGTGATCGGTGTGGTGGACGTTTCCAGGTCTTCCCTGGACGCCGTGAGGATGGAGCATTAGCCAGCGGCGGTCAATGTACCTATCACCCAAGCCGACCCATGTATCCGCCGCGCAAGAAAACGGACAATGTTACCGGCGCCCAAGAAGCTTACTTTCCATGCTGCACTGAACCTATGGGCGCTTCTTCAGGTTGCACGAAAGCCAAAACCCACGTGTTCAAAGTGTCAGAGGTAAAGCGCCTTGCATCGATCCTCCAGTTCGAAGAAACCCCAGCACAGCCCGATAAGGGAGCTCTAGACCCGATTTCTTTTGACTGCGAAATGGGTTACACAACTCTGGGCATGGAGCTCATTCGTCTGACGGCTGTCAGCTGGCCGGAGGGTCGTGATGTTTTGGATGTTTTGGTCAAGCCTATGGGCGAAGTGCTGGACCTCAACTCACGATATTCGGGTGTTTTCCCTGAACACTATGCAACTGCCATTCCTTATGGCACCTCGACTGCCGTTCAAGAGAATAACGACAAAGGCACCAATCCCTTGCAGGTTGTCGATTCTCCTGCTGCGGCGCGATCCCTTCTTTTCAACTTCCTTCAACCTGATACACCCTTGATCGGCCATGCAATTGATAATGATCTAAACGTTTGCCGAATCATTCATCCCGTTATCATTGATACTGTGCTTCTGTACCCACACCCAAGAGGTCGTCTACCCAATCGTATGAGTCTTAAAGCCCTGGCACAAAGGCATCTCGACCGTGACATTCAAATGGGAGGAGATAAGGGTCACGACTCCAAGGAAGATTCGATTGCTACGGGTGACTTGGTGCGGGTGAAGGCAGGTGTGATATGGAAGCGATTAGAGGCGAAAGGGTGGAAATTTCAGAATGGCAGCTTGATTGCACCTCCTGGTCAAGACGTCCAGAACATGAGAGAGGCTGCACGGGGAACTGGCGTCCCCCAGAATAGGAATTCAAGCATCACATAGCATAGCCTATTACGATTTAAGCCAATTATGACCATATTGTCGTTGTCAATCGATCCAACTTGAGAACGTTAGCATACTACGCTCAGTGTAGTAGCTGTTCAAGACCCAGTTTGATAACATACTTGTAACTGAGCATTCTACAATTTCACCAGAGACATTCTACGAACGGTTCAGAAATGTGTGAAGGGTATAAAAATTTTTGATTTCATAGCGCAATTAAGTGCTAATCTACCCTCACAAATCCACGACCCAACTTTCCATGGCTCTCACACTTTTGTCCGGCAAGAATCCCAAGCCAAAAAGGAATGCACATATACCAGTCCGAATCGATCGACAATGAGGTCAAGAGTCAGTCGAGAGAGGGAGAATTTACTCCTCATCCTCCTCAGCCTCGTCGTTGACGACGTTGTAGAAGCGGAGCTCGTAGACACCCTTGGAGGTAGAGACGACACGGAGCCAGTCACGGAGCTGCTGCTTCTTGAGGTACTTCTTGGTCCTGGAAAAAAGAAAAAGAAACAAGTCAGCGAAACGGTTCTAGATTACCGAGGATGGAGACAATAATCAACGTACAGGTACTTCAGGTAGCGACCGGAGAAGGGGATGTGAGCAACAACCTCGACCTTGCCGTCACCAATAGAGTTGATAACGACGTTCTCGCCAAGGTTGCCGACACGGCCCTCGACCTTGATGCGGTCGTGGAGGAACTTCTCGAAGGCAGAGACATCGAAGATCTTGTCGCTAGCGGGCTGCGAAGCGTTGATGATGAACTGTATAGCGACATGTTAGATTTCCGCGCTCCGAAGCATCCCACTGCGTTGAACAGAGGCTTTTTGTGGATTGCAGTAACGTACCTTCTGGGTGGTCTTCTGGGCCTTGCGACCACGGGCCTATTTACCGGAGAGAAAAAATGAATTAGCCTACTGCTCCAACATGTCGAGTTCCCCGATGGCAGTCGCAGTAGATCATGGCCACACAATTTCCGACGGCCGAATAGATATTTCAATACCCAGCCGAAGTCATGTTGGGTGGTGCACTTTCTGCTGCATAGCCGGTGGGGAGGAACAGCAAAGCGTTCACGGGATGTCTTTCAACGTACAGCAGCAACGGGAGCCATTGTGAATAGATGGGAGGGGATGGAGACGGAAAAGGGTAAGGTCGCAAAGAGGTGAATATCCTGCGCCGGCGAGAGGGATGGTCGGAAGAAGATCTATCGGGCTTCGTGGTGGAGCCCTTAGTCGAACTTGCAAAAAAAATCCCAAAATTGCCCACCCGTGGGCTGCGCTTAGCCTGTTTGGGGGTGATTAGGGTTGGGGCTGAATGATTAGTCACGCAAATCCCCATTGTCGGTGAACGGCGGCAATAAATGAGTTCTATCACGTGAGATGTGCCTCGGCCCGCTTTAAATTGGTTTCTTATTGGTCAAAATACGCGAGGCGACAACTAGCGTGGTCTCCCCAGGGTATAAATATCTCCTCCCCCTCTCCCCCATTTCCTCTTTTCTTTTTTCTTTTCCAGCTCTCTTTGCCAATTGGCTTAGATCAAGTGTAGTATCTGTTCTTTTCAGTTTAATCTCTGAAAGTTTCCTACGGGAAACACATTGATTATTCTCATTTTTGGATCTCGCAACCAACCTCTGTGCTTGCGCACGTTGGTTGCACAGTGTCATCGGGCTCACACTACCCCCGATCGACGCGAACTCACTTTTTCATCAACTGCATCGGCTTGTCCGGTCGCTTGGAGAAGAAGTTGTGCTTTCTCACATAGATTTCCTGAAATATGATTCGTTCCATGAATTGAAGCTGTTGAACCTAGCGTAATTGTCTAGTAACACGTCCCTCGGTCCCCACATCTGGTCGATGCGGTGATGTCTTGTCGAGACTTGTCTCTGCCTAGATTGATCGACTTGGTCCTGCCCTACTTTGTTATGATCCCCATGGGCACAGTCTCCGAAATGTCATGCAAGCACCCGTCCTGAGGTCTATGTCCAGGTGCTTATGTTCACAAAAAAAATTTATATATCCGTCTACGTAGATCCTTTCCAGGCTTACAAGGGATTTGATGAAAAGACATTCATTCAATCGTGGTATTTAATTCCTGATTCTATTCCCAAAGATCGCCAAGTGTTTGTTGTGGGTCATTCGGGTAGCTGGTGTTTACCAGCGGCCACTCTCCTCCATGCGGCTCTCGTAGGCCTGCTTGGCGTGGTGCTTAGCCTTCTCGCGGTCAATGAAGTCAAGACCCTTGGTCTCAACCTCACGGTCAATGAAGGCACCGGCAAGACCAGCAATGATCTCCTTGGCCTTGGCGTGGTTATCAACCTTGCCTGTAAAAGACGTTACTTCATGAATCTTGTTTGAGATCCCTGTTGAAATACATACCCTCGCGAGCCTCGTGCTCCTCGTAGGCCTTCATGGCCTCGTAGGCAGCAGCACCACCGATGAGCTCGTGAGACCACTTGGCCTCGTGAGGGCGGTAGGTCATCTCCTCGTGGGCGCGGGCCTCGTGGCTGTCATCTGTGATAAGGAAACTTGTTAGGCCTGGATGATCTTGCAAATGCAGAAGGATGCTATATGGCACTCACCATCGAACCAAGCCATTTTGATAGATGTTATGTGATGTAGAATAGGGTAGAGAAATGTGCTGTGGATGGAGAGAGAAAGAGTAGGAGCAAGAGAGGGACGCAAGCCTTATAACCCCTCCTCAGCCTCGCGCCACCCTTGTGAAACTACCAGGGCTAAGAAGAGCTTTCCAGCGATTCGTCCCAGATTTGCCAAGCTTAGCGAGCTTTAGCTTTTCGGCTTGTTTTGCATTCAGAATCGTGCATCGAATAGTACGTACTCACTATTCCCGTTTCAGCTAGTGGGGACCACCGGATCGAGTTTGTGATTGGAACGGCGTATCCTTTTCAGCCGAGTCCCAATAATAGCCAATATTCTGGCGCCTTCTGAGGCTTAGACTGTCTTGGCTGATTCGACACGTGTAGGGCAGATGATTTGTTGATGCGGTGTCTGGCACCACTCACCGGCTTGGAGCGGAAGATGAGACAGAGGATTGAGGGGGGCGCATGGCCGGGTACCACGAGCACAGAGATGCAGGCTCATGCACAGGAATACTATTCTAATGCAAATTTGTATTCAGTACGGCGGCTCGTGGGCAATTGCCTACTACCTCGGGAAGCATAGATATAAATTTTGGAACTTTGGAAGACAATTCGTGTTTCCAAGGATAGTCTCTGGCAGCTTGAACCCTTACTGGGTTCTGTCCATGGTACTAGGTGGCATCCGGACTACATATATGGGAGAAAGCCGGGCATGGCCTCACTCTTCTGCTAGGTAGACAATTGGAATATGTAGCCATTAAAGCAAACATCCTATTAAATTTGATTTGGCTGTTCCGACCAACTCCGGGTCTAAATCAATTGCATTGACCTTGGAGGCATGCTGCAACTCAGTGTTCCAGGGTCCTCCTGAGGTCCGGGGTGGGGGAAATATATTTTAGGTGGGCGCTAACTTGGAAGACATCTGGTTGCAAATTAGATGGAAATGACATACATTCACTGAAGATGTACACATTCAACTTGTACAAGTCGCCGGGAATTTCTCGACTCAGGATGATAAAGAAATGATCCGAAATAACCCCTGACCGAGCTTTTTAATAGGTGGAGCCGTGGAACGTTCCAATGGTTGCTGGAAGTACTCGCGATTTAGAGTCGATCGGTCACCTGACCCTATCGCGGGGTGTGCCAGCGATAAGCTCCAGCTTCTCCAATTTTCATCCAGCACATCACGTCCGAAGAAACATCGTCATGGGTTCCATTGTCCTGCCACACCTGCGATCAGCCTGGCATGTTGATCAGGCTATCCTCTCCGAGGAAGAACGCCTTGTCGTCATTCGATTTGGCCGGGACCACGATCCCGACTGTGAGTTACCTGCACGCCTTTCCCGGGGTCGCGACACTAACAACTTCACTCTCCAGGCATTCGTCAAGATGAAGTCCTCTACAAGATCGCCGAGCGAGTGAAGAGTACGTGTATTTATCTCTTCCGCAAGAAATACCCTTTCTAACATCAGCGCCCGATTAGATTTCGCTGTCATCTACCTCTGCGATCTCGACGAGGTCCCCGACTTCAGTACCATGTACGAACTATACGACCCGATGACTATTATGTACTTCTATCGAAATAAACATATGATGTGTGATTTCGGAACCGGTAACAACAACAAGTTGAACTGGGTTTTGGAGGACAAGCAGGAGTTGATCGACATCATCGAGACCATCTACAAAGGCGCCAAGAAGGGTCGTGGTTTGGTTGTTAGTCCCAAGGGTATGTCTCTTGAGTCTTCTATCAGTACCATGGAGCTTAGACACATGCTGACAACTATGCAGATTACTCGACGAGATACCGATACTAGACGAGGCCTGGTCGAGATACTGGCGATTTTCGGTGGTACGTGCCCAACGGCGCACCTATTCATGACGTTTACGATTACGATCGCTAGAGAAATAAAAAGAGTACTGGAGAGAAGAATAACTTGGGTGTGCATGGGAACTTTGGCAAGGAATCGATTTGTGGCTGGTCATACAGACCATATCTACGGTATACGTGAGCTCGCAATGAGATTCCTTTGCCCAAGAAGCCGATAATAATGCATATAATACATCTATTAAAACCACAAAAAACCTTCAAAATCAACAAGTAAAACACTTTCACTTCATTTGAATGCCTAACGCCATATATAGGTATCTACTGTAGATGATCCGATCCTCCAAATGACACCCAACCGTCGTACAACACAAGATAGCGACAACTAGATAAAAGAACGTTAAAATAAACAGTAAAATGATGAGCCAAAGCTCATTGAAATCCCCAATCCTCAAATAGAGTACATTTTTGAGTTGATCACAAATCTAAGATTTTGACGTAACTCCCCAACTTCCACCACCAACAACCAACCCACCGACACCTCCAACTCTCATCTCCCCACATCAGCATCCAGCTAGCTAACGGCAAAATGATTGATCAACGCATTTTCGAGGATCTCCAGACCAAGATCGATGAGGAGACCGCCGTTCGCGATGTGAGATACCCAAGCACCCGCGCAGTCCACATAACGAAATTCTTCGCGTGCCAAGCCCAGCCCAAGCTCGCGGCGCGCACAATATCCGGCTACCAGAGCTGACGTTGAATGTACAGGAACTACACGATATTGTCCAGACACTTGCACGGAAAGGTATCTTTCACTTAGTGACTTATTCGAAAGCCTAAGCTTTCGTTTCTGTTCATGGAGAGTCCCGTTGTCGGTATGCAAAATTTATTGGAGGCTGATGCTGCTCTGTAGGACGTTCTACACAGGCTATTCTCTCAAGGGCGCACTCTACCCCGACTGACCAGAGTATGTTTTCCCTTGCCCTGGAGTTTTTCTGGCACTGGTTACTACGGGCGTTGTTTCCTACCAGCAGTGAGACTGCATGATAGCTTGGGCTTTTTATCCCTGGCTTCAAGTTTATGCATTGACTAATTTGAGACAATAGTCAAGTCTGTCCTTGATGATGCGACTGTGGCAATCATTGCCCAGAAGCAAGATGTTGCCCGCCTGAAGGCTGTGGCTGACAAGCACCCATTCTACAAGTACAACAATGTCTGGTCGCGGGAGCTGCAGAACCTGGTACGTTATGAAAATTAATATTTTGCTCCTGGGGTGATGAAAAGAAACAATAAACTAATTAGCCCCGCTAGGTCTCTTCCATTGAGCTGTGTGCTTGGCTTGGTGGACTCCAGGAGCACAAGGGACCTGACTCCACCTCGTTCATGACTGTCGAGGATGTCGGAAAGTTCCTAGAGGGTATGTGTGACCGCTAACTCAACTCGGCATTAGAGAAACAAAGCGCAGATGGAACTGACATTACTCTGCAGTCCCTGTCAACCTGAAAGAGCAAGACGCCTTCCACCTGACCATCGAAGAGTATCTCCTGGCGCTGATCTCCATGGTTGAAGAACTGGTACGAATGCAACCATTCGTTCATCTACCAGCTAATTGATTTACTAATATGGATATAGTCTCGTCTGGCTGTCAACTCTGTTACCCTTGGTGACTACGAACGGCCCATGCAAATCGGCAACTTCATCAAGGAGCTTTTCGCTGGGTTCCAGCTGCTGAACTTGAAGAATGATATCCTCCGCAAGCGTAGCGATGGAATCAAGTACAGCGTGAGTTTATCCTTGTCCGAACATCGATTGTTATTATACTGACAAATTTACGATGTATAGGTCAAGAAGGTTGAAGACGTTGTGTACGACCTTTCGTTGCGCAATCTTATTCCCAAGGGTAGCGCTGCGTGATCTTCTATGATCAATATATTCTGAATGAGCTGTGAAAAAGTTTTGTACCGTGAGAATCTCATGAACCAAATGGTCGCGGGGCCAAGCAATATTAAAAAGATCCATAACCTCATGACAGCAATCTTTTTACTATCTATGGCCTTTTTTCGTATACGGTGGTCAAAGCTCTTCCTAGGACTATAAGCACGGTCTGTTTGTAAGCCGCTTTGAAAGCGTCAAAATGTATCTGAAGTATAGTATCATATTTCGTACAGGGAATATCTAAATAATAGAGAACCCGAAAGCATATTCATACAAATCAAAATATAGAAGGCAAAATGGTATCAAAACAGCTTCATCCCCAAAGTAAAAAGTCCTCCAGGCGCACCAACCTAATTAGCTTGCTACTCAGCAGCCTTCTTGACCGAAGCCAGAGTACCAGCCTTCTTAGCCTTCTCAATCTCCTGCTCAATAGCCTCCTGCAAACCCTCAGGCTTAGTCAAAGAGGAGTACCGAGAAACAACCTTTCCATCAGCGCCAACAAGGAACTTCTCAAAGTTCCACTTGATGCGCTTCAGACCCATGACGCCGGGCTGCTGCTCCTTGAGCCAGGTGTACAGGGGCGCGGCATCGTTGCCGTTGACGTCCAGTTTGCCGAGAACGGGGAAGGTGACACCGTAGTTCACCTGGCAGAAGGACTGGATCTCGTCGTTGGAGCCGGGGTCTTGGCTGCCGAACTGGTTGCAGGGGAAACCGAGGATGGTGAAGTCTTCGGGGTATTTGGCCTTGAGGGTTTGGTAGAGCTTCTCGAGGCCCTCGAACTGCGGGGTGAAGCCGCATTTGGAGGCGGTGTTCACGACTAGGACGACCTTGCCTTCGAGAGAGCTGAGGGGGAAGGTGTTGCCACGCTCTATTGGGATCATTAGTAACTGCTTCTTTTATGGCGCGGTGCTTGTGCATTTGGGGGAGGGGTTAAGGTTTCTAGGCGGGCTGATTTGTCGCGAGAACCTTGAGAGAGGGGAGAGGGTATTGGGAAAGAGGTTGCGAGACGTACTGTCAACGGGCTCAAACTCGAAGAAGGAGGTTGCGGAAGCCATTGTTCTGAATTTGGTGAGGGGTGATGTGAAGATTAGCGGCTTTAGTCGAAGCTGTCGAGGGTTGGAGCTGCGTTGGAGTAGGTTACTCAATGACGTCGTAGAGTAGAAACTGCTGTGAACGATGTGGGGAGGGAGCCAAGACTTTATACCGCGTGGGATGGCGCGCAGGCAGTGCTTTTGTATTAATTGCATTGAGAAGAAACCGAGGCTTCGAGGCAGGAATATTACCAATGATCACAGGTCCAGACACGGAGGCTGGAGGGGCCGCCGGGCCTCTGCACAGCCGAGCCGATCCTATTGAATCCGGGAGATGTGATTGGTTGATGTGGGAACAATTTCTTTGTTTCCGTTTCTGCAGCTACTTTTTTGTTCTTCTATTATTCTAGGATCCACCTTGAATCCGCTATTGCATATTATTAAGCTTATCCGGTCTAGCTCTGCACAATTTTGGTACGGATAAACGAAAAGGAGACATAAATTTGTGTTCGATCGTGGGAGAGATTCTGCTTAGAAGAGCGGGACGGTCTCGATTCCATCCTAAATTGGAATGCGCCCGTGCCAAGAACGCAAAAACAAATATTTGCTTGCGCCATTTAGGTCCTGATGGAGCTTGTTTCCCGATGCTAGGTTTCGCACGGCATAGCCCTGATGTGAACAGTATTCTGGCATGATCAGTTCTACCGCAAGGACCTGCTAATGAGTGGCGAGAGTGGTAACCCGGTCATTGTACAGCAGGATCCCCGCAGTCTGTACCTGTGGCCTGATCTGTCTTTGGTAAGGATCTATTAAGGCACCGGTCAATCATCAGCGTCTTGGCCCCATCGTGGACAATGACGCATATGTAGAAAGCACCTTGCGCCCTGTGGCTGTAAGACTGCCAAGTAGTTCTCAAGTGTTGCCGACCTCATAGACCTGGCCACTGGTAGACAGAGATACCCCGCAATCTGAGCTTCGTTATCCAAGAAACATAATTCGCTCTCAGCTTCACCCCTCATATTCGGCTTCGAGCACATCGACGTCTAACTCGGCCATCGCGCCCAGAATAACACCCATACTCTCCATGAATCCATTGACGGCGACTCGGAGCATGCGGTTCGTCGTGGCGTAGTAATTGACCTGCAGGACGGTCTTCGACTCATCCAAGCTATCCAGGTTGGGCTCTTGCTTTTGCTTCTTTTCTTGGGGCTCGGTCGCCGCTTCGGGGGCGGGGGTTGTGAGGGTCAAGGTGCGTCGCACAAAGGCTGACAACTCAGGATCGACATCGAGAGTTTGCAGCGCAGATGAGGCAAGACGTTGAGTTGGCAGTGGAATTGAGATCTCCCTGTATTCTGGTCAGTACGATATTCGGCTGGAGAAGGTATGGCGCGTGTGGTGTTGATCTCGAGGTGGGGAGGCGGGGGAGGTCGTACAATGAGTATGGAAATTCGGACTTTGGCGGCGGTGCGGTGGCTGCCATGACTGACGTGTGATGAAACTAGATCAACAAAGATACGGATGCTGAAAAGGATAATTCCAAGTGGTCGTCGTTGACGTGTAATGGCTTGGGGGATCGACCGCTGTGTGCATTTGAATATATTTCGGGTGAGTTAGTCACCTAGTTAGAGGGCCCTGTGGTGACTCAGCATCTCCACTGGAGATTCATAACATACATCTCAACGACCCACGACAGAAAGGATTGTTTGGAGATTTAGTTATTCTGAAGTCAAAAATAGTTGACATAATGTATGGAATTCAGGTAATCTAAGTAATGGGTTTTCTCAGGGAATCATGGTTCCGAGAGGTATAATTGGGAACAAAGTCATCAAAAAATAAAAACGCACTCATGAGATATAGTACAAAAACTTGATCAAGTGTAAATCTGGTGTAAACCAGGTAGGAAGGGAAGACAAGAAGTACAATATTAGACTGCCTGAACAAAGTCATGACACCTTGAATACGTACCGACACCCCTCAAATGTTTTATCGCGGCTGGAAAGTCGTTTAAGCGGTGTAAAGGTAGCCAACGACGAGCTGGAGCTCAGCAGGGAGAGAGGAAATCTGACTGGGGAGGATGCCACCGCTAGCGAGAGCAGCTTGGAGGCCACCAAGGGCTCCAATGAGCCCAGAGGGGTTGCCGCTCAGCATGGCAAGATCGTTCTGGGCGGAAGCCTTGACAATGTTACCGGCACCAGGAAGCTGACGCTTAGCAGGAACGACTCCGGCAACCGTGCTCTCAGCAGTTCCGACAAGGCCCGAGGAAGTGCTCTCAGCAGTACCCGCAGCGCTGCCAACAATGCCAGTCACTCCATTCGTGGAGCTAGTGACGCCGTAAGCCAGACCACTAAGAGCATCATCACGCTTCACACCACCAAGGATAGCTACAGCGTCGTTCTCAACATCATCCAGCTGACGCTTGGCTACTTGCAAATTAGTCAATTATCCCAAATGCGTCAAGCATTGAATTGTAAGATAACTCACCAGGAACAGCTCCAGAAACAGTGCTTTCAGCGGTTCCTACAAGGCCAGAGGAAGTGGTCTCAGCAGTACCCGCAGCGCTGCCAACAATCCCAGTAACACCGTTTGTAGAGCTGGTGATGCCATAAGTCAAACCACTAAGAGCGTCACCGGCATCACGCTTCAGATCACTAAGAGTGTCCTCTCCAGCATCTTCAGCATCATCCGACTGGCGCTTCGCTATTCACAATGTCAGCAATTTGTCCCCTAAGCATGGCAAGGACAATCTTCATCGTGGCTTACCAGGGACGGCTCCAGAAACCGTACTCTCGGCAGTCCCAACAAGACCCGAGCTGGTACTCTCGGCAGTGCCCGCAGCACTGCCGACAATGCCAGTGGCTCCGTTGGTCGCGCCGGTGACACCGTAGACAAGACCGCTGACAGCATCTCCCCCATCACGCTTCAAATTGCTGAGAGCTCCCTCAGCAGTGTTCTCAACACCACTCACGACGCCAGCACCAGGGATGGTGGGAAGGGCGGCAGCGGAGACAACGCCAGCAAGGGCGACAGAGAAAGTGAATCCAGTGAACTTCATAGTTGCGGTTTGTTGAATTTTAGTTCGTTGAAGAGACAAATGAGCGACTAGGTTGAAATCAAACTTGTATGGAACCGAAATATATGTAAAGAATGGAAGAGGTAGAAGGAGTGTCTTGAGCAGAGAGACGAAGCAGCGGTCCCAGAGCAGATTTTATACATCTCCCGTTGATTGTTTTGATGAGCTCGAGCGGCTACATGTGGTCCAGCGAACTCCTCGCATGCACTGTAATCAGGATCATCAGGGGCCTATTATCATTTCGCGCCTGTTTTTTGTCCGTTTAGGCCATTACTGATGATGATCGACATTGAAAAGGTGCCATCCGCAATGCCGCACAGCTAGTAGTATCAAGGGAGGCCCACATGGCCTCCAATAGAATTTCCTGATGCGAGCGGTGTACTCGAATTGGGCGAATGAGATGGGCTTTCAGCAAGGATCAAGACTGGCTCAAGGGGCACTGGGCTGCTAAAACTTTGCTGGTGGTTTGTGGAGATCGCAAAGATTTGGTATATATCATATTACAATGCTCTTGCATGGAAGAATTTGAAGGTGGATTTTGATGGGCTAGAGGACATTTCGTTGGATCCTTGATCGGACGTGAGAAATTCCAGACATTGCCCATTCTCCAACGAAGCTGCGGTGCATTAATAGCGTAGCAAGCCATAAGGGCCTCATTTCATGTTGCATGTGAGGGATGATCCGGATGCATCCGCTATGACCTGTGGTGGAGTGAGCAAGGCAAGGGCGTTAGCACCGGAACCCTGGAAGACGTTGGGCCAATAGTTTCGGTAGCTCGGTCGAATGTCCAAGTGCCCTGTCGATCCTCTAACTCTGTTCTTAAAAGCTCGTTAGGTCTTTCGATACATCATTCCATGTTCTTTGTTGCTATTCATCGCTGTTTTGAGGTTCCCAAGCGACCGTTCAATAACCCTGCATCGTTCGCGCACTGACCCAGCCGAATTCACTAAGTCACATGGTTCAAATTGGATGATAGTGCGATCCATGGTCTAGTCCACGGGTGCTCGACCTAAGCAGCGTGGTCTGCGTCCTTGACTTTTCAATCATGCCGGAGGAGAGACCAGATGAGAGGTGAGCGTGATCTCCAGCCCTGGAGGTTGAGGCATGTCGGCAAGTAGATAAGATGGGAGCCAATGACGCTCGGGCCGGTGGAGACAAGTAACATTGTGGATCTGATCAATTTAAGCGCGTAGAATGTCAACAAATACAGTGGCAAAGGAACCTAGACCCTGTTGGGTCAGCTTTAGACCAGTTCCTAACTCTAGCTACAGATAATTTGGAAGTGGGTGCATGGATTTCATGGGACTTGCTGTCTGATCTCAGACGGAAGTACCAAGGGGTGCAGTTTGTTCAATAGTACAAATTATAGATTGTGGATGCTTATAGAGGTCTAGTGGCTAGTATGAAGGATATATATTGAGCAGGACTGTAGCATCAAAGACAGACTAATTTTCTAAACAAGGGGGAGGGGAAATGTCAAGATGACCTCACCTTGATTATGCAGTCAATGTCGAGCAAGATATATATATGCGCGGATATCCGGCACTCTGCCCGCTTACAGCGGTTCAACGTATGTGCCTACTGCAATTAGGTACCGAGTGGCCAACATTGTTGATGCACAATTCCTCGCCGGTCATACGGAATGCAATGCTTTCTGACCTCGGGATGACATGGGTTGCCCTTTCCAGGCATCAATATACAGCGCGGGATGACATGGATAGAATGTTATGTTTTCATGAGGCGAAAGACATCGCCGATGCCTGGGCAACAACCGCCAACAAGTGCAATTTATGCAAGCCAGGTTGCATCCAAGAGGGGAAATGCGTGCACCAAGCATCATGGATGGAGCTGTCAGTTGGCAATGTTTAGATGAGGTAATCACCGCTGTGGCGGGCCTGAGGCGAATGACTGATGGTTGTCGAGTCAACGGGGGACACTAATCCTAATTCGGCCCAGCACAACATAACATCGTTAGCGTGGCATGGCAATAACCCCAACACCATGAGATTCTTCTTCCACTCTTCTATCTTCTAAAGTACCTCTTCCCCAGGCACTATCCTTACTTTTCTTTCACCCATTCTTCCTCAGGTCCTCTAGATCATGAGCGTATAGGCCTTTCATCTTATCAATTGTCGATCTTGTGTTTTCCACGCCATTGGGCACCGTCTCCAAAAGTGACGATTTACGACGCCGATACAGCTTGCATTGTTTACCTTGATTATCCAACCTCTGTTTACGTCGCACCTTGCCCATCGACAGACACCATGTCGCATGACTCTGGCAAAATGATTGAATACATTCAAGGTGCGTGACCAGTGGTGTTGTTATCGTCGGAAGTGTTGGAATTGGTGGGGTCTAACAACAAACAAACACCAGACCGCCTGTATCTGGCATCCTATGACTCTGCTCCAAGCTCGAGGACGCCATTCCCTTACCCTGTCGAGGCATCCAAGTCCCCAAGCAAGCGGTCGCGTGCTCAACCTCCCTCAACGCCTAGCAGCAAGCGCCGCGCTCCCGTGTACTTCACCGTCGATGATACCCTCCTTTACAATGCATTCCATGCGGATTTCGGTCCCTTGCACATTGGCCACTTGTACCGATTTGCAGTGCTCTTCCATGAGATTCTCGGCGACCCAGCCAACAGCGACCGACCCGTCGTCTTCTACAGCAAGACTGATGCACGAAGCCGTGCGAACGCCGCATGCCTCGTCGCGTGCTACATGGTCTTAATCCAGTCATGGCCACCCCACTTGGCGCTTGCTCCCATTGCGCAGGCCGATCCTCCATACATGCCATTCCGCGATGCTGGATACAGCCAGGCGGATTTCGTCCTGAACATCCAAGACGTAGTGTACGGTGTGTGGAAGGCAAAGGAAAAGGGTCTGTGCGGCCTGCGGGATTTCAACCTAGAAGAGTATGTACCTGAACCTTATTTTGTCATAACATTTGCTGATCGGTCATGCAGGTACGAAAAGTTCGAGAGAGTCGATATGGGTGACTTCAACTGGGTGACACAGGATTTCCTCGCTTTCGCCTCCCCCCAACACCAACCCGTTGAACCCGTTCCCGCAAACACCCCCGAATACGATGCCCTGCCCTCTACTATTTCTGAGGTCTGCTCCTCCAAGTTGCCCATGCCTTTCAAGAACGTGCTTGTTCACTTCGCGTCGCGTAATGTGGGTCTTGTTGTGCGGTTGAACTCGGAGCTCTACAGCCCGTCTTATTTCACAGCTATGGGCATTGCTCATATCGACATGATCTTCGAAGACGGCACTTGCCCGCCTTTGCAGCTTGTGCGCAAGTTCATCAAGATGGCCCATGAGATGATCACTGTGAAGGACAAGGGTATCGCTGTTCACTGCAAGGCCGGTCTTGGTCGGACAGGGTGCTTGATCGGCGCTTATCTTATCTACCGCTATGGCTTTACCGCAAATGAGGTCATTGCTTTCATGCGATTCATGCGCCCTGGTATGGTCGTCGGACCTCAGCAACACTGGCTGCACCTGAACCAGGGCTCGTTCCGCGAGTGGTGGTTTGAGGACAGCATGCGCGAGAAGCTTGCTCAGTCCGCCCCTGTCACTCCTGCCCGTATGTCAACCAAGAAGCGTGCGAGCAATGGCGCTGTTTCCACCCCTCCCAACAACACTCACTCAAAGCGCGCCGCTCTCGGCGAGATCGATCACAATGAAGGCGCCGCCAACCAACATGAGGAGAACCTCCCAGCCCCTACTCCCGGTCAGCCACGCAAGTCACACCGCAAGGATTCTCGCCATCACCCTTACTCCCGCACCGCATCTGGATCATTAGCTGTGGAGCATGATGCTCACAAGAGTGAGCAGCGCCCCAAGGGCCATCGTCTCAGCAATGAGAGCAGTGAGAGTGACGAAGAGATTCAACTTCGTATGCTGGCCAAGAAATCATCCAGGTCTCCCGTTGCCTCCTCGACATCACGATCCGTCAGCTACTCGGCAACCGTCACAGCCAGCTACACATTGACCGACGACATCCATGAGGACCGGGAGAACTGGGTTGAGAATGCTGCCCCCAAGACTCCCACGAGCCGGAAGAGTGCTGGCGCCCCTATTTCTGTGAGCAAGGTTCGCACTAGCCCCCGGAGGGCCACAGATAGCACCAAGACGGACTCACGAGGCGTCCGCAAGCCCAGTGGTCGCATTGGTAGTACATCTAGCCCGGCCCGAGCTGTTCGGCCTGTGCAGTAAGGAATCCGTCTCGTGATTTTCCTTCTGACTCTGTCTGCCTGCGGCGACACATTCTATTCTTCTCGTCCCTCAGACGACCATTCGCATACCCCTTTTTCTGCTGCATTTGAATGCTCCTAATGTTCACTTTTTTCCGTTTCCATCTTTCTTGCTTCGGGTTTTTCTGGCGTGACACTATGGTCTTTGGCATGTTCTACTTGGCGTTGGGTTGTTAATTCTTTTTCATTTATGTTCAATCCTTGGGTGACCTGGAAGCTGTCATGACATTGTTGATTCCGATTTCAAATCTTCCCGGTTTCTTCACGCCCTGGCATGGCGTTCTGTTGCAGGTGTTTCTGTACGTGTCAATTTGTATGGCGAAACGACAATCAATCTCACGATCCCACCAATATTCCATGATTCAAGTCAAGTGACTCGTATCCAAATAATATCCCCGAATCTACCCGCTAGATGTAGTTACGTATCTTATCTTGAAAAGGTAGTTCTTTCAATCCAAGCTTGTTTACCCGATCGGATCAACAATGGAAAGTAAACGCAATCTGACAGCATGCTATTTCCTAGTTGGTTCCGGCAAGGCCCTTCAAATTAATTCAACCCCATATTCAAGCCTTGTCGTGACGTTCAGCTACAGATTGATTATGTTTTTGGACTTCCTCTGATCCTGCATTAGGATCTAATTCGCCACTTTCGGGGTTAGGTCCTTCACGGTAAAACTTAAGAGAGTCATATTTGTGAATACCCTCTTTTGCTTTGGATATTTCCGAATTCGACCGAGTTTCTGATTTCAACGCTTGATTAGCACCTGGTCTACTCCACGCGCTCCCGGGCGATATGGCATTCACTTTTGTCCTTTCCTTCTTCCTTGCCTGGACTGCCCTGAGAAGACCTTTCGTTGCCTTCGGTTGATGTATGATTCATGAACTTGTCATCTGGCAAAATGGCACTGCTATGGGAAAATGCTATATTGCGTCGAAGGCAAGATTCCACGACACAGCATGTTGGTACAAGTTGATAGCTAATTCTCACTCTTCGAAGAGTCTGCATTGCAAGAAAATTGATTTGTTTTTGGCAAGATTGGCAGAAGACTTACTAAGGTTGCCTGTTATTATAAAGCAGTTGGGGAATCGCAGCCCTATCGTGTGACCCTCCCAAACCTTCAACCTCCTACGTTCCCATCCACGTTTCCGGGCCCCCAGAACCCCGGGTAACCAGTCACATTCACAGGAAAAGTTTCCAACAAGGGAACTGCAGCAACTAAGGTTTCTCATTTTCTTTTCGCCTTTTATCACCGAGTCACACGTGGCGCCACGATGTCATACCAAGGGAGACTTATAATGAGAGATTAGCCCCCACCAGCTAATCTTCCACGCTGCTCCTTTCGCATTATGGCAGAAGAAGAAGCACATGCAGTGAGCAAAGTAAGCGAGCTGGCAACTTGCTGAAATTCTTCCGAGTCGTCGGTTAATTCTTACGAAGTTACCTCTCGACGCCAATGCCGAAGCAAATGCTGAAGCGGCCCGTCGTTATGGAACCGTCCCATTCCGAGACAAATTATTTCCCCGGGAATCAAAAGTGCGCTCGAACCCAGTAACAGTCATACTTTAGTTGACTTTTCATTTGCGACAGCATCGTACATACTTCGACTCGGCTGATTTTGCTCTAAACTCCATCCACAGGTCTTCGGAAGTCTGTCATAATGATATTGGAACCCAGCACCCGGACTGTGCTCATATATCTCAACCATTTTGTGCTGTACCTGGTTCCAGTAATGTTTCTCAGCACGCGAATGATGGGGTTCGGACAGCCGGGCATGGATATCAGAGGTGTGATAGCCATTTACACAAGGATGAGGTAGAGGGATGCAGGGGGGTGATTGACTTGAAATGATTGGGGAGAAAATCTCTATTCAATTGACTCGTATGGAGTACATAATTTTTGAAATAGTGAAGGTTTAAAACTGCTTTGTCAAGTTTTACGACTTTGGTGAGGCTTGTATTAGAATGTTGTGCTAAGAATTCGAATGAGTGATACAAGCTGATGCCTCGTCCATTCCGCATTCCTTCGTGTAAGTCAGTCATTTAGACTAAGTAAACAAGAGCTTATCAGAGATCGGGTAACCCAGTCACTCGAGGTTGGGAGAGACTGTCCATCCTGGTTTGTTCATGAATGTATGCAAAGCGGGCCCGCCACCACGCTAAGCCGCTTTAGGCAACCGACATCCGCTTTTTCTCCTCCCATCTCTCATCTACTCGCTACTTTCCAGATTTATGGGCCAATGCAATGAGAAATACTGATGACCGGCGGTCGCGATCACCGGCAACCCGACGAAATGGTGCGCTGCAGTCGTGTGAGCCCTGTCGCCGGTCAAAACAGCGATGCGACCATGAGCGACCCGTCTGTCGCCGATGTGCCGCCAAGCGAATGAGCGACAAATGTTTCTACCACCCAGCCCCGATGACCAGACGGAGGTCTTTACAAAATACCAATCCGGCAATAACAGTCTCTAACCGGTTTGCAAGCCAGCCAACTTCCAAGTAAATATGAACTCACCCCGCTGCTCTGGCTTCAGATTTCTAACAGAAGACCAGTGCTTCGAGCCCGGGATCTTTGAGCGGTGGTCGCACTTTTATAGCACCAGAGCACCCATCTTGTCTCCCCGGTTATCTGGGATCCACGAGCTTTACTGCAGTCCTGACAGAGCATCGTGATGAAATCCCCTTTGAACCAGAAGAGAGCTCGGATTCCTACCCTATCGTATTGGTGGAGCCCGAGCGGGCCCAGTCCGGGGCAGATGTACTGCTGTTCCTCTACAGCCTTAGTTTCCGGCAAAAATTGGTTGACAAATTTTATAGCCGATCATGGAATGCCGTTGTGCCTAAGATTGTGTTGGAAGCTATCCTTGACTCGATCAAAGAGATTTTTGATGGGTTTAATCCCAATGATCTCATGCCCCAGTTGCAGAACCTAGCTACACAGATATTCCAAAATTCATCGCGGGCGATGAAAACTTATCCGTCGATGACCGTTAAGGAGTACCTTGCCTCATTCACTGGACGGAACCTTCGTTGGGAGGCCATAGCCAACATTTTTTCTGTGTGCGGACAGCAGCTTGTGATCACACCGGATAATGATCCCGAGGTTTCGCAGGGACATGAGGATCCGCAGGTAAAGGAGCGGCTCCTAGAGCAGGTGATAGGAGCCAGCAACGTTTGCCTGAGCTTCTGTGACCAGGCTTCTTCCGCCAATGAGTTGCTAGCGTATCTGCAATACAACGATGTAATGCTCCAAACGCAGCAATATGGGGACTCAAGTATGTCTACATTTGTAGTATGATTTTATATGCAGTCAATACTAACAAAAGCTTCAGGTTACCAAGCGTGGCGTCGACTGGGTGATTTGGTCGCTACGATATATGCGGCAGGACTCCATCTTGATACAGATAGTGCCGAGAACAGTCCCTTTTTCCTCCGCCAATGGCGAAGAATGGCATTCATCTCGGCTTTTTACATGGACAAGATGATGGCAACATTCGTTGGTCGGCCACCTCTCATGAACTATCGATACTGCACCTTGGCCCCTCCGCTGGATCTGAGCGACGAAGTTCTTGTTGCAGGGGGAGACGTTCTTGCCCAAGCAATATCGGAGCTTGACAGTAATGGCTGGAATACGCAGGGGGCTCGACATCGCATGTCACCCTCACGGGTGCGATTCCTTTTGGCCATCGCGAGAGAGCGAACCCTTGATATCGCATTAGGAAATTCTGAAAGCCAAGATCTTGTCCGCAAATCACAGTAAGTCACCATATTTCACTACAAATTCCACAAATATCTAATAAGTGTTTTCAAAAGTGAAATCGAAGAAAGTGTGCGCGTGGTGTGGGCCGCAACGCCTGATCATCTTCGATACGACCGTCAGCCGAATAATGATGGACTTCGATTCGATCGTCAACCGAACAAGGATTTCCATCATGGATGGCTGACAATCGTCTACCTTTATCTTAGCTACCTTTATACATGCTTCCTCCTGCAACGAGCTCTAATCAAACACACAAACACCGGACATGCAGCTCTCTGTGATGTATCTCGCCGAGTCCTCGCCATTGTCATCAGCATCACCTCTCAACGAAATCCCATGGTGGATCTTGACAGGCATTATTCTTGGATTGTATGTTTCCTCTCTTCTGTAGGGTTGAAATGAGCGGTAATTTCTTACAGATTTGAAATAGGCTCTCACATATGGCCTTCCAAGTGCCAGCGTTCTTCTCGTCGAACTCCTGCACCAATCTCACGAACCTGGTCCCCATCCCGTTCCCCTCCCGCGCGCTGAATTAATCCGCAACATTAGTGTCTTCGTCTCATTACTGTCTTGGGTATCACGGCCTGGTCATGGAAATTACCATACCTGCAAAGAAGCGGAAAAGAAGTTGTCTCGTATCTTAGACCAATTGTTGGACCCCCAGCCCGTGCAGGCAGACATGGTACACGACGTGACTTCCGGCCTGTCGAGCTTTTTGGATTGGTCGAACTACAACACTTGGGATTTTACCGAGTATTTCCCTGGCGGCGGGGGATTCGCGCCCTGAAAAATCTTGGACTGGGTTCCTGAGATAAGTTTAGCGCATTAGCTTAGTCCTAATGTTGATGTCATGTTCTCTCTAGCAGTCGATTCTACCAAGTCTTCTTGAAGCTATCCAATCGACTCAAACATTTACTTGAATCTCCTATTCTAGGAAAAGAAAAATCGATATGCCATGACATCACTGAGGCTGCTATTATCACCAAAGCATCTGTTAGGTGCTAAACTGTAGGGCTGCCTGCTATACGCGTATAGAGTAGACAAATTCTGAAGCGCTACCAGATGTGGGTCTGTTGTGGAGCAGTGTCTTCCCTGGTTCGACTCGTTCAGACCCACATTCCCTGAGCATCTATACGCGTATTCGTTTGGAGTCGACTTCTATTAAAAACGAGATAGAAACCCAATAATAGAAATTCGAATTTTCATTGTCGTTACAACTTGGTTAAAAAGGGGAGCAGAAGTTTCTTATATGAAGGTCATATCTCTCAGCGGGTTGCTTTAAACCATACTTCCTCCAACTTCACCATGTCCCAACTAGTAGTCCGCGCCTATAAATTCTGGAACTATGTTCCCTCACTGCCAGCAGCAGCCATCTTCATGCTGGTATTCCTTGCCCTGACAGGTCTTCATACCTGGAAAATGATCAAGACCAAGACATGGTTCTGCATCCCCTTCACGATAGGCGGAGTCTGTACGTCGAAATGCCTTGCATCAATATTTCACCCGCTGACTTTCACAGTCGAGTTCATCGGTTATATCGGTCGCTGCATGGCACACAAGAACACTACCACAATGGGTCCATATATCCTGACCAACATCTTCACACTCCTCGGCCCGACGCTCTTCGCCGCCTCGATCTACATGACCCTCGGCCGACTCATCAGATCCATCCATGCAGAACACCTATCCGTCATTAAAATCACCCGACTTACAAAGCTTTTTGTATGGGGTGACGTGATCTCTTTTGTGGTCCAAGGCAATTCTTCCGGTCTCTCTGTTCTAGGATACCCTGATTGGGCCAAGCTCGTCGTGATCATCGGTCTTGCCATTCAACTTATCTCGTTCTCGGTCTTTTGGATAAGCTCCTTCGTTTTGGAGCGACGGATCCGTCGCTCGCCTACTGTTGAGTCTCTTCAGACTACCGTTCCTTGGAAGAAGTTTCTTTATATGTTGTATGCTGTTAGTACGCTGATCATTATTCGTTCTGCTTTCCGGGTTGTTGAGTATGTCCTGGGTCAGGATGGGTATCCACTTGAAAATGAATGGACGCTGTATGTATTTGATACGGTTCCTATGTCTGTTGTTATGGTTGTGTTTTATATGTGGTTTCCTGATTTGTTGAAGCCTTCTGCGCGGGAGGGAGACGCTTTACCTTTTGTTCATACTTATATCTCGCTGGAGGAACCAGCTAAATGATTTAGATGGGATAGGGTTGATACATACTTGAATGAATGTCAATAGAGCAGAATGCACAGCAACCTTGAGATTCTTACCGCATACAAACCTAACTTACGTGGGCTCCTTCAGCTTCACACAAGAGAATCTTGCGCCCTGATTGATAGAATTGGAAACAGTGTAATCTGCAACATGTACCTTATAATCATAATCTCGTCTCATAGTCATTAGTAGCGGATGCTGTATCATTTAAATTGATTTGGATCGCAAAGTTCGATCCACCGTGTCCCAATGTCATACCATCCACACATAATCATGGCGTGGCGGCGTCTCCGCAACAAAATAGGCACGATGGCATAACGGACAATTGTAATGATCGCCTAAAAACCATTTCTCCAAGCATTCCCGGTGAAAGACATGCAAGCAGCGCAACTCCCTTATCTCCTCGGAACGATCCACTTGTTCCAGACACACCGCACTTTATCCTGATCATCAGCATCCAAATTGCATAGCAGGATATGGGAGGTGCATACCAAACGAACTGGCCATCCACCGCCTCTGAAAGGCCCATCTTGCCCTTTGTCATGGTCCACCATTGCTCCAATGTGCGGGTCGGTGAAACCGCATCTAGACTGGCCAGTCGCTCGTCGGGATTCTTTCTTGACCGCAAAAATGAGCGACGATCGCGCCGGTTAATGACAATCGTCAACCTGAACGGGGCTGTCAGTACTCAGTACTCCTTGGTCGTGTCGCACGAATTCGGAGCGTAACCCGGATGACCTCGGAGGAAAGGGATACTTGGAAGAATGACTCAAGGCCTCTGGTAGTGTGAAAGAAAGCCAACTCACACTAAGCTTAGAACAATAAGCAGTACCACTCCGAGTCCAATGCCTAAGACGATGGCCATATGGCTCGTCTTGAGGTTATTGTCGTCGGCCATTACCCCCTTGCGAAACTCTTCGCTTTGTGCGATCAGCGGGGGATGGACCCGTAATCTGAGATCCAACACGAGGTGTCAAATCGAAGGAACACGTATCGTAGCGAACGGTTCAACGCCCAATCAAGAATCCGACTTACCTCTAACAAGGAGTGAAGTTCGCGTGTCCGGCGCGAAAGGGGGTCGGACCGGGAGAAGTGTAGGAAAAGAAAACAAAAAAAGAAATATCCACAGAGATGTGGCAACCTTGAGAATTTGGGGCTTTGGATTTTGGACTTTCGATTCGATAGGTCCCCATGCGCCCGTAAAAAAAAATGATCGACCCGTTCAAAGCGGGGGAGCTCTGGATAACACGAGCTGCTCCCATGCGGTCATGACTTTCCTTCTTTCTTTTTCCCCCTCCCTTGTCGTGGAGCCAATGGTGCTTCGAGTTGATGAAAGGGATGTGCCAAGGTGTGAACAAGTGGGAATGTTGATCGGCTGAATTATCCATTATTTTAGGTTGTGGAACTTATGGTCAGATGAGACTTGTATACGAATGGTGCCACCCTCCCCACTTTGTACTTGACTTTCTCCACTCTCCACTCTGATACTTTAATTCTTAAATGATGCTTCAATCGTCGTTGATCCCGCCTTTTCACTCTGGACCTCCTCCTCTGATACCCCGAGCGACCGATCAAAGAGCAGATCAATCTCCTCCAAAGTCTTCTGTTTGGTCTCCCGAAAGAAGAAATAAATGATGGGAAATGATACGCAGAGATCTAGACGGGAAGTCAGCAGGGGGGATCCACACGTTAAGGGGTAACGGATACTCACTCCATGCCACAAACACAAAATAAAGTCTCCACTGAATCTGTCCAAGGGCAATGGGTGAGACCTGATTCCACAAGGTATTGGTCGCCCAGTTACCAATCCCGACTGCGAATGCATTGCCCTTGCTGCGAATCTGCATTGGCATGACCTCGGCCATATAAACCCTGCCTTAGTGTGAGCAAACAAACAGACGTTAGAGAGGGGGTTCGTACCAGCTGCACGGCCCAAATGATACCGAGAAGGCAACCGATACAGCGAATAGGAAAAACACCCCGCCAATGCTGTATCCTACCCGCTGGCCATCTGGATTCTGGGAGGTGAGGATTGCCTCACAGGTCAACGCTATGGAAATTGCTACGGTGCCGAAGAGCAGGGGTTTCCGCCGCCCGACTCGGTCGAGGAAAAACACCACGAAGATGAGGTTGGCTAGTGGGCCCACACAGTTGTATATCCCTGCGACCAGTGTGTTGCGACTGCCTGTGATACCTAGAGCTTTGTACATGATCGTTTGGTAATATGTGATCACGTTGACGCCTGTCATCGCAGTGAACACCTGGACAGCAAGGCCATGACTGCAATTGTGAGCTTCGAAAATTACAAAGGAGCAAGGGATCGCGAACATACAGCATTCGAGTGCGCCATTTTGCAACAGTGAACATCGACACCCAACCAGGCTCTGCGACAGACTTTCCAGAGTCACTAGCCTGACGTATCTCGTTAAACTCTGCCTCAATCCAGTCGTCGTTGCTACCATCATAATGCAGTCTTCGAAGCACGCGCATGGCCTCTGCATGATGACCCTTCTCAACGAGGAATCGTGGGGATTCTGGCACGAAGACCATCCCAATGACGAGAACGAGAGCTGGCACAACTTGGAAGGCTAACGGGAACCGCCATTGGAGTTGACTGGTATCCGACGCACGGAGAGAACCATATCCCACCCATCTATGAACAGTCAGCATCCACTAAAGCGACTAATTCACAGGATTTGCCATACGTGCTGACAATAAATCCAACACCAATCATCTGCTGTGACAACCCCACGATCAAGCCCCTTGAGCGGGGATGAGCACATTCGGCTTGGTAAACGGGTACCGACATGGACATGATCCCGACACCCCAGCCCGCCAAAATGCGACCAGCAAGGATCATGGATAAATTCTGAGCCGCCGCCTGGAGCGTTGCGCCGACGAGGCAGATCAAAGCGCCCATCTGGATAGTGAACTTGCGACCGAAGCGATCGAGGGTGAAACCGCCTTGAAAGGCACCGATCATTGCTTTTGAGACCAGAATATTAACACGACAAATTCCTAATTATTCCTGGATTTCAAAGCTTACCACCGCCTGAATAGGTACTATTGATAGCCCCAATGATCGCCGAGGTCTGCGTTGTATGGAAGTATACCAAGAAGTTCGCTGAGTCGATCACATCGGTCATGACGCCACTATCATAACCAAATAGAAACGACCCCATTGCTGCCAAAGAGGCTATGAAAATGGGGTATAATCGGCCCATTGTCGATTACGCGGCCTCTTTGATGATCTCTAAATGAGTAGACAAGAAACCTCCCAATTGATCTCCATCACGGCGTAAAGACTGCACGATCTTTTTAATCCCCGACTCGCATGGACCAGGGTGCGGGGGCAAGGGGAAAGCGAACGCCCCAAGGTGACAGGGATCGTGCAGAGCATGAATCCGGGGTGCGACGGATCTGCCGTTCAGCCCACGGATTGTGGGGACCGGGGCGTGGTGGCCCGGTGTCGGCTTCTCACCCCGCACTTTGTATGGCTTGATTACTTTCTCGAATCGCTAGTTGTCTTAACCTTGCTACTTTTGAATTGTTGAGATGAGTTCGAAAAGCTTAAAGACAGACGCGTGGACTTTTTTGTGACTTGTGTCGGCATAATTCACCCGGCAGACTTGTTAGACTTTCTCCAATGGCGCGCTAGCCCTCTGTTAAAGCCGAATGTACTTCAAAATACTGGAAGCCAAACTTCCGGTCTTGGACGTTTTAGTCCTAGTCAATTACTTAGGAACCTCTAGCGAGTTTCCCAATTGAGTGTTTTGGGGATGTTGCCTTGGTTTTCACATAGCACAGACCCAAGGAACACATACTCGGATAAAAGACAAAAATCTGATATAAATTAGAGATCGGACTTTCATACCACGCATATCGGAATGAAGGGACACCGAACTCCTCCACGGAGTTTTGTCGCTACTTCCAAAATAGTGCCCAGACTAACTTGACTTCAAGCCCAACACGTCCAGCCCGACTAGCCTGATCCGCCCTGCCACGAAGATTCTCATGAGTGACCCAATTACCGCAGTGGATGAGCTTAGGCGATGCATAAAGAGATGTGAGTTTTCTGTCTTTGGTTCGACAGCCTCCAAATAATAGTTCATTTTACTGTGGTGAGAAATTCTGGCCTGTTTTCGAGAGGCGCTGGAATTAGATACCCCAATATACATAAAATCTATTTCCCCTTCACAGCGGACAATACTATAGAATACTAACACGGGACCTACAGTGAGTTATTTGCAATAAAATGAAGGACTGGCATTCCAAGACCAAGCTCTGTATCCTCAAACTATATCTTCGGGAAAATGAGAGGGATGGCTTTTTCTCATACAAAGAGGAGTATCAAGGTCTCTAGGAGGTACAAAACCCAGGGTTTTAGAGAGGTGTAGATAGAGAGCGAATTGAATACTAGTAGTGGAATGGCTGCGAGTTTGCGTTGTGTAATGCGGAGTGTTTACTTCGGGTGCAGGTTGAAGCCTGTTAAAGTGGTTGGGTTTCCACCAAGGTACATCACCGATCGATTTCCCTCTCAAGATAAGTAGACCAAGGCTTCTAGGGGGCTTAATAAATAAGACCTTTGATAATCAATTACAGATTTATTCTTAACCGAAACCCAAGCTGTGTATATGCGAATATGAAGCAACTGGTCAATGGCGGAAAAGGTCACGTGAATACGTGTTTTTCGCGTTCGGGGCTGTTTGGCAATTCGCATACCGCGGTCTTATATCCCGGGACCTTTGGATCTGTTCTCGGAATACCGGGGCCATGATGACATGTAGAATGCTGCATACTAGAGCCGCTAAGATTCTTAGGATCTCGCGCATTCTATAACGTGACGTGGGACACGCGATGGCCCCATCGTCCGTGGCCGCGGTGGGGAATCCCGAATTACCTCCGACCGCGTCTATGGAAAGTAAATAAAGAACAATTCAACAGATATTAAAGAGTTGTTAGTAAAATGGAAATTAGGAATCGTAGCAATGCATCTTGCCATGAAATATCAGGTAAATTTAAGACGAAAAAATCATCCTGAACCTTGGAGGCAAAGACTAGCGCGGGCACGGTCTCGATTCCTCCGCGTCCACAATCGCGACGCGATTCCGCTACTTGGTTTGCATACTCTTTCTCTGCACCAGCCTCACTCCCAATTTCTTTTTATCTTTTCCTTTCCTTTTTCCTTTCTGTTGTATTTTGGCTTTGGAATTGCCTTGAACGAAAACATCCTCTATACCTCTTCCCCCTCCATGCTCTGTTGAGACTATGTCTGACCCGGAGCCATCGGTGGCTGCCGCTTCGTCCTCGCCATCTCTCCCGGCCACCGAATGCAATGCCTTGAACTACGCCTTCCTCGTTCACTCCCAGAAAACTCTCACCCAAAACCTCCCACCGCGCGTCGATAACAAGCTACTGGCTCGCCAAAAACGACGCCGAACGAGGTAAGTTCGGCCATTGGTCGACCCACTGGACCTGCTCTCGAATGCATGTTTTTCTAACAGCATGACCGTTCGGATACAGTCCCGAAGATCATGCAATTCTAGAGACCGAGTACCAGAAAGATCCTAAGCCGGACAAGGTTGCTCGCGCGAATATTGTGAATCGCGTCTCGCTCGGCGAGAAAGAGGTCCAAGTACGTGACGCCAAGACCTCGCGCCCCAAAAATCCTCCACACCGTAGAACCGCATGACTGATAACTGCAGATCTGGTTTCAAAATCGCCGCCAGAACGATCGACGGAAATCACGACCCCTCCAGCCACACGAACTGCTTGCTCCTCGATCGAGTATGTCGGACTCTGTGGGACATCCTTCTAGCGATGATAACGCGTCCGCGGAACCTGGGTCGTCGAGTGGGGCAGAGCAGGTCGACAACCAAGACCGACCGGGGGAATCCAGGCCAAAATCGTGGGGTGGCGAGCTGTTGCAGTTATCTGATGACTTGGAGCCAGTGACAAGTGAGAGGGAGGAGCCTGAGCTGCCACCGCAGAGCACACAAACAAGCGTCGCAACCGCAGATTCTTTGGACGATACCCCGCCGACCACGCAGGAAGAATTCCCCGGAGCGATTTCAGGACACAACGCGAACGAGACAATACTGGAGGAGTCAGTAACGGCACCGACACGGAAGCGATCGATTTCTGAGTTTCAGGATGAGGGGGTATCACAAGAAGAGCCACGCACAGATCATGTCATGTCAACACCAACCAAGTCACCACCCTCACTACGACTGTCCATGTCGTTTGATGGAGAAGCCATGGTAAGAAAGGAAGACGAGATGACTCCGTCGCCGCCCAAGGGTCGAAACTCATTGCGAATTGCCATGTCGTCCGATGGCAAGGCCGTCATACGTGCAGAGAATGAACCGTCCCCATCCAAGAACAGAGTGGCTATGTTCTCAGTACGCCGCACAAAACTCTCAGGCTTGCGTCGCAGTAGTAGTGCAATCTTCCCAACCACGCCGCGAGCAGGCATGACTGAGAATGATCGCGCCTTTGGCCGATCGCGTGATCCTCGCAATTGGGAATCATTCTTTGACACAGACGCGCGGAGCGCCCTATCCACACCTGCCAGCTCCCAGACTGCGCCAAACCCCCACTCATCTCCTAGCCTCTTCCAATCCCGCGGTCCGCGTTCCCTCACCCGCAGTGCGTCGACAAGACATAGTCTCCTCTCCGCCCACGCCGACCTTTCCCGTACCCCTATTTCACAGGCGATGGGAGAAAAGCGACGAAGGCTTTCTCGCACTGTTTCATCTATGGGCAGGTTAGAGACTGAGCGCAACCGCTTCAACTCTCATTCCAAGCTGTCCAAGTTCACCACGCCTTCAAAGCCCGGCAAACTGGATCTGGAGTTGGATCCTGGTGACTCAGATAAGGAAAATTGGGTCCCAGGAACTCGTGCATCTCAAGTTCGCCGTCGGACATCATCTCATACTACCCGCCCTGCTCTGCGTGACGCAAACCGGAATCACGGGTTAGGGCTGACAAACGGGAAACGCAACCGACCATTCGCTGGCGCGCAGGGCAAGGCCCCGCCAGAACTGAGTGCAGAGGTTTCTGCATTCATGTCTGGCGGTACAGGAGATAGCCAAGAAGATGATTTGGACTGTGTCCAGGGGCTCCTTTCCTTGAGTCAAGGGGCGTGGCGATAGCGATAGCCCCTGCCCGCTTCATTCGCGGGGATAAAAAAAAGGGTCCAGGTACAGATGATGTATCTGCTGTCAGCGCCATCTACTTTCCCCACCTCCGCCAATAATTTCGGCGATTTCGTTTTCTTCTTTCATTTTCTTATGTTTTCTTTTCTTGTTCGTCTCATGATTCTGATCGATGTGTGCTTGCAAGCGGTTCTTCGCCACATCCTCGTCACGTGAACTACATGATCCCTTGATTCTAGGTCCGTTGAGTCCTATTTGTGTGCATATCTGCTCCCTGCGAGTTGTTTTGGCTTGCTGTGCGGGATTTGGATATGATGTGCCTATATGGCTCTGTCTCGTCGCTGGTCGCTGTTGTTAGGACCAACTGTGGGAGATGGCTCCCGGTATAGATAAAACTAATCCTGGAATGAAACCCCAGTAACGATCCAATGATGAAGACTTTAAATGTTGACTTCGTACGCCCGAGGCATTAAACGATCAATGTTCCATTCTCGAAGTCCAGGCTTATACTCAATAGTATCACTAAATAGTATTGTTCATCATGAATTCACAGGTACTCGTATATGCATTCAATAATCTACAAAATCCCAACAATATTCACTTATCACCTCACCCTTGGAAATCTATGACCAACTACAATTTCCCAGCCGAAGGTAAAGAATCATCTCTCCCCCCAGAAACACCCACAACCCCCAACCCCCTCCTCTGACAAACCTGACCCGCAACCCTCTCCCCGCTCCAATAAGCACCAGTAGTAGTACCAAGCGCCACGAACGGTGCCGTATGCTCACCAGCAAACCACAATCCCCGTTCCTCACCAACCCCAACCCCAGACCGCATAGCCTCGATATCACGATCACCCTGCTCCAACCCAACCTGGAAATTGCAATAAGATCCATATCCGGCATACGGATCTGTCTGCCACTTCGTTGCTAAAATGGTACTTGGCACACAGTCTGGCGAGGTTGCGTCGTAACCGGGTAACTTCGAGTAGAAGGGCTTGAGGACTTTCATCAATGTTTCCTTGTATTCTTTTGAAGAGCGATCGAGGGATGCAATGCTTTGTACTATTTCTGCACCGCCTGGTCCGTAGGTGTAGAATAAGAGTGTTGGATGGGCGCATGGTGACGGGAATGAGGCCATTGAAAGACATTCTTGATTCCATTCTAGGTTTTCTGGGTGCTCTGCATAGGATGGGTCGAGGAATTGGGTGAATGTTGGGTTGGTAGGGAGAGTTGACTTAGTGTCTTTGGAATCCGAGTCTGTTTGCCAGAAGGCACGGGGGAATTTCACGAAGATTTTCTCTAGGCGGCCGAAGGAGATGCTTTCCATTGCTTGTTCAAGTCGGGGTGGGAGAGCAGGCGTGAATGCATTTTTGTTGTTCTTTAGCCAGCCGAGTGGGCAGGTGATCACCAAGTCGTCGAAGGTGAAGCGGTCTCCTGAAAGTGTTGTCACAGTTACTTGGTGGTTGTTTATAGATTCGTCTGTTTTCCGGGGTGGAGCTTCGATGTTCACGACTGGGTGGTTGAGTTTGATGTCGGCATGGGATTGAGCTGCTTTGGCAACTTGCTCTAGGATGCGTTTGTGGGTTCCAGCTACGAAGTAGTTGTCTTTGAATTGTTAGTTTAGGTAGAAAAAAAAAGGGTTCAGGCCAATGCGGAGATGAAAACTTACATCCGTCAATGCATTCTTCCAAGCGGAAGAACCTAAGACTCTGTCTGTGAATGGGTTCGCCCACATATGCGCCCCAGAGCTTGCATGCATCCAGAACAAGCTGCTGCTCCTCGTCTGAGAAATATGACTCCCGGGCCTTCATTTGGAAGAAATCGTAGAGACTTTCTTCGGGGCTGATGCTCTCTCCACGCTCATTGCTGTACGTGAAGGCATCTGCGATGGTGGTCCATACGAATTCCGAGATTCTAGTCCCGAGGTCCTCGCTGATGTATTTTCCATCGCGGGAGACCATGAAGTTTCCACCTTCGGGGTCATAAGTGACAGTCTGAGTCTTTCGAGCCATGGTCATAATGGGGTTCTCGCCCTGGCCATGAATCCAATTTGCTCCCCTATCAAAGATGTCAATTTATATCTGGAATAAGAAGCCTCCCCTTCCCAAAAGGAAAAAATTAGTCACATACATGTCAACTACGTGACCTTCCAACTCGTCTTGATAAACCTATCAGTACCATAACCCTTAGCCCACAGCCCCTCAATACATGCATTGGACTCATTTTCCATGAATTCAGCAAGGATGAACGGGGAATAACATACCCGTCCACCAATCCGATTCCTAGCTTCTAAAATGGTGACCTTTGCCCCATTTTGAATGAGGATATCGGCACAGCGTAGACCCGCAAAGCCGGCGCCAATGATACCAACGTGCGGCTGGGAGCTCATGATGGCGGCGCGTGGAGAAAAATGGCGACTATTGAGAGGAACTCGACGAGCGCACTGAATTGCTGTCCTGTACATGGAAATGCCGGCTGGTCGAAGTTGTGGTAAAGTTTCCGCGGTTGATGGCACTGATAGGAGTGGGACCAGGGTTCGCGGGTGATTGGCTGACGTTTGTTCTATGGGCCGCTTGGTCTTTGGCAGACCCTGGGGACGTTGAGGCACTTTATTGAGTATGTAAATAGGTATGTACACTCATTGTCTCACAAATAGATCGTAGAATGGTTTTTTGTTGTTTTAGTGGCGGCAGATTCTGAGGTAAAGTCATTGGCATCACTTTTTGCTGCACTGTCTTGTCTGTAAAATGCCTTAAAACAGCTATGAGCATCTCCCTGAATCTTACTACAAGAATATTATCTCTTACATGGTCGATTTGGTCGGAAAATGACCTTTCATTCAATTCTGGGCGCAGGGCCGGAACTAGAAACACAATGCAGATAGGCCCACGAGTAAGATGCTCCGAGACCATGGTATTGAGCAAAGATAACAAGCTGAAATCAAATGTTACACCCAGACAAGATAAAGATTATGCTCAGCATAATAAATGAGAAAGCCATGCGCCTAGTCAGTCTTCCTCACGCGCCGAGTAAAAGCAGCAAAAAAAACATTGGAAAGGCAAAGCACCCTCAAACTCCTTTTGGTGTGATGATATCGCAGAAAGATGGAGAAATGAGAGAAAGTATGTACGTGTCGGATACAAGTGGGTATCAAGTGATGTCAGGGCGTAGGAGAAAGGTAACCCAACGACTAGATTGCACCTGCAGAGATCAACTCCAGAGGGAAAGCGTGCGTGTCGGAGAGGATTGCGGGGTAGGATGGGAGATGCTGTGGCGTCCGCATGAGGTCAGAGCAACAAGCCTTGCTTTGACAGCGCAGGCTTTTTAGTCCTCCCAGATAGTCTCCAGGTCGAGATCCTGACGGCGCTCTGCGCCACAGACACTCCATCGCTTGCGACCACCGCGCATGGCATTGAGAGAGTTGGAACTAGATGTGTCGGATGTACCGCGTCGTCGATTGTTGTTGCTTGCTGCATCAGCTGCATCGGCCGCGGCCTTTAACTCAGCGATCCGATCATCTTCAATGGCCTCCGCCTCCGCGTCAGGAATGTCGGGAATGGTTTCCAGAGAGGAAATGCTAGGACTGCGGGATCGAAGACTGGTCGGGGTTGACGGAACGGACGAAGAGGAGGAAGCGGAGACGCCGGGATATGATTCGTTGTATTTTCCGTTCAGAGTGGGGGAGGTATGCATGGAGGGCGGGCTGCTAATCGGGGGTTGCAAATGAAGGGGGGAAGTTGAGCGCATGCGACCGATGCGGGGGAATGCCTGCGGCATCAAGACGGGAGACGTGCCTGACTGCGAGGAGGGCGACTTGGGCGCCGTCTCCAGTTCGGCGTTCTCAGAGATCGTCTCGGAAATGTTAAGCGACCCCAGACGGGTCTCGATGTGATCGTCCATGCGCATCTGCAAGGGCACTCGCTTTGCATCGGCTGGTGAGGCAGGCATCCCGCGGCTGTTGACAAAGATATATCTTCCCCGAGAGTCCAGCCCTGGGGAAGAGTATGCGCGCGTCATGGATGGCATGCCGGGGATTCCCACCAGTGATCGCGAGCGGAGATGCGATCGGGGTAAAGGGGATCGGGTCCGGGATGGTGCCGGCGGTTCGGGAGAGACAGACAAAGTGACCATGACGTCTTCCTTTCCCACCCGTTCCGAAGATACATCAGAGTTGAGTTTATTGGGTTCGCAGTCGGACTGAGGAGGGCGCATGGCCTCCAGTCGTGGCGACCCTTCCATGTCGATCAGGTCGAGAAAAAGGGGAAGGGGGAGAAGTTGAAGGTGATCACGGGCGCATCATAGCAAGGGAACACAATGAAAAAAGAAACCTTGGGCCGGCCAAGCTTGAAGATGTGAACGGAGTTCGTTGGAGAGAAGAAAGGTGGAAAGGGTGGAGGGGAGAAAAAAAAAGAAGTTCAAAGAGTTGAGGCGAAAAAGGCAGGTCCAGACCGCGGAACCCTGACACGCCTCGCTTTTGATACTTTTGATTCGACGGATTCACGATGGTTTCTATACAAATTTTGATTTTGTTCTATTGGACTATTAAGGGGTTGAATCGGGGTTTTCTTTCGTACTCTACATGAATCTATTGAGATCTGAGATTCGGAGAGCGACGGGGTTTCATCCATGGATCGGTTCACAACGGAGATACATGTGATCCTTCAACCAATCGTAAGAGCCCGTCGCCGCAGTTTATCTGGACGTCGTAGGTTTCAATAATGCATGGATTTGATTTGATATGTTTATTGTTTGCCTTCACAAATGTGGAAACATGGTACACTCAATGTAACATAGGAAATTACGGATTGCCCTTGCCCTGATCTAATTATATCCAATGTTGACATCAAAATTAACATCAAAGTTTTCTCCGCTTTCTAGAAAATGTGTGGCTCTAGACTCGTCAGATGAAGAAACTGCGTAGGATGAACCATGGTCTCTCTTTCCTGGATGACGCCATTCATGGCCAGACCTCTTCAACACAAAAGCACAATGTTCGGCGTGTCCGATAGCTAAGTATAGAAAGCTATCTCGATCGACAGAACCACACGCTCTCCAGCGATCAGCATAACCGGGATCGCTGTAGTGCTTGGGTGAGTATGAGATAAGGCATGAGAGTCAATAAATGATCACATATCCCTTGGGCCTAGATGTCTATTCGCCTTCCTTATTGGCGACTCTATTGAGTAAGCCAAGTCTGAAGATTGAGATCCTTGGATCGGGAATTAAAATCCCCACACAAGGACTAGTGTCCGCAGTGGGGGCTCAGTGCGAGACTGTGTCAGCATGAGACATTGTCGGGACAACCCATGGGCCTTGGTGCCCGACTTGATTTCTATTCTCCATCTCGTACTGCTAGGGCACTGGTCTGCATCTAGACAGACTCGAGCCCAAAAGTAAACAGTATCCAAAGATTTTGATTCTGGGTACCAAGGATCTAGACGGCCGAAATGGTTCCATATGTTTGAGATTGACATTTTGAGACATGTTACATCGGACTGAGACTAAGTATTATACTAATGGTTGGGTAGTGGATCAATGTACAATCATGGTAGAAGGAGACAAAAGAAAAGGAAAAACGAAATGGGGGAAATCAAAAATAGATCAATAGATCATCAGTGAGCACACTCATGTGTCATCTCATCCTTGCACTTGGTGGCTTGGTCTTTCCGCACGTACGTCTCGCGAACCCCATCGCCCTCGTTCTTGAGCACCTCCCATTCTCCCATACCCAGATAGGTAGGAGCAATACGTACACCACGACCACCGCCACCGACAATGATGTTACCAGGGCGGTATTTGGGGTCAGCTTGCATACGCCGGATGGCAGACACGTGAATTTCAGCGTCGAGCGGCACGTCACGGACCTCACCACGCGGCAGCGGCCAGCGAATAGGTTTCCACGAACCGTCATCCTGAAGATCCATACGACGGAACGGTAGCCACTCCATGATCCGCCAGGAAATAACAGAGGTGTGGGGTAAGCCTTGCTTGAACTCAAGACAGTCGTGCAGTAGACCTTTCGTGCTGGATGTGTGCAGCGCATGCCAGAAGTCACGGCTGGCAGCAGAGCGCTGCTTCTCATTGGGGCCAGTGCGGTAGGCGTCGGGGTCGTCATGACCCGGCTGCTGACTGATGCGACTACCGCGGCGGTTGCCAATAGTTTCCTGGATGGGAGTGTAGTCACCGTCGAACTCCTCCAGACACTGGAACTGCTTCATCTTGCGCTCATCTAGTTCCAATCCTGCTTTGTGGGCTTCTTGCACCATCCACACTAATGGAGCATGACTCAGGGCCCACATCTCGCCGTCTTGGAGTTTCCATCCTCCACCAATATCGGCGTGACATCCTGGGAACCACACCTCGTGAATATCCTGTTCGTCGTCATCACTATCGTAGCCATCGCCAGCATGGCTGGGAACCTGGATAGACAGGTTGCCAGAATGACCACTGCGAACTGATCTGGAATCATCCATGGATGCCCCTCCGTTAGGGACAGTCAAGCCAGCTCGCCTCGGGGATGATGCGCGGTACCGATGAGGCTTCTCTCCGAAGTTGCTGTCACTGCCCTGGTTCGAAGAGCCGGCGTGGATGTGGGAGTTAGAGTGATAGTATGACTCGCCTGGGTTGGGACCCCATCCAGGATTCTCCAACGGGGGCACTCCCTCATGCGGGGCCACTTTCTCCTCTCCAGGGCTTGCGGTATCGTCATTCAAACGAATAGCCGGCACTTCATCGGGATGTGCATCCTGCTGTTGCGTGCGCTGGCCATCCTGATGGCGGAGATGCAGATGGTGTTGAGCATCCGTGTGGCGTGCCATGTGGTTCTCGAAGTGGGGAGTGTGGGGCATGTGTGGCAGAGGAAGGTGGTGACGATGGTGCTTGTGCTTGTCTTGCGGACGCTTTCCGGAGATTAAATCCTGACGGAATTTGGCACGGCGCTCGTCAATACCGACCGCATGACGAATGACCCTGGCGGAACTGCGGGCTGTATAGGGGAACTTGCTGCGCTGCATCCAGGCATTTTCGAAACGCGGGACACTGTTGACAGTATCGAAAAGTCCCATAAACTTAATGCGCGTGATCGGACGACTGAATGTTTCACGGAAAGCCTTCATATACTCGAATAGTTTCTTCTTCTCCTCCTGGTCCTCATCGGAATCGCCTTGGCGCTGCTGCCACTTGGCAAAAGTCTTCCAGGCGAAGCGAATCAATTCCTCGTTACCGGCTTCGAGCAGACCGATGTAGTCAAGCATCTCGGCCAAGAAACGCGCGATATATGACCCACGACTGAAACCAATGAAGAAGATCTCGTCACCGGGAGAATAGTATCGCATCAAGAACTTGTACCCACCCATCACATGCTCATCGAAAGAAGATCCGATGGCCGAATCTTTGGCTTTTTGATACCAGGATTTGATGCGCTGAATGCGACCATGGCTGCTGAGTGACTTTGATGTCACATAGGTACCAATACCGGGTTGGTAGTAATGGTACTGATGTGGTTGACTGCGATCCAGCATCTGTTGGCAGTTCGATTAGTTGCTATTTTCTTCATGTCCGACAATCGGAGGACTTACGCGAAAGATTTTTAAAACATTACTGTCCGATTCATCACCGGCAAACTTGTTGCCAGTTCCATCGAAACAGAGCACAAACTGCTTTGGGGCCTGTGAAGGCGCGACGTGCTGAGCCATAATCGCAAACAAAGGGTGTATTATCCCGAGAGTGGCCCTCACGGAAACTATGAATGGGAAAAATTGGGGATTTACGAGGACAAGCTACAGCTTTTAGGGCGTGGAGGGGCGCACTTACCGCGAATCAGGGCCCAGACGGCTGCAGGAGGGGGTTGGATAAGAATGCTCCAAGCGTGCCCTCCACTGAGACGATCCCTGCAGACCCGAATACGTCAAATTCAAGTGGGATGTGGGACTCGGCATTGGCACATTCCATTTATGGATCCAACATGCATATCCTTGGATCCTCCTCCGATTTTACGGCTTTTGCTTTGATAAACCCTTTGTCCCCTATCCTATGACGCGAACGCTATGGCGCGGGAAAAATGAACCAAACACCAAAAAAAATACCACGAAATAAGAAAATCTTGCCCCGAAAAACAGGGCAACAGGGCTGACCCTAAGTTAGCTGCTGTTGTACAGAAACAGCACACTTATCTAACAGAGACGCAACTCACCCAATCACCACTATGTCTCGGATCGCATGGCTCTTACATAGTTTACCTGGGCTGAACTGGTCACTCAAAGCTGCACTGCACCCATTAGTGGGGAATCCACAAAGCTCATCCCGGAAAACCGACCAAAAAAAGGAAATAAAATTCAAACTTGCAGACCACAAATCGAGACACTACGCGACACCGATGGAGACTGGGAGCATGACGGAGACGGGGTTGGACCTATGAGAAATCGTGTACGGGAGAAAGATACACATGAGCTTGTATGGCTCGGGACATTATTGTCGATCGTTCTCCACGCACCGACCAGCTCCTTGCTAATGGATCTGTACGAAAAAAGGGGTGTAAGAGAAGAGGGGGCGTTCATCTGTATTTTTTCCCTTTTCCGCATCTTGATCGAGACTTCGCCGCCACTACGCCCAAAGTGTCACATTTTCCACATCGTGGGCCGCTCGGGACCCACCATTCTGCCGTCATCTGAAGATTCTCCCAGGGTTTGGGAACGAATGACGCGGACCGAGTACGGGTTTAAGGAATTACAGAAGAGTTTTTCTCTGGTGGAACCGGATCAGCTCACAGAAACCTTCTCCTGAAGTTTAGTGCTAATTACGGCTGAGCGCAATCACACGAGAGTCAATGCTTTATGAGGATTATTGCGATTGTTATGCCTGCATTGTTTTACACAATGGGTGCCAAAGCCTCCGGGAGTGGCCGCGTTCCCCGGACATGCCATAGTTGCCCGACCCGTGGTTTGGTGGCTTCACTGCGATCAGGGTCTCGATCAACCGTGGAAAGCACTGGGCAGTGACATCTGGGATCTTCCTGATCTCCATTCATTTTTTATCCCTAGAGTATGCTACCTGATGCATCTGTTTCACGAGGTGGAAAACTTGGAAAAGTACAACGAGGACCCTAAGGGGGGTGGGGGAGAGTTACGATGCATCAGGTTCTGATTAATTTCTGCCGATGACTGGCAGGTTGGTCCCGCCAATGACCAGGAGCACATAGCGGTTCGTGCTACCCATTCAGTCTTCTTGGCGCACGCTAGAGTCCATAGTGGGAGAACATGTGGGTCAGCATTGCCGATCCATCTCATCATGGGAAAGATGGGATGAGCGAAAGAAAAACATGCAGCTACAGTAAAACTGTAGGCCTGCATCTGTATTGCGGTAGCACTTGCATCCCTTGCCTCACATCCTCAACTGTCAATGATGAAGGTATGACAGTCATCGTAGGGCACAGGGCACATATATGATTCAGCTCCTCAAAATCCCTGTTGATGCGCGATCGTCCCAGCCAGCCACGGGAGAGGAAAGCGAGTTTTCCGATCGGGAGGTCAAGCGCAAAGTTACCATGACAATCCCCCACTTAGCGTCGCCATAGCCCATCCGGCTGGATCTCAAGTTATTGTGGGGCTTCATGACTCCACGACTCCGAGATTCGGTTCCATACGGAGTACACCGCTACTGTAATTTGACACGATTTCATTGGTCTGTTTTCCTCCTATGGGGAAAAAAAAAAAAAAAAAAAAACCATCGTACGCACGGGGGAGAGCGCGAGACGACACCAATTCTTTTAGCTGTGACGCAACCAGCTGAAGTTCGTCTCTATGGTGATACTGTTGACTAGGGGTTCCGTCGTTCCATTCTCCCATCTTTGGTGACGTGCCGTGTTCAATTGCCTAGCCCACCCCCTTTCTCAGTCAACCATGACGCTCTCCACTCGAGGAGCAAGAGGGTGATCAATTACTCAGTTCAGCCGTTCGTCATTGTAAGAGCCATGCTGGAGTGGGGGCACCTCAGCAGCTGGGCCTCGAGCTTGTCCCACGCGGGGCCATCGAGCTGATTGGCCCGAGCCACAGCCTCCGGGCAGATCAATGCTAGTGAACCTGTCCATCTCCAATCAGATCGGGTCTGACAGTCAATCAACTATTGGCGATAACAAATCCGCCACCTATGGGGGCTCCACAGTTTTGCAGCTGCGGTGACCTAGGGCGCCCGCACAGCTCATTTTTAAATCCGAGGCGCAAGTACTTCTTGACCTGCCCCCCCTGATTTAGCTTGTTAGCCACTTTTTTTTGTCTTTACTTTTTCTGTATCTCCATTCGAGTGACTTGATTGTGAGAGACTCACACCATGTCCATGTTACGGAGATTCTCTACCCAGTTCAAAAAGAACAAGGATGCCAATGGCGACGCCGAGCCTAAGGCTGAGAAGCAGAGCAAGCGCTTCTCCAAGGCGCCAAGTACTCCGCCTAAGGAGGAAAACACCGACACACACCAGGTGAAGCGCTCCGAGGTCGTCGCAGTGTTCGAGAAGTATGCGCAGGCTATTCACGCCTCGCGCGAGCCTATGCCCAACCAGACTGGTGATGGCACATATTTGAAGCACGACCAGTCCAGTGGACTGATCGCGGACATCAAGTCTCTCGGATTCCGCGATGTCAACACTGTTAAGGACCTGATTAAGAACAAGGCTTCCGGTGAATTGATCGATGACAAGACCTATCTTATGGAGCGCATTATTCAGGTACGAGCAAAAAGCATTGCAATTGAAATAGCAATTGGAAGAAACTAATTGAATTTGCGATGAATAGCTGGTTGCCGACATGCCCGGCCACTCCAAGAACCGTGTCGAGCTCACAAATGGATTCCTTGATGAATTGTGGAACTCTTTGCCGCACCCCCCGCTCTCGTAAGCATCCTCCAATTGCACCGAATTTTGAAGGATCCGTGCGACTAACACGATAAATAGTTTCATGGGTGATGATTACAAGTACCGTTCCGCTGACGGATCCAACAACAACCCCACACTCCCCTGGTTGGGTGCTGCCAATACCCCTTACTGCCGCACCATTCCTCCTCTCGCAATCCAGCCCAGCGGGTTGCCTGACGCCGGTCTAATTTTCGACAGCCTGTTCGCCCGTCAGGAGTTCACCCCTCACCCCAACAAGGTGTCCAGTGTTTTCTTCGACTGGGCTTCATTGGTTATTCACGGTAAGGAGTTATTGCCTAATTCAGATGACGCACAAGTATTAACGATTCTATAGACATCTTCCAAACTGACTACCGTCAACCACACCTGAACAAGACCTCTGCCTACCTCGATCTCTCCATTCTTTATGGTGATGTGAAGGAGCAGCAGGACCTGATACGGTCCCACAAGGATGGTAAGCTGAAGCCTGACTGCTTCTCCGAGGGTCGTCTGAACGCTCTTCCTCCTGCTTGCGGTGTCTTGCTGGTTATGCTTAACCGTTTCCACAACCACATCGTTGAACAGCTTGCTGAAATTAATGAGAATGGCCGTTTTACCAAGCCTGGGTCCAAGCTCACTGGCGAGGACGCTGAGAAGGCCTGGGCCAAGTACGATGAGGACCTGTTCCAAACTGGTCGTCTGATCACTTGCGGTCTGTACATTAACATTACTCTGTATGATTACCTGCGTACCATTATCAATCTCAACCGCAGCAACTCTACTTGGTGCCTGGATCCCCGCGCCCAGATGGAGAAGTCCGGTGCTACTCCCTCTGGTCTGGGTAACCAGTGCTCCGTCGAGTTCAACTTGGCTTACCGCTGGCACTCGGCCATCGCCCAGGGCGATGAGAAGTGGATCGAGAAGATCTACTATGACCTCATGGGCAAGCCCGCTGACCAGGTTACCATGCCCGAGCTGCTTATGGGTATGAAGAAGGTCGAGGGCATGCTTGATGCTGATCCCTCCAAGCGTGAGTTTGCTCACTTGAAGCGTGGACCGGATGGTCGGTTCGACGACGGCGAGCTTGTCTCTATCCTCAAGTCTGCTTCTGAGGACGTTGCCAGCTCTTTTGGACCCCGCAATGTCCCCAAGGCTCTGCGTTCCATTGAGATTCTCGGTATGGAGGCTGCCCGTCGCTGGCAGGTTGGTTCCCTCAACGAGTTCCGTAAGCACTTCGGCCTGAAGACCTACGACACCTTCGAGGAGATTAACTCCGACCCGGAGATTGCCAACACTCTGCGTCACCTGTACGAGCACCCTGACTACGTCGAGCTGTACCCTGGTATTGTCTCTGAGGAGCCTAAGGAGCCCATGATTCCCGGTGTCGGTATCGCCCCCACCTACACCATCTCCCGTGCTGTCCTCTCCGATGCCGTGGCTCTTGTCCGTGGTGACCGTCACTACACCGTTGACTACAACCCCCGTAACATGACCAACTGGGGTTACAACGAGTGCCGCTACGACTTGAACATCAACCAGGGCTGTGTCTTCTACAAGTTGGCTACCCGTGCCTTCCCCAACTACTACAAGCCTGATTCTATCTACGCTCACTACCCCATGACCATCCCCTCCGAGAACCGGAACATCATGAAGATGCTTGGTCGTGAGAACGACTACTCTTACGATGCTCCTGCCTACATTCCTCCCCGTGTCAACTTGACCTCGCACCAGGCTGCCAAGCTCGTTTTGACCAACCAGGCCGACTTCAAGCCCGCTTTCAGCTCTGCTTTGGAGGACCTGTTTGGCAAGGGCAAGTTCGATTCCCAACAGCAGGAAGCCATTGGCAAGGCTCTCGCCACTGAGGAGTTCCCCAAGCTCATTAAGAAGTTCTACGAGGAGACCACTCTGCACCTGATCCAGCAGAACGGTGCCAAGCTCGCCAACATCAACCAGATTGACATCACCCGCGATGTTGGTAACTCTGCCCACGTCTACTTTGCCTCCGCTCTCTTCGGCCTGCCCCTGAAGACCGAAGAGAACCCCTCCGGTCTCTTCACCCAGCACGAGATGTACATGATCCTCACCACCATCTACTCCGCGCTCTTCTTCGATGTTGACGCCCCCCGCTCTTACCCTCTGAACCGCGCCGCTACCGCTGTTGCCCAGCAGCTCGGCTCTGTCGTTGATGCCACCGTCAAGGCTGACACCAACACCGGCCTCTTGTCCGGTCTGATGAACAACTTCCGTCCCCACGACAACGCCCTCCGCGAGTTCGGCACTGGCGCTCTGCGCCGCCTAAAGGAGTCCGGCCTGTCTTCCTCGGAGATCACCTGGTCCCAGGTCATCCCCACCATTGTCTCCCTGGTTCCCAACCAGGGCCAGGTGTTCACCCAGGTCATCGAGTACTACACCGGCGCTGGCAAGCAGCACTGGGCTGAGATCAGCCGTCTCTCCAAGGAGGAGTCCGCCGCCAGCGACGAGCAGATCTACCGCTACTGCCTGGAGGCCATCCGTATCAACGGAACCTTCGGTGCCTACCGCGAGGCCCAGAATGCCGTCAGCGTGGAGGACAACGGCAAGTCCGTTGACATCCAGCCCGGCGACAAGATCTTTGCTTCCTTCGTCGAGGCCAACCACGATGCCAGCGTCTTCCCTGAGCCCACCGAGGTTAAGCTTGACCGTCCTATGGACTCTTACATCACCTCTATCCAGGGTGCTAGCACTGGATTCGGTAAGGAGATCACCAAGATTGCTCTCGTTGCCATGATCCGTGTTGTTGGTCGCTTGGAGAACCTCCGCCGCGCCCCTGGTGCCCAGGGCCAGCTTAAGAAGATCCAGCAGGAGGGTGGTTACTACGTCTACCTCCGCCAGGATGGCACTTCTTACTTCCCCTTCCCTATGAGTAAGCTACACCACTTCACTTTTAACAAGCTTTGTTTTGAATACATGCTAACGGATTACTATAGCTCTCAAGCTCCACTGGGACGGCGACTTCAAGTTCGAGCAGAAGCAATAAGCTGCTTTCCCAGCAAAAATCATCTAGCCTTTTTTAATATAGGACTTTTACTGTCCTGGGCTTGGAATAATGTTGGGTCTCTTGTACGAGTGGCCATGGTTAACGTTTTGAGTTTATTGTTTTTGAGGATATCCGAGATTGTGCTTCTATGGGAGCTTTGTCTCTCACTTTGTATAGTTCAATGATGACACTTATATGATAATTCCTGTTTCACTATATCTTGGTTCCCCTACAAGTTTCCTGGGGTCTACGATAAGGGCAAGTCTAGGATGTAAAGTAGTGGGAAATATCAATTTTATATTCTGGTAAAGATAATATAAATTTAGCTCAAAATAGCATCAACAAGTAATGACTAATTTTCCATCTCTTGCTCTACTTCGGTATGATGGAACCGGCAAAAATAAACTATCTGTACAAGCATCAAATACTCATTAGAAAGCCGTACATCCGTCAAGTGTATGACTGTTTCAAATGGCAACATCATAGACCGATTTGACCGCAACGATGTCGACAGAATTGACTATACATTGATGAATGCAGGGGCTCGAAGTGATTCTTCGACACGAAGAAACATTAGGATCGTAGGTGGTGAAAGTTTACGAAACCCACAATAACTTAGTTGATGATAGAGAGCCGACGGAAGTACTCCAGATCTATTCTGTCCTCAAAGGATGTAATGAAGTGATTGGCTAATCAATGAGCTCTTCTCCATCCGAAGTGCACTTCAGCACATTCCCGGCTCATATCTCCGCACCTTTCGGGCTCTCATTAGTCGGTCAACCTGGTTGAGATGATCACCGCATCCAGAGTCCCGGCTAAGCCGGAGGACTCGAAGTGCTTGTCCCTGCCACTTTTGCCAATGACGTTAAAGATCGAAGATTAATACATTGTTTCGCTCCGTTGAAAAGAACCTTGGTGAATGAATGTAACCGTAAAGTGGCAATTTCGATCGAACTAGAGACGGCTATGCTTCTCACAGTCATTGTAGTGGCCAGCGATAGATTAAGCTCCTAAGCTGCTCCACTAATGCAATAACCACTTTGGGGCTTATTAAAATAGCTGAAAATCTAAGCTGAGCTTCCCAGATCTGTCTATAAGTAAGGCCTGCACCCCTTCTCAATCCATCAGTTACCATCTTTCTCACTTTATCACGAACCTCAAGACTAAATTTATTACAAGGTTTCAACACAAAGCCCTCAAGGCTAATACTCTCAAAATGCCACTTCGAACCTTACAAGAGTAAGCCTGCCTCTCACCTCCGCGCCCTATTTATATGACTAACCCCGACCTCTTCTAGCCCCGAAGAGGTTATGGCTGCAATTGAAGATAGCCAAAAGCGAATGATTGTGCATTACTGGGCTCCCTGGATGGGAGAAGAGTCGCCAATGTCGCCTATTTTCAAGGACATGGATGAAACCCGTGGAGAGGATGTTGACTTCGTCATGGTGGATAGTGGATTTATTCGTGGGCATGACATGCACGAAATGCCCTTGACGGTTCTCTATGATCATGGGGAGGAAATAGACACTGCTCCATTTGACCCCAATGAGGTCATGAGCCTCATTGAGAGAGCATGAAGAGTTCGGATTTGGGATGATAGTATGTGAGGAAATATGCTTGTTGAATTTAAGTATCCCAGCTCACGATTCACCCAGAATGCTCCACTAGTTACCTGATGAACAGACTGTCAAGTTGTAGAATAAAGAACCTCTGCAGGAATTCAATTCCTCTGATTCTTGTTTGTGTTCTGTCCAGAAAATACAATTAGGAAGTTCCAAGTGTGATGTCATAACAACGACTCTTGCTACTATCTCGATACAGAGCCCTACAATCTAAAAATGGTGCTACACTAGTGATGACATCATTGATATCTTGTAATGTGAGGCCTGTTGCCTGTGTAAAATATGTTAAACATCAAAACCTTCCTATGAGGTTGGCTGGGACAAGGTGACTAACTCTGAAGCCATGCTTCTGTATCTGAAAGCGAGCTCAGGTTTCTGCAGTCGTAGAGTTCAACTTTTTAAAAACCTTGGACGCTTTCATGCTGCATAGGTCATTGTTCAAACCTGTAATTTCCCGAGCATTATATCTCATCTTAATACCTATGAAAGAAACCCAAAACATTCAAACCCCGCCCAAGCAAATGATAGCAATGAGCAATCGTTTCTAGCTCCGTTCGCCCTTCTCATAATTCGACTATCTACAATCTCAAACATTATTATCTCACAATAGTTCAAACAGGTAGATCCTTCGCACCCTTGCTCCCCCTTCTCTCACGTCACCACTCAGTAATACCCTTCCGGTCAATACGACAAAAGCCCACATAGACAATCCCAAAATCAGTGGACCACATACAATCAAAATTGAACCGAATGAGCCCATTATTACTTATCAAAGATAGTATCAACGTCGCCTATCTCTATTCCCATCCTACCGGAAGGGCTGTTCCGTTTTTGCGATAGCAAGAAATAGAAGCTTAGCTCCAACCACAATCGAAGACTAGGGTAAAGGAAGACTGGCCAAGTTCCAACATTATCGTCCATATATCAGGCTATTTTTCAATGGAAATTCTTCATCGCCTTCTGTATTGTTTTCGCACTGAAGTATCTCATGCATGGAGGAGGCTGATGGGGTCTTTTCGAAGGTCGTTATGAAGGCATTGCGAACGAACGATGTATTGAGAGTACCTAATTAGTAGAAGGCCCTGACTTATATAACGAGTACTAAGTGCTTAAGAACAAAATTATGGATATTCATGAGGCAGGTAAGAACTACTGTACTAGGCCATTTCAAGCTTTAATATTCCATGTTTGGAAGCTCGCTGTTGGCTGAACCACGATATATTCAGCACCTTTGTATTATTTGGGTAAAGTTCAAACTCAAGCGACCTTGAACATTTCAATTCTCCATAGCCCTGGAGGTAAATTTTAACGCCTGAAAGAATCTTATCCTTCTTGAGGCCATATATCGTATATCTTGAACATTGAGCAAAAAAAGAATGATTTGGGCTCCTCAGCCGAGCCAATAATAGCAACAACCGGTCGTTTCCAGCTCCGTTTGCTCTTCTTAAATTCTATCAGCCCATACCTGAAATTTCGAAGATTGACCTCTCATCATAGCTCAAACGGGCTGATTTCTCCGACTTCCTTTCCCACTACACCGATCAATGGTACCTTCTCCGGCAATTAGACAAAAAAGTGCAGCACCAATCATGTAAACACCAATACCGATGAAAAGTAGAGACGTGAAGCCCCATAACACCACATAGAACCAATCATCAGGATCGTGAAAATCTGGACTGCCCCCTAGTTCGATGGTAAGATATAGAACATAGCCTCCACCCGCAATCGGAACCAGCGCCAACAGCATCATGAGCATAGCGCTCAATATAATCTTGATATCCAGACGGCTTGTTTTATGGTGGGTGTTCGTGTCCGGAGTTATTGGTGCTAGGGGTACCTCGTGCAGGGGTATCTCGTGCGCGGTGTAAGCCGGTGGCGACTTGGTGGCCAGCTTGCTAGTCATTATGATGCCCATTTGGTATTTTGAATGGAGTATGTAAAGAGAGAACTTGGTGGGTAACCCTGAAGTAAATAATTAAACCAGGTGTTCTAGGGCAAGACTGAAAAGATTTAACCTTCTGAGGTCCGAACCCCGATATATTCAGAGCCGCTTCTTATTCAAACGTTTTCGTAGGGTTTGAGTTCCAACCAAGTTTCACGGCTTCAAAGGTAAACCTTGAAGCCTGTGTTTTCTTCTTACTCAAGACCATCGACCATACCTAGTGATCTAATCATACATTTCAATAGTCAAGAAAGAAAATTGGTTTAAGCCTCCATTTTAGAAGATCCCAACGGCAATAATGAATCGTTTCAAGCCTTTCCCACCATTTTACTTAATATTTGAGGGTCTGCGAATGGTCAATCATTGATACTAGTGGCGTAGGAGAAGTTGGTGGAGGTCAGGTGAACGATCCGAGGGGCATGTTGATGATTTAGGTAAGAATTACTTGGCCATTGTAAGCTTTAAGCCTGCTGTTGTCCGAATCCCGTTATATTCAGAACCACTTCATTGTTTTCGTAAGGTTCAGATGACCATGTTTCACTCCCATATTGGTAGACTTTAAAGGCCAACAGGGCAGTCAGACAATTTGAAGCCAGACCTTTCAATGACAAGAAGTCTCAAACGGTTGAGACTCCCATCTAAGTATATCAGTAGCAAGGATACACTTCATCCATGAAATCATAGCTCTCTCCATCAATGCGCAACCCGAGTTCATATTCGCTTTCCTTTCAGCTCCGTTGGGGTTGATAGTATGTCCAAAGGCGAGCCACCTCCAGTCCCATAACACATAATAATTTCACGATGTTCAAACATACTGATACCCTGCCGCCTTACTTCCTCGTCTGCAACAAGAAGAATACAAGGCACCGACACTTATTCCAAGAGTGATAATGCCCACAGCCAGGAAGAAAACACCGACAACAGCTATGATACCCACACAAGTCCCAGTCAGAAGTGCAGTGGACCAGCCCATAGAGGGGTCGATATCGCGGCTCATTAGTGAGATAGCACCTAACATAAAGCAGACACCCAATACAATCAAGATGAGCCCCAGCAAGAAGGCGACACCTATGGCCAGATAGTATGAATCTACATCATCATCTTCGTTCACTTTGGTACGTAAGGTGTTTGGACGCAATGGAATCAATTCCAGGTCTCGCGAGGCAGATGTTGTTGTCATTTTGATGATAGTGTGAGAATGTAGAGGGAGGAAAAAGGCTTTGGGGAGTGGTGACCTGGACTTAAATAGGGAGTACGGTTGGCCCCGGGTTTGTAAAGTGAGGTACAAACTACTAGGTCAATTATGGTTGACCGACTCCTGATCTTTTTAAAGTTACGCCACTGAAGCGCCTTATCTAGCATAGTTCCAAGGTTTTTCCTAAGTTTCCGCCAAACTCTCGATTTTTCTTCATTTGGAGAAATCAGGATGCCATTCATGCAGACTTGTGGTAACATCATCATTCAGAATGAAGTCCAAGCTCTACAATCTCTTCGATTTCTTTGGCCCTGCACTCGGTGGTCTACTCGTCATGATAAAGTACATCATCAGGCTCTAAGCAAGTTCCACAATCTGAGAGATTGAGATAGAGGATGTAACCAAAGCAATTTATTACTCAAGTTGATTTTATCTGCTTTTTTTTTTTTTTTTTTTTCTCCATTTGACCAGGTCGTTGGACGAATCAAGGACCTAAACTATGGTAGTTGCTAGACATCTACTCCAACTTCGCCCCACACCGCCTTAGCGGACCCGCGTCTATCAACATCGGGGAAAGACCGAACAAACAACTTACCTGACAGGTGCAGCCTCCCTCCAAAATGCCTCCCAAAGCCGCCAAGAGCGAGTACATTGAGACCGTGCGTGCATCCATATGCCCCTCAATGCCTCATTACCCGAATATCTCCTCAAAACCTCCCAACTGACATACCACAGGACACGGGCAACAAGATCTCGCGCCGCTCCCAAATCCATGGCACACAGCACATCATCCTCGGTGGAAAGACGGTTATTCAAGCCGAAGCAGTCATCCGCGGTGACCTCTACCGTCAACCCTCCACAGCCGTCTCCACGGACCCAAATAACCCGCCTCAACAACCCAATGCTCCCAGCGTCGCCATCACGGTCGGTCGGTATAGCTATATCTCCAAAAGCGTGATCCTCCGTCCGCCGAGCAGGTTACATCGTGGTGTGCACTCGTTTTACCCGCTGAAGATTGGGGATCATGTCTTTGTGGGGGATTCGGCTGTTGTGGAGGCCGCGTCTCTTGGGAACCATGTTCATGTTGGAGCAGGCGCGACGATCGGCAGTATGGCCATCGTGAAGGATTTTTCAGTTGTTTTGGAGGGTGCAGTCGTTCCGCCTGGTATGGTTGTGCCTAGCTGGTCTGTTGTTGGAGGACGACCGGCGCGCATTGTTGGGGAGGTTGGTGAGGGATATGGGGTTGAAGGGGCGGAGGGTGGTTTGGCTAGGGAAAGATATCGGCTTGTTGGACGACCGTGAGATGGGTCGGTTCTGGGTTTGGTTTGAGGAAGTTTTTGTTTTCTATTTTCTGATTTTCAATGATACCCTTTTACATTTCTTGCTTGAATCGATTTACATACTGGCGTTGAATAAAGCAGAGTAATGAGTGAGATCTGCTTATGCGGTAATAGCATTCAAATGTGGCAGATACAAAAGACAATCTTGAAGAAGGGGATGAATGAAAAATTGAGAAAGTCCAAGTAATTTTTCATCCCATGTTTTTCACCTGCACTGCTCGCTTGAGATGGTCCACGTTTCTTGTCGAGGGAAGACCAAGCTCCTCGAAGGCCATGTCATTAATCCAGCGCCCATTTGGCTTCATCGCTTCCCCCTTGGTCAACTTTGAGGCGAGGTAAAGCCAAAGCATGGTATTGCCCACCGTGCCCATCTCATCCGAGACGTGGCTGTGGGCATAGTCCGACATACGGCGGTAAAGGGCGTCGTCCGTCCACAAATCATACAAATGCTGTGCAACGGCATCGGTGTCACCCACGTCCACCAAGAATCCGTTCTTATCGTGCTCAACCTGCAGGGGGATTCCACCAGCACGCGTGACGATCACTGGCTTGCCCTTGTGGATGGCCTCGGAGACTTTGACTTCGAACCCTTCACGGGTAGACAACTGGAGTGCAATAGTAGCCTTGGAGAGAAGAGCATTCAAAACCTGATCTGAAGGCCGCAGCCGCATGGCGCAGATCAGATGCCGCAAGTGTGGAATATTCTTTTCAATATGATCTATCACAGCATCGTAAATCACTGTTCCATCCGGGTCATCCACCGACCCATGGCCGCAGATCAATAGCTTTGGAGGTACCAGATCAGGCCGAGCTTTGACTAGTCGGTCGTAAAACTTCTCGTACGAATCCAGTACATCCATGATGCCTTTGGATGGGTCGAACCGTGCGATCTGCACGATGTACTTATCTGATATGGAATAATTAGTTGCCTTGGCTCATGCATCTCAATGAAAAGAGCAATTTTTTTACCTTCAGGATAAGAAATCGTCGTCATATCTGCAAGTCTGCAGGCTGTATTGAAGATGCGGCCGTAGTGGGCTACATCCCACTCGCGCATGTTCTTGTTCAACCCATCCAGCCTGGACACGTCAGTAAGATAATGCATGTTTATAGGGCTACTTACCAATCTGTCGCCGCTGGCATATAGCCCACCATCTCTGGTGGGACATCGCTTGGTACAAATGAGCTTACAGGATGACTGATGAAACAGTCGGCAAGCTTAATTTGACTCCAAAGAAACTCCCATGCTTCAGCCTGCGGGGATCCTGGCTGCTTGATAAGATCGCTGCGAATCTGAATATGACTACGAAAGATGACTGGTCGGTTTGGTGCATGCTTCTTGGCGATAGGTATGAGACCTGGCATCTGAGGGTCATCCACGATGATCACATCTGCTCCTCCCTCTGATGGGGCTAGTAGTGGACCGTTAGGCCCGGTCCAGTATCGTCTGGCGTTTTCTTCAATCCATTCGTGCAGCAATTTCTTATTATCGATAGTCAATCGCTCACCAGGTCGTGCAACCCCCTGAAGAATATTATGGTTGTTCTTGGTAACTCGGAAAAACCCCCGGCCGGGGTTTTGGAACATACCTGCAGGTGAATCAATAAATACGCATCTCACATGTTACAATGTCCCAGACCTACCACTTGACTTCAATGCCCAGATGATAAGAAAAGCGAACCAGGGCATGCCGCATCAGGGCTACTCCACCACCCTGCGGAGTTGCACTGAAGAAGGCAATTCGAACATTTCGTTCCTTCAGGTCAGCAGCGTAGTGCTCCACGGCAGACCACGTTCTAGGAGACACAGTTGACTTAAAACCATCAAGATCCGTTATTTGGACATGGAAATTTGTATCAACTTCGACGAGACCCATGAAACCCACTTGTAGCAAGGGGAGGTTCTCCGGGCCAAACAATCTGCGTAGAGTTTAACGGTACGTTCTCCACAACTCTGTCGATCCCAACTTACCGCACACATTTTCGTGACATGGACTCCGCCTGCTCGTCGATCGATTTGGGGTCCCCCTTCCTTGTGCCCTTTGGGACACGTGAGGTGTATTGATCGTCCAGAGTAGATTCTGGAAGTACTAGACAGAGGATGTCAAGCTCTGCCCATAGGCGTGAGCACAGTCTGGGTAATCTGTCCGCAACATGTTTGGGCATGCAAGCGCCAATAATCTTTTCCAGATGTTTTTCTCCATATGACTTCAGTTCCGAGACAATGAAATCTATCGTTGCTTCTGCACCTTCTTTGTGCTCGGGGGTATCAAACACCTTCTCGATGAAGTCCAGTAGGTAAGTAGTATCGCGAAAGGCAATAGCGACGGTGGAAGGCTTGCTTGTTGAAAAGTAGCCCGAAATTCCTGCATAAATAGTCTTCGGGCGTCAACTTCGGCTTCAATTCACAGGGTTATGGAAGGCATACATCTGATGGGGGAGCTAGCCACGAGCAATTTTTAAACTGCTTTGATAGTCGCCGTTGTTGCACCACCGAGTCACGGCGCTCAAATTTATCACCGTTAGTAGGCATAGTGCTTGGGATATGTGATGATGTTCATTGTAGAATTGAGAGGTCTTTTGAGGGAAGCAGATACGGGGTAGACCGTAGAACCCGGTCATGACGTCTGAAAAGTCTCACGCAACCACGGTTCCTTATTTCTACGCATCATCTAGCAAACCGGTATTTTTTAGATCTCGTCCCAACACTACACGAAATGACAAGCTCCCCGAGGCCGATATACACATAACCTAATCAAGTAGTTCGGTAGGAGGTAAATTGTTTTTAAGTGGATCCGCGTCGCAAATGGGGCTGAGTCAGCCTGGCCTGCCCCTTTTCCCCCGCCTCATCTCAATCTGTCTTTGTTTTCCCAAGTTCCAACTTCCGGGGTGAGAGCCACTATTGTCCTTGGCTGATTTTTCATTGTTCTGTGCAAGAGCACCCCGTTCTGAACTTCCCAATCAACAATCAATTGAAACCGCCAAGATGGGTGGCTCAGTCTCCAAGATGATGGGGAAGATCTTTGGCACGAAGGAAATGCGCATTCTCATGCTTGGTCTAGATGCTGCTGGAAAGACTAGTAAGATCTCTTTGCTATTCCCATGGGGGAATTGACATGACACCGAAAGCTAATCTCTACCAGCTATTCTTTACAAATTGAAACTCAGCAACCAGGATGTGACCACGATCCCCACTGTCGGCTTCAACGTGGAGAGCGTGACCTATAAAAACGTCAAGTTCAACGTGTGGGATGTCGGTGGTCAGGACAAGATTCGTCCTCTCTGGCGTCACTACTACTCCGGCACACAAGGCTTGATTTTCGTGGTAGATTCTAGCGACACTGCTCGCCTGGAGGAAGCTCGCTCAGAGCTCCACAAGATCATTAATGATCGCGAAATGAAGGATGCCCTCCTGCTGGTGTTTGCCAACAAGCAGGATATTAGCGGTCGTACGTGTTTCTTCCAATTTAGGGGGGTTTGGAATCACCCCCTTTCAAGCTCATACTGACCAATTGCCCTAGACCTGAGCCCGGAGGAAATTACCAACACGCTCCAGCTGACCAAGCTTAAGGACAAGCTGTGGTACGTTGCGCCCAGTGTGGCCACAGATGGTACTGGTATCTTTGAGGGTCTGGTAAGTACTCATTGTCCCTGTTCGATCGGATGAAAACCAAAACAAAACCCTGACCCGCAATTCTCCACTTTCTAGGCCTGGCTCTCCAACAACGTCAAGACCCAACCCGCGAAATAAATCTGTCCATCTATCCTCGAATTGAACGCCAAGGGTCGAACCTCCGGTCTTCCCAGACATGCGCCCGACCAGGCACGCCACGTTGATCACTCATACCCATCCAGACTGGGACCTGGATCCCCCCGGCTATGATCCTGAGAGGCATCCTCCGCCGCCTCGTGTATAACACCTCGCACTGTCCGACAAAGTTTTCATCTCTTTTCGCTTCATGTCCGTGTTTGATGACCAGACGACGCAGCATTTGGGCCCTATCTCCTTTCCCCTTTTCCTCGGAGTTCTTCCTTGGATCTTTTCCTTTGTATGCGGGTTACTTCTCTGTTTTTTGTCCCTTCCCGTTTTCCTTCTATGATATCCCCTCTGTTCTTACCCATGGGACTCGTCATGAGCTCCGACTTAATTATTTAATTCGTATAGTGGTCCATATCAGCGTTACCATTGTTCGATTCCCTTGTGATTTTCTTCTGGATTCCCGATGTGTATAGAGTTGATTAACTTCATAGAGAGATGCAATAAGTGGAAACTGCGCTGGGATAGAGAATCAGAATGAACATGACATACGCGTGACCGAACAAAATCTGACACTTGCCGTATACCTATCGTAGTTACGAGGCGAATCGGAACCTCGACCCGAGCTATTCTTGCTGCTTCCTAACGTCTTCCTCACGTCCCAGCCATGTAAATGTGACGTGGGACCCCGGAACCAGGATCCTTTCCTCAACTCCGGATTTCGTATAAATAGAGCTGTATGACCGAGTCAAATCAGACTGTTCCCACGCCATACTTCAGATTCACTCTGTCCAATTACTGCGCTCAGTCAATCTCAATATCTTCAAAATTGCGAAAACGCACAAGTCCAACCCACACCATAAAACACCTCACAACGAATTCATTCTCCCCAAGCAGTGCCAAGACACAATGCCTAGCTTCCAAGAAGGACAACGAGTCAACTACAAGCCCGTTGGCGGTATGCACTCTCAATATTTCAAGTCGAAATAGCCTGTCAGTGGTGTCGAGTCTGACAATATCTCTACATAGGGCCCAACTCCAATACCAGTACGAGTACCGGCGTCATCCGCGAGGTTGCTACCGAGCCGACTACCCTAACTGGCCGGAGTGTCGCGGCTTCGGACAAAGAGCCACGTTACCAGGTATGTTAAGCTCCGGGAATTGAGTCGAATGTATGATGAGAGTGTTGACTTGACTTGCTTGGAGATCGAAAACGAGAAAACTCGCAAGAGCTCTGCTGTTAAAGAGGCTAATATCATTGGTCCTGCGGAGTAAGATGGATTGTATGGTTGCCAAGTATCATTTGGTTCTAGATGTGCCTTTTTGGGTATTTTTAGTGTATCTAATGTAGGCAATCTGTTCTGAATCTTATGGAGAACTCTTGCTATTAAGATTATCAGTGTAGCTGCCTTCGGGCCCATCGTAGATTATTAAGGCAATAGGCCACCTCATGGCTCGGGGCTGGGTTAGTTTGAGGACCTTGGGAATGGCTCCGATAGAGTTAAATACCAGGTTCCCCGCAAGTACTTATTCTAAATTCTACATCTCTTTCACTTGAATTGACATTACTTCTATTTGAAGATTTTGTTTGTGATCATGAACACGGGTTCTCTGTTCATTGACTATATCCAAGAATCATACGTTAAGTTGGTCATCCAAAATATCAATCATGACGTTCGTCCCAAGCATCCCACCAGCGCTGTACACAAAAAGAAAATCCCAGACCCGTCGCATTGTTGAATAGGCAACCGGAGCATGGCCCCTCTTGGGAGTGACAAAGAAATATTTACAGATGGGTATTCGTTGAAGTCGTTCTACATTCTTTTGCTGTCTTACAGCTGGTTGGGCCAGATATCGTTGGCGATGTCACGGACCAACTGGAGCTTGTTGATCATGCCATCCCAGTCAATGGCATTACCCTCACGGTGGGAAGCGAATCCACACTGGGGGCTAACACCGACCTGGTTCAGGGCAGCCTCGAGGGAGATGTTGTTGCCCTCGGCGATGATCTTAGCTGCGTTGATGACACGGGTCTTCATCTCCTCCTTGTCCTCCATTGTGGCGAACTTGGAGGTGACAACACCCAGGATGACGTTCTTGTGGGTGGGGAGGTGCTTGAGGGGCTCGAAGCCACCGGCACGCTCGGTGTCGTACTCGAGGTAGTAGGTGTGCACGTTCAGCTCCTGGAAGAGCTTGATGGCAATGCGGTCGTAGCCACCCTCGGAGAAGTGACGGCTGCCGACAAAGTTACCGCGGCACAGGTGGACACCGATGTGCATGTCCTCGGGGATACCGATGAAGCAGTCGTTGTACAGCTTGATGTACTTCTCGAACATGTCGTCGGCGGTGTAGACGTTCAAGGAGTCAGCCTTGAAGCCGTCAAGGAACTTCTCGGAGCAGAAGTCTGGTATAATGTGAGTTTCTCTGTATCTAGTTCATGGAAAGAGGCGCTGCTTACAAGCAAGGTTAGGGTCGTCGTACTGCACGTTGCGGCAGCCGGCCTCGTACAGGATCTTCAGCTCGGCCTGGTAAGCCTTGGCGATATCACCGAAGTACTCCTCATCGGAGCTGTACACGTCCTTGGGGTAGGCCTTGCCCTCAACGTAACGCAAGTGGTACCAGTTAGGAGCAGCCAGAGTGATCTTCAGGTTCTTGACCTGATCGGCAGGGACTTGGCTGGCAAGGTACTTGAACTGGTCGACATAGGTGCTGCCAACGTGCTTGATCTTGCCTGTGCAGATAACGGTCTCACCGGGCTTGTGGCCAGCCTCGAGGAAGGCAGCAATATCGGGAGCATAAGAGCGGAAGATGTCGGTCTCAAACTCAGTGACCTCCTCGAAGCCCTCCAGACCGGGGAAGAAAGTACCCCAGAACACTAAATTATGTCAATGTTGCGTCGCCAATTTGTTCTCGGGGATCCGGATTCTTACTGTGACGACGGTATTCACCATCCGAAGCGGCCGGGTAACCAAGCTTCAACTGGGTGTTGACAATGTCGGTGATCTCCTTGTCCTCGACCTTGGAAAGCTCGGAATCGGAGACCTTGCCGGCCTCGTGGGCAATCTTGACATCCAAGAGCTGCTGGGGGCGGAGGAGCGAACCCAAGTGCTCCGCGCGGAAGGGGGGTCTCTGGTGAAGTTGGGGGGCCATTGTGAAACGAACTACAGGATTAGCTTCAGTCGCAATGCAGAAGGACAATGTACTCACGATCAAACAGCTTTATCTGGTGAAAGGGGGAGGGAAAAGAAGAAAAAAGTCAAGCCCGAAGCCGGAGTCTGAAAGAGGGGCACGGAACCAACTCATCTTGCTTCCATCTGCCGTCGTGCTCGCGTCCTGAGGTGGGGCCTCAAATCGCAAAGATGGGCATCTCCACACCTACGGCTCGCCTATCGGATTCATTTGATTTAACACTTTGATGATCTTCGGTCAATTCACTGATTTTGTACTTCGTATATGCAGCAGGTAAATCTCAGATAGCAATCATTCATTGAAGACACCCCTGCGACAGGGTGTCAATTTTGTTAGACTGACGTCAAGCACTTTCGGGCACAACCGTTTTGAAGTATAGAATTGTAGACCAACAGTGGGGCGCAAGCTTGGCGCATCAGCCGGGGTAGGTTAAGGCCGGGGTTTCCATTCTATGCATAGGATGGTCTATGCGCTCTAATCCTAGCCAAATCATGCCGAATGGTGACTCCCTGCAGTAGTATTTGCGCATCAAACTCAGTGGCAAAAATGAAATTAATATCTTTCCAAAATTCTGTGGATCATGCAACCAGCTCCACAGTTTCTTTCTCATCGGGGGTTTGTCCGGATCAGCTCCCCAGGTTTTCTTCTTACGCCAGGCCACTGGTCTACGGGATTCGACATATTTACTTCTAAAGACAACATTACTCCATTGGCTGTTCACTTTAATTTCATCTCACCTTCAAACTCAGAACGGCATCTCAGACCCTGGCTGAGTAAAGGCTGACAAAGTGCCAAGTGGAGGAGTTGTGGTCAGTCAAGTGGGGAACCGGCACTTCCACGTCAATCTCATTCCCGAAACCTCGACTTCACCACTGTGGCCCGAGCAACACACCACACCGAAATAATCATTGGACTGGAACGAAATCACGCCATGTGAAGCTCGGGCTGTAGCCGCCCTCAGCATAATGTCGTGCACCCTAGAGCTGCTCCCTAATGAGCTTCTGGATCAAATCATCTTTTATTTAAACACAGAGCCGCCATCGCTCGGACGGCTCCATCAAGCGCCAGACCGGCAGATCACCCAGTCCGAAAGGAAACCACTTAAGCATCTGGCACAATGCTCGTCCCACTTGCTGGCTCTTGTGCGACCTCGGCTTTTCGCCCACGCACGTCTAGACCTAAAGGATGAGTCGGCATTTCGAGCTTTCATGTTCGCATCGGATCTGGGTCGTTACGTGAGTTCTCTCGTGGCCGTCACAGAGAATACTTCCCTTGCCCCAGCCGACGAACACTGGTGGCGCCGGGTCCTTCGTTATGTAGACCCGACTCGTATCACCGTGCTAGCACCGCCGACCTTCATTGGGAACATACTGAATACCCGCATTATGGACGGTCACAGCTGGGCATTTGATATCCATCTGCAGATTTTACAGCTAGAACGTGATGGCTCATCCGTTATCCCTTTCTCAGACCTGGATAAATGCGATAGCCTACTTCTGGCCCGCCCGTGGACATCCATGACCTTTAACGAATCTTCTTCTCTGAAAGCATATAACCACTACGAATATTTTCTCTCGCGCGTTCCCTCGGTAATCGGGGAATGGGGCTCCCAGCTTAACCCACAGGAATTCCCACCAGCGCACTTATCGGCCATGTTAGGTCAACTTACTTCTTTCTCCTACACCGCTATCTTTCCTTTCTACAATCATGTGAAGTTAGTCCTTGATTCCCTTGCGGTAATTCCGAATTTGCAAGCCTTGAGCGTGCAATTAGCGCCCGAGGAACACAATCATGTTCTAGAGATGGAACAGCGTGGGTCTTTGGATCCTAACGACCCGTGGACAGAGCTTTCAACTTCATATTCTTTGATTGGATTCGAGGTTCGCAATAAAGAGTCTTTGGTAGAGTTTCGAAGTCGAGACTTTGCTTTCGAGGCTATTCGAGAAGAATTAGCCGTTGTGCTCGATGCGGATCTGGGAGATACTAATTGGGCTCCTGAGGGCAATGGAGTTTGGAGGCGACGCAAGACATGATTGGAATTACCACCGCAACACTAATTGGCGGCCTTCGGACATAGCTGTACCCTGGACATTAATCTGCCTTCCACAAAATTTAGTTATTATAACATCACGTGTGCATGATCTCCCTATGCGCAGTGATCGGCTCCCCCTTTCACTCAATATAGGATCAGCAGTGGCAAGTGGTCACCATTGATAAGTCCCCTTGAAACCATCATAGACAAAATAGACAAATAAATATCTGCGCTGTGTAACCATGAGTGCTCAAGTCAAGTGTCTGTCTTCCTTCCCTTTAACATACAGATAGATAGAAGCCGTGGGTGCACACATCTGCTTTGGAACAATGAAGAAGGTCAGCATCTCCCCGCTTTCCAAAGCTGCTGTTCTCTGTCAGAGTGGCAATTGTATACGAGGCTCGCAGCTCAGGGGAGCCGTGCCCAAGTCACATGGGATAAGCATCGTGAAGAGGGGTTCAATGGGACTCCTCGGACTTGATTCTGGATGGAAATCCACATTTCACGGATCTCATGATCTCATACTCCACATGGGCTGTCCAAGTCCTTGAAACTTCCTTACAAGGTTGTCTCTAGATTGCGATAGCTTATATCCACCTCATCCTTGTTTAAGTTGCCTGCCCAGGTGGTCAGTCTACATAAATACAAGTGAAAGTCCACATTTTCTAAGTTTATCGGGCTTGAGATTCATTTCAGAATAAACTAAGTATCTCTCGTGTCATGCCTCTTTGTCTCGAATCTCCCGAGTACACTATTGGGTAGTAACGACCTGGTCGGCTTCGACACTGTCAACATTCGGATGACTAGATAGTGTATTGAGGTCCAAGGTGGAAGCTTCCGGGCGAGTAAAGCTTTATCAAAATCAGTTTAATATAAAACCTTCTTCTGAGATATTCGATCTCACGGAAGACTAACCTGAAGCCTTTGATTATGGTGTACTCATGTACTATTCTGCCACCGTGGGCGGTGATCTCATCTTTGAGCCTGTCGAGTAGGTAAGTATCATACCGGCAACCATGCTCACGAACCTGGCGTTTGAGTTACTTTTGCATCTCTGAATCTGTGGTATCGGAGTTGCAGGTAACCTGTATCTGGAGGTTAGAACAAGAATAAACTTAAGGAGATGGGGCAAACACGTTCACATACAATGAAAGTAGACATAGTGAAGGTAGACTTGATAATTTGTTATGAGAGGAAAGATCACTAGGCAGCCTAGTTGGTTTATATACCACCCTGCACGTGTGGCGTGCCTAGCTGCTACATGTAAGTGATGAGCCCCGCACTTATCTTGATTGCGAGATCTATCATGACGTCACAGATTCGAGTACCATGCGAGATTATGGCAATAGTAATGCATATTAACATGATAAAGACAATCGAGAAGTTTCCTGAGGGTCTTTACTGATATAGACCCGGAGGTGCGCGTTGATTGAAGCGGTCACACCTACTAAGGTCCCTTAGGGTCGATGTATGGAGAGGAGCCACTATACGTGCGGGGATAACCATCGACTTTGACAACCCCTCAATTGCATAACCATGGATTTCCGTGGATACAACTATTAGCAGATGGGCCTCAATACACCTTCAAGGATCTACGGATAAATCAATATTCTGTTTGTTCATTTCAATTTTCATGAATCTGACGTCTTATGACATACGCCCGCCATTTGGGACTAGAAGGGTAACGAACTTCTAGAATGTACAGATATAAATAATATCAGTGAATAAAGCTACAGGTAAGTTCATGTAAATAAACCACAGGACATTCTGCAGGGGCCTTGCCACGTAAAATTGCAAGGCAGACATGCAATGATCGGTCATTGTGACGCAGGAAACACGGTATTTTGGCTTACACATCCGGTGTTGCCCTTGCGTGGAAGGTCTAATGTGAAACGAAGCTACGCTCTATACCTAGTCTTTGCATGGTATTGGCTTGAGAAATGAGCGAACGGGTGAGCACTTTCTTGGAGACATGGTCCGATAGATATGACTTCATATTAGTCCGAATCTCGGCCTCCCGCCTGGGTAATTTTTCATCTTTGATTCTCGCCTGGAAAAATTGAGCTCAAACTTGGGGTGGGGGTGAGATAGATTTACCGTAGATCATGGCTCAGCAAGGTACCCAACGTACAAATGTCATAAAACATTCGAAACTAAAAAGGGGAGGGGCTGTACTCGCATGATTCTGATTGGTTAAACATGGATCAACATCAAGTATAATGGACGGCTTATCTGACTCTGATTTTAATCACCCATTGAAGTTTTATTTCGATCAAGCTGTAGCTTATTCCTTCGATGGAAGCCGTCGATGTCAAAAAGATAAGCATCCTCGACCTGTGGAATAGACCAGTTTGGGTGAAGTGCAAAAGTGGATCGGTGCGAAAAAATTACACACCATGAGAGGTAGCAAAAATCGACGGCTGGCGGATTCGAACCGCCGCCTCCGAAGAGAATTGATTTCTAGTCAATCGCCTTAGACCACTCGGCCAAACCGCCTGTTGATGACGACATTAATTTCAAATGTGAATATAAACCCAGTTGTAAGCCATGCCATAAGATATAGACACTAAATGGTATGAAAAATGGACAATTAACGAGATTGTAGACCCCCACTGGCAAATGAAGACTGAAAAAGCCCTCATCTTAAGTATATTGTTAAGCAGACCCGCTGCCTATGGATGGCCAGAGGAAGAAAGAGGCCCCTAGGGATCCATCCGGTTATCAACATATTGCGTGTATAGTATTACGAGGGGATTCGCTTGCGAGATAGGACAAAATCCGGACTGAGTATCTACAGCTATTAGATGGACATTATTTAGTAGAACATATAGATGACCCACGAGGCAACAGGTCTCACTAGAGAAATTCACGAGCCACGATAGATTGTGGAGGAAGGCTCTACATAGACGTACTATACAAAGGTCCGGCCCGAATTGGTAACATAGACCTCACTTTTGAAGTCCCTATAGATGCATTCAGTCTCAAAGAGACCATATAGCGGTTCCTCATTGTAGGGGCTTTCGAGTGGGACAAGTTTCAAGAAGGCTATAGAGAGACCGACGAAAATAGAAATTAGGTCAAATTCACAAATGATCAATATTTAAGTTTTATAAAAGACATACATACATTAAAAACACGCTTCATGTTAAAAAGCCTCTCACCCAGAAAGTCTGTACCAGACATAGATTTGCCAACTTTGTAACTTCGTGGGCTCGGAACGCTAGAACCGCACAAAGCGGTGGATCACTCACCCTTTAAGCTCTCCACCTCCAGAGTTACCAACATCCAGCTGATCAACTTGACCTTGATATCTCCCATAACATGAATGGTTAGCTATCCGTTGGGGTGTTATCATGGCTTCCAACGTCTACTCCGCAGAGCCCGCTCATCCAGTTCTTGCTCAGTCCTTGCTCGGTGAGCCGGGACCCACAGCGACGGACAAAGAGCGACCTACCAGGGGATCAACGGCAAATGACTGGAATCTCAAGGACGACTGGGCCACAGGCATACAATCATCCAGTGATGGGATTTTCCGCAGCGGAACTGTCATCGGGTTCTCACGATTAAGAACCAGAAGCAGCGACAATGATGAATACATCGGACAAGTAAGCAAACGCCCAAGTGTATATACAGTGTTCCACTTTGCACGTCTAACAATAAATCAGATTCCTCGTTATCTTCTCACGACGCACCTGCGGAAGTGCTCGCCTTCAGTTGAAGCAAACATTTTCATAATCTATCCAAGCAATTTCGAGGGCTTTGCAGCCCGGAACTTGTTCACAGACCTGCAATCCGGCCCATCACCTCTATCCAAAGACGATGCTTTGAAGAAGTTAGACTCTGTACAGCTATTTCCAGTGTACAGCATGCAAAATGCTGCTCAGGCCATCAAACAAGTCTCTGAACTAGTGCAAGAAGCCCAAGAAAGGCGACAACAATTAGACCAGACAGCAGCTTCAAGCAATTCCGCCATCATCCTTGTTGTGGCCGGCCTGGACACGTTAGCTGAAGGCGTTGTCCGGGCTTCTAATCCAGCCAGAGGCGCAGCTGTGCTGGCGAGTACCTTGAGGATCTTGACACGCATGTCTCGCACACACGGCTCGTTTCTTTCCGTCATCCTTGTCAATACAAATGGGCTCGGACCTCATGTCGAGATTGAGCATGAGGGATCGAATGGACGAGCTGCTGTTGGAACTACGGAAGTAGATGCGAAACCGACCAGTCATGATGGAATCTATTCTATTTTTCAGCTGCCTGGATCTTCACTCTTATCAACTTTGTTGATGCGGACGCTGGATCAGGGGATCGATACGCACATTTTGCTTTCTGATGTGAAGTATACCCGTGTGGCGGAAGTCATTAAAGATCGAACAGGTGCAGGACTAGGGAAATGGGGGATTTGGTCACCCCATAGATGATTCGATATTCGATCGTTATATTTGCAAAATTTCTCAAAATTCGTTTGGATTGCTCTACCGTGCAATCGATACTAATCGTACAATTCGACATACATACATACCCAGATTCACCCCTTGAAGCGCCATGAATCCATGCAAAAGAGTCATCAATGACAGACTCCGCCAAATTCTCCGCAAAATACCAACTCCGTTCCATGAGCCAGCTTTTGTCTGCTAAGAATAAAAAAAGGGTATCAAACTTTCCATTTTGGGTTTGTTTGCCCAGTCCTCATACAAGCTCCACGCTACGAGCTAGGAAATCAATGAAATCATGGGTATCTCCTACTTCGCATTCGTGGGCATGTTTTCTTTTTCTGCCCACCTCCGCAGGACAGCCCTCTCAGCGACGGAGCGTTCATCTATCGCACACTGAGCGAGATCTTGATCTGCGGTATCTTCTTCGAACACGATATCCTGTTGTTGCACCTTTGTCCACTGCTTATGTCTCTCGCAACGTTTCTTGATGCAGACTCCGCGGGTCAAAAAGTTTATTTCTTCTTCACTTGTACCACCCATGGGTGTATCGTCGTCAGCGGGGTAGCTAGAAGCCAGAGCTTCAACTGTTCCTTCCACGAGTGCGAGTTTTCCAGCTTCGGACAACCGCCAATCATCGAATTCCTCGTCGGACCATGCGAGTCGCATGTCAAACCCGCAGATGTCCTTCCACCCGCCTTTTGGCTCTTGCTGCCTCAACCTTTCTACCAGGCCCTTAGCTCTCTGGCGCAAAAGGGTCACGAACTTTGTACGAGCAGCAAGCATATCTTTGCGGCGGAGGAGCTCGTTGCGTCGTGCTCGGATCTTCTCGATCTTTGCTGCTTCCTCGACTGAAAATTCAACATTGTGTTCGTCGATGTCCAATTCATGTTTGGTATCCGATGGTGACTTCTCTTTGATGTCACCATTGGGGGTGTTACCAATGGGAACGTCGTCCTTGGTGGATTCTGGTGACGGTGACAGAATTTTATCACCGAGTTTCCTAAACTCGGCCACGGACTTGACCCCGAGAATCGCTGCCCGGAGGTCGCCAGGCGTGAGAACACCGCCCATGCTACCTAAATCCTCTTGTCCTTGCCTGTCAGGTCCCAATTTGAGGTTGCAAATTTGACGGCGCATGAATTCATGGCCATGCTCGTCAGAGCAGTATTTGCTCTTTTGAGCAACGCGTGCCGGCTTACGACACTCCAGAAGGCGACACATTGGTTTCCATGTGGTGCAGCGTTTGCCGTTCTCGCTGCAATTTGGGCCTATTTTCTCTGATTAGCACTGAAGATAAGATGGAAACTGGGTAAAGGTTGGAACCTACATATGTACTTTTCGATCAATTCAGAGTCTCGAGAATCAATATTGACACATTTTCCGTGGAACCAATCTTCGCATCCACCATCACACCCGATCATCCATGTATGGTTATCGGGTCGTCGACAGATACAGAAAAGAGCGTTTTCATCTGACTCTTCTTCGTCTTCCTCAACTGGCCGTTTGGTACGCTTTTTGGGGTTCTTTTTTGCTTCGGGCGCAGGAGATCCTGCGATCGACACAGAATCCTGCTTTTTACCAGGTGCTTTGGTCGCGCGAGATGCAGGAGTATTGGATCGACGATCATTCAGACTATCTGTATCTGGGTCGTTCGCCTTGCGCTTGGCAGCTGGCTTCTTTTTGGCAGGGGCCTTTTTGCCCGGAGGCTTCACAGAATTTGCGGGGGAGGACCGATCGGATGATGATGCCCGGGAATTCACGCCATTTTTCAAATTAGAAAGTTTTTTGGAGGTCGGATAGTCATTTGCGCCATCGCCACCAAAAGATTTGGTCTCAAAATCATCCCCGTTGGGCTCGGTTTTGACAGATGGGAGGGGAGTGTCTTTGTTCGCGACCAGTGTACTTTGACTCGGGTCATAATCATCATCATAGAGATCTGACCATATCGTACCCTTTCCACCCTTGGGTTTAGGTAAATCAGTGTTCCTTAATAACCGGTGTATCTTCTTCGCCCTCTCAAAGCCAAAATATCCACTTTGTCGCCAGCCAGTAATGCCCACAACCCGGTCATCTTTCACAATTATATGCGCCGGTACCAAATCATTGTGAGTGAAACACAGATCTTCCTTCAATGATTTCTCGGCGAAAAGTATGGTGCGCTCCGTTTCCTGACGGGAGGGCGGTTCCTGGGAGTTGAGTCCGCGACAGACATAAGTAGGTTCGTTAAGGGAGGCGTCGATGTTGGCGAGAATTTGCAGAATTTGGCGACTTTGGTTTTTAAAAGCATTGATCTGTTTCGGGGTGAGGTATCGCCCTGCGACTTCAAGTGAGACCCCCGGGATTCGTGATTCCACTGTCACATTCCGCCCTTCGATTGTCCCGCAAAAGTATGTCACTGGAACCGCAACTCCGATCTCCTTAAGCGACTCCTCGACTTTTCGTGCCGCAGATAATTCATTGGCATTCACGCAAGAAAACACTTCTGCAGCTGCGCCATCAGCGGACTCGCGGTCAACCCATATGATCACGCTGCCTGCAGCGAATGCTTCCCTGGGCCCGGTGGTGTTTAGCGAGTACTCCGGGGTGCAGAACTTCTCCGCAACTCCCACCCAGAAGGCGTTTGCATCGGGATCAGAGTGGTACCATTGCTTATAGTGAGGGGTGAAATCGTCGGAATGCGGGGTGTAACGTCCATACTGTGCGCTTTGGGCGAGAAAGGGGTCGTCACGCGGGATATGGTCTGGATTGGTTTCGTACGGGTTGGCACTCGTCTTGGTGGTCTTTGCGCCATCGGCGAACCCATTCACATGTGTTGCGCGACCCGCGGCCTCCATATCCGGTGTCATGACAATAACGTTGATTGTACTCAATGTGCAGCAGATATTTCAACTGAGATATCAGGATATGCGTAGAAGGAAGTGCGAACTCAAGCCCAGGGGACTGAGGCTGGTTCAGGGTGTATCGAGAACACAGGGAGCGCGGGATAAGTTAAATCCACATAAATGCAAAGGAGAAGGTTGGAGGCATCATGGAACTTTGATGGATTCATACAATGTCCAAGCCCTCTTTGAAGGCTCCTGGTGTTCTAGCGACAGCAATATGTGACCAAGGCGGTCTTTCAAAGAAAAAAGACAGGGTCGCCGAGGAATTTCTTTCGCGAGAATTGGGGACTCCACCGCTTCCTTTGAGGTGTACAGCGGGGGTCCAATTCGCTTTGTAGGGGAGTGTTCGAGGGGTGGAAGTGGGAATAATAGATCTGGAGAGGAGGCTGGAACATGCAAAACCTCACCAGAGCCACACACGTTAGCGCTGTCAGGTCCCTTGAATCCTGGATACGGATCGGAGACGCGGAGTTTTGGCGGACTGTCAAGGCGGTGAGCTGCTCAACACGCGACAGTGCGGGCGCGGGCTCACCGCTTTTGGGCCCGCCTGTTGATTTGCCTCGCAGGACCTCTTGACTTGAGCAGAACGATGACAAACGCCAAAGCAATCTTGATGCGATGCAAGCCTGATGACTGACATTTGAAAGTGACAGGCTCAAAGTACCTTCATTACATCTGAAGTGACAGGTCCTCCGAACAGCCTGCTGGCCTCCTTGAACCAACCGCCGCTTCCCTACCCACAATCTTGGATGCCCATTCTCCGAAAGATCACCAAGGCTTACGGATGCACAATTGCGAACTCATGCAGCCAAACTACTCATGATAATCTCCTCTCACATGCCTTACCGGCACATATGTAGTGGCAAGGCACTCTTTGCGAGTCGATACTTCCGGGTGCGCCTAACAAACCGATACATACAAACCAAATTTGATGGAAGAAGCTTGAGATCCCAGTGATCTCAGTCAAGAAACATATCACTCGGTCTGGACAAAGATGCGCTGGGGTCTTTCACCATCTTTGCTAAGTGCGCCATTTGTAGAAATTCTAATTCGATGAGACAACAGACCAATTGTGCCCATGTGACTGTGAACAATATAGGCTATTGACATTTGTGAAACAGGGGTAGCATGAACCATGAGATCAGTCTGCATGTGCATACCCTGGGGCCCGTGCCTTTGCATTACATTTTAAGTAAAGATAAGATTAACTGACGATCGTCACCAAATCTACTTTAGTCCTGAAATCACCACCAAAGGTGCCCTGTCCTTCCAACTACTAATCCGCCCGGATTTCTTCCGATAATGTACTAAGCAATTGGAACCAAAGTTTCCAAATAAATGGTAAGATCACCTTAGTGAACCAAGAAAAAAAAAGGAAATAAAAGCCTGAAACAGATAGGCTGCAGGTGAATGTCAGAAAATCATGTCAGTTGCCCCTGATTCTCTCTGGTCTTAATATAGACAGGGCGCTGTCAAGTGTAGCCGAGACTACTCCGTACCTCGTAGCTTGGAAGGCTTACAGCTCGGCTGAAAGCCTTGCACGGTCGCCCTGTGGAGACCCCTGCCTCTGCATATTCCCTCGCTCCCCGCTGTTCCATTCCCGGCTTTGTCTGATCATCGGCTGCCGAAACCTTTCGGCCCCAGGGATTACTTGTTCAATGCAGTGAGATCCATCTGACAGGCCATAGTCATCTAAATCTGCAGTCATAACGCAGCAAAGAAACCGCGCTTCATCATTCCATCTTCACCCCCACTTATACCCGAAATAACGCGGTACCCGAAGCACAAAGATCTCTCGGCTTCTCCGAGCGCCATTTACTTCACCATGTCGAACCCAGATGGAGGGAATTCAAGCAGCCAGCAAGATGCCTCTAATATGCGATGGCAATTTATCGATGCCTCCGACAACCGCCGAAGCAACTTGACGCAGGTGAAGCGACATGTGATGCAAGAGTATATGCGCCAAAAGAAGGGTGGTTCTCGTCAAAGTGAGAGCGAAGAAGAAATTAGTCGACCACCGCCTAAACGCGGACGTCCAAGGAAGGACCGAGCAGGAAAACACAAATCCAGGAATGCTAGAAACGATGACCAAACTGCTTCAAGCGCATCGACAATTGAGCCAGGACCTCTATCTGCAGAGGAGTATGCGCCAGAAGACGTCGAAAACATACAGGGCTGGTATCTCGGAAAGCCCATATTATCACATCCGCACAATGTGTCCTTCACTCTTCCTTTTCGAGACCCAATGCCCGAAACACAAGGAAATCCTTTTCTACCAAATTTTGTCCATGTCGATCCACGGAATCCAGCGAGTTTTCACAGCCTCTCATCGGGCTCTTCGGCGTTATCAACTCCGTGGGAAGTTGCGCGATCACCACGAACTATTATGAGCGCTGCCAGGACAGATCCATTTAATTCGCTTCCCTTGGAGCTCGACCTAGACGGCCAAAGGCTTTTCGATTTTTATGTGAACGATATGCCTGCGTGCTCTTACGGATCACATTTTCGGTCTCCAAAGGCCCATAATTGGTATACTTCGGTCTTTGTTCCCGAAGGAATGAAAGGCGCTGTTGCATTCCAGAACACTATACTCGTCCACGCGGCAAATACCTGGGCTTGGGTCCGCAATGAGGCCGAAACCACAGATACACTCCTTCATCGAGATCGCGCTGTCAGCATGCTTCGTGAGCATTTAACTAAGAATCCTCGAGACAACTCTGACGTTGCAATTATATCTTGCTTGAGTGCCGCTGCTCTGGAAGACTTCGACCCACGACCGGGACACAAAGAAATCAGTTGGGTGCATATGCGTGCAGCGCGCGAAATGATTCGGAGTCGCGGCGGGCCCGCTGCCTTTGCTCATACCCGTCTTGGAATGTTGATCAATTGGCAAGATTACATTCTATCGGGATATGAAACACATGGGCCCAGCTTTTCTTTTGAGCACCCTCCACCCATCACAACCTTATCACCAGATCCCACACCAGCTCAGCCTTCTGACAACATCGCCTCTATGCCCTCTCCGCCATCTTCCACCTCTTCCGCCCTATCCGAAACATCGCCCTGTGTGGAACCTCCTTCTAACTCCCGGCAAATATCTACCACATACCCCATGGATGAAATCCGTCTTCATTGCGAAGAATTCCTCGACTTCCTCCGACGTTGCGAGCAGCTCGCCCTCTACCAAAAAGATAATCCAGAATCCTGTGATGCATCCCGGCATACAGCTGTGTCAGGGACATCCCAGCTATTCCAAATTCTAGCTGCTCCTCCTGGCTCCCGATTCACATCCTCCGGGGATCGCAAGCAAATGGTCGCCCGCCTAACTGCGCTCATGATGCTGAACGCTGCTTTCTGGGACTACCGATACACACCCCTTCATGCAGGGAACTTCCTCAGAACACTAGACCAAGCACTTATTGATAGTGAAGTTAGCATGAGTGGCTCGGTCGAAGCTATCCTCCAGATCCTCCTTGCATGTAACGACGGCTATACACCAGAATGGGTGACTCGTCCCGATGGCACCATCTCCCCTGCGGCATCGGAGTTAACCCCGGATTTTACTCAATACTCCCCCACCGCTACATCTCCTTCGGCACGGCCTTGGTTTGCGGGTCGAATGCTAAAGATCGCTAAGCGATTAAGTGCAGACTCGTGGTATCGAATTAATGATTTCCTTTTTTCGTGTTTCACTATGACTTTATTGGAGCCAGTTGCATATATTTGGGAAACTGATTTGCGTCGAGAGATTCTTGAGGCGCCTTTAACGAGCTATGTTATGCCATCTCTGATGTAAATGTCGATACTCAAGTGTCTTTGTACGACTAATATAATCGCATTTTGATTCAATCGAATAATTTCGGAAACATTGAGTTGAATCATTGGAAATTTTATCAATAATTAGCTATACTCTAATTCGAAATATCGCTGACCCTTGGCTCCTGTCTGCTAATACCAACCCACTACATTCAAATTTGCTTGACTCAAGACATGGGTACTCTTTTCCTGGAAGTTCAGGATCTAAACTTTTGAAGGCAGACTCTTAAGACTGCTGCTGCTTGTTAGCCGGCTTGATGCTCTTCCATTCCACAACCAAACTTCCAATAATAGTAAGTACCGATATGATCACCGCAACCCAGAAGACTTGAGTCAAAGCGCCATTATAGGCTATAAGGACAGTGTAAAGATCTTGTGACGGTACGAGGGATCGCAGTTGCGTGGTGCCCACATCAGAGATCTGTGATATATCGAACAAACTACGACTTGGAAAGGCTGCAAGGTTCAAGGTTTTGCATGAGCTTATTCTGAAGGATAGTGTTGATATAACTCTAGTGTCGAAATTCGCTTGAATCGTTATTATTCCCCGGATTGATCTTGGGTCTAGCTTACGTTAGTGGGCAAGATGTGCACTTGGCTAAGATTGATTCTAGCGCCGAGGATCGCCTTAGCTGTAAAGATAAATTGTTTCGGTCACTTTCTCAGCCAATAAAATGCTGACTTGCCCATCGTAGTGCAGTGGGGGTTGCAGATCTGACGGTTACTTAAACATTGAGTTTACTGCCCCGCTCCAAAGTAAGCCCCCTTTTTCGGATTTTCAGCCTGGCAAGGAAACTGACGAAAGAGAATCACAATATGAGAGATGACCAGCGGTCTCACACACACGCAGATTACACTGTTGGGTGGATATGTGCGCTGCCAAAAACCGAGCTAGTGGCAGCTACCGCTATGCTAGATGAGGAACACCCCGTTCTCTTAGCGGGCGGCCCGCATGACACGAACTCGTATCACTGTGGCCGGATTGGTAACCACAACATAGTGATCTCATGTCTTCCTTCAGAGCAAACGGGTAAAGTTTCCGCCGCCAATGTCGCCAAGGACATGATTCGAAGTTTCCCTGCCATACGGTTTGGATTGATGGTTGGCATTGGGGGTGGCGCACCGTACTATGGACTACAAGAACAAAACAGTGGTTTCACGACGGATTTTAAAGAATTCAACGAAAATATCGATGACGATGAAGAAGAAGGCATACAAGATATCAGATTAGGTGATGTGGTTGTCAGTCTGCATTCGAAGTCGTCTGAAGCTGTCGTGCAATATGATTTCGGGAAGTCGGTCCATGAAAATGGATTCATTCGTGCCGGAGGACAGCTTCAGAAACCTCCAAATATTGTTCTCGGTGCGATTAGTCAGTTACAAGGTCAACATGAGCGAAAAGGTCGCAGCAGAATTCCCGAACTACTTTCCGAAATGCACTGTGGCAATCCAGGAATGGGTAAATTCAGATACCCAGGCGCTGAGAATGACCAGTTATTTAAAGCATCAGTAGCCCATCACGAGGGAAAGAAATGTGAAGGTTGCAAAGGCCCACATGATATCAATCTTGTGAGGAGGAAAAAGCGGGCCAGCGATGATCCCCAAATCCACTATGGTACAATCGGATCGGCAGATCAGGTTATGAAGGATGCTATGTTGAGGGACAAGTGGTCCCAGCAGGAGAGGATAATTTGCTTTGAAATGGAAGCCGCAGGTGAGGAAGCATCTGACCGTTCAACCAGTTTCCCCATAACCTGATCGATTCATAGGCCTAATGGATTCATTTCCATGCCTGGTTGTTCGGGGGATTTGCGACTATGCGGATTCGCATAAGAATAAATTTTGGCAGCCCTATGCCGCAGCTGTTGCTGCTGCTTATGCAAAGGAGCTCCTCCTTGCTATACCGGCACAATGTGTAATTGAATTGCCTTCCCTAGAAAAATGTGCGTGGCGAACTCGGATACGGACTCTTCCCTCCAAGGTCAATAACCCGGCAGCATCTTTGTGTCTTGTTTACAAATCTACTTCTGTAAATTGAGAACCACGTCAAGAAACAGCCTCTGACAATTTTTTCTTCTAGTTTCGGATCACGTTATAGGCCAATTGGAGACATGGCGACGATCAGACGAGGAGGAACGGTGTATTCAAGCATTTCGTACTTCGGACTACGAACATTCAAAGAACTTAAATGCAGACAGGGAAAAGAAAACCTGCAACTGGTGTCTTGGAAACAGGACATTTCAGAATTGGCAAAGTGACAGCGGCTCCTGCTTATTATGGCTCACTGCAAATCCTGGCTGCGGAAAATCAGTTCTAGCTAAAGCCCTTGTCGACGAGCAGCTCCTTGGCCTTGAGCCAAGTGACACAACTATTTGCTATTTCTTCTTCAAGGACACATCCTACGCAGCGCGCAGTCCTGTAAGTGCCATGGCCGCACTTTTACACCAATTGCTCGTGTCCAGAGCTGGGAGAATGGCCATGAAACACGTGTTAAGATTGTTTCGTGAGAATGGTCAAAAGTCACCAGAGAACATGGATGTCATGTGGAATATTATGAAGAGCATTGCCCTTGATACTCAACGTGGGCGCATCGTTTTGATCCTGGATGCGTTGGACGAGTGCGAAGAGGCAGAGCGGAAGAATTTCATTAAAAGGCTCACGGCTCTCGAGCGAGATTTACAGACCGGTGACTTGACCTGCAATTTCAAAATTCTGATCACGAGCCGCCCTTATTGGAGTATCGAGACTGAGTTTAGAGACCTGATTCAAAGTATTCCAGGTATCCGGCTCAAAGGCGAGAGCCACTCGAAGGAACTTCACAAAGAAATGAACCATGTTATGCGAACGCAAATTTCCAAGCTAGGTCCCCAATTTGCGAGTGAGGCCGCAAGAGAAGAACTCGAGCGCGGAATTTTGGCTACTGAAAATCGAACATATCTCTGGCTGCATCTCACTTTCAAAAGGCTTGCTGAATTACCTCGAATTGATAAAGAAACGGTCAGGGCGGAACTGCGACGCCTTCCCAAAACAATTGACGACATTTACGAGTCAATTCTGCTCAAATCCACAGACAAATTGCAAACAAAAAAATTACTTCAGATTATCCTCGCAGCCGTTAGGCCACTTCGTGTTGAGGAAATCGGAGTCGCACTTTTTATCACTAAAGCGACAAAGACCTACCGAGACTTGGAGGTCCAGAGCGGAGACCAACTAGAACTAAGCATTCGGAATGCCGGTGGCCTGTTCGTTCATATAGTGGATGGGGTCGTCTTATTAATTCACCAATCTGCAAAGGACTTTCTATTAATGCAAAACCGCGAAAACGCCCCTGCCAATGACACTTGGAAGAGCTCGCTTTCCATGCCCGAATCGAACTCAATTCTGGCCTCCGTTTGTGTACGCTACCTTCAGCTAGAGGAGTTTCAACAAAGAAGCTTCTTCCAAAAGCATGATGCATCTCGTTTAATCGTTGACTATTTATTTCTTGAGTATGCGGCATGTAACTGGACGATACATTTTCAAGAATCTAGCACTGAAGACTCTGATGAATTGTTCCCTTCGGCATCTTCACTTTTCGCCGTTGACAGGACCGGATATATGGGCTGGGTGTCAATTGCTCTCAGCCCACGTTGTTTTCCCGTTTGCAGTAGACTACAAATCGCTTCTTTTTTAGGCGTCGAATCCATTTTGCGAAGAGAACTGAGTGACTCGATGGTTGATATCAATTATGGCGGTATAAGCGAGGCATCACCTTTGCATTTTGCTGTGCTTGGTTTGAAGCTCAGAATTGTGCAACTTCTTCTTTCATATCGTGATGTTGACGTCAACAAAGCCGACGTGCATAGCTTGACCCCGTTGCGCTTAGCTGTGATGGGCGGAAATCCGGATATTGTTGAGTCGCTTCTTTGCGCTCCGGGTATAGATGTGAACAAGCCAGATGCACACAAGTTGACCCCCTTGCGATTTGCTATATTAGGAGGTCACTTGGAGATTACCAGGATGCTTCTTGGAGCTCCTGGTATTGATGTGAATCACGTCGATGGCCTTGGCCATACCCCTCTACGATCTGCTATAATTGGGAACAATTTGGAAATTATCAGAACGCTTCTTTGGATTCCTGGTATGGATCCCAATAAAGTTGATGGTTTCGGCTATACTCCTTTGGGGTCCGCGATAGCGGGAGTGAAGCTGGCAGTCATCGAGGTGCTCCTTGGGGCTCCCAGTATTGATGTCAATCAGGTTGATGCTCATGGCCTCGCTCCGCTAGTGCCCGTTGCATCACCGGTGCAACCAGCATCATCAATGCTACCTCGAGAATTTCGTAGGATCCGCACAGGTGAATCAATGGAATTCGACACTCCTGCCTTGCGGAATTTGGTATCCGAGTCTTCTGTAGAATGGCCGAAGATATTGGCATTACTTCTTAAGGCTCCTGGTATTGATGTCAACATAGCTGATGACAAGGGCTTGACCCCTTTACATAGAGCTGTGAGAGCCGAGTCAAAGGAGGTTGTAAGTATGCTACTTGCTGCACCGAATATTGACGTCAATGCTGTCGATAAGCTGGGAAGAACAGCACTTTCTTTAGCACTTCGGGCAAGAGACCGGGAGATATTGGACCTCATTCTCTCATGCCCAGGCGTTAATACAAGTGGTCGTCCTAAGAGAGACCATATCGAGATTTCTACTTCGGTACTGATGTAGGGAGAAACATGCTTTTCTTTGGTCATCTGATCTCGCGCTTTTCCTTTTCATAGCTCTAGATGTAAAAGTGACCCCTATCCTTAGAATGAGTATCTGAGCTGATCGTGGAGGATTTGACCTCACACCACCTCAAATCGAGCAATGCGCGAGATAGCGCGCACCGAGCGATTTCGGCGACCATTGGTAGACAAAATCCCAATCAACATCACCCCCAAAAGGCCATTGCTTATCATTTCCTGGAATCAAGTTCAAGTTCCAGGGCTAGATGCATAGATAGCGCTTAGCAGTCGATTATGTCGATTTCTGCACCAGGAAAATAAAAGACTTATACCACCCTTGACCGCATTGATGCTTTGTCGAAGTAGCCAGAATACTTCTTTGTTGGACTAGCTTCTTAATTGCACCATGATACGGTCCACGGATCGCTTCCGATTCTGATTGCTTCCTGGTGTTTTAGGTGCGTTTCCATGACCTCCTGAGCGAAATAAGCAGCGAAGAAACCGCAGTCAACTTGGCAGTCTGCATCTTGAGCAGCCCATTCGATAAAACGTTTTATCAACTTGAGTTCGATAAGATACTCCGCTATCATCGAATCTAGTGTTTTTCTTTGCTATGCCTTTTTCAAGGTTGCAGACACTCACTGTTGATGTTAAGGGGGGGAATTCATTTTCTCCCAGTTTCAGATCATCCGCTGTTGCTTGCCGTTCTTCCACCTCGGTGTCGGTGCATCTGTTTTCTACCTTGAGGTCGATGGCCTCTCGTGCGCAAGCTGTTGTCAAGGCCCACTTGCTGTCACCTGGATATCCAGAATCGTGTATACGGGATCTCTCTTTTTTGCCATCCCTGTCCTCGCATGTAACGCTTTCCTCTTTAGCATTGGCTCGCTCTCCCAAGAGCATGAGTGTACATGTCTCTATGAGGAGGGATTCTGTTAGTTCTTTTCCCAGGATAGAGATGATAGGATTGGCACCTTTTCCTTCCATTCGAACTCGCAACGCATCGGCCCCAAAGTGTCCTCATCTCGCTCACACATTCCATCGCCATAGTCACACAAATTTAGTGTGCAATGAATGTCGCATTTAAAATTAGCAATCATTTCATCGTAACATTCAGGCAGCAACGAAATGCTTCTTGCCGTACCCTCAAAGCCCCTTCTGATAAAATCCTGGGAACGTATCGTTAATGGTAATCCATGGAAGCATGAATTTTGGTACTGAGATGCTCGAAGGCATTGGTCACGATGTTCCAAATATTGACAATGAGATTTTAGTGGCTCGTTTTTCCCCCTGTATTCAAATAATAGAAGATTGCGATGAGTTGAATCACAATGGAATGTTTAGCCGCAATCTCACAAAGATCCTCGCGGGCCTCAAGATTGACATCTCTTGACATTGGTTAACCAATCACCCAGGTCCTCTTTAAACTGTTGCAGCTCAGCTGAAAGATGTTCCGGCTCGGTATAGTCAGTCCCGTCGCAGCAAAGTGCCTGAGCGCCAGCATAAAGGCACTTGTCGTTCTCGTTCATTGCCACGCGAATCTGGCCATTGGGACAACCTGACCAGCAACGCATGTCAGGCGTGTTTAAATGTACCATGGCACTGCCATCGTGCCATTCGTAATTGGGCCACTCTTGGGACCATTCGCATGTGTTATATATCGCCATATTGCTCAACTCCTTTCCATCGGCGTCCACAGGAGAACAGCAGCCTGACTGATACTGCTGAGAGGCATCGAACTGACATCCCGCCTTCGTAGAGCCAATTTCGAGCATTCCATCAGGGCATCCAGCCTTGCATCTACCATTGTTGAAGCTATACCAGCCACAAGTTGGCAGAGGTGAGTCGGGCGGACAACACCATGAACGGTAGCCAACACCCATGCAAAAGGTGGCATCAATCATTGGCTGACCCTTGTACGTCTTCCAATCATCCGCTCGCTCGACCATTGACCAGCCTGCTGGACAGGACGCTCCACAATCTGTCCAGCGACATTGGCTGTGTTCGGTTTTCTCTATCCACGTATCGTCGTCAACTTGGTCGAATTGCATAGATATTTGCCGGTTAGACACTTTGGCCAAGTCCCTAGAGAAGTCCGCTGTGGGTGTATCGTGACTAATAGCCCAGACCATCACTCCACCGAGACATTGCTCGCGAGCAAAGTCTGTCTTCAACTGGAGAGTCTCTTTATCGTCCATTGAAACCCATTGGTCTTCCCAGGTAACTACCTTGACTGCAGCCTCCTTGTATAGCTTGGACTCGAGTTTCCTCTCATTGATAATGTCTATGATTTCATTATTGAGAAGAATACCGGTTCCCTGGCTGCATTTTCCGGGAAGACCCCCCGAGGCATACACGCATCCAGGCTTGACACAATTCGCCAGGGTGGTATATGTGCGACCGTAAAAAGCCAGGCCCATCACCACCTGATCAGGTTTCACGTCGTTGCGCCACAGAAGATTCATGAATTCTTTGATCTCAGTCAGATTGGTGTGAGCGTTGAGAAAAGAGCCAGTCCACTTATTCCCCTTATCCCAGGTACCATGCATATCATAGGACATGATGTTAAAAAACGAGACATGTTTCGCTAGTTCTTTCAAGTCAAAGTGTTGAAGATACCAGTATGAGGCAGGCAAGGTGATAGAAAGTGTGTTTCGTCCTCCTGTTCCATCCAGAGCTTTCTTGAGATTCTTCATGAAGTTAGGGAAATTATTGTAGTCTTTTGGCTTTCCGCTGCGATTGTCGGCTCCCGGATACTCCCAGTCCAGATCAACACCGTCAAAGTCGTATGTGGCCATGAAACGAGTCAAAGAGTGGAAGAAAGTCTTCTGCTTGGTTTCAGAGGCAGCAAGGTCAGAGAAAACTGAGGCTGTGGGACCAGGATCATTAAATGTCCAACCTCCCAACGCTATAAGAACCTGCATATTGGGATCGTGTCTTTTCAGGCCAGTGAGTCGCTTATAAAGGTCTTTATCCCTGTTATGAGCGGGCAGGACCTCGTAAGTCTTAGGGTCGATTGTGGCAAATGCGAAGTTGATATGACTGTAGACACCCAATGGAATCTGCTCAGGCCAGAACTGATGACATGGGCGCCGAGTGGACCATCCTTCATAATAGCCCACCACTCTGGACAGGTATCGGTCCTTTGAGCAAGTCTCATGCTTTACAGTTTTCTTTCCGCACTAGATTCAAAGTCTGTCAGCTTTGGCCGAGCATTAGAGCGACGGTGGAAAGTGAGCATGACTTACGAATTCCCTGGTTGTCCCACAGAACCCCTAGAGCAATCGCTAGTTAGTCCTGTCTAATGAACACTCAAGCCCGATTGTTTGACGACTTACAAAGTCAGAGCAGCAGACATTCAACGGACAAGACGAGCTTGTCGCCCACCTGGAGCCGAAGCCAGGGTCACATTCTGATTTTCGATCACAGTTGTTGACACATACATCCTTGCCACAAAAATCCGGCCCGTGGCCGCAAAAGCCAAAAGTGTTGCTATGTGATAGGCAGAATAGGATTAGTATCTTATGCAGGGCCAAGAGTCGGTGGAAACTATGGAACAAATCCTTACCAGCATCCTTTTTCACAGGGGTTGTTTGCATCACATCCAAGCTTGTAGTCACAGTTTGCAAGACAGCCTTCGCCACAATGCTCTGGGGTTGTTCCACAAAAACCGTCCTTTGAGCTGAAACACGAATCAAAACCAGGTTTGTCAGCTCCATCACTTGGTAAGCACATACCAGCAACCAGTAGCACAAGGCTTATCGGGGCTACAGTCCTGTGCTAGAACTGGTACCGCGAGGACACACAGCAAGGCGATCAGCCTCACAAGGTGTCGGCCCAACATCTTACCTTGAAGGCCTTGTTCTCAAGAAATGATTTTCGGTAAAGCATGAATCTTTATACATCCTCTCGAGCCCAACTGGTCGGCCCCTTTTTGTTGGGGAGACACGGGCATCTTTTATCGGTTATTTCTGGGCGCCAAGCAACCCGCGTCTTTCGTAATAATTTAACTCCTGGGACAGTAGCGTTGCATTCTTTTCATAGCTTCATGGAGTGAGTGAAATTAATATCATGTTACAACCAATCCAATGACCAGGATCGCGGAGTGGGTCTTCCACCGGCTTTCGTCGGGTCTTGGCTTCTTTCTCGCATTTCTCTTGGCCGCTGGATTAGCTTTGGCCAAAGCCGATCTAGCTTAGTCTCATATTCAGTCAGTCGTAGGTCATACTGTTGCCTTGGCAAGTTCGGACCCTTACGCTAGTTCTTACGCTAAACAGTCCTGTCTTCCTAGCAGAGCTCCACTAGAAATAGGCGACCACCGGACGTGCTTTGTGTATCACCTTCTCTTCTTCTCATTACCTAAAGAATTGGTCTTTTATCAACATCAACGGAGCTCATGCTGACGCTTCAACTAGTATAGTCTCAGTATGGGATGGCGTGCAACTAATTCAGCTCCCGTGCCTACTTTTGTGCATGTAAATTCCGTATAGCGCAACCAGCCAAGTCGAAACATGTGGTTCGTGAATTCACCGAGCAGAAATTCCCGGAACATGTAATTTCCACAATTTTGACTATTGGAAGCAATGTAATGTACCGGGCCCGTGAGTGTTGGGCTAGGAGCCTGAGTAGTTTTGCGGAAGCTCGGGTGGGAAGTTCACTTTTCCATACGCCCTAGTTTCTTTTTATCTTCGAATCATCTAACCTTTTTTATTTGGAGTCCACGAACATTCTCGAGGTTTACTGGCATAGCCCAAACCTCTGCAGTCAATATGCATAGCGTAAGGTTAGCCTTGCGCTGGCTTGTGCTTGTATGGCAAGTCATTGCTGTCTGGGCTGGACATCATGAACATGATCATCTAAATCGACAGTATGACCGTGATAAAGCTGCTTCCACTGATGCTGCTGTTCCAACTGCGATCTGGGCCCAGGATGCTCGAAACGGATATACCTCGTCTTGGCTTGGTTGGTTCCGTGCCCAAAAGGATTTAATTGGCAAACGTAGCTTCACCGGATTCTATTTATACGAGGATCAGTATGATGAGAATCTGCTAAACAATCTTCCGTTCTCTTGTCAATCCGCCCTCACCCAGGTGATCGACTGTCCTGATGAGGTCCAGAAGTTTCAGAGTGCTAATTGGTATGGCGGCTTTGACAATGACACACTCAGCGGACAGGTTTGTTCTACTGAATGTGAGGTTTCGATCAAGTCGTGGTTCTACCATGTCACCGAGAATTGCGCCAATTCCATTCAGACCAACCTGCCCCTTACTCTCAAAGGTGGTAGGCTCTGGGCTTCGTGGAATCAGACCTGTGCCAAGGATCCCGCCACTGGAAACTACTGCGGTGGTAAGTTGGTTACCAAACTCGTTATTCCGAACATTATCTAATAGAAGATCATCCTATCAACAGATATCCTGAACAAGCAGACAGCGTTTGACGAGTCAATTAATGAGCTTTGCTCATGGTGCAGGGTCGACCGTTACAAACAGATGCAATCCACTCCGTACTCCTACTATGATGATGTCTGGCAATCGCAGCTGAAAGAAATCAACTCCAAGTGCGGATTGACTATTCCTACCAATATCCCTGATCCCCTTCAGCCGGTCATCGACCCCTATGAGCCAACAACCGACTTCTGTGCCTCAGATGTGACGTATACCACTGCGGAAGGAGACACCTGCGACTCAATCTCACAGGCCCATAAGGTTGCCTCCGCTGCTCTGTTCATGGGGAACGTCAACTTGAAACGTTGCAGCAATATTCCTGCAGGCACGAGGCTCTGTATTCCGTTCATGTGCGACAATATCTACACAATTCAATCTAACGATACCTGCCGTTCTATCGAGAAGTCACAGAGCGTCGGTTATCAGGATGGCCTCACTCTGAAGAAGTACAATTCTTGGCTCAATAACCAGTGCACGAATCTGCATATGAATAGCGACGTTGCCTATGGACATGTCATTTGTCTTGGTCCGCAGGCAGGAACCTCAACCGGTGACGCTCCATACCCAGATACCACGACACCAAAATATAGCGATGGGTATGCCATTCCAGAGATTCCACCACCCGACAGCGTACCCGTGGCCAATGGAACCACCCTACGGTGTGGCAAGTGGCATAGAGTGACCAATCAGGAACTAAAAGAAACCTGCACGACTATCTGTGTTCAGAAATCGATTCCTTGGAGTCTGTTCTTGGAAGTAAATCCTTCCCTAAGCGCGGAAAATTGCGACACCCATCTACTTAACGGAACCGCATATTGTGTGGGTCCGACATATGGATGGGATATTGACTTTGGACCAGACGATGAATTTTAGGCCATGGTGCACCGCGAGATATATTGTCATAAACAAATGTGGTCCGAGACGTTATAGAACATGTACGAGTATGTCCATTGACACATTCTTGAGCAAAATCTGCACACAAGGTTTCAGTAAGCCAATGAAAAAGTTTAGTGCATGACTCTAATGAAATCCTTACAGTGTATGTCGAATTTAACCATAGGGGTTGATTCCATGAAACACCAATAGATTTAAGGTGCATTCCTTGAGTACGTGGGGAAAAAGTTGGCCAAGACTCAATGGATTTTATCTTGATGAGTCCAATGCATTCATATGCTATAGTCGGGACGGGCTTATGTTATTATGTTTCATGAACCAAGTGCACATGTATATCTCAAGTGCCAACCCAGGAAGATCTGATGACCACTGGCAAACTTTTAGCAACATCAAATTGTATCCAGCATTTCCCGAAATACCCCGTCTTGCCCTCGTAACTCTTCCGGCCTACCCACCTGTACTATGTGACCCTCCTCCAACACTACAACGAGATCCCAATCCAACAAAGATTTAATATCGTGCATCACGGCAACTACCGTCCGTTCTCGAAAATTCTCCCTAATCATTTGTCGGATCAGCTCCGCGGTTTCAATCGTGAGATGACTTGCCGGCTCATCTAGGACGACCACGGAGCCTGTACGCAAGAGCGCACGTGCGCAAGCAAACAATTGGCTCTGGCCAGCTGATAACGTCTCGTTTGGGTCCTCGAGGACAGTGGACAGGCCTCCGCGCGCAGCTATCACGTGCCACAGCTGCACAGTCTGTAGAGCAGCAATGAGCCGGGCATCATCCTCGTCGCACGGATGCTGGTGCTGCCGCCGACAGCCGAGAACGAGGTTCTCGCGCACAGTAAACCCGGGAACGATGTAGCTGTCCTGCGAGATGCCAATTAGCGCAGAGCGGAGGGTCTCCGGCTGCAGACTGGCAAGGTCCAATCCATCGATAGTCACGGTTCCTTGTGTGACAGATACCATGGCGAATAGTGTCGCTAGGAGCGTGCTCTTCCCGCTCCCCGTGCGGCCGCAAATGCCAACTTTCGTGCCGGGCGGGATTGTGAGCGAAATGTCTTGCAAAGCTGCGGGGCCATCGGCCGTGTACCTGGCAGTCAACTGCTTGATCTCGATGCGTCCCTGTGTGGGCCATAAGGGTTGAGTCTGGGGGAGCAACCCAGAGCCGGCTCGCTGGCAAGAATGCTCCGATTCGGCAGCCTGATGGGTGAAAGCCTTCAGCCGACTGACGGAGCTCAGGGAAATCTCCATGGCCGCCCATTGGAGCACTAGAAGCTGTAGGTTCTCGCTCATCGAGATCACATTAACAAGGGCCAGGCCGATTAACGCAGAGCGTGTGCGCAAGGCGATCGCTGTGCCCACAACCAGAAGCGCCATTCCCGCCGTAATCAGGTCCAATACCAACGTCAGCCAGCGTTGCAACATGAAGCGTTGGTAGTATGGTCGCTGCGACGCATTGAGGTGGCTTTGGTAGGTTGCTTGGTGCCGATATTGCCAACCAAATGCACGAATCGTCTGGAGACCCTTGATAGTTTCTAGAAAATAGTTGCTGTATTGATTTAGATACGCATTTTCTGTATATGGAAGGTCTCGGTCATGTTTGAGACCTACAGTAGCGGAGATTTGGCTTCAATATCCATGGAGCGTATTTGGCGTGAGGTGCGAAGATAGAACCGCTGGATGGCGATGACAGTGGTGAATAGGACTGGGAACGCGATGAAGATATATGGAGAAGCACTAGGGATAATTAGCGGGGATTTAAACACTGTTATAGCAGAACTTAGAATCTGTACCTTGCAACAATTATAGCTTGTGCTAACGTGCCCAGTGCACCTAGAAATGGTTAGTTGTCTATTAGCTAGAGGATTGATAAGATTACCCTCCGAGGCGTTAAGAAACGTTACAGGCAGTGTCCAGTCAATTAACTGCAAGTCCTGGCTGAAACTATTCTCGATGTTAGTTTCCATTTGGCCATCTGGTGCGCGATGAAATAATTATAATAGCCAGATTGGGTCTTGTGCAAGAGGGAGCTAAGGGAAACTTTTTCATCTCCCCCGCCATATGGCCATGTATACCTAGGCAAGGGAGGCAGACAAATTAACGAATCCTTACCGGTTTGTGATGGAGCCCGTGCTCATTGCGCTGAAAGACGGAAAAGACAGACTATTGTCATTAGCCCTAACCTCGACATGATACCTTGGGATTCTTACGATGTGACTGCCTTTAGGAGACGCGTATGAAAATAGCGACTCGTACGAGGCATGATGACACGTAGTTGGTGGCTGAATATTTTGTTAAGCATGGTCGGCAGTATATATCTAGGTGGGTGTACTCACAAGGCAGCAATAAACGTGAAGGCTAAGCCAAGGACCTGAAAGAGAGTGTATACCCCGATGTACCTCGCGTAAAGCAGTCTCATCGATTGATGTTCTACATCGAGCCACCACTGGAGCCAAACAGCTAGAAGTTTATCAGCGACTCTGCATTTTTCTGAGGAATTCAACGCAACTGACTCGGAAATTTAGAGAAGAAGGTCTGAAGAGTGAGTAGTGCACACAGAGTTAATCCTTTCCAAAGGCCCATCGATTTGAAATAAGATCTGTAGACTGATGTCTTCAGCAACGGCATTTTGAGGTCGTTGCTCTTGGATTGCTTTGATTGCTGCTTAGGTGCGACAGGCTCTGCTAGCGAGGTATGCTCCAATTGTGGCTCCGATTTCTTGTCATCGGCAACACGCAGATGCTCCGGAAACTGTTGTAACAGTTGTCGCGCCGGTTCGTGTGCTTTCACTTCCCCATCGGCATCGAGAAGAATTACAAAGTCTGCGTAGGGTACCAAGCGTTCTAAAATTCACAAGGTGTCAATAAAGGAAGAACTGTTACTGCGTGACTCGCCGTACCTGTATTTGAGGCAATAATTACAGTCTGCTCACTACCTCTCATTAGACCGTCCGGGCCCAGGAGACGATGAATGACAGTCTGCTCGGTCCGAGGATCCAGAGCACTGAAGCTATCGTCTAGTATAATAACCTTTTGCCGGGAATACACGGCTCTTGCCAGACACTGTGAACAGTAGCAACGTGAGTACCGCAGCCCATTAGTAGAAACATGGGGCCAATGAGTGTACTTACAACTCTCTGCTTCTGTCCTCCGCTGAGCGTAGCGCCATCACTGCCAACCTCGGTATGATCCTGCTCTAGCATACGCTCAATGTCCTGTTCCAGGTCACAAGCCCAAACAGTCTTATTATACCATCCCTCTTGCCAAGCTTCGGAAGGCCCGGCGATATTGGTTTGGATAGGTTGGTTCTCGATCCAAGGGGTTTGATCACAGTAAGCGCAAGATTCAAAGCCCTTGGTGAAGGTTCCTTGGGATACATCTAGCTCACCCAGCATAGCCTTTATCAAAGCTGACTTTCCACTGCCGGTCGGCCCTATTAGCAACGTCACCTTGGACCATGGAATTTCGATAGTAAGGTTCTGGAGAACAGGAAATTCAGAGCCCGGGTAAGAAAAGCTTGCTTTGTGAGATGCGAAAGCAAAGGGAAATCTTGCATGGCTTCGGTAATCCCCTAAGGGAATACTCGAGGCAGTGGCCTGTTTCTGCGAGGAAACCATATGTTGTGTCTCGAATTCTAAATTGGCTATGATCTCCTGATTCATCATATCTGGCTGTTTCAGGTAATCCTCCACCCGTTTCAGACAGCTGAAAGCTGCGATGACGCCAGGTACCTGTTGGAAAACAGCTGTAAGAGGCGACGTGACAAGACCTATCAGCGATATGGCGGTGTATATTCTAGCAGCGCTGGAGGAGTCCCAAATATTATGTTGGATGGCAGCATAGATTGCCAGGGCCAAAACAGGAGATATCGCAGACGGGAGATATGCTTATGCAAACCGTCAAATTGGTGATCCACAAGCATAGAGTGCATACTCACCTAAGCCCATAATCCACACAAGTAAATTTCGGTAGCTTGAGGCAGACGCCAGCTCGGCATCTCGAAGTTTGAAGATTCTATCAAATATATCTATACCCAGCCCGGACATCTGGATGATTTTCATATTCGACAACATCGACGTGGTGGCGTCTATGGCGATGCGCGGGGCAAGGTTAGGACTGCCAAATTGAGATCAAAAATTCATTGATTACCAACTTACTTAAACGTGTTTGAACACTCTCTAACCATCCCTTCTGGCATATCCCAACGTGTTTGGAAATTTTATAGGTAGCCACCGCGCAAACAGTCGCGACAATCATAGGAGCTATAGAAGCCACCCCGACTTGACGCTCCAAGAGCCAGGTCGCGATACCAACTTGAAACAGACTCGAATACACTTCGTGTAGTTGCTCTAGTCCCGTACATGCCATCTCAATATCAGTGTTGATGAGAGTCATGGGTGTCTTATGCGCGTCTATCGGACGGATTAACAGTGTCTTCTGAAAGACGGCAGAGAGTAGGGTACCCCGCAGCAGGGTGGTGAATTGCAGCTGGAAACGCCAGTAGACACCAGTGGCAATCGCTAGACCGGTATAAATAATGCCGTAGGCGCCCAAGATGCCATAGCCGAGGTCTTGTGTCGATGTGTCTTCCAGCCACTGAAGGAGTTTGAGCATCAACACTGGCTGAAGTAAGGTGAATGTCAGAACACACAGTCGTGGAATAACTGGCCACAACAGTCTGTTCTTGAAGGATATAACGATTGCCCTCACGAGGCTGTGTCGATGAGCTTTATGTCTTTCGAATGTCTGGGTGAATCCTGACTCCTCATTCACAACATTACAGCTCTGCGGCAAATGATTCAGATCGCTTAGTGTGAGGGCCTTCCTGAAACCGACCCAAAGTAGGGAATTAAGCCATAAAAACAGTCCATTGCTAAATATTCCACTGATTTCTTCGGGGGATCTAGCTTTATCTTCCGCATTGAGAAAGCATTTTGTCTTCCGTGAAGACTCGGCCATTAATGAGGCCAGTTTCACGGCCAGACTAAATGAGGAAAGAATCCTTAAAACGGGTTTGCTGGACTTGAGTAGCCAGAGGGTTCGAAGACAAGCCGCATCTAGCAAGATCGAGGTGGAGAGGTAGGTAAGTAAGAGACTGGACGGACATATGGTCTTACTATGCTCTAAATAGGAAAGCACACAAATAACCACTGCATCGGCTACAGAAAGGGCCAAAGAGGCAACTGAAGTGAGCTGGGTGTGACTTTCCAAGCTTACGGAGAGCACCAGCAGACACAACTGCATAATACCCAGAATCGCTCCTAGTGACTAGCTAGATTTCAGTATGCGAAATTTACTGTCCGATGCTAGGTAAAAGGCGTACCTGCTTGATCCAGCGGAGAGACGGTGCCGATACTCTAGGTCTTGCATGATAAAGAAAAAAAATTCGAACAGCAGCACATAAGATGAATAACGACGAGGGTAGAATGGCGAAGATGCTTCGCTCGAATTGAACCGTGAAGTCAAAGCTGCGGCATTGAGTCTTGACACGAGGTCCAAACCGACTGTCTGCCAATACGCAATCATTGTGGATGGTCAAGTTCTCCATTGTGGCCATACGGTCTGCTGAAGATGTTCACTAGCGAGGCTAGGCAAAAGGGGTTGAATACGGAGAGGGATTTGTAGCTCACGCAGAGGTTTGACTTGCTTGACCGAGGATCCCAGCAAGCCACTTGGAAATCTTTTATATCCATCCAATCACAGAGCTGCTCTTTATCTTCCATTTGTATTGAAGATGACTATGCACCATACACCTATCATTAAATAGTGCAATGGACAACCCCTGTCACTTAATTTACGTGGAGATACCGGGATGTGGTTTTTCCGATCGACTATCGTAACATTTATTTCCAGGACGCTAGTATGCTGGGCCCGGGTAGTATATCTGGCAACTTGAAGATAGTATGTAATGGAAGTTGTTCTCTACAGCTCGGGGCACAGGAGAGTGTAGTTGACCTTCAGGGAGGGATATCTGTCCCCTTTCTCTTTCTCTAGATTCCTCTACCTCTGCCACTTGTCCTACCACTTTTATTATCACAACAAAACTCTCACTACTACTCCTAATGCCTCGAATATGCCACATCCAGGATTTCAAAATCCATCATCCTCTCCGATCGATACCCGCACGTCCTCGCCCCCATTCCCCTGCCGCTACCGTCCAAATTCTAAACGCAACCCATCGCATGCCTCTTGCTAACACCAGTAATCTAGCTTCGTCCTAGCAGCTGCCACGTCGACCTTGTGCAGTTTCTTTGGGTAATATCTGTAGACTGTAGCTATACGTAAGCATGTTTTCCCAATCAAGAGGAGTTTCACTATGTGTGTCTCCGCTCTTGCCAGGGTGCCTGGGCTTAAGCTTGGTGAGTGCCTAGTATGTAGGATGCAGCCTTGAAGGTCAGGTGACAGAATGGACCGAGGCTGCTTGACTTCTACTGCGGCTGACATTAGTGGCCAATCAGAGTATCTGCAGTGAAACGACCCTCCTTTTTGCATTTCGATTTATAGGGGCCTTAAGTCTGCAAGGTCTGCTGCCCAACTTTGCTGAGCCATGATTTTCATATCGTTTATTGATCCTTGTCCGTTGAGAGGAGATGGTTTACTGCCCCCATCCCCCATCTTCGCGGTCAGGCCCGCAACTCAAACATGTGGACCTCCCGAATCCAGCAAACTGCTTTCTGTCACAAGACCTATTCGACGCCAAAGTGGATCTCGAACTTTGACATTGATGGGCCAGCTAATGATCGGTACCTGGCGGTTGCAGTTACTAGTTCGAGAGTGCGTCGGCTGAACTCCGGCCTATCTGAATCCCCGCTTCTCCAATATGGGGCTGCGGGGGCTCGAGCTGCGGTTTTGGGAACATGTCACCGTACTCTGACCAAGAACCAAGTCAAATAAAGCCGGGCTCTCTCGTGGGGCGTTAATGTCAATTTCAATCGTACCAAAAAGCTGTAAACAATCATGGCGTCTCCCAGCCAACTCCAGACTTTCCCTTCTAAGCCGCGTGTGTTCATTTTGAGTGACATCTCCAATGAGCCTGATGATGCGGAGTCATTGGTTCGCTACCTTCTTTATTCCAATCAGTTTCGGACGGAAGGACTGGTCGCTTGTACGTCAACATGGATGAAGAATAAGGTCTGTCCGCAGGATATGCATAAGATCGTGGATGGGTATGAGAAAGTAGTCGACAACCTCAACGCCCACGTAAACCCGAATGACCCATATCCAACAGCGCAGTACCTGAGATCCATCATTAAGAAAGGTGCAGAGGTATCTATCTCCCAATCAAACCCCAAATCATTATCTATTCCCAGATCCTAACATTTATCGAAGACATACGGCATGAAAGCAGTTGGAAACAACATCCCCCTCAGCGACGGCGGCGAACTCCTCCTCCAATGCATCCTGAAACCAACAGAGGAACCCCTTTGGATCCTCTGCTGGGGCGGAACAAACGTCCTCGCCTCGGTCCTCCTCAAAATCCAAAACACAAATTCACCCGCAGACGCCCTGAAATTGCGTTCCAAATTGCGCATTTACGCCATTTCCGACCAAGATGACACCGGCACCTGGATCAGACACAATTATCCAGACCTTTTCTATATCTGCTCCGTGCACGGCTGGAATCAATACGGCATGGCAGCCTGGTGCGGGATATCTGGCGACAAATGGTACGGCTTTGACAAAGGCGGACCAGATCCAAGCAAGATCAGCAGGGAGTGGATCAAGGAGAATATTCAGATTGGACCGTTCGGTACAACGTACCCGGAATACATGTTTATCCCGGAAGGCGATACCCCGACTTTCTTGTATCTGATCCAGAATGGATTGGGTGTGCCCGAGCGACCGGAATATGGATCTTGGGGAGGACGGTATATTGCCACTGATGTTAGTGGTGAGGGTGTGGCTAATGGCCATTTCAGCGATACTACTGATGAAGTTATTGGACTTGATGGACATAAACATAAATCTAACCAGGCGACGATTTGGCGGTGGCGGGATGCCTTTCAGACTGATTTCGCGGCGCGAATGCAGTGGTCGCTTTCGGCTGATCGTGGCATGGCTAATCATCATCCTGTTGTTGTTTTGAATGGTAGCAAGGGGTCGGAACCGCTGTATTTTGAGTTGGAGGCTGGGTCGATGCTTCGGTTGGATGCGTCTGCGTCGTACGATCCTGATCCGAATGATCAGATCACTTTCAACTGGTATCAGTATCGTGATCCGAGTGCGACGCAGTGGTCTGTTCATATTGAGGTTAGTCTCTTGGAGATCAAGCCGGTCAATGAGGCTGGGAGCATTGTGGATGTTACGATTCCGCCGCCGGATAAGTGCTGTGTTGAGCTTATTAGTCGAGTTGCTGTGCCAAAGGGACAGGTGCTACATCTGGTTCTTGAAATGAAGGATAATGGGTCTCCTGCTCTTATTAGCTATCGCCGTGTTATCATTCAAACTACGAATGAGAAGTTACTAGGTGGTGGCGGTGGTGCGGACGCGATTGGAGACATGATGCGGGATTTGATTGCGAACACTTAAGAGTCAGAGGGCTCATTTCGGTGGTAGTAACCTTGGAAGATTTTATACGGACATTGCAGTTAGATTTCATTCAAGAATCAATACAATAAATAATAAAGAATCGTAAATTTGTTACATATCTAATCTTATACTTCCATCTTCTTACACCATAGCCGCGGTGATGTGTTGCTACCGCGACTGCTCCAGCTACTATTCGTAGGATGCATAGACAAAGGATCCATCCCCTTATGTTTGACATGTGATCGCGGTCGCACAATATCCGGGCTCGGTGCCTCGGGAATCACTTCCGGCTGTGGGACCCGAGTCTTATCCGTAAAGACATCCTCAACCTCTTCAAGGGAGTGGCCCACAGTCTCAGGGTAGCAAAGCCAAACAATAAACATAGCGGCCCAATTGAAAGCAACAAAGCAGTAAAAATACTTCGAGCCGAACTTCGTGAGCGCAATAGGCGAGCACTGCGCGAAGATCAAGTTCAGACTCCAATTCGTCGCTGTAGCTACAGAAGTTCCCCGAGCTCGAATGGCTGTAGGGAAAATCTCGGCCGGGTAGATCCATGATATCATGCCCAGGGCTGTGTAGAAGAGAGAGAAGACAAAGAACATGGCGATTGCAGCACGAAGTGCGCTCTTGTTAGCGTTGCTGTCGCTGAAATCGACATATCGCGCGAGTGTGGCCTCGACGCACATGGCTGCGCCCATACCCAACAGCGATGGGATAAGCAACTTCCGTCGACCAACTTTGTCGATGAATGCCATGAAAATCGTATTCCAGAGCTGCGCCAGCGCACCCCAGACACCGATGATCATGAGTGACATCGATGTAGAGAGACCTAAGGACTTATATAGGCGAGGTCCGTAATTTTGGATGACGTTTGCGCCAGATAGTTGCGTGAATGCTTGTAAGCCACAGGCTAAGAGAATCCGATATCGCCATTGCCGGGATAGTAAGAGCTGACGCCAGGAGCGGACGACGGCGGTTTGCTCGTAAGCGACACTCTCGCGAATCTGGACCAACTCTTCCTCAACGAGCTGACTATTGGTCGCGCTAAAGTTCAAATGGAGTTTAGTCAGTACCGACCGCCCGGCGGCTTCTTTTCCATGTTCGATGAGCCAGCGAGGCGACTCGGGAAGAAACCAGATCCCGCATGTTAAGATAATAGCTGGCGCTGTTTGTAACGAGAGAGGAAATCTCCAGGCGAAATCCCCACTATAGCGAGAACAACCATATCCGACCCATTGCTTCAAAAAATTTGTCAGTTAAGTATCACTACGACAAAGATGGAAGCCACTTACAGCCACCATGATTCCCAGGCCAATCATCCATTGCTGCATGCTCGCTAGCATACCACGAATCCGGGGTGGCGCAACCTCGCTCTGTGAAAAGTTAGTCAATGACGACAGCCTTGGCGTTATCTCGGGTGATTTGGGCCGACGAACGCAATATACGGGAATGGTTGCAGACATCAGACCGATAGCCAAGCCCGCGATGAATCGGCCAGCGATTAGCATCGCAACAGTGACCGCACCCCCTGAAGTGCAGCACCAAGTGTAGCAAGAAGACCTCCAAGGAAGATGACCATTCTGCGGCCTTTGAAATCAGAGATATAGGGCGCAAGCAAAGACCCCACGATTGCCCCTCCTAAGTGTCGCACATTAGAGATCTGACCCTTCGTTCGTCCAGTTCAGTGAACAATACCTGTATAAGAGGAGATAATTCCACCACTGGCCGCATCTGACAGACTAGGCGACCCAAATTTGATCAGGAAGGCATTCTGCTCTATGCTTGACGAGATCACCCCCGAGTCATAGCCAAACAGGAATGACCCCAGGGCCGCAAAAGCGCAACAGAGAGTGACTAGCACGTAAGCCATAATTCAACGCAGCTCAACTGCCATTTTCCCTTTGAAACAGGTAGCTAGATGGACAGGATATAAGAGTTGGATCAGCTCAGGTTTGGGGGCGCGTCGCAGAATGTGGTGATCCACACTGGGGAAGTGGGACGTGCCGAAGGGGGTCGATCGCGAAAATAAATCCTCCAACTTGCACTTTGGAACCTTGGAATGTCATGCAGGATGTGAGGGGATTACAATGAAAGTCTGTTGGACAGACAAGATGACACGGCTTCGCAATTATTCAATGGGTAATCTTCAAAAGATAGCGCAGTCCCCTGCAGGGCTGACAAGCTTAAACCTGAACTGAGTTTTTTTCCGCCGATCGCCAATCGTTCGAGACTCACGGGTCCCATGGCCCTGGTAGCTTCGTACCCACTCATGATTCGGTAGTTTCAGAGGTCCCGTTTGTTTAGGCATTCCCCCCCAGTCGCGTCACAGGGTTTTGTCATGGTCCCCTTTGCATGGCTGATCCCTTCATGACGAGATATCAAGGGCCAGGCTATTGATCTCTTGGCATCAATAAATATATATCACCTGCAACCCTCTTCGGAAACACATTAAGACTAATCATCAATCATTGGGTGCCGAGGCAACTATGATATAATCATCAGCGAAATCGCATTTCCCTCTGATTCTTGGCAGCACAATTTTATGCAGTGCTTGTTCCGTCCAGTGTTTACCAAGATCGATATTGAACGGATGCAGTCTCTGTAGAGGGTTTATGTTGGACTGATAAATATTGACGTTCGAAAATTACCGCAAACCTGCCAGGTTGCGTCGGCGTTCACTTCCCGAGGTCGGCGACTAAGCTATTGACCGAAGACCCCGTAGTATTCAGGAAAGACTTTCCGTACTTTTACCCCCGGCGTGCGGCAGTTCGATTTTGAATAGACCGGTGGAGTACATATGGAGTACTCCTGTTACTACGACTTGGATAGTTAAATAGTTCTCTTTGAAGATTCCGGCGGAACAATCCGCGGATCAAACTCTCAAGTAATTCGGCTTGTTGGAAGGCCCACCGAAGCGAACAGAGGCCGTGTCAAAAAGCCGCAGTGGAGTCGGAAAATTCTATCATCGGAGGGGAGGCCGATGCGAAAATGCCTCAATACAAAAACCCTGGAAATCCCCGCCCTGTCGGCGAGGTCGGCCTCGCGATTACCGGATGTCCGATAGTATCTGGTGACTAACGGCGAAATTGCTTGGAGGCCCTGAATGGTCAGGACTCAAAGCAAAGGACCAATCGTAGCCAGAATAGAACCAAGTACTCACGATCCCTCGTATTTGCGTGTCAGGCCAAGCTTTAGAGGAACATTCCACAGGTTCTCTCCACTTCACACCGCTTTCGGTCTGCAATTAATCATTTCATCATCGCTTACTCTCGAACTGATCTTCGTTATTCCGTTTGGAACTTTACTTTTCATTCGTCTAATTATTTCTTTAAATGTTCCGGCAAGGAGGGCGATCGAGAACCTGCTAAAGAGATCGCCCGCCAAGCTCTCCCTTACATGAATCACAGTTTCCCACTTTCTACACCACTATGGCGGCGACCACCGGGCCTCATTCTGGAGAGAATGAGGATGATCCCTCCATGATCGATGCCTATTTGCATGAGGATGACTTTTCGCCGCATGATACCTCCCCCGCAGATCATAAATCTAATCAGTCCTTACCGATGCAGAAGAGGCGACGAGTCGGTCGCGCCTGTGACGAATGCCGTAGAAAGAAGATCAAATGTGACGGGAAACAACCCTGCACTCACTGTACGGTCTATAGTTATGGTGCGAACCACTGAAATTCCATTTCCCTCTCACCCCTCTCCATTCTCACGTGGCTGACATTCCACAGAATGCACGTATGATCAGCCCTCCAACCGTCGTCGCAATCCAGCCCCGCAATACGTCGAAGCCCTCGAGGCCCGTATGCACAAGGCTGAAGCTCTTCTCCGATCCATTCTTCCTGATATCAATCTCGATGACCCACAGCTGGACGTACAAGCCACTGAGCAGCGCCTCATCGCTGCGCAGAAGGCGAAACAGCCGACCGGGCCACCCGCGCCGAAGCCACCCGCGGGGCCAGTCGAGCCAACCCCTGAGGGTGGGGACGAGTCACTGCTAGAGACCATGGTCGACAACTCTGGCTGTTTAGATCGCGATGACCAGGGTCACTGGGATTATCATGGCCATACGTCGGGCATCATCTTTGTCCGCCGTCTGCGCAAACAGCTCGGTGCCGCCGATATGCCTATCACACGAACGCACGGCCTTGCACAAACGCTCGAAAGCCCCAAATCGGTTTCAGATTCACCACAAGACTCGGCATTGCCCCCGACGCACGATCTGCCTCCCCGGGTGGTGGCACGACGCTTGTGTCACAATGCGCTCGATGACGCCTGCAGTTTGATGCGTTTCGTGCATGAGCCATCTTTCTTTGCTAGCCTCGAGCGCATTTATGACAAATCACCTGAACAATACACAAACGAAGAGAACTCATTTTTGCCGCTTCTGTTTATCGTTATGGCAGTAGGATGTTTGTTCTCGGACGACGGAGTGGGTACACTCGACGTAGCTGGGTACGAAGGTGCCATCGGTCAAGGGTGAGTTTCGCTTTGTCCCACATGGTATTACGAATAATAGCTGATCTACTTGTCAGATTCCAATTTTTCAAGGCTGGGCGGCAGCTTTTGGAGGTTACAGATTGCCGAGATCTGACTTCGTTGCAAGCTATTTGCTTCATGGTTCTATTCCTTCAATCCTCTGCCAAACTTAGTACGTGCTATTCATATGTGGGGATCGCGCTCCGCTCGGCACTACGATTGGGCTTGCACCGCAATGTAGTAGCGGACTTCAATCCGATTGAGCGAGAGCTGCGTAAGCGCATATTCTGGGTGGTACGGAAAATGGATGTCTATGTCAGCACGTTACTGGGTCTTCCGCAGATGCTGAGCGACGATGATATTGACCAAGAGCACCCCTTGGAAATTGACGGAGAGTTTATTACCGCAGAGGGGATCATGCAGATGCCCACAGATTATACCCCTCTAATGGCCGGTCCAAATGCACATACCCGCCTTTCCAACATTATCTTGAAGGTGGTAAAGTACATTTACCCGGTGAAAAACGCGCGTTATCGCTCCAAGTTTGATCAGCGATATATGGTCAGCCACTCTAAGATCCGCGAAATCGAGCGCGATCTTCAAAATTGGATGGAGGAACTGCCCCCAGCTCTCCGCCCCGGTACAGAGGTGTCCCCTCAGCTTGAAAGGTACGAAGCCCACACCCGCGTGCCATAACCAAGATAAAAATAGCTAACTATCTTGATAGGATTCGTCAGTTGCTCCGCATCAGCTATGCTCACGTGCAGATGGTCATGTACCGTCCATTCTTACACTACGTATCTGGTGGATCTCAAGCGCGTGGCGTCGACAAGCGTTCTTATGCCTGTGCTGCGGCTTGCGTCAGTGTGTCCCGCAACATCGTTCACATCACGACCGGGATGCACAAGAGGGGACTTCTTAATGGATCTTTCTGGTTCACCATGTACACAACCTATTTCGCCATCCTTTCCTTGATATTCTTCGTGGTTGAGAACCCTGATTCTCCCACGGCCAAAGATGGCGTTCTCAAGGATGCCATGGAGGGTAAAGCCACCCTGGCTGGCCTAGCCAAGAAAAGCCTGGCGGCGGACCGCTGCTCTCAGAGCTTGACTGTAAGTTTAGACGTGGTACGTTGCATGTCCTGTGCTAATTCAATTTGCAGTGCTTGTTCAAGACCTTGCCAGAGATGTTGAAGAATCGCCAGAGCTCCAAGACACCAGTGAATCTCAAGCGACCAGCGCCATCTAGCATTTCCGCAGAGCCAGAGCAGATCAAGGTTTCATCAGAGCAAACCACCTTGCCTCATCGCTCAAGCACATTCCCCACCCAGATGATGCAACAGTCTCCAATGTTGGACCCTTCCAGCCGTCGACAAAAGAGCCTGGATACCACCCAGGCCATGAACAATCGCCCTTCTGACAACGGTAACCAGTCGGCCTGGATGGCCTCCACTCCTGAGCTGTTGACAGAAACTATGGCCACACCGGAACCCATGACAACCACCTCGATGAACGCCTCGATGGCCAACCAAGAACCGTCGAGTATGGCGTGGTCGCAGCAGTTTACTAATCCGAGCAACCTTCCGGATCTCATGCCTATCATGTTCCCCTCCGACGACCCTTTCGCGTATCCCACTCAGCCCATGTCCACTCTGGAAGATGACCACTTCCGAAATGATCATTCAGGCATCTCTTCCGCCCAGTACCCATACGACTCAGCCTCAACAGGCATGGTGAACTCACCGAGTGACCCAAGTGTTACCACTCCAGGATTTGACTTTACGAACCTCCCCGGTTTTGGGACATCTGGGATCAAGTCATCAGTGCCCAGTCGCCTTCATGCTCCTCCACAATCATTGACATCGCCTCGCGTCCACTCTCCAATCTCCCAAAGCCATACCCCGACCGAGGCTCTAAGCAGTCCTGACCTGGTTTCCATTCCTAATCAGAACTTCGTTTGGCAAGGTTATAACTTCCAACCGACAAACGGGAACATCGCCCCTGATCAGCCTATGCAGCAAGAGCCGTCTACCAGTGGGGTCCCGGACTTCAACATGGGTCTTGATGAGAATAATATGGGCATGAACATGGATCTGGGCATCTCATTTGATGACCTGTTCGGGAACAACACCACCTGCCGCCCTGGTAACGGCGCAACCAACGATGAGTGGACCCAGTGGATGAATGCCGGGGTATAAACCAAACACCTGTGATTCTACGACGATATGCACTTACGAAGGAAAGCAAAAAAGAAAAATATGTTTATACCTGGTCGGCGTTGCGTAGTTATCGGCGTGCTTGTTCTTTTCTTACATACAGGTCATTTGTGACGTACAGGACTAGTTATGCGATTGACCTAGCAATCGCAATAAATGAATAGTAATGTTTTTCACATATCCCCGTGATTTTCTAGATGATTACCCCATAGACCTTCAATGCCTGGAACGGTTTAGCCCGGATCATCTCCAGACCCACTTCAATGATCCTCGCATGCCGGAATCACCCCATCGACACTGACAACTTCTCCCCACTCAACATGGCTTTGCCAACCGACAACCTATCAATTAGGACCTCCTATCACACCATCCTTAGCAATTGAGCATATCGACCACCAATTCTTGGCTGGAGTCTTCCGCACCCACGCGCACCGGTCGCATGAGCTCTCCGGAAGCTCCGTCAATCCGCTATATTAAATAATATTCATTCATTTATTCCGATCCATCCATCCGCAAGAATGTCCCTCCCAAAACTCTCCAACATCGTCACATGGTCTCTGTACTTCATCCCAATATACATTTTTATCCTCTCTCCGCTCCTACAAACATTCTTCGGCCCCAGCACCACGCACTCCGAGAATGAGAACGTGAACATATTCGACTGGGACAGATCAGACACAATTCCAGCCCCAAATCTCCGAGACGACAGCTTCATTAGCCCAGAGGATGGCGTCCCAACAACCTGCCCCGGCGAACCAGCCGGATACAAAGTACACTTGCTTTCACGCGCACCCCTCATTCTTTACCTTGAGAATTTCCTCAGCGACGACGAAGCGGATCATCTAGTGGATATCAGGTAGGCTACCTAGAGGCTGTACCCATCGGAAGCGAAAGCGCAATGCGTAGCTAATCGTCATTAGTGTGGACAAATATAAACCCTCCATCGTCTACAACGGCAAGACAGAAAAGGTCGATCCGAGCAAACGCCTTTCAGACCGCGCCCTCCTCGACCGCGACGACACAGTCCGCTGTCTCGAAGATCGCGCCCGCGCATTCCAAGGCTGGCGTCCACACCTATACATCGAACGCATGTGGGCCCAACGGTATAACGCCTCAGGACACTACCGGCATCATTACGATTGGACCGGAACACTCGCACGTGGTGGAGACCGATTGAGCACGTTCATGGTATATCTGGGTGCTGATTGTGAAGGTGGGGGGACGAATTTTCCACGGTTGACGATGCCGCCTGGGAAGGAGTGGTGTCGATTTTTGGAGTGCGAGGAGAATGGGGAGGCCGAGGCCGAGGTTCAGGGGGATCTAGATTCGGACTCGGACCAGAATTTGGGTGAAATTCCGAAGCAGAAACCTGGGATCACATTTAAGCCTATCAAGGGGAATGCGATCTTTTGGGAGAATCTAAGACCGGATGGGACTGGGTATCCTGAGACTTGGCATGCTGCTTACCCTGTCACGTCGGGGACGAAAGTGGGATTGAATATTTGGAGTTGGTATCAGCCACCTATGCGGGCGCGTCGGGGGTGAGGTACATTTTGGAGTGTACCTATCAAACCCATTTTCTGGTGAGGATTGGGCATTTGGTTCGAGGCGTCTGGGATCTCTTCATGGAATGCTTGGAGCCTCCGCGTTGCACTGGTGTTACTTGTAACGCCTGCATTTGTTCTACCGGGTGGTTGTTGTATATGGCGTCAATTGACATATAGCGTGTAACATAAGTCTATACATAGATTCTGTTTGAACGATGCAGTGGTTTCCATAATCCCCGGGATGTGGGATGCGCTCTTCCCCGGCTCTCCACCCCGTGGGTACAGAACAAATGGTACAGATCACAGTGGGGAAACCCTTGGAAACAGGCAACTACATTCAGCAGGAGACAAGGGATGCCAAGTGCCACTTGCGCCGAGACATAGATTGGGGGTTCGGAGCGGGAATTGGCAAAGAGGAAAACCTTGGCTGCCAAGAATGTGTCGCCATGGCTGACGACGCTTGGCGCCTCCAATTATTCCGTTGCCACTGAGCAGATTAGGGGCACTGGGATAAATCCTCCGTGGACCCGAGGCTTCTTTCGCGTACTGAGTGAATTGGTTCATTGGCTCGCGGGTTGTTGGTTGTGATTTGGTAATTTGGGAATTGGGGAAGTTTTAGTCTTGCGCTTGGCCCGATTAGGCCGATAGACCGGGTCCATGAGCGCGAGGGCTGACTTTTGGCTGATTCCTACAGTGGCATGCTCAGCGATTACAGCGTGAAATTCCTGGTCCAAAGTCCACGAGATCTCTCGACTGTACAGGACGCTCACGCCATTCAACTGTGAGAAATGCACAGCCCCTCGGACTTCCTTTTTCCTCGAACGTGCACCAACCAGAAACTCTTGGTAGCCCCGCAATAACTCTTGGCCCGTTGTCCGTGCTTGTCCCTTTCTTGTCCCGCCCCGGTAAAAAAGACTCTGGGCAAAGGCTCGGCTTATTAGCCCCCTTCTTACGCGCTTTCCCATCCCACTTCTTCCTTTTCATTCCCCCTGTTGGTTTCTTTTGGACACGTTGGTCGAACTTATATCAAAATATACCCTGTGTGACCTGGTTCTTGTTGGTGGCCAGATTACATATTCCGGTGTTCTTCGCCCCCTCTTTTTTCTTGGTTCATTTTTGATAAACGTTGTGCCTGGGCATCCCGCCAGCACGACAAGAATCCCCGTTTCTTGGCATCATGACGGAGAACAATATCCCCCCAACTTCAACACCTCAACTGGCGCCGTCGGCGCCCGTTGACCAGACACACTCTGTGGCGCAAGTCACCACGACTCCGACCGCCTCGGTCACGGCGACCGCCGCGGCCGCCACCGCCGCCATCAACAACTCCATGAATGGCGGCGAGCAGCTGCCTTGTCAATGGGTGGGCTGCACGGAGAAGAGTCCTACTGCTGAAGCACTCTATGTAAGCTGATCGCAAATCCGGTGTGGGCACGGGAATACTAATCAGCGATTGTTTGATCAGGAGCACGTCTGTGAGCGCCATGTCGGTCGCAAAAGCACAAACAACTTGAATTTGACCTGCCAGTGGGGTTCTTGCAACACCACTACGGTGAAGCGCGACCACATTACCTCGCACATTCGAGTTCATGTGCCCCTGAAGCCGCACAAGTGCGATTTCTGCGGCAAGGCCTTCAAGCGTCCTCAGGATCTGAAGAAGCATGTCAAGACCCACGCGGATGACTCCGAAATCCGGTCGCCTGAGCCTGGGCTGAAGCACCACCACCACCCGGATATGATGTTCCCTCAGAACCCCAAGGGCTATGCGGCTGCTACTCATTACTTCGAGGGTCCCATGAACGGTGTCCCGAACCAGGCCTATACTCACGGCGCTCCCCAGTACTACCAGACACACCCGGCACCACCCCCACCTGCCAACCCTCATTCCTACGGCAATGTATATTACGCCCTCAGCCAGGGCCACGATGGAGCCCCCTCTTATGACCGCAAGCGCGGATACGATGCGCTGAACGAGTTCTTTGGAGATCTCAAGCGCCGCCAATTTGACCCTAACTCTTATGCCGCTGTTGGCCAACGGCTGTTGGGTCTACAGGCCCTCCAGCTCCCGATTCTGAACGGACCCGTGCCCGAGTATCAGCCCATGCCCGCTGGCGTTGCTGTGAGTGGAGGCGGTGGATATAGCCCTGGTGGCTCTCAGGCGCCTGCCTACCACCTGCCTCCGATGTCCAACGTTCGCACCAAGAACGATCTCATCAACATTGATCAATTCCTGGAGCAGATGCAGAACACTATCTACGAGAGTGATGAGAACGTGGCTGCTGCTGGTGTTGCCCAGCCCGGTGCCCACTACGTACAGCCTGGCATGCACTACCGCGCCACCCACTCCCCGCCAAGCCAGCTCCCTCCTAGCCATGTCACAGCCACCACCTCCGCTCCCATGATGCAGGCACACTCTCCATCTGTCGGCACTCCGGCACTGACTCCTCCCTCCAGCGCACAGTCGTACACTTCCAACCGCTCTCCCATCTCCATGCACAACCACCGCGTCTCTCCGCCCCATGAGAGTGGCGCCGGCATGTATCCTCGTCTCCCGTCTGCTAGCATGCCTGACAGCATGGGTGCTGGCTACCCCACTTCTTCTGGCGCCGCTCCCCCATCTACTCTCGGGGCTTTTGACAACGATGACCGCCGTCGTTACACTGGAGGTACTCTGCAGCGTGCGCGCCCAGCGGAGCGCCAAGTTGATGACAGCCGGATGGATACTGCGCAAGATAGTAAGGCAGATGGCGAACGTACCCCGACCAAGGAGCGCATGGACATCTCACAGAGTCTGATTGACCCTGCTCTATCCAGCACTTCTTCCGACCCTGATCAGGAAGCTGCGCAGCGGACTGCCCAGGCTGCTACTGAGGTGGCTGAGCGCGATGTCAATGTTGCTTGGGTGGAGAAGGTCCGCTTGCTTGAGAACCTCCGACGCCTAGTCTCCGAGCTCCTGGAGGCTGGTCAGTTTAACCCTGACTCTGGGCGTGAGTCCGGGTCTCCCACCCTTGATGGGGCTATGGAGGGCATTGAGATTGCTAGTGCACGTGCGTCCTCCGAGCCCGCCAAGGAGGAAACCAAAACTGAGCCTGTGGAGACTGTCTCCTACCCGACCCTCCGTGGGCTGGACGAAGACGGAGACGCTAAGATGCCCGGTGACGATGCATAGGGAACACCAAAATTGGATTGACCCCATTGGCCTTTCTCATCTAATGCCGTTACGACTATTTGTTTAAGTTCCATTCTACCCGTCTATTTCCTTTACTTATTTATTTTCCTTTGTGAGCACGGCCCTGGAGCCCTTTCCTTCACCCTTCTCATCGGTGTACCATGCCTGTTTTATATTGACTCTGTCTCCTCTCCCTTCTTTTTTTTGTTTTCTTTTCGCCTTGATTGTGTCCCTGGATCGCCAGACTCAAGCCTCTCATCTGTAGCAATAAAACTACACGCTGTTTATTTACGGCTTTTCACATTGTTTGCATCCGATGATCTCATAGAGTAGTGTAACCAAGTCCAGAGCTAAGCCCGAACGAGATCGTCCTTTGGCATTAAGGTTACATGATTAGTGTTTTGTGCAGATTTGGCATAGTCCCCCGGATTTGGCGATGCGAACCCCGATCGACATGTCAAGTCCAAAAGAGGCATGGCAACATTCCAACGGGTGAAACTAAACTGCATCCGGGGCCCTGTGACGCAAACGATCGAGGCCACCCCCAGGTAACAGAGTGTTAGTGAGCCCTGCAAGGATGTCTTGTTTCAATGATAAGGAGTACAATTGTTATAGAATACCAGTGGCTTGCATTAATGAAGTTGATAAATTTTGAATATGATACCAAGATACCCACGGTGGATCTAGGGGTCCAAGGAACGATGAGTTCAATCATACCTTAATAACTTCCAAGGCAGCCCCTCATCCAACGTAGGATATCACCTTGAACCGATCATTCTGTAACTGCACTCGGAAACGTCGTGGATCCCACGCTGAGCACGTAATGTGTATGTAATGGTATTACCCGATAAGCCCCGCTCCCACTCTGCTGATCAATGTGTATTATACACGGGCGTGACCAGACTCCACCACTGTTTACGGCCAAACGCACTTGATTCCATCTTCTTCTGTTTCTTTATTTCTTTGGAATACATTGAACTTCCTGTTTCTTCTTCTTTTCTCTTTCTTTTCTCTCCTCTTTCTCATAGGCGTTTTTACGAAAATTTGAAGAATTGAAAAACAAGTTCACACGCTCCCCACGCGACAAGGCGGTCACCCCAAACAGACGCCATCGCGTCGATCGTAGGGATTATCGATAACCAACATCCCCAGCCACTTCAATTTACACTTCAACGCTCTCCACTGTTGTGTGATTTTGGTTTGGGTACGGAGCTTTGGGGTTTTGTTATATTTTTTTTTTCCTTCTTCTTCTTCTTCTACTTCCGCACTTTTTTTTTTTGCGGTGGCAAACTCCGACTCAATCGGGTGGTTCAGACGGACTCATTTCTCTGGTTCTACCTGTCTGAAGGTGTCTCCGAAACTGGGGCGCTGAAATCCGGATCCAGACTTGGTCTGTTGTGTTTTTTATTTTCCCTTGATCTGGGATCTTGCCTCTGAACTTCATCTGTTGCCCCGCTTATATTTGCGGAGTATTCGAACTTCCAAACCGCTACATTGCCCACATTCTTGAAAATTCCGAAACCTGTCACGGCCACCATTCCGCTGATTTGTGGAGTCCTGGTTTAAAAGGAAAAAAGACCCTTCACCTATTATCCCCCGAGAAGCGATAGAGATGCCGTTGTCGAATCGTCGGCGTGCGCGCCGGAAGGAGATTCAACTTCAGGAAACATCCGATGCAGAGGCACCGGACTCATCGCCTAGTCGTCCGTCTGCGAAGAAGCGCAAGGTGAGTTCCGATAACAGTGGCGATAGGATCCGTCGGTCCGAGACCGAATTCTCCAAGACAAACTGTTAAAGAAAAGAGAAAAAATCCCACTCGCTGACATGATGTTTGTCTAAATGAATAGGTTGATCGCCGCGCCTCACCTTCTCGAACTGCCATCAAAGCGGCACCCGAATCCGACGATGACGAAGACTCCGCTGGCGATCATGATCCGTCAACCCATCAGGATGTGGTCGACCTGGTGATCTCATACCTAAACACCCCGCGCGAAGAACTGCGCGTCACGCGCGATTACTCCAACAACAAGAACGAAAACAAACAGAGTATTCAAGCCTATGCGAAAATCGCCGGCCGCGACTGGACCTATTACGTCAAATCACTGCATGTCAACATCGGTCGCGAGCCGGACCGCGAGCAACATCCCACTGAACAGTCCAGTCCGGTCACCATTGCCGCTCGTTCGCTCCCGGATGTCGATGTGGATTTAGGTCCGAGCAAATTCGTGTCGCGGCTTCATGCGGAGATCTTCTATGATGGGAAACAGGCGCCGGCCTGGCATATTCGGGTGAATGGTCGCAATGGTGTTCGTCACAACAACGCGATTCTCAAGCGGGGAGTCGATGCGGTTTTGAAGTGTGGCGATATCATTGAAGTTGCCAATACACAGATGATGTTTGTGACGCCGGGTGATGTCCCCAACATTTACCCTCCCTTTATCGAGCGCGCGCAGCGCATTGCGAGTGGCCTTGAGCCGGATCCGGCTTCCGTGGCTTGGGATGCGTCGCAGCACTCTCACCCCCAAGCCTCACAGGCAACCGAGTCAGCCCGTCCTTCTTCATCTGGTGGGCCTTCATTGGCGCCTGCGCCGAACTTCCTCAAGCGCCAGGTTACGCCGCCTCCCCGGTCCCCGGATACGGCGGGCGCGCGGACGGTCAAGCAGTCTCCGCTTTACAACCGAGGTATGATGATGGAGAGTACCGAAGAGATCGATTACAGTCTAGATGCGGCCAAGGATCTCAAGCCGCCGTACAGTTATGCCTCATTGATCGCGCAGGCTATCTTCTCTAGCGAGGAGGAGAAGCTTACTCTCAATAGCATTTACAATTGGATCATGGACCGATATGCTTTCTATCGACACTCCCAGAGCGGTTGGCAAAATTCCATTCGTCACAACCTTTCATTGAACAAGGCTTTCCAGAAAGTTCCTCGTCGTACTGATGAGCCGGGCAAGGGAATGAAATGGCAGATTGCCGCAGAATATCGTGACGAGTACCGAAAGAAACAAGCACGAAAGGGTAACCAGTCATCGGCCCCGTCATCGCCAGCAACCAAAGAGCCTCCTTCATCAGCCCGTGCCGCTCATATCCCCTCAATCGACACTTCATTCCCCGCCACAGCTAAAAAGTCCCCACCCGTCTCATCCCCGGGCTTCAGCTCATTCTCCGTCGCGCCTGTAGAGGCCTTCACTCCAGAGCGTGGTTCTCGCGCTGGCCGTGGTCTCGGCTCCGACCACCCATTGCGCCACATGAACCCGCAAGGCTACGAGGAACCATCACCTCTACCGGCTCGCACACGTAATAGTACATCAACGCAGGCGCCCAACACAAATAACAACCTCAGCCAAGCATACGGACTCTCGGACAATGTAGCCGGGTCCCCACCAGTGCTCTCTTCATCATACTACGATGACGGCCCTTCATCAATGATCACACCCGCCCCTCAACGACAACAACCCCGCCTTCCTCCCCCAAGCACAGCACAGATTCCCTCAAAGTTCATGCCCATGAGCTCACCCGCTCAGTTCTGGAAGTTTGCCGATATTGGCAGTACACCCGCACGCCCGGTTCCGGATATGAGTCCGCTGAAGGGCGAGCCCGAGGATCGGATCATTGGCGGGTTTCCGAGTAGCAGCCCGCCTCCCCCGAACCTGGCTAGTCCCAGCAAGCCGGGTACGTCGAATGGACTCGGTTCTAGCAGGACATTGCCACCGCTGCAATCTGATGCTGGGGATATGGGTCCGGCACGGAAAGAAGAGGAGGAAGAGGATGATAATGGCTTTGATCTTGCTCGGTAAGTTATCATTCCCTTGTCTTTGATTGGATCCATCAGCAACCCTTTAAACGAAAGTCGCTAACACGTTTTAGTGGATTCCAACCTATCGGTTCATACCACCGACAGTTGAGCAATGCCGCACGCGCCACAGCAACCTAGCCTCCCCTACCGTTCTCATCATGTATAACATGTTCCCCAGATTGTATGTTACTTGTTACGTGTTTTGCTTTTGTTTTGGTCCGCATAACTGGTGTTGGAGGGCTTGATTCATTCATCTTCACTGGTCTGGCTTTCTGTGTTTTCTGTGTTTCTTACTTACAGTAGCCCGGTGCTGAGTTTGGTGTTGGTGTTTCTTATTTTGTCTGGTGTTGGGCATTGTTGTTTTCGCGGGTTACTGCTTTGCTTTTGTTTATGTCAAGTCGAGGCCGAATGGCTCTGTAAGTACGGAGAGTTATAAATGTATGATATCGACATACAATATGTGATGTGTAACGTCATTTTCCTTGTAGTGTGTAGACGTTTTTGAAGTAGTACGCCGGAGGTTGCTGGGATAAATATCATGTACGGAGTACGTAAAGACAAGCGGCCTTATTTCCCAACCTGTATAGCATTATTTTGCTTTCCTGACCGATGTACTTTTTATATATCATCAAGTGGTTGATTCCAATGTTGATGGGTGCAGTACTTGTATAGAGCTGGCTACCGGGGTAGGCCTTTGTTCTCAACAGTGACCATCGCACGTCTCTAGGTATAGAAAAATCCTCGAAGGCAATTGATCAAAAGACTAGCTTCCTGGCCGACATATCTCCGACAAGTATATATCCACTCAGATATGTACTAGTATCTAGGGGTACATTAAAGCTAAATTAAAGGATCGCACTGCTGACGCCATAACCACATCAGCCCCACTCCAGCTCCGATCTCAGGCCCTGAATTACCCCATTGCCCCTCCAAAAAATTACTAGTGTATCAAAAACATCCTCACTCCTCCACCCAATTGACCAAAAGCCAAAATGTCAAGCCAAGGCCCCCTAACAACTTGGCTCCTCCAAAGCTCCCCCGAATCACTCACCAGAGCAACAACCCATCCCTTCCTCGCCGCCGCCGGCCGCGGAACCCTCCCAAAATCAATCCTCTCCCAATGGCTCTCCCAAGACAGACTGTACGCCCAATCCTACATTCGCTTTATGGGCCAGCTCCTATCAAAGATCCGTCTGGATGCCCGCGCCTCAAACCCAAATGCCGTTGTGGCTTCAACAGCGGACCAACAAGCCGTTAGTATCATCATCGATGCCCTCGTGAACATACGTACAGAACTCCGCTTCTTCGAAACCACAGCCCGCGAATACGGCCTTGACCTTTCTGCCATCTCGGCCGATGAAGGCGGACCAGGTTTGGCCGGGAACGGATCCGGATGCATAACCACCTCAGCTGCGATTTCGACTACAGGCTCGGGATCTTGTCCGGGGTTCACCGGTGCTGCGGGTCCACAGGGTGGGAAGGTGATTGGCAGTAGCAAAACTGGCGGATACGGGGTAAGCAAAGACGAAGCTGATCCGCCCCTTTCGACTATCGAGTCTGGAGAACTTGATTCGGGCGAAAGTGTCCGCCACCGTCTTTGTGCGTCTCAGGGTGAATGTCAGATGCAGGGTGGGGAGGCATGCCAACCCCCTTCGTCGGCGAATTGTGCCAATGCCAAGGATAAGAGTGCCGTTGTTTTTACGTCTGAAGGAGAACCTGTTATGCCTTCTGGTGGTGGCCGTCCGCCTTCTACAGCGCCGGTGGAACATGGTGGACCTGTTTTCTTTGCTGCGACGAGAATTACGCGGGCATATATTGATATGTTTATGTCTGCGGGTAGTTCAGGTGTTCCTCTTATTGAGGGGTTGACTGTGCTTTGGGCGACTGAGGTTTGTTATTTGCGGGCTTGGAAGTATGCTGCGGCTTTTTTGAAGGTGAGATTGGAGAAGGAGGATGGGTCGGCATCTGCTGATGCTGATGGGGGTGCGTTGAGAGAGAAATTTATTCCTAATTGGTCAAGTGATGAGTTTGAGGCTTTTGTTGATGGGATCGGGGAGGTCTTGAATGTTTTGGCTAGTCAGTGTAAGGGGGCTGAGGAGTGTGAGATGATGCGTGGACGGTGTTTGGAGTGGTGGAGGCAAGTTGTTTGGTTGGAGGAACGGTTTTGGCCTGTAATGGAGTAAGTAGGGAATATCTGGATCGGGTGGTCTCTATCGATGATTTTATCTCCACTGCGATTCTCCTTTACCTGGTGAGCATCCATGGATTGGAGTATATGCACCTGATGGTAGCAGAGGACGGTGATCGTTCTCTTTACGTCGCGTTGAATTAATTGTTGAGAATATGTATTCAGGTTTGCCGATCATGATTGAACATGTGTGAATAGCACCAAAGATTCCGCCTCAATTTTGAGATCTAGAATCTCTCAAGACTGTCGCAATCCTCATGTTATGAGTATTCAATGGAGGTCGGTAGTAAGTTCAAAGTCAATATCGGTTTATAGATCAACTGCCAAGTCTCGCTTACCTAATCACAAACAAACAGGCTCCACCCGTGGACCTTCCGGACCCCAGTTTGAATGGCACATGCAGGAGCTTGAGCTGACCTCGCCTCTGGGACTCCACGGATTTCTGGCGCGCCTCAGTCGCCCCGACAATTTGCTTCCATCCAAAGATATCTCACTTACACTGTGTTTTTTCTTCATTGTCCTGAGAATCGCGTCCCTCATCCGCAAGGATGCCCATGACCGATGAGACCGACCACAGTGGCGGGGTCATCTTAGATGGCCCCTTCGACCCTGACGCGCAAGCAACTGTGACGGATTACATCGACTATACGGAATACCTTCCAGCCGATCTTATGCGCTCCCTCACCCTTATCCACGGTCTCGATGAACGCTACCTCGACTCCGCGCAAGAAGTACACAACCTGACCAAGACCTACGGTCAGCTCCCCGACCTTCCCCCCAGTGAGCGCCCAAGCGCGATTTCGCTGCGCCGAGATGTCTCACACCAACTGAACCGTGCCATTAATGCCCGCGAATCCGCCTACGCGGAGGCCTGCCGCCTATACGATGTTGTAGATCGCCACTTTGACCGCTTGAGCTGCATTCGCCAGAAGTTAGAGACACTCCCACGACCCCCTTCAGTGGAACCGTCACCACCGCCGGAACCGACCCCAAAGCGTGTGCGCAAGGACAAGAAGTCGGGTGCTCCGCGTATTACCCTGCGCTTGGATAACCGGGATAATCGCAAGAAGAGCGGAACACAGAAGTCCAGATCGCGACGTGTGGGCATTGCGGAACAATTTGCAGACTTCAATCCGGACTCTCCGATCGCTAGTACTGAACAGTCTGATGCGGATGCTGAATTGCCGATTGTTCCTAAATCAAGACCTCCGAAGAAGGAGAAGCCACGACGCCCTAGCTCAGGGGCAGGGATTTCAACAAGCAATGCGCTTGCGCTGCTTAAACCCCCACCCCCAGATGCGAAGCCAGGCAGTCCAGATGCACCATGGTTGCGACTTACGGAGTATGAAATGACCAGGCTGCGGAAAAAGATGAAGAAGAATGCCATGTGGCAGCCAAGCGAGGTCATGATACACCGTGAGTTAGCCCTTGCAGGTCGTGGGTGGGAAGCGTACCTGGCGGCCAAACTCTTGGCGGCAGAGACCGGTGCAGAGTTTCTGGACTGTGATAACATCGCAGCAACCCATGGCGGTGAAAAGCCGAAAGATATGGAAGAAACCAAGCTGAGCAATCGAGGCATGAAACTGAACGAAGCAAAGAAGCTCAAGCGGGAGTTGTTAGCACGAGAAGCGGCAGCTAATGGTGGGGAAATAGCTCTCCCAACTAAACCATCAGTCCCTGCCCAGGGGACTCCCGCTAACCGATCATCCCGGAAGAGAAAACGGGAGGTTGCAGTTGAGGATGATGTCTTGGACCTGGTTCTAGAACCCGTCTCTGCGACACCAGTCCCAGCACAATCGTCCAAATCACGCCGTAAATCTGACCGAGGAGCTGCCAGCAGCGGATCAGCAGATGCTGCCAATGCCCCTGTACCTGAAATTGCAACCCAAGGACCTGCCGAAGTAAAGATATCGCCACCATTGCCATCGCCCACTGGATCCAAGCGTTCTGCCAAATCGGTCGTTCAACCAGCCGCCACACCCACTCCGCCGGTTACTAGACCATCCTCTCGACGCTCCGCAGCCGCGGCAACAAGTGAGCCTAGAGGCTTGCAAGGAACCTTCCCAATTCCCATCGCCGGCGGGCGAGACTTACGGATTAAAAGCGCAACCCCTGCACGGAAGACCCCGGTTCGAGAGACGTCTCACGCACCCAGCGTTCCTGCTCCAGCTCGCCGACGCAAACGTCCGGCTCCGGGCCCAGTTTCATCTGGCCAGGACGGAGGTGCGGCTGTTAGTTACGGCCGTCGCAAGGCGAAACCGAGCAAGAAGCGCATCAGTATCCCCAACTCCCAGGACGTCCGGGTTGATGAGGATGGAGTCCTTGAAGAGATTAATGCCAACGAACCACGTTACTGTCTTTGTGGGGATGTGAGCTTTGGAACGATGATTTGCTGTGAGAACCAAGATGTAAGTTTATACCCTCAAAAGTATTCTGGTTCAATGTATTAATTTCTGCCAGTGTGATCGTGAATGGTTCCACCTTGACTGTATTGGCCTCTCCGAGGTCCCTTCGCGCACGGCCAAATGGTACTGCCCAGAGTGCCGTGTCAAGTTTAGCAAGGGCTCAGATGGTATTGTGAAGGGTGGTTCGCGGCGCTGAAGTTTTTGAGTGAAGTTTCTAGCATGATACCACACGACGTTGCGTCAATTTTGATTTTCTATGTTTTTGTGTTCTGGCGTGAAATTGAGTTCGGAGTTCAGGGGAATCGGGCATTCCTCAAGCAAGGGTTTATCGATAGCGAATTTGACTACGTTTCTTAATTTTTTCCTTGGATTATTTTCCTTGATACCTGTTACAAATTTTGTTCATTCATTTGATGCATATTTAATTCACATGTGCATATTTACGACCAATTCACTTGAGTTCCCACTTGTCTCCCTCAGACACAATCTCCACGGGCCGGCGCTCATCCAGTGACTTGCGGCCTGCATCGAGAATAGCTGTAGTAGCAATTGTGTTCTTCAGGGTAGGCAGGGGGCGCGCATCGAGCTGGTCGAGTGTCACGCGGCCTTCGTTCAGAGCTGTGACAGCATCAATAAACTTCTCGAAGCTGACATAGCCGTAGCCGGTCTGGCCGCCGAAGTTTCCTTCCTCGTCGGGAGCGTAGCGCATGTAGAAGCTAGAAAAAGTCAGCGATATTGCGGTAATTGGTGCAGAAATCCAACTCACGGGTTCACCCAGATCAAACCCTGGTCATCGGTGGTCACATCGTAGCTACGCTTAGCCTGGTTCACACGGATCTCGCCATTGGCAGCCATGTCTAGAAGAATCTTTAGTATACCGCACACAAGCCAGTCAAAACCAAGGAAACTCACAGTGGAAGTACTGGTTAGAATGCACACCCGCATTCTGCGGCGCAGTCCAACTAGCAGTGTAAACACCCGTAGCAATCTTCGCCGGGTTATCACGACGCCGCCACTCAACAAGCAACGTAATGGTATCCTCAGTCTCAGGCACACAGCCTAGCGCCTCAGCCGTACCCTGCGAAGCCGTAGCCGTAACTCTCACAGGTTTGTAATCCGGCACCATACTCTCGTTGATATCAATATGGTGCGAATTCAGGTAGTAGGAGATATCCGACTCGCGGCCCGCCCACGCCTTGAAAGTCTCCAACTGACTCTTCGGCTGACTCATATAGCTGTAAAAGTAGTTGAAGTCACCCAACGTACGGGCCTTAGCCCGAGCATCAGAGTACGCGGGATCAAACCGCTTGTGGTGCTCGATGAAAACGAAAACGCCGTGTTTGCGGGCTGCGTCCACCAGCGCGAGGTGGTCTTCCAGACGCTGGGTTGCGGGCTTGGTGATCATAACGTGGATGCCGCGCTCGATGGCATAGAGAGCGATTGGGAAGTGGGTGGGATCGGGGGTGAAGATTGTGATTGCGGAGCCGCGGGGGAGCGCGTCGATGGCTGTCTTGTAGGCGTCTGGATCTGTTGTGTCGTCTGACGGGTATGAGGCGAAAGATGTGTCGAGGCCATTGTAAACTTGGCAGATGTTGCGGTGCAGGTGGTCGCCTTTTACCCGTTAGATTGTGTTTCTAAGCTTCTAGCTTCTTTACTTACGGATTCCGGGGAACTTCTTGCCGGACACGCCGACCATGCTTAGGTCGGCTACTTTGCCTCGGCGGCGCAGGTCGAAGAGAGTCAGGCCAACTACGCCGACTTTCTTGTCGGAGCCAGAGGCACCACCGCCGACGAAGCCGGTGGTGTACTCGCCGGTACCAACCTGGAATGATTAGCTTGTGCTGGATGGCGGGGCAATTGTTCTTACCATCAATACGTTAGGAGGAGCCATAGTTGTTTCTTAGTAGAGGATTGGAGGATATTAGGAGAGGGTTAGGAGGAGTAAATAGGAATAGAAATAGAAAATTGGGACCGGGGTGTTACGTCGCTGGACATAATTCTTCCGGCGTTTGAATCGCACGTCAATAGCCGATGTCATATCTTATCGTGAGCCGACGAGCTCGACACGCTCGATACTCGCTGTATGTGCTTGCGAATTGTATTGATTCCTATGTGAGATGAAAGCTACGAGCCCATTGTCCCTTTAAGTCTATGTAATTATCTTGTTCTTCGGCATTTCAGTGTGATTCATGTTGCGCGACAGTAATTTCGCATTCTGGGAACCCCTCCTCCACGATGTCCCCCACATTTCCTTCAATGACCATGATTGGTGGAATGGAATTCTCCGCCATACACAGTGCATCGGAGAATTGGCCGAACGTGGGGGAGTGACATTGACTGCCGGAACATTAAAGGAAAACAATCGGCCAAGTGTCTTTTGTTCTCAAATTGTTTTATTGTACATTCTATAACCCAAAAGTCATTGTAAGTTCCATCAAACTATACCTTCATAGCTTTAGCTAACCAAACCAGCATCATGTCGCCCACTCCTCTCCGCCCCGGCGTCTACGCGCCGACTATGACCTTCTTCGACCCCGTCACCGAGAACCTCGATGTCGCTTCTATCCGCCGCCACGCAGTTCGCCTGGCCAAGGCCGGCCTGGTCGGTCTAGTCACCATGGGATCCAACGGTGAAGCCGTGCACCTTACAAACGAGGAGCGCATGACCGTTACACGCGAGACCCGCTCCGCCCTCGACGAAGCCGGCTTCCAAAACGTACCTGTCATCGCCGGTGCCAGCGAGAACAGCATCCGCGGTACCATCGAGCTCTGCAAGCAGGTTGCCGCTGCCGGTGGCGAGTACGCCCTGATCGTGCCCCCATCCTACTACCGTGGCGCCGTTGGCAACGACGAGACTCTGTACGAGTACTTCACATCCGTTGCCGATGGCTCGCCCGTTCCTCTGATCCTTTACAACTACCCCGGTGCTGTCGCGGGTATCGATATGGACTCCGACCTTATCATTCGTATCTCTGAGCACCCCAACATCGTTGGTACTAAGTTCACCTGTGCCAACACTGGCAAGTTGACTCGTGTCGCTACTGCTCTGGGCGCTATTGTTCCCCCCTCCCCATTGGCTCCTGCTCAGCGTGCTGCCCCGACCGTCACCAAGCCCAATGCCAAGCACCCCTACGTTGCCTTTGGTGGTATTGCCGATTTCAGTCTCCAGACTCTCGTGTCCGGTGGCTCAGCCATTCTTGCCGGTGGTGCTAATGTTATTCCCCGTCTGTGTGTGCGCATTTTCAACCTCTGGTCTGAGGGCCGTCTTGCTGAGGCTATGGAGGCGCAGCAGCAGCTTAGTGCTGCGGACTGGGTCCTCACTAAGGCTGCTATCCCCGGTACCAAGTCTGCTATTCAGTCTTACTATGGATACGGTGGATACCCCCGCCGACCTCTTGCTCGCCTCAGCGATGCTCAGGCTAAGGAGATTGCTGATAAGATTAAGACTGCCCTGGATGTTGAGCTTTCCTTGAAGGATGTGGTATAATTATGACTTGATGATGTAAATGGATTTGGGAAATACTTAGTTATATATGATCAATGATGACTGAATTGTTCAAGAAACCTTTACGAAATCTCTGAATCTAAAACCCTAATAGAATAAAAAATCAAAATTTGCACACCCCTCATTCCTAGCTGTAATGGACCATCCTTATCGTAATCGATAAGCTCCATCTTCACGGGTCCCAAGTTTCTCCAGCGATTCTAATAGGTGGAGAAACCCTGTCGGAGTTGATACGAGACGTCACTGTTATCGTCTGCCCCACGCCCAGGAACCACCCCACGCCCACATGACCTGGTAATCCACTTGACCCAATTAAAATTTGATGCTCGGTATAGTAGTTACCGGACCCGGTCTAGTTATATGCAGCGCTTATCTTGATGCATTCGGGTTTCATGCCCTAGCTGAGCCGCTACTGGAACTATATCATGTTTCACAGCCTTGGCCGAGATACGTTACATGGAGCATTGAGCTATGAAATGTTATTCGTGGAGGACAAAGGATCCCGAGAATGTAGATCAAGAAGTAAGTTTGTCTCGGACGAGAATGACGCTGGTTCTAGGTGGATACTAGAGGGTATACGGGGCGTGACGGGGAGTCATTTAGCGGACCGTGCTTTAGATTGTGGAATTCTTTTTCCTGGGTTGATAATGATATACCCCTCCACTGCCCATTTCATTTTTTTCTTACAGTTTTTATTCTCACGTCCTGTCCTCTGTGGTCACCTTGAGTCTTATCAAAATCTTCTCCATACTCAATTGAACTACTGCTATCATGCCTTACCCTGAGGAAGCTGAGGGTTTCCAGGTCGATGGACCTGACTCCTTTACCGAATTCCGCAAGCGATTCGTGAGTTGGCGCGCATGATCTCCTCTTGGGATCTTCTAACAATCCTCTGCAATATACAGTTCAAGTTGAAGCCTTTCGGCGACTATGGTAGGTCAAAGAGACATCTCACCCCTTTGCTTATCTCTAACATAATTTAGATGTCGACGTCAAGATCGAGGCATGCGGCGTCTGCGGCAGTGATGTCCACACCATCAGTGGTACGAAGCCATCCCACACATACAATGACAAAGACTCACAATATCCACAGGTGGATGGGGAGACCAGAAGTTCCCTCTCTGCGTCGGCCACGGTAAGACCCAAGAAGACACAGTCATGTATATATAGGCTAAAACTTTCACAGAAATCATTGGCCGCGCTATTCGTGTCGGGCCCAAGGTCACTCTAATCAAAGAGGGCCAACGCGTCGGCGTCGGCGCCCAGTCCTACTCCTGCGGCGAGTGCAAGCAATGCCTTAACGAGAATGAAACCTACTGCCCCGTGCAAATGATGGACACATACGGCTCCGAGTGGCCCGAGACCGGCATCGTCAGTCAGGGTGGTTACTCCTCGCATGTACGCACACACGAGCACTGGGTCTTCCCCATCCCCGACGCACTAGAGAGTAACTCCATTGCCCCCATGCTGTGCGCCGGACTGACAGCCTACTCGCCTCTTGTGCGTAACGGTGCCGGACCAGGCAAGAAGGTCGGTATTGTTGGATTGGGCGGAATTGGACACTTCGGAATCATGTTTGCTAAGGCGCTTGGTGCGGAGGTTTGGGCCATTTCACGATCCCGGGCTAAGGAGGCTGATGCAAGGAAACTTGGTGCTGATGGGTATATTGCTACCGCTGAAGAGGGATGGGA